TTACTATTCCCTTCATTGCCTCTCCCCTCCCCCAACCTCTGCCATCTGCTGTTTAAAAGGTCCTATTCTGTAGATGCCCTTCTAAGAAGGGTTTTATTAAGTTGCAGTAAGCACGTGGCTCTTAATTATTTGTTCCCCTATGGGTCAACTTTCAAAAGAACAAAAGGTCACATCTCCTGGCACAGGGTGAGCTGCTTGGCTCTAGTTCCTGTCAAAGTAACAATGCCATTCGGGGGCAAGGCAGGGCGAAAACCTGTGAGATGTGGGCTAAGGGATCCGTGGCACGGAGCATCAGCAGTTTAATGCACCCGGGATGGCATTGCCATCAAGTAAAGGGTCCTTATTGTGTTAAAAGAGCTCTGATTTCCCCGTTGAAGAGAGTTGTTCTCTGTTTGGACAGTACGTTTTACAAAGCCCCAAAGAGTCCTTTCCAAACCCTCTGGAGGCTCCTTTCTTGTGTTGCTTCTCTGTGGAGGGGGGTGCCCCCGTGGGGGTAGCTGCTGAGTCTCCTCTTTCTACCAGCTCCTGTTTCTGTTGGAGCTGAAGTAAATGGGGACAGCGATAGCCGGCTTTCTTTCTAACAGCTTGATTGTTTTCATTCAAGTGTGTGGATTGCGGTCAGGGGTTATTCCTCACCTCAACCTCCGATTAGATGAGCTGCTCCCATTTCAGCCATCTCGTTAAACCCTGATTTTGGTGTCTGTTTTCCCAGCCTGGGAAAGGTCAGAGACCCCAGAGAGCTCAGTCTCAAGGCCTGCTTTGCTTAGTATCAAAATGAACATGAAAGGAAAGCTCCTCTTTTTGGGGTACAGAACAAATAACTGAGACTTACAGATGTGCCCCGAGCACTAAAACTCTTGCTGGACCTTAAATGCTGGCCATGCTCCGTTGGCAGGGTTATTTCATGTGCATCCCCTTCTCTCTCCACCCCTGCAACATTCCTGGAGTCATGCAGTATCCTCGTGGGTGTGGTGATACTCCTGCATGGTTCACTTGTCATAGATCATCACCTAAATAGGAGAGACTCTGCTGGTCCCTTTAGGATAACGAAGAAGTTTGTTTGTTTGTTTTTATCTTTAAATTTTATTGTGAACGTCTGTTTTATACTTGTGGAGGGCAAGCCTCTTCCTGCTTGGCAAACGTACATTGTGTACGTGCAATTTGATCTTGCAATCATAAAACCTTGTTTTCTAGTACCTTTTTGCCCTATTGAGAAATAAGTTAGCTCTCAAGTGCATTTTTGTGGCATTTGTTTGAAGTTATTTATCACCTACTGATACGAGAGGAAAGATGCTGAGGAGAGACAAGATGCTGAAAGCATATCTTAGAGATCCCAAGAGACTTAGTAACAAAACTGTGGCCCCTGGAACTCCTCTGTAAAATAAAATTCAAACAAAAGCATTCACTCTCAAAACCCTGAAAAAGCCAGTTGGCTTGTCAGAACCCAATTTAGCATAGCTATTGATCATTGACCACCCTATAAATGCAGAGAAAGTGGAAGATGGGTTTGGGGGAAGAAAACAAAACAAAACAAAACAAAACAAAAACAAAACACAGTGAAGCTCAGTGCAGCCATAATCAGTCACAACACGTGCTAGACATTTACTCTGTCTAACCAGAATGTTTTGCACATGCATGTGTGTTCATGTATGTATGAATGCATATTTCACATGCCCCCTCCCCCGACAGTCTCACTGGCTGCCAGATATCCTAAGGGAGTCTGTCACCTCAGCTCTGGCTTAAAAACATGTAGCACCATGCCTGCAAAGTAAGGGTCCTTATGCTTGCAAAGCAAACACTTTACTGACTCACTACCTGCCTCAGAGTATGTTTTGAAGATGGACCTGAGAGGATTTCCCAAGGCATTAGGTAGGAACTGAGAGAAACACAGGTGATCCAGCCAGTGATGGAGAGGAAGACAAAAATGTAGGTCCTGAGGGGAAGAGATACTGCTCCCTGTATTGGATGTGGCTAGGTGGTCCAGGAAGGTGACTATCAGCCTTTGGTTTTAGTGAGGGAGATGGGCATTGATAGTCTTGACTCCTGGTGACCTGGATAAGAGCAGTGCCAGTGGAATGGGGTGCCCTGACTGTTGTGGGGCTGGTTGAAAGGGAGTGAGGAGAGACCTGGAGACAGCTTAAATTCCTCTGGAGGGATTTTCCCACCAGGGAGAGCAGACAAGGGAGCAGTGCTGAGGGCCAGTGCGTGCTCACGGAGGTCGCCTTTTTATTTTCAGAGGGAGAATTAACAGCATGCATTTGTCCTGATGGGGATGGCTCAAGTGGGGCAAGAAGGTGATGGGCAATAGAGGGGAGGAAGAGGTTCTCAAGTAGGTAAAAGAGACAAGAACTAATGGACAAGAGGAGGGACCAGTTTGATCTGGGCAAGGATGGTTGATGTACACCAATACTTTGGAGGTTATTAGGGGAGATTGTTGGGTCTCTTGGGCTGGGGCTGTAACTTAGTTGAGGAATGTTTGTCTAGCATGCATGAAGTCCTGTGTTAATCTCCAGCACTGTATAAACCAGACGTGCATGGGGAGCATGCCTGTAATCCCAGCACTTGCAAGTTGAAGGTAGGAGATCAGGAGTCCAAGGTTATTCTCAGATACACAGTGAATATGAGGCTAGTCTGGGCTTCTTGAGATACTGCCTCAAAACAAAAAAACAAACAAAAAAAAAAAAAAAAAAAAAAAGCAATGTTCTAGTTTCATTTCTGTTGCTATGATAAAATACCTTGGTGCAAAAAAAAAAAAAAAAAAAAAAAAAAAAAAAAGGCAACTTGAAGAAAGGGTTTATTTTTCTGTCTTCTGGGTTCAGATCCCCTTCATAAGGAATGTCGCTGCCCGGAGTGGGCTGGGTATTCTTGCATCAGTGAACATCCAGTACAACACCCCATGAACATGCTAACCGGTAGTGAGATATCCACTCTGACTGCACCTGTTGCACTGACCATGTTCATTGGGGCATGGGCACAGGAGCAGACATGATGGGGGATGCTAGGTCTGGGATCCCAGACCCCAGCTTGCTCTCTTACTTGCTGGTTGGGTTGCGGAGAGTGGCGTCCGTGGAGCGGGAACCCGGCTGTAGTCATCTGTTTCAGGTTTAAGTGATTTCTCCCCAAATAAGCATCATTTAACCAATACTGTGTCCCAGTGAATCTTATTTCCCATGCAATATTTGGTGTCAGAAGTGGTCTCACTACACTAACCTGATCTAGACAATTCCTCATTAAGACTTTTTCCCCCAAGTGATTCTAGGTTGTGTTAAGTTGGCGGTTAATATTAACGAGCAAAAACAACAACAAAGAAAGTTCTTAGCAAAGACTAAGGTTTGGGGGAGAGGCATTGTATGTTTGCAGAAGGAAATGTAAAATTTCCACACATCTGTCCACTGGTAGAGTGGTATCCATTGTGGCTGTTGGGTGGCATTGAGGGTACCGGTGGGTACTGGTAAGAATGACCATCACTGGTGAGTGTCTTAGTTACTTTTCTATTGATGTGACAGAGTACCATGACCACAGAAGGAGAGTTCACTGGGGCAGAGGATGAGACCAGCATGGTGGGGAGCATGTCAGCAGGCAGGCAGGCGTGGTGCTGGAGTAGTAATTGAGAGCTTACATCTTATCTACAAACACAAGGCAGAGGGCTAACTGGGAATGACACAGGCTCTTAACCTCAAAGCCTACCCCCAGTGACACACATCCTCCTACAAGGCCACACCCCCTTACCCTTCCCAAACAGTTCTACCAGCTGGGGACCAATGGTTTCTATCTATGAGCCTATGGGGGCCATCCTCATTGAAACCACCACAGTAGGGTTTGCCCTGGCCTCACTCAGCAGCCTAGATATAGGATGAGGTGCATGGAGAAAAGTCACAAAGTGTCAAGAAAATACAGGACAGATGAGGCAACGTGTGAGTGCTGATGACAGCTGATCATCTCACTTGGCATCTGGGATGGGGAAAGATGACAGGAAGGCATAAGGATGACATGGAGGGTGCGAGGGCCAATGAGAAGCTGGCTGAATTGGTGGCTTGGAATTACTGATGGAGTCCTTAGGGCTGGGCACTGGGAGGAGAGAACACAGGGCTGGGGAGTGATGTTCTGAGGAGAAATGCATTAGACCGAGCTGAGAGAGATGATCAAAGTGCTGTCACGTGACCAAGACAGTGCATGATGGAGAACATGTGTGTGTTTATGCATGCACATGTCTGCATGTTGACCGATAGCAGCAGGATTAAAGGGCAGAGTGACTTGTGTGTGTGTGTGTGTGTGTGTGTGTGTGTGTGTGTGTGTGATGTGGTCAGCTCATGGTCACTGTGAGCATCAGGCAGAGGCAGAAATTGATGTTCTGGCTTCTGTTTATACCCACCCATCAGGTGCAGAGGGTGGGGAGCTCAGTGCTTGTGTGCCAAACCCATAGAATTAAGGGTGTCTGCTTGGCACTGAGGGAGTGGGAAGCTGAAGGAAGCTTATCAGGGCCACACCTACATGGAAGAGTCAGTCTATGCGCGGTCCCAGCTTCCTAGTTAACGGGAACATGGCTTTTGTGTTTGCTATGTCCTGGTCTGTGCCAAGCGCACTAGGTGAATCATTTGCCTCTCAAATCAACCTCCATCAGTGAGTGCTTGTTATATGAAGCCACTGCTCAAGGTCACATAGCCACTCAGTTGTGGGGACAGGATTCAAACCCAGGTCTTTTTTTAATGGTTTACTCAACAGCAATGATACGTGGCCAAACTGTAAGGGTCTCACTGAACCTTTAAACATCTTCAGACATGCCAGGGTGATTCAGAGCTGGATGCTAGGGATGTTATCTCCTCCTCTTTTACAGCTCCTTGAATAGTACAAAACTGTGGAAGATCTCAATTATTTTGTTAGTTAAAAAAAAATAAGAAAAATCATCCTGTCTCGTCTGCTGCTCTGTGGCTTTAATCTGTGGCTTCCGAAGGAGTCCTCAGTTTCTTGTGTTGTGACCACTGCTGTTTCTTCTTTCCTAGCCGAGCAGGAGGACACACAGAAGAAGACCTTCACGTGCTGGATAAACTCGCAGTTGGCAAAGGTGAGGCCAAGGGTTAAGCTGTGAAGACCATAGTGGCTTCCGTACTCCCTTGGCTCTTGCCCCAGGGTGGTCAATGCCTGAGATTCCAGCACCTGGGAGCTGGAGGCAGGAGGATCAGGGGTTCAAGACCAGCCTCGACTCTGTAGCGAGTTCCAGGTCCGCTTGGGCAACATGAGACCCTGTTAGCAACAAACAGATGGACAAGCTGCAGCGGTGACACATGGAAGGTCATGGAATGTCCTTCTATAAGAGAATGTGCTGGTGCTCACCTTGGTGTCCTGATTGTTTTTTTTTTTTTCCTGGAACAAGAAAAAAGGCATCTGTGAAGGATCTGGACAGTGCTGTTAAAATATTTGGAGTGATGTTTGTCTGAATTGAGTGGCATGTGTTAGACACCTCCTTAGTTTTGTTGTGTGTAATGATGATGAGTGCTCAGGACATCTGCTGTTTTAAAGTCATATCTTATTAAACAGTACACTATGGACCATCTTTTTTTTTTTTTTTTTCAGTTTCATTTCATTACTTTTTTACATTTTAGTTTTTGAGTTGAGATTTTTTTCGAAGTTTTTCAAGCTGGTCTTGAACTCCTAGATCTGAGTGATCACCCTCCTTAGTTCCCTAGTGGCTGTGACTATAGAAGGACTACCACCTAGCTTGCATTTTTCTTTGTTTTCTTCTGCTGGGTGTTAAACTCAAGGCTAGGATTGTATGCTAGGCAAGTGTCCTACCATTGAGCTAAATTCTTGAATCCCTTGTGATTATCTTTTCTCTTTCTTTCTTTCTTTCTTTCTTTCTTTCCTTCCTTCCTTCTTCCTTCCTTCCTTTAATTTTAATAAGGGAATTTTAATTCAGAGCTCTGTTTTATCAGCATGCTTGGTATCTCCTATTCAGGTACTATTCAAGCCCAACCCTGTCTTGCTTCCAAGATCAGACAAGACCCCTATGATTGGTTCCATTTATTTATTCATTTATTCATTCAGCCTGTCTGTCTATCTGTCTATCTGTGTGTGCATACACCCATGTATACAAGTGCCCTTAGAGGCCAGAAGAAGTGGTTACTAGATCCCAAATATTGGTGATGGGAACTGAACTTGGGTTCTTTGTAAGAGCAGTATATGCTTTTAAATGCTAAGCCATCTCTCCACCCACATTTCTCATTTTTTTGTTTTGTTTTGTTGGAGACTGTGTCTTGCTATATAACTCCGGTTAGCCTGAAAGTTACTATGTAGACCCAATTGGCCTTGAACTTTTGGGTATCCTCCTGCCTCTGCCTTCTAGTGCTGGGACTTCAGGCTTATTCCACTTTTCTAGCCTTCCAGATGACTTCTAAATGATTTCACAGTATCACTATGTGAGAGACAATGTGATTCCCACAAAGAAGGCCCGTGACTTCACCTTGGTCACACATTTGGCAAGGGAGTCTTCTAGGACACAAATCTAGTCTAGTCCTAGGGGCCTCAATCCAAATGCCACTGTATCCTGTGTCCTGGTGATGCTGAGGACCTCAGACAACCTGGATGTCTGGTTCTCACCCTCTGCCTGCCCCCTCTGCCCCTCCCACACAATGAATGTCATTGTGACCAAAGGGAGACACATCTCCAGCAATGCAGCCTGCTCCCAAGGGGTCACTATGGCCTGATTCTGAATGTCTTTGTCCTCTATGCACAAGGTGTAGTCTGTGAAAGCTCCACTCAGAAAGAGCATTGTGTAACTGGCACTATGCCATGGATGAATCAGGCTGTCTTGTCTTACCATGCTTTGGGGTGTAACTTGTGAGCATTGTGTTGTTCTCTTAAGATGATTTCTGCTGACCCTTAGCCACAAAGCCCACTTAGGAGATGCTTAGTGTTGTTTTGGACCATTTACAGATTATTTTCCTTGTTTCCTTTGGCAGCACACACCTCCCTCGGTTATATCAGACTTATTCTCAGACATCAAGAAGGGACATGTCCTCCTGGACCTGTTAGAAGTTCTCTCAGGACAACAGCTGGTAAGATTTCCAAACGGCACCAGGACACTTGGTTGGTTTTGTTTTTGAAAATGTACTTCATGTCTCTGAGGAATGCGTGTGCTTGAATTTTTAGCCTCGGGATAAAGGGTCTAATACATTCCAGTGTAGAATCAACATAGAACATGCTCTGACATTCCTGAAAAACCGATCGGTGAGTATGCGTCACACCTGCAGGGTCCCAGGAGGACTGGTTCAGGGGGAGGCTCGCTCCTTTTAACCTGTGCTTCTCTGTTTGCAGATCAAGCTAATAAATATCCATGTTGCTGATATTGTAGAAGGAAACCCATCCATTATTCTTGGCCTGATTTGGACCATCATACTGCACTTTCATGTAAGCATTTTTGGTGATAGGAATATTTCCAAGCCAATACACATGGTAGGAGGTGAGACACAGCAAGTGTGGCATGGTGTCATACCGTCCAGAGCTTCTTCTGTAAACAGGACTTGAAATTTCCAACAAGTAGAAAACACATGGCAAAGGCTTCTTTTCTAATATTTGTGTGTAATATATTTATGTTATATATACATGTGCATACATAAATATGTATTTACACACGTATATATTTACATACACACATAAAGTTTTTATTTATTTTAAACACAGGGTTTCACTATGTAGTCCTGGCTAGCCTGGAACTCTCTATGTAGACCAGGCTGCCCAACTGCACAGAAGTCACCTGCCTCTGTCTTCCAAGTGCTGGGATTAAAGATGCATACCGCCAAGCGTGTCTAGTATTAAAGGTCAAATTAAAGACTCAAATGTTGGTGTCTGGTGGCATGTGCCACTCATCTGAGGAGTGACCTTTTATGATGACTCTAGACCTGGTTTGGGGGTAGGGTTTCAGTGCACCTTTGAACAGCAGCCTTTGGCTAAACACCTGTAGATGCTAAGAAGGTAAAACTTTGAATAGCCACCAGTTGTGCTGTTTTCACAGAATCGTGAGTGCTTCCTGTTTCTCTTGAGGTTTGGGTGTGGTTGCAGTCCTTAGCAAGTGGCTTCCTCTGCCTCCCTGTGGGTTGTCCCGGGAAGCCACAGTCTTCCTTTTATGCCTTCTTTGTCATCTGTCCCCACTCCATTCTCCTGGTACTGCAAACGGGCACAGTGGCTCCCTGATCCAAAGGCTAATGCATCTGGCCCCTCAAAGGAAGATTAGTGGTCAGGTATGGTGGCTCACTCCTGTAATCTCAGCTTTGGAAGGCCACAGCTGGAAGATTGCTAGGAGTTCAAGGTTAACCTGAGCTACCCAGTGAGTTTCAGGCCAGACTGGATTACAGAGTAAGGCCCGGTCACAGACAAAACAAAAACAGAAGGTAAGATAAGTAGCCCCTGGGATCCCAGGAATTTCTGTGGGATTGAGCGTGGGATTGAGCGCCCCACAGCTTCTCAAGAGGGTATCAGTGCGCAAGAGTGGCAGGCCCACTGGCTAGGAAAGAGAGCTGTTTATTTCTCCTTTGAAGTGGGAAGAGACACTGTGTGGGAAGAACTGCAGGAGGCAGAGTGGGAGGGTGTCTGCAGAACACTGATTTGTCTGCTACACCATGTGACTAGTTCAGACTGCAAACCCTTCTCCCTGGTTGAGATCTCATTGGAATAAGCTGCATCTCCAGGCTTCAGGGTGCTTTGATTGTCAGAGTATTTATTTGTTTATATGGATCCCTGTTTGGATCTTAATCAAAGTCCAAATGTCATTTAAACCGAACAAGGCGTATGGCAGGCCTTTGTCTATTTTGCTGTTGTTTTCCAGCTGGACTGTTTCCCATGTTTGCTGTCCCATCCTGAATTAACCATCACAGTGCCAGTCTGAACTGACTGCATGGAGAGTGTTTATCATTGTTGCTTTAAAAGTAACTATATAATCATGTATGTATCGGGTAACAACTGTTTACTTTAGAAAGACTTGGAAAGTTGCCCAACTAATTGTTACAAAATTTGGATATCTTTTATGGATTGCGTGAATTTGTAGCTAGAACAAAATAATAAGCATGTTGATGATGAGAACTAAATTTGGGAGTGTAGCTTTTCCTCCGGGAGAGGAGGAAAGTGGAATTGGAGACAGAAAACGGGACCAAATATGGTAAGATGTTAAAACTGGGTGGTTTGGGGTTGGAGAGATTGTTCAGTGGTTAAGAGCTCTTGCTGCTCTTTCAGAGGACCTGGGTTTGATTCCTGGCATCAAAATATCAATTTATAACAATCTATAACTCCATTTCCAGGGGTGCAATGCCCCCTTCTGATCTTCATGGGCACCAGGCACGAATGTGGCACACAGACATGTATGCAAGCCAAACATTCATATACATAAAATAAAATTTAAACATTTTGGACAGGTTGTAGTTATTTATTCCCATCCCATATCTTTTTATGTATTTTAAGTATAATTAAAATTTCCAATATAGGTACTAGAAAATTGAGTTATTCATAGTCCACCGTTCACAGATAACTGGGAATAATTTTATATCCGATCTTTATGTATACAGCAGGAGTTAATATTCAGTCAAATATAGGACCAACTTTAAGTAGATTATATCAACTAATGATTGAGGATAATTCTGAACAATGTTTCTATTTCAACTAAATGTATGTAAGTCTTTTTCTTGGTGTTAATGTGGCCTAACCATTTTCATAGCATTTACATCATGTTGTGCGAATTATGGGGAACTCAGAGATGACTGAGATGGGGAATTTGCATAGGTTATATGCAAAGAATATGCTTCATACTACTAGGGACTTGAGCATCTATAGCTGTCAGCATCTGAAGGGGGGCCAGTCCCCTTGGATACTGAAGCACAGCTATACCTCAACAGCATGGGGTCTCATTACCCAAACTGTTCTAGTGAGCATCTCTCTGACTTTATATATATTTTATCAGAGGTGTGTGGCATTGGTTGTAAAGTACTCTGTCTCATTAATGGGCATCCAGAATGCTCAGAGTTACTTCTGACTGTAAGCAACTTCAGTTATATTCTTGTATAAAGCCTTTGTGTACAACCGAAATCATTCATGGGACAAACTCTTAGAAGTGGAATTCTGATGCAGGATTTGCTGTTTAAAAGTTTTAAAAATTGGCGTGTTACGTTGTTTTAAGTCAACTTGTTGAAGTCCAAGATACACAGAGACAGTTAAGCAAATTCACATGGAGAGTGCCATGGTTTCTATAAATTAAGCATGCTCATATCATCATCACCTAAGAGATGAACAGAACCCTGCTGGCACCCTGGCCTCTTTTCCTAAAGGTGCACTCCTCTGAGCCCTGTCGGGCTGTAACATTGCTAATTCCATGGAGGTGGAATTGTAAGTTTTCTCTTTAGTTCCCATATTCCACCTTGTGTCCTACTTAATTCATTTAGCTTCATTGATTGTGACAATGTGACAAGGTGCCTTTCATTGCCCTTTCTGTATATAGCATCACACCTATTCACCATTCCACCTCTGACACACACTTCTTTTATTGGTAGAGGGGAGAGAGAGAGAGAGGGAGGGAGGGAGGGAGGGAGGGAGGGAGGGAGGGAGAGAGCGAGAGCACACAGGTGCCTGAATGGGCCAGAGACTTTGGGTTCCCTAGACCCTAGAGCGGGAGTTACAACTCACTGTGATACTGGGAGCTGTTCTACATGGGTGGTTATCCATCTAAGGTGCTTTGAAAGGTACTTTCTCTTAACTGCTGAGCCATTTCTCCAGCACTTTCCATGCTCTTTTTAAAAAGGGTTTTGTTTATAGGGGGCTGGAGGGATAGCTCAGTGGTTAGTAGCACTTGATGCTCTTGTAGAGCATTTGGTTCCCATCACCCACATGGCAATCAGTAACTCCAGTGCCCATGGGATCTGATGCCCTCTTCTGGGCATCCTGGGTACCATACACACCTGTGGTGCACATACATACATGCATACATACACACATACATACATGCATACACAAAAGCAAACCGTTCATGCACATAAATAAATCTAAGAAAAATAAAAGGGATTTATTTATTATTAGCATGTATTGCATGTGTGTTTGTGTGTGTACACCATGGCTTGCATGTGGAGGTCAGCAGACACTTTTATGGAGTTGCTTCTTCCCCCTTTTGGGGGTTCTGGGAATTGAACTCAGGTTTCCTGGCTTATGCAGCAAGTATCTTTACCTCCTTTCCATTTTACTGTCCCATGTTTTTCATGTTCTTAATGGTGCCTTTATTTTCTCTTTGGGGGTCTCTCTCTCTCTCTCTCTCTCTCTCTCTCTCTCTCCCCTCTCTCCCCCCTGTGTGTGCTTTTGTTCCTAATGGTTTGTAATAGAAGGAGATGCCTTCCCATCTGTCCAGTCTCTAAAGGTGTTTGACTAGGAGGTAACGCGGTTAAATAAGGATCAGGATAAACAAATAGGCCGAATAGATGTTTATTCAGGGAGAAAGAACTTACAACCTAGACAGATGAACACCAGGAAATTCAACCCGATCCTCTCCTGTCCGAGTCAAGCCAGCAAGAGGGCTTTTCCTCGCTCTCCCTCCAACCTCCTTCCACAGGTCACCCCGCCCATGGTTCCACCCCCCAATGGGCGTGGTCAGTGCCACAGAAGGACTATCCCACTACAACTCCCCTTTTAGTCTAAAGAAAAGATTTAGGCTTAATACAAAACTATGTACAAAACAGTGAATAACAAGTGTGCTCTAAGAAAAGAAAAATCAAGAACAAAATGACCTACATATCTAGTCCTAGGGTGAGGGCATAATGGAGTTTACAATAGAGTTGTCCTAAGCTGGAAAACGTAAGTCTAGTACCTAATATATCTAACTAGGAAGAGAGAATAATAGTTGTGATAGTTTAATCTTCAACCTCATCAAGACCTGAGAAGGAAATTAACAATACTAGAGTAGACAAGAAATGCGGATGGACAACTTCCAAAAGGTGCAGCAAGGACAGAAACAGCAAGCCACCTGAACAGTCACCCTAGGTCTCACAGCAATGTTGGTACACCCAGTTTTGGCTAAGGCCAAGAGAACTTGACAGACCACAACAATAGCAGGGAGGTAGAATGGCTGTCTTACCCTGACTTGGCAAGGTCAAGCAGTCTTCTATATTTGTCTCCTGCAAGCACATAGGACTGCATGTCCAAATCAGTGGTCAAGGTGGGGGCAGTTCTTTGCCCAACAGGCCATTAGCTGAGGCAAGAATGAACTCCAGCAGGAGCAACAACAGTGTCCAACATATTTTCGGGGAAAGTGCACGGTGCTGTCAGGAGCAGCAGTGTCTCATGTCAATGGAGTACTAATATTAAAACATTTAAATGCCATGTTCTGCATGTCTATGAAGTGATTGAAGATTAAGCATCTATATCTGACTAATCTCATAGGTACAGGAAATATGAGTGAAGATAATCTGTAATACTCAGGAATTTAGCTAAAAAGACTGATTAAAACTTCCCTGAGTAAAGCAGGAACAAATACTTAAACAATATAACTATTTACATATACATACATGTAAATCCCTAAAATAGAGGTAGAGTATAAGTGTCAAGACAAGAGGTAGAACTATAAAGGGCAGCAAGATAAATATCCCAAATTGTATCAATATACAAAATGTCTTGAATACAAGAAAAGTATACATACATAGAATATGGTAAAAAAAAATAATGTGCATAAAACATTGTAAGTGGAAAGATTTAACGCAATATAACAAAATATAAACTTAATTTTACATAGCTTACCACATAAGAATACATAACAATGTAAGCTGTAAAATACTATCTCATTCTTACTCAAATTCTCAAGAAAATAGGCTAATCTACCTATATCCCATCTAAACCATACCTTTCCCAACCATTCCCTATTCCTGTCTAAAAGATAAACCCGAGTGTAAGCATCACCCAATCCCAAATAACTAAAACCAACCCAAAGACGATGACTATTATCCCAAAATTCCAAGGGTAGGGAAAGGGGGCGTCGTTATCGTAAGGTTACTTCCTGCTGAAATGGGACGATGATTGCTTCAATGGATCCTGTAGGAAGAAAATTTTTAGCAACCAAATTTCTCAACAGAACTGGCTGTGACATATGTAGCTAGTCACTGTGTGGCAGAAAATTCTTGACTGTAGTTCTATTTGAAACTCTGGCCAGGGTGTAATAAAAAGGTGCACCATTGCAGCTAGCTAGTCATGAGTTGTCTTGAGCAAAACAGTCTCAAACTGGTTTTAGGGTGATGTTTGTAGTTCAGATGCATCAGGTTGAGTCAAGTGGAAACGATGATGTGGGGCCCCATCTTCTTTCCGGAGAGTTCAAAGACTGCTGTTAGGAATCGTTATTATTCCTTGTGGAAAAGTTACACATCAATATTAAAGTAAAATTTTCAAGTTTTAAGGTATGCATTAGGGAAAGACAACAATAAGCATTAAAAGTATGTGAGAAAATTAGGATTTCAGAGAGAAAATTGCATATAAGAAATGAGTCCCCAGATTTTGTTTTCTTCTGCCTTACACCAATTGGCCTCCTTGGTTCTTTTCGGTTGAATCCATCAGCGCTGGTGCTGCTCAGTGGGATCATTAGGGGATGAATGGATGCTTGCCCTCTGTGGGATGCCATTCCCAGGGCAACTGCAGGATGACCCCTGTCCAGGCTAAAGGAAAGCCTAATTGTAGTCCCAAATATCAAATGCTGACAGTCATTTTTAGAGTTCATTTCAACCAGATTAAGTTGTCACTGCTAAAGAATGCTTTTTATTTGCTTTGAGTAGCATATGCTAATGTGCTTGTTAACAACTATGCCCTCCCCAGATTGAGGAACTTGCTCGGACTCTGTCTTGTGATTACAATCAACCTTCCCTGGAGGTCATGAGTGCCCCTGATTCATCTCCTACCTCAAGTCCTCCGGCTAAGAAGTCCTCCAAAGTGCAGGCTCAAGCAAGATGGCAGTTGTCTGCAAAGAAGGCCCTCCTGCAGTGGGCTCAGGAGCAGTGTGCCACGTAAGTAGTTTGCTGTGCCCAGAAGAGACAGACAGGGCAGCTATGTCCATCCATCCACACAACCTCATAAACTTCCATCAGTCAGGCTGACTGGATGGCTCACTCTGGAAACATCATTGCATGGTGAATCTTCCAGAATGGATGTTGGCGAACTAAGCTACTTCTGGTTTCAAAGATGGCAACTTTACTCCAGTTGCTGTGTTTAAGAGGTTTATTGCTGTGGGCAGATAAGACAATATTTAAGCCCCCTCCCCCTTTCTTTTTTGAGATGCATCTAGAAGGCAGCGTTAAGTCTAGAGTCTTACCTACTTGTGTTAGTTACTTGTTTTGTTTCTGCAACAAAACACCTTATGGAAGCAACTTACGGAGCAAAGTGTTTGTTTTATCCCCCAGTTCCAGGGGGCACAGTTTGCCATGGCAGGGGAGGTGTAATAGCAGGAGCATGAGGAAGTGGATCATAGTTCATGCACAGTTAGAAAGCAGAAAGCAATGAATCTTCATGCTTAGCTTTCTGTGCTTGTGTGTGTGTGTGTGTGTGTGTGTGTGTGTGTGTGTGTGTGTGTGTGAGAGCGCGTGACTGTGGCAGAAGCATGCCATAGCATGCCTGTAGAAGTAGGAGGACAGCTTTTTGGACTTGGCTCTCTCCTCCCACCTTTAGGTGGGTTTTGGGGCTGGAACTCAGGCTGCCAGGCTGGTATGGTAAGCATAAGCTGAGCCCACAGGTAAAGGTGTAATAAATGAAGGTGGTGAATGATTGAATGAAATAACTAATATGCAAAGTTGTATCATGGTGTGCTCTGTTTTTATAGTTAGAAACCACAGTCCTCATTTCTTGGAGACTTAACTCTAATTGATCCTAATCAATCAGAAAGGGAACCAAAGAAGATGTATTTTTGCTGTTTTTTAAAATTTTATTTATTATTATTGTTCTTGTATATGTTGTCCTTATGTGTGTGGGGTATGTGTGTACCATGGCATGCGTGTGGAGGTCAGAGAACAATTCCTTTTACTGTTCCTGTGTCCCAAGGATTGGACTCAGACCACTAGGTTTATGTGGCAAGTTCTTTACCTGCTGAGCCATCTCAACAGCTTGGGGTGGATTTAAAAAAAGAAAGTAGAGGTGGTAAAGGGAAATTTGATTGCCTTTGCTCTTTTCTTAAGTTTTTTTTTTTAAATAAAAAAACCCATTAATTATGTGTACAGGTATGTTCATACACATGTCTAGAGGTGTTAGATCCCTGCCTTAGTCCATATTCTATTGCTGGGAAGAGACACCATGGCCACAGCAACTCTTACAAAGGAACACATTTAATTGAGGCTGGCTGACAGTTCAGAGGTTTAGTCCATTGTCATGGTGGGGAACATGGTGGCGTGCAGGCAGACATGGTGCTGGAGAGGTAGCCGAGAGTCCTACATCTGGGTTTGAAGGCAGTAGGAAGAGAAGTGCCCTGTGGCCTGACTTCAGCCCTTAAAACCTCAAAGTCCTCCCACTCTTCCTCCAACAAGGCCGCACCACCTAATAGTGCCTCTCCTTGGTGGCCAAGATTCAAATTGATGAGCTTATGTGGACCATTCTCATTCAAAACACCACACCCTCACTCTGCTCTGCTCAGCTCCTCCCTGTCTCCTTCCCTATCCAGATCCACCCCCTTTCTGTCTCATTAGAGTTAACAACAACTTCTAAGGGATAAGAACGTAACATAATATAATAAAACAAAACTTACGTGTCAGAACAGGACAAAACAAAAAGAAGGAAAAGAACCCAAGGAAAGGCACCAGACACAGAGGCCCACTCGTTTGCACATTCAGAATCCCATAAAGACAACATACACACACACACACACACACACACACACACACACACACACACACACAGGACCCATAGTGTAAAAAGAGAGGAAAATAATATAAATTTAAAAATAAAAATATGATTAAAAAAAAGTTCTGACACAACAAGGAGCCTGAAAAGATGTTGAGTTTGTTTTCTGTTGGCCAAACTACCCTGAAGAGTAGTTTGTTTCCCAGTGAGACATCTTCCAGGTGAGGATAAGGCCACTACCACAATTTAAAACCTGATTTGTAGCAAGGTTTAATTAAATACTCTGGCCAGGTCCACCCCTGGGTCCCCAGGAAAATGGCAACAAGTCACATTTTGCAGAGGCTTAAAAAGGCAAACCCCACAATTCACATTTCCAATTAGGCAAGGATACATTCTGATGTATGTCCTTGCCCACAACCCTCCTGCCCACCTATAATCAAGTACACAGTGCAGATGGGTCAAACAAACACAGGATAAACAGGAACTTATTCTTAACTGTAAACAGAACTCTTAACCTGCAAGGAATACATTTCCTGTTTTGGTCTCACAACTTGCCTGGAGAAAACTAAATCTTCCCTTGCAAGTGATCATCAATGGGAGACAGCTTTGAGTTAGGGGTGGGAGTGTGTGTCCATTTCTCCTTGCAGCTCTAGGGCCCCAACTGGTGCAGACTAGTGCAGACCTGTGCATGCTGCCTCAGTCTGTGAGTTCATGCCTACTGTATCCTGTTGATTTAGAGGGCCTTGTTTCCTCGGCTCCTCTGGTTCTTACACACTTTCCTCCTCCTCTTCCAAAGGGTTCCCTGCATTGTGAGGGGAGGGACTTGTCAAAGGGAGTTTAGGTCCTGTTGGTCGTTCAGGAGCCTAGTCCTGTCCTCTCTGGCAATAACACCTTCATGGTGGTAGCTTCAGTCCTTGCTGCTTAGTGCTCAGCTGGGTCTGGCTCCTGCTCTCAGCTGTTAACCCTGACTTTTGGCCTGTGGGTTTGGATTAGTATCCCAAAGTGTTTCTGAAGTTGAAGCATCTTGGTTTAAAGTTTTAGTTATCAATCTTTCTAACTGGTATCCCAATCTTTTCTTCTTTCAATGCTGGAGGTTAAACCTACAGCCTCACCCATGCTAGGCAAATGCTGTACCACTGAGCTACCCCCACAATGCCCATTTAGTACCTTTGACTATCTGACTAATCACTTAATATAGTACTTAAAGTTTCCCTTCTTGTGAGGCATTAAAAGAAATTCTAGCCCTAGAATATTTCATAGATTTTGTAGATAACTATACTTTTTCATAGAACTTTGCTAGTAAGTATTGATTGTGACTAAGTGATTTAAAATACAGATACACTAATATTCAGCTCAAGGAGTATTGGCTAGGCAGTATTGGGTGGGAGAATACTCTGAAGGAGGAGAAAGGCAAGGCCTTAACCTCTTGAGTGCTACAACCTGGAGTGGAAATGGGTGGACTTTGATGGTGCAGTTGGTGTCCAGTGAAGAGGATTCGTGCTGTGGTCAAGAGTGATGAAGTAGATAGTTTCCTTTCATGTTGGTGGTTGGGGAGGGCATTGGAGAGTGGAGTCCTTCGGGCTGAGCCCTCAGGAGAAGCCTTTGAATGTGTGGAAGGTCTGTGAGAAAGACCATCTGTCTATATGGATTTGGAGTGTTGCTTTAAGAGTGAGAAAGGAGGCAGGCGTGGCTGCTACATGGTTAGAGAGGATAAGGTGTTCCAATGGCCAAGATACATAGGACCCAAATCACATCAGGCCGCGTGAGCCAGGGTGAGAGGTAATACAGCAGATAACAGATCCTTAGACTATTTTAGGGGTACAGTTTGTTGGTACCTCCTGTGTTGCTTTGCTGTACAGCCATCCACACAGTCCTCCACCAACAATCTCCATCTTCCTATTAAATAATACCTAAATCTATACCTATTAAATAATAACTCCCTATTTTTCCTTCCTAGCCACTGGACGCACCCATCAATTTTCTGTCTTGTCAGTTTGGCTGATTGAGCCACATGGAATCAGATAGTATTTGGCCATTTTGATGGGGTTATTTCAGTCATTACAATGTCCTTTTTAAGATTCATCCATTTTTTGAAATGACTCAGAATTTCCTTCCTGTTAAGTCTGAATTTGTTCATCTGGCCATCAGTTTACCCTTTTGTTCATGACAGCAGGTTTTAAGTAGAAAAATGAAGTCTGTCTGTGCAGTGAATTAGTTTGGTCCAAAGTATCATTTGATTTTCTTCAGTGAGGGCAAATATTATTCCCTACAGTAAATGATCTTGACTTTGACTCACTGTAGAGGTCTAAAGTCAGACGTGAGCCAGTAGATGGTTATGTGAAGAATATCATGGGGTAGGGGTTGGGGTGCTGGAGGTACCTCCAGATTCCAGGTCCCTTTCTGAAGTTTGATGCACCTGGGAATTTCTGTTTTCAATACTAGCATCTCAGGAGATGTTGACAAGGTGGCAGGGACCACACTTTGTGCACTGATGCTCTGTGGTATTCCGAGCATTCTCACACTTGACCTTACACACTTCATTCAGTTTGATAATAAGATTCCAATGAAAATTTTCCCTAGGATCATGGGATTCATATGTAGCATTTATTTGTGTCTCTGATTTATGTTTTAGTTACCACTGAATGCAGTGGGAACATTTTTATTTTTATTTAGTTTTTAACAACTATCTCTATTACATCCTTTTGCACAGGTCTGAGTCTGTCAGTGTGACAGATTTTAAGTCAAGCTGGAGAAATGGGATGGCTTTTTTGGCTGTCATTCATGCCTTGCGACCAGACCTGATTGACATGGACAGCGTGAGGCACAGATCCAGCAAAGAGAATCTGAAAGAAGCCTTCAGGATTGCAGAACATGAGCTGAAGATCCCCAAAATGCTGGAGCCAGAAGGTAGAGAGCTTTTCTTTTCTTTGGGAACCTCCTTGTTTTAAGGTCCCTCATGATCATAGCCATGTATTTTCCCCGCTGGAAGATTCAACTTAACTCTTCATTGAATTTCATGGCCTTAGGGCTTTGCACCAGTTACTTAACTTCTATCACTGGGAGAGTGAAGTTGCAGCTGAATATAAGCAATGCCTTTATTAAAACAATTTGAGCCTTTGTCTTAATTGGCTTCTGTATTGTGTTCTTGATTCTGATTTTCCTGAGCTGCAGCTCTTCTGCAAGATTCTTTGGTTTTGAATCACACCTGTTTGTGAATCAGGTTTGTGTAGGAATTACACTTGTTTGTGTGCCTCCCTACTCCATCTCTCCTCCTGTGTCTGCGGGAGGAGAGTGGTTGCCTCTTTCTTCCCCGCTCTCCTTGTGTGGTTGGCCACACTTTGGCATTCATTCTGTTCAGTCCTTGTGTTAGATTTTATTGTTCAGAAGAAAATTGTAAAATGCCAATTTTAACTTTATAGGATTAATATTAAAATAATTTGTTTCCAAAGAACACCTTTTTTATGGATTGTATTGTTTCCCGAAATATATAATACATATTTATAAAAAATTTAATATCAGTTTGGAGACAAAGAAGGACCGCTGAGTTGAGGCCAGCTTGGGATACACAGAAAGTTCTAGGGTAGTCAGTTCTACACAGTGAGGGCCTGTTATTAAAAAAAAGAAGGAAGGAAAGAAAGGTAGGCAAATAAGCTATGTCAGCAATTGCACAGTGGGTAAAAGAATTTATTGCCAAGCCTGATCTCCTAATTCAGTTCTTGGAAATCACATGGTGGAAGGAAAGAACTGACTCTCCCAAGTTGTTCTTTGTCCTCCACAAATGTGCTATGACATGTGTGTCCCCCAGCCAAATAAGTAAGTGCCAAAAAATGAAGTTATTAATGTGGTGTACAGGGTTAGTGAAAAGCACAATGAGGCAGTAGATGCAAGGGCAATTCATAGCTCTAGCTGTCTATGCAGGAGTGACAATTAGACATGATCTGTGCATACCTTTCCAAACACCGTGAAACACATACACCTAGACTGGCTTATTATAAATTTGAGTTCTATAAAGCACACGTGGCACATAATTGATAAATAATAAAGTGTATGATATACTTTACTGTGAAGTCCAACTAGACCAGGAATGCTTTTGTTGAATTTTGCCACGCTCTTGTAACAATCTGTAGGCTCCAGGTTGCAGAATTATGAGGGTAACCTGACATGAATGTCAGTTGGTAGTTTTCTTCATGTTAACATGTGGGAGGAGTAACAAGTGTGTCAGAGACCTACTTGCTCTTCAGTGGCATGAGTTATTTCTTTGCTTAATAAAGTATTAGTTTTTTTATGGTAATTATCATGTGACAGCTCTAGACAAGACATATTTCCGCATCTGTGTCATCAACAATTGCCCCAGTGAGCTTTTGTAGAAGTCGGTTAAAGGACAAACCAAGTCCTTATATTTATACATTTGCGGGGTAAATGCAACAGCCAGCGTGGTGGTTTCTAGTTGCTATCACCAGATCACGGAATGGAACTGGGAGATGTGGATAACACAGTGTTCTTTCTTCATTCAGATGCAGGTGAGCGTTGGTGCCCTGCCTGTCATCAGGCAAAAGGGTCAGCTGAGGCTAGCCTGGGCTACCCAGTGAGACCCTGTTTGAAAAATACATAAAATGATAAAGATTTAATAGGCACGAGTTATTCTCTGAAGCACAAATAGTAGCAAAAATAGTCTTTTCATTGGGAACTGTATTTATTACCTTGCTTTTAAGGTAATTGTTTTTCTTACATTCGACACAAGTTCATTCCATGATTGCGTAGACACTAAATGTCCTGAACAAGTCTTCTGTGTTAACGTCTACTTTTGGCTATACAGATGCCTAGACTAGTGTGGCAGGAATCAGTTACACTTGCTGTGTGTTTCTGTACCCTGAAGGGCCCCATGCACCATGTTTCTAGAAAGAGAACTGCTTTTATTTTCATCATCTTCTCCTCTGAATGCTGTATCATCACCTACACTACAACACGCAGAGCGACACTCTGTTTCTTATTCTGAGGTTGATTATGTAATTCCAGCATTCTACCTACTTCTGTCTGACTACAGATCTAAGTTCCGCACTTCTGAACAGTGTTGGAGCCAGGAGAATGAGCGGAGATTGCAGGGCTGGTCCATGACTTCAGTTAATCCAGCAGCCTCTGAATCCAATGGCTAGGCCATAGACTTCTCAAGAATTAATCATGGGAAGACTCTTCTATGGCTGATGAGTGGTGTGGTGTGTCTTACAGATGTAGATGTTGTAAATCCTGATGAAAAGTCCATCATGACTTATGTGGCACAGTTCCTGAAGTATTCAAAGGATGCCCCTGGAGCTGGAGCTTCAGATCAGGTATGGCTTCCTAGCTGTCTACTCGGTTCCTTTTGGTTGTAAACTAATGAATTGATTAAAAAAAAAAAAAAAAAAACTCTGAAATATAAATTGCACACACAACTTAAATGTGCAATCCGTACAAGTATATAAACTATACCTGATGGTTTATACACACGATACCTGAAGTCATGATGTAAAACAGTTTCAATAGCCATAGTGTTGCATCATGCCTTTTTTTCTGGGCTCCACACTTCAGCCCTGGAAACTGTTTGAATTTTTTCCACTACAACTTGTTTGGTCTGTTTTTTTTTCAAAGTTCCAGTGATGGTTTGTCAAGTGTTGTGGAATTATCTGAACAGCTTCTATATAGGTATTACATCAGTTCTGTTAAGTGTCAAACAGCATGGGTAAGCAACCTAAGAGAAGAGGCTCATTTTAGCACACAGTTTGAGAGGCTTGGGCATGACGAGCCAGCGTTGGTCAGGTGGTACATCCTAATGAGCAGTGTGTGGCAGAACTGGGGAAACAGAGACGAGAAGAGACTAGAGCTCTGTATCCCTTTGGGCTGTGCTTTCAATGATTTAAAGCTTTCTTCCACTGGGCCCAACCACTTAGCACTATGTGCTGATGGTGCCTTCTCTGGTTTCAAGCCTATGACATTATTTGTTGTTTAAGAGCCAAACCATGGCAAGTGTTACACAGGATGAGTTACAAGTTAAGCTACATTTTGAACAATTTTAAGATGTATTTATTTTTGTTTTGGGGAGGCTGGCTCTCTCCAGGTAGCCCTGGATGCCCTGGAACTCACTATGTAGACCAGGCTGCCTCTTTAGTGCTATGATTAAAGGTGTGTGCCACCATACTTGGTTGTTTATTAATTTATCTGGATGTTTTGCTTGCATGTCTGTGCACCACATTCATGCAGTGCCTATGATGCCCAAAACATGGCATTGGATCTCCATGTTGGTGCTGGGAACCAAACCCAGGTCTTCTGGAAGAGCTTCCGGTGCTCTTGACCTCAAGCCGTCTCTCAAGTTCTTTTGGATAATTTAGAGATAATAAAATTTTGATCTAGTATAACTTGTGTTTATTTTACTGAAATATTCATTTACTATAACATTGAGATATTTAAAGTGTTCAGCTTTGTGATAGAGTAGGCTTAGAAATGTGTGGGTCATTTCTGACCTGCTGAGAGGTATCTCCTTCCTAATTAATTCTCATATAAAAATAAGTTACAAAGTCCACTGTTCATGACCAAAATATTGAGCAGCCCTCTTGCTTACTAGAATGAACAGGAAACTGTAACCTCTGGATTTACCTTCCAGCAGCAAAATCCGCATTCACATATGAGTAAGCCACTGTAGCTAGCCTCTCAGAAGAAAGAGCACCCTTCATGTCTACAGGATAGCACATCTGGAAACTTTTGAGTGTGTGTGAGTGTGTGTGTATGTGTGTGTGTGTGTGTGTGTGTGTGTGTGTGTTTATGATCTTTAAGGAAGTCACCATGTGTTTTGGTGTGAAGGTTTTTGGCAGTGAATCTGCTATAAAGTGATTTAGGAAGTTGTTAAGATAGCTAAGTGGGTGAAAATGCTTGGCATTTGCTGAGCAGGCCTGGGGAGCTGAGTTTTAATCTCTGCAACCCACGGAAAGGTAGTAGGAGAGAACTGACTCCTGAGAATTACCTTCTGACCTCAGTATTCCTGGCTTGGCATGTGTATACCCCCTCATCATACATACTTATAAATAGCATGGAAAATAATGTATGATGCTGTTTCCACAAAGCTGAAGAATAATGGAATTGGATAGGCCATATATACAAATATATTAACTTTTTTTCTTTTGAGACAGGATTTCTCATCAAGCTCTAACTATCCTAGAGTTTGCTATGTAGACCAGGCTGGCTTTGAACTCCCAGAGATCCTTGTGCCTCTGACTTCTTAAAGCTGGAATTAGTGTGAGCTTGATGATTTATCTACTTTTATGTCTCCGCATGTTTGCCTGCATGTATGTATCTGTGACACAGGTGTGCCTGGTGCCTGTGAAGCCAGAGGAGGGCTTCCCTGGAACTGGAGTCACAATTAAGAACTGCTATGTTGTGCTAGGATTTGAACACAGGTCCTCTGAAGAGCAGTGAGTGTTCTTAGCCTATGAGCCATCTCTCCAGAACCCATTTAATAAATATATCTTCTTTTGGGAAATCTTTATTTTAGAGGCACAGAATGATTTTCAGATGTTAGTTCCAGTCTATTTTAAATGTGAGGTGTTACAGGAACCAGCAGAATTACTCAGTGAGGTATTGGTGTAAACTAGCATTAATCCACTGCTCCTTCAAGTTGTCAGTTTTATTGCTCAGTGTAGGATATGATTTAAATGTGTGTGTACATGCATACATGTTTGCTTGTGTGAATTGCAGGCCAAAGCAAAGGATGCTATGGCATGGCTAATTCTTCAGAAGAAGAAACTACAGAAGATGCAGAAGGATTCAGCAAATGAGACCTACTTTAACAAATATCACGTGAGTAAGACACTGGCTTACACTGTTTTTGGGAAAGAGTGGTAAGTATACATTTAGAAAAGGACACTTTAGAAAACTCTAAGAGAGTAGTATTTAGTATTAGATAACCCCAGGACTTGGCGCTGGAGTTCTGGGCAGTGTCTCTGAAGTCTTCCCTCTGAAGTCTTCATGGATGCTCTTGTTAAATAAGGGTTCGGAGTCAGGAGCTCTGGCCAGGGCCCAAGATCCCGCATTGCAAACATGGTAGTTGATACTGCCAGTCCACAGAGTAGTCTGAGCTACAGGGCTCTACAGCAAGGGATGGCACAATATAGCCCCTGGCCATGGATTCCTGCTTTTGCCAAGGAAATTATATCTTTGTAGTTATTTCCATGTTATATGTAGACCTGAGCTGATGGGAAAGAAATCAAATGGTCCATGAGGCTTAAGAGATTTTTCATCTTGCCCCCTGTGATGAAAGTTCTCCCATCCCTGGTTTTGAATAGATCATTCTTTCATCCTGAATATTGAATTAAAGGGAAACAGGAGGTTATCAGTTACTCTTCACAGCATTTTAGTTCAGGGCTTCAGCCAGGAGTCCTTTGTATAGTAGCAATGTCACCACAGAACTGACCATTTGCTATGGAGCAAACCCCGTGCTGATGAGTCTACAGAGTAGCACATCTTGCTGAACTAGGTGTAGTTAGTTCACATTCACATGTGCAGACAGTAAGGTTCAGAGGGACTAAATGACTTCTCTGCATTTCTTCAGCATCTGGAGAGCAGAGTATGGCTTCGGGGAGCCCAGTTTTCTTCACGTTCTGTTGACTTTCTAGGGCATGGTAATTATTAACTGCGCAGTCTTGGGGGAACCAGTGAAGGCTTCTTAGAACCCATTGTCTGTGTAATTTTGTGCTTCCCACCAGTTCTCTGTCTTGAATAAGGAAGAGATTGTCATGTGCTTACATAGCCCTTAGCACTTTCTGGGCCTCCATTCCCCTGCGGGGGTTGGATGACTCAGCCTTTCCAAACCCAACATTGAATGGATCATGTGACTCCTGGACCATGCTATCCTCCTGTATGGGGGGAGGAAGGGACTGGAATTCCCTTCTTCCTTGGTTCAGAACAGAATAGGGTTTATGGGTTCCTCCCCTACATGTTTGGGCTCAGTGTTAAAGTACCTTATTCATACTACATTTTTGATATAGTAATGTATTATAAACTCATGTTCTTTCAATGAAAGGTTTTATGAAGTTATTAATTGTCAGAGATGAAATAAATTGTTATTTTTTTATATTCAAGCCTAAGTATTATTAATTTCTCCAGCCTGTTCATGAATTCTTGAGTTCAAATAATTTTTTGTCTCTGCCTCTCACCTATCTGGGATGATAAAGGTCCCTCCCACCATACCCACCTGGTATTAAGTATAGTTAGGAATATTATTAATGATTGCATAATGTTTTAAATCACACAGAATTGGTAACTCTAAAATAGGATTACTGAGTATAAATGCAACCAAGAAGAACTTAGTGTCTGAAATTTTGAATGCAGGCAGAAGTGAAGGGAGATGTCATTCTGTAAATAAGTTTCTCTTATTGGTTAATGAATAAAGCACTGTTGGCCAATAGGAAAGCCAGATAGGTGGGACTAGGAGACAAGGAGGAGAGAGGAAGATGTAGGGAGGGGTTTTCAAGATGTAGGACCGACAGGGTAGAACTCCAGGCCCACTCTCCGGTAAGATAAGACCACGTGGAAACACTTAGATTAATAGATTAATATTTAAGACAGAGCTAGCCAATACGAAATACTAGTAATAGGCCAACAGCATAATAGCTAATACAATATCTCTGTATGCTGTTTGGGGCTGGTGTGGCTTTGGGACCAGGCTGGCGGGAGGAAACATACTCTTAACAAAGAAGGGGATTTTTAGTGTGTGTAAAATGCACTGGGAAGATTTGGCATAATCTCTGTTAGTCACTTCAAAAGTCATTACATGGCTCAGATGTATATTCCATGATGCAGGAAGCTGAGGTAGGAGGAGTCTGAGGCCAGCCATAGATAATATAGTCCCTTCCCAACCAGAGTTACAGAGTAAGACCCATCCCACAAAACCAAAGACAACTGCCGTCATTTATACGTGACAAATGCAGGGTGGCAGTTCGTTTGTCTGCTCTGGGTGGGATAGATTTTGCCTGTGGCGTCATGATCTGTCCTCTAGAGGCAGGTGGCTTTGCTACTCCCTTGCAGTAGAAATCCAGCAACTGACACCCCTGTGTCATTTTGCTGTTACTCTAATTATCAGAGAGAGGAAACCAGGTTTGGGAGAGGATGCTGGGTTCAGAGATTATACCATTATGTAAGCCAGGCTTGAATATAACCCTTAGCGATAGACCTTGAATTGGCAGATTATGTTTTATAAGCAGAATTAAGTGTTTTATTATAAAATGTTCTTCTTATCACAGAGTCTGCTATCCTTTATGGAATCATTGAATGAAGGAAAGGAACCCTTTGTGGACATCCTGTCACTGAAAGGGAACATGAAAGAGTTGAATGAAGATCAGTTACAATTGAGACAAGTCTGGGACAGCCTCACACATCAGGTGACTGTACTATGTTGCTTAGTAGAACACTTCTGCAAGCAGCTTTGTGTTGTTTGATTTTTTTTTTTTTTCTATTTTGGATTTTTGAGGAGCCCACCACCCAGCTCCCAAATAAATCATACACAGAGTCTTATTATTACTTATGAATGCTTGGCCCTAGCTTGGCTTGTTTCTTGTCAGCTTTTCTTAACTTAAATTATCCCATCTATCTTCTGTCGCTGGGCTTTTATCTTTCTCTTCTGTAAATCTTTTCTTTCCTTCTTACTCCATGGCTGGCTGGGTTGCTAGGTGACTGGCCCCTGAAGCCCTCCTCTCCTTGTTCTTACGTTCCCTTCTCTTCCTCATTTCTCCTTCTATGCATACTCTTTGCCTGCCATCCTTGTTCCTTCCTCGCTATTGGTCATTCAGCTCTTTATTAGACCATCAGCAAAGAACCAGAGCTTCACAGGTTTAAACAAGTGCAGCATAAACAAGTCACATACCTGGAAATAATATTCTACTTCAGCTTTAGTGTTCTTTTTGGGGTGTGTGTGAAGACTTGACTATCATCGGGAATTCTGTAGGGGACAGGACAAGATAGATGCTTGGTCAGAAAAGAGGACCATGCTTTGCTGTTTTTCCCCCATGACATTATTTAGATAGGAATTGAATGTAAAAAGCAGTTTACAGCATTCTGCTTGAAGGCAAGATTACCCAAAGCTACACTGGCCATCAATTCTCAAATTACCATGGTGGATAGTGTCATGTTTGATGTGGGTAATTCATGTGAACGGTAGGTAGCCTCTTCCCTGCCATCATTTGCCAATATCAATAGATGTTTGAAAAGTTACATAATAACCTGGAAACACATGTAGCATGATTGTGTTTGTGAGCGTCATACACATTTATGGTTTTCATCCTTTTAAGTTTATTAGGGCTTGGTTTATGGTCCAGCATGTGGTGTATCAGTATAACCACATGCCCTTGTAAAAGCTTGTATTGTTTGGCAATTTGGTATGATATTAATATCAGTTAAGACAAGGTGGATAATACTCTTGTCCAGCATATTTGTGTCTTTGCTGGCATTTCTTATTCTATAACTGCTGAAAGGGAAGCTTAAAAATCTGTGGAAACCTTTCTTTAATTTTATCAAGTTCTGCTATGTGCCTTTTAAAACTTTTATTAGGGGCATACAGATTTATGATAGTTATGATAGTTCCTGATGAACTGACACTTTATGAAATAACCTACTAAATATAAGTAGCACATATATATACTCTATATACATGTATATATATATATATATATATATATATATATATATACTCTACATATATACTCTACATATATACTACATATATATACAGTTTAGTGAGACTGTTTTGCTTGGTGTCTGCTTTGTCTGATATGAATGTCATGTTCTGATCCTACTATTCTGATGCTGCTTGAATTATTTGAATTATTAATTTTCCCTTCATTTTATCTTAACCCATTTGAATCTTTATAGTGAATCTATTAAAGATAACATACAGATTTTTCTTTTCTTATTTGTTATGATAATCCTGGCCATTTAATTGGAGTGTTTAGTACATTTACACTTAATATAATTGTTTCTGGCATTTAATTTAGGTATATCATTTTGCCCTTTAATTTTTGTTTTCCCTCTGTTTTTGAATCTTTTTTAAAATTCTGTTTTAATATGTTTGTCAGCTTTGGATTTTATTTGTTTATTAAATTTTTACTCTAAGGGTTATAATAATGTACATCTAAACTGTTTACAGTCTAAATTTTGAGCTTTTCAATTTCTTATTGTACAACTTCTTTTACCAGGTAACATTTGTTTTTCAAAAGTTTTTTTAGATTTAATTTAATATTCCTTAGAGGCCTATTTTTTTCTAATGAGAGACAGAAAGTGTGTGGATGCAGATGGGAAAGGATATGGGGAGGACCTGGGAAGAAGTAGAGAGAGGTTAAACTGTAATCAGAAGACATTGTATGAAAAAATGCATTTTTCAATGAAAGGAAACATATTTATTTTTTTATTATGCATATGCTTATGTGTCTCTATGTGGGTATGAGCTAACATGTTTTTAAGTTTTTTTTAAAAAAATTTTATTTGTAGTTGTGTGTGTACACACACGCATGCATGCGTGCTACGTGTGTGTGTGTGTGTGTGTGTGTGTGTGTGTGTGTGTGTGTGTGTATAGGTACTGATGGAGGCCACAAGAAGGCATAGCATCTCCTGGAGCTTGATTTATGAGTGGTTGTGAGTAGTTCAACATGCATGCTGTGAACTGATAGTGGTCATCTCAAAGAGGAGCAAGACCTCCAGCCCTCAATTTAAGAGAAAAATTTAGACTTTAGTGTTTACCTAGATATTTACCATAGCTAGCCAGGTGTAGTGGTGCATGCCTTTAATCCCAGTACTTGAGGGGGATGGGGGCAAAGACAGGTGAATCTCTGTGAGTTCAAGACAAGCCTGGTCTATAAAGCAAGTTTCAGGCCAGATAGAGATATACAATGAATTATATGGTTTATCTCAATACACCAAGGGACAAAAAAGGATATTTGCCATTTCTAGTTCTTCCTGTAGACTTTGAGCATTTTTTGACCCTCTAAATCTCCTCATCTGATAACAGTAGCAGACTTGTTTCATTTTCCTTCATCTCTAAATGTGTTTATTTTGTTTTTTTTTAATTAATTTTGTTAACATCAAATACACATCTTATAGTTTACTTGTTTAAAATAAAATGGATAATGAAATGATTGTATGCCTGTCTGTGTGTTTGTTGTGTGTTGCATAGTGTATGTATTTGTGGTATGTGCACATGAGTGGGCAGATGTGTGAAAGCAAGCCTGTTTGGAGGCCAAAGAATAACATTATCCTTTTTCTATTGCTCTCGGCTTTCTTACTGAGAAGCTGGAGGCTTGCCTCTTTGGCTAGTCTGGCTAGCAAGATAGTGAGCCTTGGGGATTTGCCTGTGCTCCCCTCCAGTGCTGGGGTTATAGGTATGTGCAGCCACACACGCGTGTCTGGGTGCTAGGGCTTTAATTTAGTCCCCATGCTTTTGTAGATCAAGTGCTCTTGCCCAGGGAATCATATCCTTGCCACCATTAATTTCTTTTTGAAGTTTATTACGTGTGTGTATGCATGTGTGTTTATGATGTGAGCATAGTTCTCACAGGTCAGAAGGTGTCATGTCCCCTGGAGCATGAGTTGCAGACAATTGAGAGCCATCTAATATGGTGCTGGGAATCCAACTTGGGTTCTTTGCAAGAGTACAGTACACAGCCTTAATCATTGAACCATCTCTCACCCCCCCCCATTTAAATTATTTTTAAATGAATTTGCAGGGTTCATTATAGAATTTACTCATTTTAGTGCATTTATAGAGAATGTATGCCTCATAAAGTCAATATTTCTCACCTAGGCCCAGGAAACATTTATGGCTCTCTGGCTATCAGGAAAGAGAGCCTTTTTTTTTTTTTTTTTTTTTTTTTTTTTTTTAAATCTAAATGTGCTGAACAGTTGTGCAGGGCTTCCTGGAGCCATTCTTTCATAGATCTAGTCTGGGAAATCTTTCCACCAGTGAATAGTGCCCAGTGCATTCTGGGAACCTGACACTTACTTATAAAATAACTGGAGCTGTGTGAGACACGCTCTCCATGATATGAAATCAGGGAAGCTGTTGTCTGTCCAGTTTCGATTGCTCCAGGCCACAGACACCTGGCTTGATTCTTTTTTTCAGAATATGATTTGGAAAAATTGTATGAAATAATGAGAAAAACCATAAAAGAATTATTTTCCAAATTTAAAGGCTCCAAACTGATAGTATATTGGAAATCTATCCTGTAGTTATAGCAATTTGCAGATTGTTTTCTTGGTATAGTGATATGAGACATTAATTTTAAATTCACTGGGCATATAAAACTAATGCCATCTAGACAGTCTCTGGTTCTATAGTTTATGGATACTATTTATTAATATAGTACAAAGTAATAGATTTCATTTGGGCATTTTTATACATACATGTAAGTTAGTAAGCAGTTTTCTCTATTTTTTTTATTGATTTTATTTTTCTTTTAGTTTTTGGTTCTTCTTTTTTTTTTGGAGATGGGGTTTCTCTGTGTAGCCTTGGTTGTCCTAGAACTTGCTCTATAGATCACGCTGGCTTGGTACTCACAGAGATCCCTCTTGCCTCTGCCTCCCTGGGGTTTACTGGGGTGCACTACCACTGCCTGACTAAATGATTTTCTCTTAGGCCTGCTGTAGATAATAGCAATGTAATCTGATTTTAACCTGATAGATCTTTCATTTATTTTCAGCCAAATTAAAAATAATCCTTTCAGAAAGGAAGTGTAGAATGATTTCTCTCTCTCTCTCTCTCTGTCTCTCTCTCTCTCTGTGTGTGTGTGTGTGTGTGTGTGTGTGTGTGTGTGTGTGTGTGTGTGTGTGTTCAGTGGGGATGGGAATGGGAGGGAATGAAAGCAAATGTTGCCTCTGTCTTCAAAATATATAGAGCTTTCATTTAGTTGTGCTGAGTTATAGTTGAATTAGAGCAGTGTTTCCTAAGCTTCCCAACCCCCCTCCCTTATTTTATATAACTCAGGGTATATAGGAGTATAAAATAGGTGTACCAACCAAACATTTACTAAGTTACATAAATAATAAGGAAATTTACTTTAGGCAGGTAAATGTACTTGCAGCCAAGCCTGATGACCTGAGTTCAATCCCCAGTACTTACACAGTAGATGATGAGAATCTGGATCAGGATGGGGTTTGCTGAAGGAAAAAAGTAGGAATATGAGGTGCAATGTTGATGTATGATTAGGGTTAGTGAGATAGCAAGCCCTGTGTGTGTGTGTGTGTGTGTGTGTGTGTGTGGTGTAGTTACAGTGCTGTCTTAGGGACAGTTTCTGTTTGTCTATAGAACCTGACTAAAAGCAAAGTCAAAGAACACAGGGGCATGTGATGTTTCAGACAGTTCTTTCTGTGACTATCCCTGTTTTGGTGAGAACTTTAAATAATTCCAATTTCCTCCATGCAACTTATTAGAGATTCATCCAAACCTTTCTTTTTCTTGTGCTTTCTTTTCCAACAGTTTTTAAAACTAATTATATTCCTCATCTGCAAGCAGTAAAATAATACTTAGAACTGAGAAGTTTCTCCATTGATAAAATTCCTTTAAAAAATTAGCCTTGGCTTTCTGAGGCACATGAAGTAAAGATGCATATATGAAGAAATAGCTGGGTGAGCACTAATGAAGGATGATGGCTCTCTACCTTATTTCAGATTGCAGTGTGGAAAGTCCAGCTGGATGAGGCCTTGCCTTCCCCACTCAAAGAGACAGAAGCATGGCTCAAGGATGTGGAGGGGCTTGTGGAGGAAGGGCTGCCAACCTCTCAGAATTACTCTGAAGCTGTGGCTCTGGTCCAACGCAAAATGTCTTTCTTCAAGGTAGGAAAACAGACTTGTGGAAAGGCCAACCCTTTGTTAGGGTCTGTCCTTGAGGAAGATTGTATTCTAGAGAGAAGAGAAGGAAATACAGTGGTGGCCAAGCATGGTGTAGCATGAGTCCCTTGGGATCCAGAAAGACTTTCATGATTGCTGGGCACGAATGTGCCCGCTGTAATCCCAGCCTAGGAAGGTGGAGGTAGGAGTTCAGGATCCTCCTTGGCTGTATAGTAACTCTGAGGCCAGCTGGGCAACATGAGACCCCATGACAAAAATAACCCCAACAACAGATGTTCTTGAGTTCATGACTGCTGGGCAACCATAAACATCCTACATCTTACCTACCAAAACAAAAAAAGACATCAAATGGAAGAAGCTGATTTAAGTATTTTAGGTCCTCGATGCAAATGTGTATGAGCAAATTTGATCTGTGAGAGTTAGGTCAGTTGCATCACTAGCAGGACAGAGAGGCTTGAGAACAAAAGATTTTGCTAATGAATTAGTCAAAGACACTGCATGCTGCTCCTTAGAAAGATGTTCCCCTTAGGAACTTTTATGATGAAATAATGGTTTATGAAAATCTTAGGTAAAAAGGAAGAGATGAGAACCTGTCAGGGTGGCTCATGCCCATGATCATAGCACTCTGGAGGCTCAGGCAGGAGCATTAATACAAATTTGAAGGCAGTCTAGGATACATTGTGAGTTCCAGGCCAACAGGTGCTACAATGTATGGCCCTATCTCAGTTAGTCAATCAGCCAATCAATCAATCAATCAATCAATCAATCAATCAATCAATCAGTCAATGAATCAGTCAGTCAGTCAGTCAGTCAGTCAGTCAATCAATCAGGCTTTTTGGCTCTTTGGAAATCAGACATAACAGGCACAATAGACATTCCTTCCATTGCAGTAGTTAGAGATAACCCTGATTTTCATGTTTCCAAATTTCCTCCAGAGTCTGATGGGCAGCTCTGACTACCATTCAAACATTCTCTTGGCCTTTGACAATCGAGATGAGAACCACCTGCCAGTCGTGCCACCTGACAAACTGGAGGAAATGAGAAGACGGTTTGTAACAGTGCTGTTTCATGACTGTCCTGTTCATGTTGAGCAACCGCATTGCTAAAGTACCACGGACATAGACTTGGAGATAATGCGTGACGTATTTGCTTCTACATCTTGAGAGCCACACCTTTATAGTTTTGCAATAGGGACATGGCATGGCTCACATCTGTCTCATTGCACAGTAGACTCCTGTGGTGGAGCTTTGTCTTTCTTTGCTCTTGCATTTTCACATTTGTTCATGACAGTCCCCCTGCCCATGTTTCATAAGGATAGCAGATCAAGACAGGGAAGATATAAGTGCACATTTTAGAGTAAAAGTAAGGGATGGAGAGATGGTTCATCAGTGAAGAACCCTGGCTATGCACTCATGGAGACCAGAGTTTGTATCCCACACCTGCGTAACAAGCTGGGGCTCCATGGATTCCTGTCACTGCAGCTATAAGGGATCTCAGGGCCTTTTCTGGACTCTGCGCATAGGAAAATGTACTGAAACCTACACGTGTGTCTATTCAGTCATGAAGACACACATAGACATAAATAAGTCTTAAAAATATAAACTGTAAAATATTGTCAGTATGGGGCTAGAGAAATGGCTCAGTGATTAATAGTATTTACTACTCTTGCAAAGGACCCAAGTTCAGTTCCCAGCACCTATGTTGGGTAGCTCACAACCATCTGTATAATTCCAGCTCCAGGGTATCCAATACCCTCTTTTCAAATCTTTAGATACCTGTGCCCACTTACACACACACACACACACACACACACACACACACACAGAGAGAGAGGCATGCAGGGCACACTACCCACATACATATAAATGAATAATAACATAAAATATTTAAAAAATAGATTATCAGTATGGAAGTCGTTTAACTGACAGCCGTGCACACCCTCTTTAGTTTTTCTCTTTACTCATGTGTAGCTTATTGCAATAAGAGAACACTAGTCTAAATGATGAAACTGATTCATATGTAAGCTTTAAAAAAAAGTGTAGCTGCATCAAATTATACAGGAGTTTTTAAATTCTTACAGGATTTCTCAATAAGGGAACAATTTATTCAGGAAATGTTCTGTTACATTTTAACCTTAGAAATTGTTGCTTTATATCTTGCCAGATTGTTTGTTTTACATTATTTTTTAAAGGAAGAAGGGAGGGATGGAAGGACACGCGTGCATGCACACACGCACATGCACACACACACACACACACACACTGTGTTTGGGGGGCACTGTTGAGGATACATTTGAGTTCCATGTGTTTGAATTAAAAACAAAACAAAACAAATAAACAAACAAACAAAAAAAAAAAACCAAAACTAAAGAACAGTATTATTTAAAAGGCCAAATAGATTTCTGACACTTGGTCAATTCTACAACCTTCTTGTTTTCCAGACTCAAGACCATTTTGGGGAGAAAATTCATGCCACTTCTGGAGTTTCAAGGCTCCAAGTGCTCAGTTCTTGCTTTGCTAGATGAAGCGAGGGCAAAGTTGGCGGTTTGGGATGTCACGTATGGGAGTGAGGAATCTGTGGCAGTCCTTCTGGAAGACTGGCATGTGAGTTGCTCCAGTCTGGACTGGGCTTGGGCATCGATTTCCCTGGTCTGGTTCTGGGTTAGCTCAGGAATTCTTCAGATCTGGGTTGGGCTTCGGTTGGTAGGGCTTGTTAGCTTCTGTTTGCCTGGAGGAAAACATCAATCAGTGGTCAAATAGCAGGCAGAGGAAAGAGTAGGAAAACTGGGAGAACAGTGTTCCAGATGGAGTTAGGATGCTTAATACCTCAGGGAAGCCTTCACTGTGGTCGTTTGTTTTTCCCTATTACAACTTTCTCCTTTGACTTACATATTTTTTCATATTTTTTTTCTTTCTAGATGTATTCTTTCATTCAACAGTTAACTTTTCTTTTTAAGACTTTGGGCTTAGCCTCTCAAGCTTTATTTTTAATTTTTAAAAGTATATTAAGTTACTTTGATTTGTTAGTGCATACCACAAATGCATGTGGAGTTCAGATGACAACCTGTGGGAGTTAAGTCTCTTCTTCCATCACATGGGTCTCAGGGATGAAACTTAGTCCTTCAGGCTTGGTGGCAAGTGCCTTTATGCACTGTGGAACCATCTTGCTAGTCCTCTGTTCCAAGATTGAATAGAAAATGGCCTAAATGCCCCCCAAAGGGGGGGATGGAAGAAAGAAAACAAAAATGTGTTTAAAGTGTAGGTGTGTCCATGTAGAAATTCAAACAGGTACCTTCTTTGATGCTGGGTTGTCTTCTCTGAAGTTTTAGTTTTCTTTTTTCTGGGCTTTTGTTTGCATGTTTGTATTTTTAAGACAGGGTCTTATGCAGCAAGGTTATTCTCCAACTCCTGATCCTTTCTGCCTCTATCTTGTAAGTGCTAGATTGTTACTATGCCTAGCTTTGGATTTACATTTTGCTATTTCAGTAGTTACAGTAGTTTGCTGGTACAAAATAAGGATATATTAGTGGCTCTCAATCTTCCTAATGCTGGGAATCTTTAATACAGTTTCTAATGTTGTGACCCTCAACCATAATAAATTATTTTATTGCTACTTAATAACTGTAATTTTGCTACTGTTAATGAATTAAAGTATAAATATCTGTGTTTTCTGATGGTCTTAGGCTACCACTATGAAAGGATTGTTTGACCCCCTACTCAAAAGGGGTGTGACTCATAGGTTGAGAACCAATGGTATAATAAACAGCTGAGTTTGAGTCAGCTCTGAGTTGTGTTTTTCCACAGCTGTTTTAGGTAACAGTAATTTCACTGATATTCTTGTGCAGGTGGCCATAGCACCTGTCAGGGTAACCTAGTGTAGCTAATGAGGACTAGTTAATGTGAATAAAACCTGTGGAACAAAAGCAATTGATACAGTTATACAACGTTTCTAAAAACAGGTGAATTAGCAGGTTCTGGATTCACTTTGAAAGATGAACTTGCCTTCTCCCAGCAAGAGAAAGCAGTGCAAAGTCATGTGACCATGTCACGCTCACTGCGAAGTGGTAGCCTGTGTCATTGTGCCCTCACCTTTGCTAAGTCCTACCCACCTTTTGTGAACTGTTCCTTCCTGTTTTGCTACTGCAGTATTAAAGAACTCAAGGAAATTTGCCAATTCTGCCCTTTGCCAGCATCATATACTAATGTCTGGGTTTCTTTGCCCACTTTCGAAAGTAAACCCTGTCAGTATCTTTTCCTTTCCTTCACAGAAATTTATTGAAGAGAAAAAGTTCCTAGTTCAACTTGATACCTCTTTTCAAAAATGTGAAGAAATGTATAAGAACTTGGGTAAAGTATCCTTGTTGCTTTTTGATGCCCTGGCCATCCTTTCAAGATGGCATTTGTTTACATTCATGGTTTGGAAATTAACTTTCTTCATGTATGCTTTCCTGGGAAAAATCCTTGCTTTTTGCTTTTAATATTGCCAGGGTACATGCTCATTTTCAGTTGATGCAAATAGTTTCCTTAATATTGTTTACAAATGAACACTCTTTTCTCAGACTGTTTTTTTTTTGGGGGGGGGTTTGTTTTGCTGATGTAGCCGGAGAATGTGAGAGTGTTAAAGAGGAGTATGTGGCTTTGGAAAAGAATGTTCACATGTGCAGACAACACATACATAACACGAAGGCCACGCTTCGAAAAGTGCTGGCATGTTGGGCAGCTTACAAGGAAGACCTCCCCCTTCTAAAGGCATCTTTTGAGGCGACAAGGAAGGATCAAATTAAAGAGGTATTTGAAGTAAATGGCACTGTCCCAGTTTTACTCTTTAATTTTTGGAGACTGGTTAAGTAGACCAGGTTGGCTTCGAACTTTGACATCCATCCATCTGCCTCCACTTCTGAGTTCTGGATTAAATAAAGCATGGCTTACTGTGCTCAGCTAGATTTACTCTTTTCTTTTTGTTTGGAGGCCCATTTTTACTCCTAAGGTGGGTGTCTACAAAGGAGTAAAACATACCTTCTAGAAAATTCTTCAAGATCTTGGGAAGAACTTTTTTTTGTTTTGTTTTTCTAATATAATTGTCAGAGTATTTTCCTCACGTTGTGTATTTGTAGACACACACGCACATAAATAATACAGTTCTCAGAAAAAATTTATTTACTTATTTGAGATGATTAAATGAAACCAGTACCAAGGCAGTATAACCTCTATGAAAGCCATTTAACAACTTGGTATGACTTCTATTGACCTAATGAGCTTAGGAACCTCTGCTGTTAGTTTATCAGGCACTTAATGGACCAGGCCTTCTGAAGAGTCTGGGGTCAGGATCAGGACAATGCCTGGGACCTGCCATGAAGAAATCAAGACAATGAGTTGAGCAGTTCTCTGAGAGGGAAGTCAATGTCTCTGCAAAGGCCTTCACTTTCAGTCTTGCTGAGAGATCACCTTTAGTAAAGATTTACTGTGGATATTATTGGTATAAATATACCATTAAATATACTTTTTTTCCTTTTATGTAGATTCCCTTTGAGACCCTTTCCCAGTGGAATTCAAAATATACCTCTCTAAACGAGGTGGGAAGTTTCCTAATTGAAGTCAGCAGTGGTGAAGTTGGAGCATCTGTTTCTAAAGAACTGAGAAGGCTGAATAAAAGATGGAGAAAGTTTATCCCAAAGACTCCACTCGTAAGTTCTTGTTTCTGGTAACAGCTTTCTGGAGATCTAATCCTCATACTTTACAATTCAGTTATATATGTGTAGCTCAGTGGCAATTAGCAGATTCACAGTTGTGTGGCCACCAGTGCAGTCTGGCTTTTTTTGGAGTATTTGGTACATACATGTGCATACCTGTCCATACATGTAGGAGTGTGTGTGTGTATGTGTGTGTGTATGTGTGTCTGTCTGTCTGTCTGTGTCTGCCTTAACTGCTATCTACATTATTTTTGAGACAAAGTCTCTTACTTAACTTTGAGCTCACCCGTTGGCTAGACCAGCTTGCCAGCAAGCCCCAGCAACCCTGTCTGTAACTCTTCAGCACTGGGATTACAAATGCATACCTGGCTTTTCTATGGATGCTAGGGATATGAACTCAGGTCCCCAGGCTTGCCTGGCTGTTAGTTTTAGAGCACTGTCATCATTTCATGAAGGTGATCTGCACCCGTGTGTTCTATCAATCTTTCTTTTCCAACCTCCCAGCCCCAGATAACCACCAGTCACTTTCTTTGTCTATTTTGGACTTTTATGTATAGAATCCTATGTGGTGCCTCATGACTGGCTTAACGCCATGGGCACAGTGCTTTTAAGGTTCATCCAGACATGCTATATAGCTCCCTCCTTTACTTTTCACTGCAGAGTAGAAGCCTAGTGTGAATATGCCACACTGCATTTGATTATCCATCAGGCGATACCCATTTTCGTTCTTTCCATGCTGTGGGCTGTTATAGCCACATAAGTTATGAACATATGCATAAAGGTATTCTAACTTCTTTTGGGTACACATAATATTGAAGAGAATTTTAATGTTTGAGCCTTTTCTAATAAATGCCTGTCTGTCAGTTTCTTTACCAAGTGCCTACCCAAGCACCTTAAGAACTTACACAAGATCTTATTTGTATTAATATTTATTATAAAACAGAATTATAATAAAACGTTTTAACTTTTTTTACTTGTTCATAACAATTTCTTAGATACTTTTAATAGACAACTTTTTGTGTGTTTGTGAGGAACTTTGCATAGCTGAGCATGGTCTTGCACACTTAATTCCCCTTACCTCCACCTCAACTATACCTGGCCACAAATACATGTTTCACAACACTATTGATGGCTGGTGTACTCCAAAACTATACTTAGCTATATTTTTCTTATTATTATTTTTAATGTATATTATCAAAAAAGTAGAAATGTGAGCATGAAACTTACAAAATCAATTTTTATAGGAGCTGAAGCTGCCACTTAAGAAAATTCAGGATCAGCCCACTGGAAACAGTTGTGGAACGATTTTATCTGAGGAATCAGCTATGCCAGCCGAATCTCTTCAAAGTCATGATGGGGACATAAAGGTAGGGCCGGTACACTTTACACACGCACATAGGAATGATCTAGCTTCGTTACTTTGCCTTGAACTGCTGAAACAGTGGGAAGTGTACGCAACGCTAGGTAACTGTCATGGCATTGTCACTGACTGAGGAAATGCTTTAGTGGGTCTACTCATGAAGTTACCTCATGCCTCTTAGCCCCCTCTTTGTTCTGCATCAGTAGAAGCCAATGGGACTTGTATGGTGCCAATCGAGTCTGTATTTCTTGGGAGGACTTCTGATAAGTGCTCAAACCGCTCTCCCATGTTGCCCCATGCTCCAGAACTGGCAATTGAGTTACACGAACAACAAAAGGCAAGACAACCTAATGATGCAAATAAGTTTGGGGTTTTGTGTTGGGCCTTGCTCATAGTTGTCAGGCACATGTGGCCTGTGGGCTGCAGGTTGGACACACCTGGCAGCTTCCAAAGACCTCTTTCTGTGTCGCTAACTTTCTATGGAATGGCAGAAAGTATAACCGATATCCCTTGTTGTGGTGGACAGTTTGGAAGATGTTAGGTTTTTAAAGTAAGGCTTTATGAAAAGGGGACAAGAAAATAAAGTCACACATGTGTAACAGTAATAGCCATGGCTTCAGATGTGTGCCACACCCTAAAAGCAGCCATATCCCCTTACATAGATGATCAAAAGTGCCTCTAGCCAGCTGGCAGGATGCGAATGTTTTCATTAATAAGAATGCCTAATAGACAAGTGGCACAGGCTCTTTCAAGTACAGCTCTCACTTGTCTGGCATGCAGGCGGCTTGGGATTCATCTGTACCACTGCATTAAAAAAATAATGTGTAACAAAAGAAAATCTGGAAGGATCTTAATTCATGTGATATACTTTAAAATATAAGCCTCTGAATACTTAAAATGTTCAGCTATATAGGTGTGTGTGTGTGTGTGTGTGTGTGTGTGTGTGTGTTGACACAGGTTCTCTCTGTGTAGCCCTGGCTAGTCTTTAACTCACTACGTACACCAGGCTGGTCTCAAACTCAGACATTCTGAGCTCTGCAATTAAAGGCAGGCACTACCATGCTTAGTAAAACCAACTTTGAAACTATTGGTTGTGCAAAGTTATACTATTGAATACTGAGAGTCATGCCAGGAGGTAGTGGCACTTGCCTTTTAATCTCGGCATCTGGGAGGCAGAGGCAGGCGGATCTCTGTGAGTTTGAGGCCAGCCTGGTCTACAAAGCTACACAGGGAAACCAACCAACCAAACAAACAAACAAACAAACAAACAAACAAGAATGCTGAGAGTCTGTTGGTGAGAACAGGATTATTTTTGGTCTTTTGTCTAAGCCTCCCTTATTATTTTAAAAGTACATATGCATACATGTGACAAAGTCTTGCTGTGTAGCACAGGCTGGTCTCAAACTCATAGCAATCCTTCTGCTTTAGCTTCCCGAGTGTAAGGATTACAGACATGCACCACCATACCCTGCTCACCCTTCCTTACTTTTTTTGAGACATGGTAGTCCGGTGTTATCCTAGAATTTACAATCCTCCTGCTTCAGACCCCTGAATGTTAGGATTATAGATGTGTGACACTGTGTCTGCCTCTGAATGTCCTTTTGATGATATTTTATCCTTATTGTTAGTAATAGCTAAATTTAATTGTACATGACTTAATTGTATATGAGTTTGAGACAAGTTTATTTAGATTAATTCTCTAAGCTTCAGTTTTACTTATAAAATGAGTTAGTACCATCTAGCTGACAGAAATAATCAATCTTTTCATTTGTAAAATGATGCAGGCGTCTATAACTGTCAAACTAGGTTTTACGTCACAAGCGCACAGTTCTGTGCAGACCAAATACACTGCAGTAGTTTTACCATAAAACTTATATATGTCTAATAGGCTCTGGGTCTGTGTAAGGATGTTTGCTTTGTCATGTTCACACAGTGCCACAGTACCTAACGATGTGTTTGTCCTTGCCATTAAGCAAGCACCATGCAAAATGGTGTTGAATTCATATTCTTCAGGTGATAGGATTTTAAACAGCGTTTTCGTATTGCAATGGTGTCTTCCTAACGATAGTTTTGAATGCTGTAGGCTGTGGAAAAACAGGAAGATGAAGAATCAGCTGGACGACTGAAGGTGAATGAAGAGGTTGAGAAACTCATTAAAGAATTGAGAAACTGGGAGTCGGAGACCAAGTCCGTCTTGGATCTCCTTCCACATCAGGATGAAGTGGATGACTCCTCAGCAGACACCTTGCAGGTATGAGTGTGAACATGTTTAAGAAGGTATATTCATGACTGGAAACTTAATACGGGCTTGTGTTTTAAGATAAAAAGTGTTAAAAGGCAGATAGTGATGAGCCCATGTTTAAATTTCCTTATTGGGAAGTTTTAAAACAGCATGGACTCCAATCACTGATTTCCTCTTCAGCTTTGGAGTGTTTTGTTTGTTTTTTGGGGGGAGTGTACAGTTTTAACTCATTTTCCTGCTATAACATGAGGACTGGGATATTTTGGTGTATGAGAGGCAGGAAGACGAGTGTACTAAGTCTTTGATGGCTGAGTATAATGGGAACATAGGAATTATGTAGTAATATGCCTTGAAAGTTCTCCCTTCAAACCTGCCATGCCCCTGCCTCACTGATGGAGAGGTGATCGGCATGTTTGAACTCCACTCTGTACTCATCATCAAGCAGTTGACAAGTGAGAAGCAATGAGTTGCAAGTGTATTTCAGTATTAGGATAACTGGGAATTTTTACCGAGTTCCAGCGTAGCCGTAACATCAGTGCAACATGTCGTTAAGCCGTGGAATAAAGGAGCACTTGTGTAATTTTTCTGCACCTTCCTTGCTGGAAAGGTCTGTAGTTCAGCATGCAATATTTTCATTGTTTTTGACAGTGGTAACTTTAATAGTTTAAAAGGTATTCTTACAAAATAGCATTAAAAGAACTTTATTTATCTGCTTTTTTTTCTAATTTCATTTAAAAAATTTAGATCATCTACAACTTGTTTTTGTGAAGGAAATGAAATAGGTGTCCACTATTAAACAGATTCTTTTTAAAGCCTAACTTTAATGTTTTTTTTAAAAAAGTTACACTTGTTTGCTCTGTGTGGGGGGACATGCCACATGCGTAAAGCTCAGGGGATAGCTGCAGAAGTTGGTTCTCTTCTTAAACCATGTGGGCCCCAGGGACTAAACTCAGATAGTTAGACATGGTGGCAAGCACCCTTACCTGCCAAGCCATCTTGCAGGCCCTAGAGTTTGAGTTTTCTCTTTTCCATTTCAAATTATTTTACAGCTTAAAAATAAAAGAACAGCAACGATCCTTGTTGTACACAGTAAGAACATAATCATGTTTTAATCACTCCAGTTATTACAGAGATAAATAATCTCTGTTGGATCACAATAATAGATCATACATATTTTAGTTTTTTATTGACTTCCCCCCCTCCCCCCTGAGATAGAGGTTCTCTGTGTGATAGTCCTGGCTGTCCTGGAACTCATTTTGTAGACCAGACTGGCCTCAAACTCATTGAGATCCACCTGCCTCTGCCTCCCAAGTGCTGGGACTAAAGGCATGCACCTCTACTGTCTATTTTTTACTTCTTTATGATGTAGTTTTGGGAGTTGGGGGAACAGAAATTCATGTGGGCCAGACTGGCCTCAAATGCTGGCCTTCTGAGCACACCTCCTAAGTGCTAGGGTCATAGGTGTACCCCACCAAGCCTGGCCAGAGATGCATTTAAACAGTAGGAAGGCCTCTAGATGACAATGTGTGTGATCTGCTTCCATTTTAAAAACTGACTTGTGCTTTCATAGTTTATACTTTCATATCCACAGAACAATATCTGTAAGAAGGGACAAATAACTTACTTTTTGTGTCTTGACCCTGCACTGTACTCAGTTTCTGGCACAGACACATAAATACTTTAAAAGTCAATGTTCTAGTGGGTGATTAAATGACAGCCAGTAGGCAGGCTGGAGAAACTGGCTTTTCCTTCACACACTACTTTTCTAGTATATGGTCTCATTTATTACATTTTTATAATTAAAAAGGAAAAAAAAGGTCAAAATTAAAGGGGAATGTTCTAATTTCATAAAAATAAAACTACCACCATCCTACTACATTGAAACCCAGTAAAGAGGCCCCGAGCATGCTTGATGCCCCAGAATGACGTCTGTTTTACTATTCCCAGCCTCTTCTTGAGGCACAATTATCTTTTTATTCTATATTGAAAGCTAGAACATCATTATTTACATATAAGAGTTATCCTTCATCTACTTATTAGACATGTAATTCTGTGGGTATATGGTCTTTTGTTTCAGAGTTTTCTTTGGAATGTAACTTTTCATTTTTAGGGGGCAGGGGAGGGAGTTTGTGTGTATGTGTTTTGTGTATGTGTGTTACATGTGTGTCTGTGTATGTGTGTATCTCTGTGTGTGTGTGTGGTGTATATGTGTGCTCATGTGTATGCATGTGTTTTACTGGGGATTGAACCCAGGGCCTGGAACATGCTAGGCAGGCAGCTACCATTGAAATACCTTTTTGTATTTTTTACATTAAGAAAGGGTCTCAAGCAGGGTGGTGGTGGCACACGCCTTTAATCCCAGCACTTGGGAGGCAGAGACAGGTGGATCTTTTTGAGTTCGAGGCCAGCCTGCTGTATAAGAGCTAGTTCCAGGACAACTTCCAAAAGCACATAGAAACCCTGTCTCAAAAAATGAAAAAAATAAAAAAATTAAAAATTAAAAAAAGGGTCTCACTAAGTTTGTCTTACGAACTGGCCTTGAAGTCATCCTCTAACCCAGGCAGGACTTGACTTGGTGACCTTCTGTCTCAGCTTTCTGATTGGCTGGGATGGCAGCCACAGACTGGGCATCCTGGGATTTTCTTAATGAATTACATAAGCTCTTTGAACTCTGACCCATTTTCATTCCTGTGGCAAATATTTTTAGTAAATTATTGACCTGCTAGTAGCTTGTTTTGCAGAGAAAGCACATGCATTCCTATAGTCATGTCTTTCCCTACTTCTATTCCTAAAAGGGGAAAAAAAAAAAAAAAAAAAAAAGACTACATCCAGGCAGCAGCTCGATTTTTCTTGGAGTATTCATTCTTCATTGACGCTTTATATTTTACATACTGCTTTCTGGTCCATCTGGAATTTACTTTTGTTTGTTGTATAAAATGTAGTTTTTGAAAGCTTATTTTCAGTAGTCATTTTCTTTCATGAATTGTCTTCCCTTCAAGTTTGACTGAGCAATTTTAATTTTGAAAGTTGTTACTCTTCCAGTTTATTCTTTTTATTGGCATTATATTAGTCCTAGTTTTCATTTTATTGAAATGTTTATACAGAGTATTCTATAAAAGGTCTTGTCAGAATTTGATTGTATTAATATGCTATTTGAAGTGTTTAACTTCTTTAAATTTTTAAATATTAGTTTTTTAAAATTTATTTTTCTTATTTTACATATTGATCCCAGTTCCCCCTTCCTCCCTCCCACCTCCCCAAGCCCCCTAACCAGCCTCCATCCCATTCTCCCCCTACTCAACAGGGAGGTTGATGCCTTCCAGGAGGGGTCAACAAAATCTGTCAAGTCATTTGGAGTAGGGACTAGGCCCTCCCTCCTGTCTCTAGGCTAAGGGAGTGTCCCTCCATGGGGAACGTGCTCCCAAAGTCCTTTTGTGCACCAGGGATACATCCTGGTTCCACTGTCTGAGGTTCCTTAGACTGCCCAGGCCTTCTAACTGAGACCCATTTTCAGGGGATCTGAGTCAATCCCATGCTGGATTCCCAGCTAACAGTCTGGGGGCCCATTAGCTTCTCCTTATTCAGGTCAGCTGTCTCTGTGGGTTTCTGTAACCTGGTCTTATCCTCCCTCTCTGCATCTTGATGACACCATCATAGAGCATTCATCTAATAGCTGATGGAAACAGAAACAGACACCCACAGCTAAACACTGAGCCGAACTGGAATCCAAATATTAGTTTTCTTAAAGATTTATTTATTCACTTTTTAATTTAATTAATTAATTAATTAATTAATTAATTAATTAATTAATTTTTTAAGGCAGGGTTTTTCTGTGTGGCCCTGGCTATCCTAGAATTTACTATGTAAATCAGCCTGGTCTCAAACTCACAGAGATCTGCCTGCCTCTGTTTCCCAAATGCTGGAGTTAAATGTGTGCACCACTATACCTGGTAAGGTGTTTGTGTGTGTGTGATCCTGTGTCAGCATATGTGTGCATGAGGGTGCTCGTGCATGTGTGTGTGTGTGTTTGAGCACACACCTGTGATGACAGACGAGGTGTGACTCTCTGAAGCTGGAGTTACAGGCAGTATTTAGCCAGTATTGTGGGTGTTGGGAACCAAACTCAGGTCTTCTGGAAGGGCAGCAAATGCTCTTTACCTCTGGGCCATTTCTCCATCCCTTACTTATTTATATTTTGAGGCACTGTCACTTGAATTCCAGATTGGCCTCAAACTTGCTGTGAGGCAAGGATGATGGTGACCTTCCCCCCTCCCCACCGCCCTAGTGTTGGGATTACAGCTGTGCTCTGTGCCCACCTGATTTCATTGTGATGTTGATGAAACTCTGCTTGGGAAGCAAGCTCTATGCCTAAAGAGCTGCATGCCAGCCCTCAAAATGTGTGTGTGTGTGTTTTGTTTGTTTGTTTGTTTTTTTTTTTATACAAGTTTGCCTCATTCTGGATGAACAGTTACCATTTTTTTCTGGTTCCTGGTATAAGGTTAGCATGTGCCTTGAAGCTGAATATTTACTGTGATCTCCAATTTGTTTTTGTAGCATCTGATTGCTAAAGGCTCTATGTACGAGGAACTTCTGGCCAGAACCGAAGATACTCTACAGATGGATGTTCAAAGTGCTTCGGACCTGGGGTCCTCCCAAAATGTCCTCAGAGCTGGGCTTCAGGCAAAGATTCAAGACGCTAAGGAGGGAGTCCAGGTCTCCAGCTTAATGCTCTTTATTTAATGAATTGATTGCTTAGAACTAAGTGGTTGATGGGCAGGCCAAGAGGAGGGTCTGGCCCAAATCTTGGAAATATTTTGTAAAATATTAATTTTACATTATATTTTATTTCTTTATAATTTAGAGCGTGTTGGAAAATAGAAATGTTTTCAATTATATATTTCTATGCCTAATTGTAAAATACAAACTGCTATTAGAATAAAAGGCATTGGAAGTCTTTTTCCCCTCCTTTGCAGATTGCCATGGTAGAACTGTGTGCTGTTCGGAAGAACTTAGCTGATGAGTCACCAGAACAAGACGTGAGGCAGAAAGTGGAAGAGGCAGAGAGGAGCCTTGTCTGCTACGTCACCAGAGCCCAGCAGTTGCTTGAGCGGAGGGAGCACCCTGGTGGACTCATTTCAAAGTACAAGGTGGGGAGTTTGTTCACTCGGGGAACAGTTATCGTCCGCTACTCATGGAGCCTGATGTGCGGATGGGGTGTTTCCTTTGCAGAATTACATACGGAGTTTCTGTAACTTGCAAAGTGTTCCCCGTACCAGATACTGTTCCCATGAGAGTATTAAAATAAATACTAAAGTGGAGAACAGTACAAACAACACAGCTGACTTCAAGATTGAGAAGAATTTTGTTCCTCTGGCTTTCTTTTTGTTTCGTTTTGTTTTGTTTTTTACTTGAAAATTAGCGTATTAATTCAGTATAGCCCAGGTACCAGGTTTGCTGAGGTTTTAAATGATTTTTTTTACAAGGTGCATAGAGGCACTTCGTTAGTTTAAAAATCTGTGAATGTAAAAGAATACTATTCTTAAAATCCTTTGAGAAGTTTCTCATAGACGTAAAGACCCAATAGTGTTGCTTTGTATAGAGAGTTTGCAGTGTTTTGGTTGCTGTGGGTTTTTACTAGGTGTGTGTGTGTGTGTGTGTGTGTGGTGTGTGTGTATCTATATTATACATAATAGTAGGTTTCATTGTGACAGTTTCATTGTGACAGTTTTATACATGTAAATATTTTCCTCTACCCCTTCCCACTTCCTTTGATATTTTCCTTTTCTGAACTAGTCCCTCCCCTCTACATGTGATTGTGTATGTGTTTGTGTGTGTATGTATGTGTGAGTGTGTGTATGTATGTCTGTGAGTGTTTGTGTGTGAGTGTGTGTATGTACGTGTGTAAGAGTGTATGTGTGAGTGGGTATGTGTGTGATAGTGTGTACGTGTGTGTGATAGTGTGTATGTATGTGTGTGACTGTATGTGTATGTTTGTGTGTGTGTATGTATGTGTGTGTTTGTGAGTATGTATGTGTGTTTGAGTGTGTGTATGTATATATGTGTGAATGTATGTATGTGTGAGTATGTATGTGTGTGTGTATGTGTGTGTGTGTGTATGTATGTGTGTGTATGTGTGAGTGTGTGTGTGTGTATGTGTGAGTGTATGTGTGTGTGTGTGTGTGTGTGTGTGTGTGTAAGCCTGGACAACATGCCAGGGGTGCACTCCTAGAATCTCAGGACTCAGGAAGCTGAGGCAGAAGAATCAGGAGTTCCCAGTCATCTTTCACTACTGCAGCTTGAGGCTGGCCTTCGCTAGCGCTAGCTGAGATTCTACTTCAGAAGAATCAAGAAGTGAATCAATCATCAATCATTTGCTGAACTGGATGCTGGAAGTGTCTGTATGTGGTCTTACAAAGAAGAAATGAAATTGGCTGGGGAGGTGGCTCCATGGTTAAGCATACCTGTTTTTGCAGAGGACCTGGGATTGGTCCCTAGGACTTACATTGGGCATCTCACAATTGCTTGTAATTCAAGTCTCAAGGGATCTGATGCCCTCTTCTGTCCTCCACAGGCTCCTGCATGCATATGATTACATGCAGACAGAAAGACAGATACACTTATGCATAAATTTTAAAAATTAATGAAAAAAAAAAAAACAACAGTTGAGGGTCCTAGGTGAGCAAAGAGCATCAGCTTTCGTCCCATTTCCTTCTCCCTGGCGTCTTCCTCTTGGAATTTGAGACCACAGGTTCTCTGTTTTAGAGACTGTTTAGTGAAGATATATTTTCATCATCTAAGTAAGTCCATGCCCGGCTGTGTCCTACCCTGACACCCTTGTCCGCAGTGGTGTGAGATAGTGGAAATTCACACCAACATGACTGCAATTTTCAGCTCACAAATATAGCCGTTATCAAAGAAGCTGTGTAGAGAAGGGCCCCAGGGTTGTGTCTGCAGTAGGTGCTTAATAAATGTGTGCTGTGTGAATGAACAAGTCTCTACCCTGTGTCATTATCTTCTCCAGAATCCACCCTTCCTCCTCTGGTAGATTTTCAGCCCTTCTCATAAGCTTCCCTATGTATTTTTTTGTTCTATCATCAACTGTCATTACCTAGGCCAGTTTCTGCTCTCAGAAAGCGTGGCCCTAGAGGAGGAGCAGATGCAGGTCCAGCAAGCCTATTTATTGCAGCTCTTTCCCTGGCATGAGGCCGCCTGTCTGTGGACTGGCCTTGGGCAAGACTTTGAATTGATGGTGAGGTGAAGTAATGGTGCCTCCTGGCTACCTAGCATTGCTCATGCACAGTATTAAATATTTGCCACATAAATCCTGCGTGAAATTTTTGCTTCATTGTGTGCTAATTTTTTTGTATAATTTAGAATGTCAAATAGGTAAAGACCTTTTAATAAAACATACTTTGTAATCTTTTTGAAAGAACTCAAGGTACGGAGATAGGCCATCAGCTTCAACTTACCAAAATAAAATTCCGGATTGTCACGGTCACCTTCCCTTCTGGTTTTCCCTGTGAAAGATGGACCGAATTAGCTCAAAGAATCTGGCAATATGACCAGGTTTTCATGATTTTTTTTTTTTTCAGGAAGCATTGGAGATTTTTCATACCAACAGTCTGGCCAAGTATCTACAAGCTGTTGAAGAGCTGAAGCATCATGCTCCAAGTGATGCGAAGTTGCGCCTAGAAGAGCAGTGTCGAGTCGCATGTGCCAAGTGGGAGGTGAGGGCAGCATGGACCTTGGGCTTGTGGCTCCAGTGCTGGGCCTGCAGTCCTTGGAGCCATTCCAGTCTTCCTCTGTCTACTCCATGATGTAGTTAGAGGTGCCGGTTCCCAGGCTCAGCCTTAACTGGTGCCTGCCTCAACCAGGGATAAAGCTTTATAGACCTGAGGGCAACTGGAGGAAGAAGAGGAGAGCCTGAATGTGCACAGCCTTTCCCCCCATTCATGAGTAATTCACTAAACAACACAGCATAGCAGCTGTTTGTATAGCATTTATATTATGTTAAATTATATGTAATCTAGAGATGACTTGCAGTTTAATAGAGGTTGTGAGGTAATATGCAAATACTATGCCGCTTAATCATAAGGGACTTGGATTTTAGTATCCCCAGCAAGGAGTGGGTTCTGGATCATGGAATGTCTATGTAACTGAATAAACCTCTTTTAATGATTTTTCCTGAAAATTTATTTTTGGTTTGTAGCCTTGGCTGGCCTGGCATTCACTCTGTAGACCAGGCAAGCCTTGAACTTGCAGAGATCTTTCTGCCTCTGTTTTCTGAGTGCTGGCACTAAAGGTGTGTGTCACCAATAAGGTATTTTTTTTTAGACAGGCTTCTAGTTTAGAGCAGTTTTCACTTCAAGGAGTCATGGTAGAAATAGTTTAGAGAGTTCTAGTGTAGGGATTTCTTTGTCCCAGCGAGTGAGCCAGAAGAAGGTGACCTATTCACTAAAGCCTGAGCTTCCTCAGATTCAATGCTTTCTGTCCTCTTCAGGACCCCGTCCAGGACATGTACATCTGTCTGTTATGTCTCCTTATCCTCAGATATGTCTTTTAAATGTATTTCCCCCAAGTCTGTAGCATCTCTTATTTCCCCAACAGCATCTTTCACAGTTTAAACATTTTTAGTTGTTACAAAGAAAAAAAAATAGGGTTATGGATCTGGGGTGATGGATGAATGAGCACGTTGGGCAAGCTTTGTTTCCTTTTGTTTCTATGGCCATTTGTTGTAACTAGAAAGAGAGTTCAGTTTGTTGTCTTCTGAGGATTAAAACACTCCTTTGTTGTTTGCAGCCTCTCCATCATGAAATTTCTTTGTATAAACAACAACTGAAGATAGCCATGAAAGAAGGAAAGCTTAGAGACAATATTGCAAGACTTGAAAAGCAAATAAATAAAGAGAAGAAGCTTCTCCGCCGAGGGAAGACCAGGGGCCTCATCCAGGAGCACGAGGTAAAGTCGCCTCATGCCCATTGCTGTCTATCGTGGTCGCTGGGTAGCCACGGTGTAGGTTCATGGCCTAGGAGTGGCTGTGCTGTGGAGATCATTTTAGCCTGCTCATTTCCGTGGACCAATGAGTGTGTGGTCTGGGCTCTAACCTGACTGTGTGGTTTTTACCCATTTGAAGTGAGGAACCCCAGCCACCGTTCTTGTCTCATCTGTCATTCATGATGGCTGGGGACCCTCTGTCCCTGAAGCTGGTCATAACTGTCTCAACCATTGCTGTAGTACAGACGGTTTTTGTCAGGAATGGGGTCCTTGAAAGTAGAGCTTGGTGAAAATAAACCATTGAGTCCTAGAGGAACTTGGGGGCCATGCTGATGATCATGTTTTAGTCTCCAGCCTCTCTGATTGGATTGCCCATAGTGCTGAGTCCTCTTTTCTTTTTAACTGTCAACCTCTGTGACTCTCACAGTGTTATTCTTCCATGCACAGATGTATAGAAACCTATATATGATGATTATGTAACATGACATATACATACATAGGTTGAAAGGGAGCTATAATTTTACTATATTTACAATTTCCCCATTTTCCTCTTTTCCTGAATGTTTCAGTTTTTGGAAGGGATCGTCTATATTTTTCACTACTTTCATCCATCCATCTGAAGTATGCATCTGTTTATGTGCCTATGTTTCTCCCTAGCAGGCTTCCCCTGATTGGTAGGCATCACAAATGTCCTTCAGGGGCCTCAGGTTCTTCTAGAATGGAACCAGTAACCTCACCTCTCAAACTTTGCTCCCTCCTCTCCTTGCATCTTGGTTATGAATGGCTTTGGCTTTGCTGTCTCAGCAATCTTCACACACACACACACACACACACACACACACACATACACACACACACACCACTCACACACCCGCACTTCACTGTAGCCTCAGCTACTGAGCAGCTTAGTTCTGTTAGTCCAGCCACTTCTCTTCCATCCATCATGTTGCCCCTCCCTTATTTTGTTAGGAAGAAAATGGCTTCATCATCTTTCACCATAACAGTTTACTGTTTTGGGGTTGGGGACAGTGCTGGCGATTGAAATCAGAGGCATTATGCACATAAGACGGTCACTCTGCCAATGCAGCGATGTCCCCAGTCCCTAAAACTAGCCTGCGAAGCACAGATCCCATTTTATTGAGCCTCAGTGGTAGATCTCGCTCCTCTCCAAGGACAGCCCCAATCTCTTTAGAAGGCTCCAGGACGTGTCTCTCTCTTAGGCTGAGGACTCTAATGGCAGCAGTGGGCCTGTGCTCTGAGAACATTTACTACCTGTCATCTTCCGTCACTGGTGGATATGACTTCTCTGTGATGGCTTTGTGTTGATTGTCACCTTGACAGAAGCCGAGTTAGCTGGGAGATGGGTTTCTGGGCATGTCCGTCGGGGGTCATCTTGACTCGCAGGGGATCCCAGACTATTAAGTGAAGGGAGTGAGCTGAGTGCTAGCTTGCACCCATCCTTCTGTTTCCTGATTGTGGGAGCCCTGTGAGCACCTGCTTCCAGCTCCTCCTTCCTGACTTTCCTGCTGTGACAGACTGTGCTTGGAACCCCGAAATGAACTAAACCCTTCCTCCCCGAGTTCCTCTCATCAGGGTGTTTGACTATATCCACAGGAAGAGAATCTAAGCCAGTCCTCCAGTCACCCTTAGAGCTACTGGTCCCTCTCACATCCAGCTCAGACGGCTCCCTCTGTGAAGTGCGAAGGTGGAGGTGTGCTCATGGCATCATAATGTTACAGACCATTAATTTTCATGTCAGTTACTGAACTGGGACTCTTAGGATTGACTCCCATCTCACTATACTCAACTCAGAGCACACTGTCAGAGTCACACACATACACAAGACACAGACACAGACACAGACACACACACACACACACACACACACACACACCCCTGGAGTTTCTGATCCTCAGCTGAAGTCCAGATTGTGCTTTCTTCTCTCCGGTAGGCTTGCTTTTCTCCGGAAAGTGTTGTGTGCCAGCTAGAACACCACATGGGTGTCTTGAGGGTGCTGTGCGAAGAGCTGACTTCACCAGAGAGTCAACAGGAACTAAGGAGAGCACTTGGAGATTACGAAAAAAAGATAGAGAGACTTGTGAAGAGTGCTTCCGAGATTCACGCCACCCTGCAGTCCTCCCAGGCAGGCGCGCTGAAGGAGAGGTTCGTACCTTATAAGAAGAGTGATGCCTCTGAGCAAAGCCAGAAGAAGCCTTTGCACAATCAAATGACATTAAATATACTTCATGCTTTCTAAGGTCCATATTGCCCCCCCCACTCTATTTTAATATGCAATCACGATTCCTTCCTAGGGGTGCCTTGACCACAACTGAGAACGGCAGCAGGGATGCCCACCACGAGGCACCAATTGAGACACCAGAGAACCAGCTGTCAACTGAAAAGGTGTTAAATGTGGGTGATATATTTCAAAAATAAACTCAATGTAGAAGGTTAAGTGTATCCAGTTCTCATGAGGGCTGGCTTAATTATCTGATTGTTTTCATCAACTAAGATTTCCTACTTTACAAAATACAAGGAAGGCCACTCCTCAGAGTTAGAATGATGCCAGTCGCAACTTCAGTGTGCTTAGCAATCTTCCGAGAGTACCAACAGTTGCCCCACACAAATTCTGAAAACAAAATGTGTCTGCTGCTGTTGAGGTTGGATGAAGCTAACCGTGGTCTTCCCATGGAACCCCATGTTGCTGTGATGAACGGGGTCATTTGCCTTCTCAGTAGAATGTGTCTTGTCTCCCTTGGGAACCGAATTTGTAAAATTGTTGAAGGTAGAGAAACTGGCATTTACTATATGGCGCAGTGCAGAGTGCCAGGCAGCAGGTGTTGGGAAGGAATGACCAATGCCCGTTTTCAGGGCTGTTGCTTTTGACTGAGCCATAAGGTCTGAAGCAGAGTCAGCATCGGGAGCCTGGCTTTACCAGTTAGAAGGCCACAGTCATCCTAGTCAGTGTCCTCTGACCCGTGAGAAGGTTTTGCTGTGAGCGGGGACATCTCAGGGACTCATATTCTCTCCTGATTTTGATATAAAGAACCAACAGCACGTCTCCGAGCATTACGTTCTCCTGACATGTGAATGGGTTTAAGGTGTTGTCTTTACTCTTTTGCGCATTTGCTTAGGCAATGGACCCCGTTCAGAATTTTAGCCAGACACCAGAATTAAAGCCTCAGCAGGATGGAAGTGCTGTGGAGAAGGAAGGAAAGGATTGCAGCGCACTAAGTGACTTATGGGAGAGGTAACTTCTTTTTAAGCAGTGGGATCCTTTGAAGCTCTTTGACCAGTGTTGTGTAGTTTACACACACACACACAGATACACACACACACACACACACACACACACACACACACACACACGTATATGTATATATACATGTAGTTATTTGTGTGTGTATTCTCCCACTACAGGTTGTGGGTATTCAACTCGTGTCAATTGTGCTTGGTGACAGGCACCTTTAACCACTAAGCTATTTTACCATTTAGCTTTTATTAGTTATTTCAAAGTTTATTTGACATTAAGCTTTTTAACACTTACTCATTCATTTGTGATGTGGGTGTGTGAGTAGGTCCAAGTGTGTGGAAACAGAGAACAGTTTATAGGAGTCCTTCGATCCACCATGTGGGTCCTGGGGATGAAAATGAAGTTACCAGGCTTGGCCACAGGTGCCTTTGCTCACTGAGCCATTTTACCCACCCACGTTATGTGTGTTTAAAACTTGTATTGTTCTTCCGTTGCAATTTTGGCATGTGGTCCTAATTTAAGCAGAAATTCATTGGGTATTTCTGTATGCACAATTGGTAGTACTTTTAAAATATCTTTGTCTTATTTTAAAATTAATGTTTTGGATTTATTTAAATGTTTGGTTTGCAAGCAAGTGGGTTTCACTGTCTTTTTTTTTTTTTTAATATACAGCGTATGTATGTATCTCATTATACTCTGCCCAGCTCCACTGCCCCTCCCCCATACTAAGCAGTGTTGCACTTAATTTTCCTCCAGGTATGATACACGGAGAGAGATTCTTGAACAGCACCTGCAAGACAACAAATCCAGGCTCGAGTCTGACTTTCCTAGTGATCGTGATAGGAGCAGTGCTTGCCTGCAGGGTAAGCTGGCTGATCTGCAGGTAATTTCTGAAAATATTATCAAGAGCATCTGCTGCTCTTCTACAGGACGGAGGTTCAGTTCCCAGCATCCATGTCAGGCAGCTCATTACCTTCTGTAATCCCTGCTCCAAGTGATCTGATCTTGCTCTCAGAATTCTGACTTTTTGTCTTACACAGCACCTCTCTCTCTCTCACACACACACACTCTCTCTTTAAAAGAAAAAAAACCAATAAAAGGAATTCAAATAGTACAGAAGCACACATGTTTAATTATAAGATATAAATTAGTTCCACTCACCTTCCTTTGACATGGTTTCACTCTGTAGACCAGGCTGGCCTTGACCTTACAGCTCAATCTGCCTCTGCCTTGTGAGTGTCGGAATTAAAGGTGTGTGCCACTGTTCCTGTCCTTTCATTGATTTCTTCTATCTAGAAACTTGGATCATTCCAAGGTTTCTTTGAGTTTAGACTGTAAAAATTTTCTGCTTAGAGAAAGTAGAGTACCTGTTATTTCATGCGTGTGCATGTTTGTGTGCATGTGTATGTGTGTGTGCATCTGTTTGTGTTTGTATATGTGCATGTTGGGGGTAGGTGTGTATGTATGTGTACACATGTGCTTGCCCATGCATGTGAAGTCCAGAGGCCAGCATCATGTGTCTTCCCTAACACTCTCCATGTTATCTTTTGAGTCGGGGTTTCTCACTAACCCTGGAGTTCCTAGAACACTCCTCCCTGAGTTTTTCTGTCTCCGCCTCCCAGTGCTGAGATGGCAGACATGTAGCCCGTACACAGCTTTTTACCTGAGTGGTGGGGATCCAAACTCAGTTCCTATGCTGTGTGGCAGGCATTTCACCAACCAAGCCATTTCTATAGCTCCTGTGTGCACATAGGACAGAACTCAGGTTGTCAGGCTTGGTGACAGCTAGCCCTATCTTGATCTTTCTTCCTGATCCCTGAATGTGTGTTAGATACCATTGTTCCCCATAGGATGGTTCATTTGTGGATGGTTGACAGATATTACAAACACATTTTCATGTGGAACATTGTGTTTTGTTTGAGTGGGTGTCTCATTTTGTGAGCCTTTGACGGGTGACTTGACACACTGACTCATCGTTTCACGTAGGTCTTAAGGGCGGACACTGAGACTTGCTGGGATGACTTTGAAGTCACATCTCTGAATTTAGAAAGTCTGGTGAGCGACACGGAGAAGCCTGCACTGGCCCAGGCCAGACATTTACTAAAGGAAAAAGAACACGCATTTCAGAGGCGTCTGAACCCCAGGTACATCTCAGATTTGCTAACCCCAGACTGATGCGTTGTTAAGTGTGTGAGTCATCTTCAGCAATGTCACTAGACTATAAAATTTCAGGTAGTTGTCACAACTCAACAAGAAGATTGTCCTGTTTACTTTGTGAGGGAAAAGGTTGGTTTTGGCCCAATCTTCAGAGGCTGCAGACCCTGGGTGCCTGGTTCTGTTGTTTGGGGCCATGGCTGTAGAGAAGGTCATGGTGGGTGTGCATGGCAGAGATACCTGCTCTGGCCAGCATCTGAGAGCAGATAGAAAGAGAAAGGGGCTGGAGTCCCCCATCCCCTTCAGGGTCATTTCCAGTGACCCCCACTGATCTAACTTCCTCCCACTAGGTCCCATGTACTAATAATGGTTTTTCCCACCATGACCCGGTTTGCACCAAGCCAAGGCCAAGTTGCTAACACCTGGGTCTTTGATTACCAATAAGGAAGCAGATACCAAAGGAGGTTATGTAATCCAGCTAGAGGCTCAGGAGGAACCTGAGGTCTTTCTAGCTTCAAAGGCTAGATATGGACTTCTCTGAGTTGCAACCTTCCGGGGCATTGGCTTCTTCATTTCTAAAATGGTAGTGGTGTTATTGTCCTACATAGAACCCAAGAGTGTGGGGGCTGGGAAGACTGCTCAGCTGCTAGACTGGCTACTCATCTAGAGGACCCGATTCTATTTCCAATACCTACATGGCAGCTTACAGCTTTGTGGAACTCAAGTTCCAAGGAACCCAACACCCTCTCCTGGATTCAGTGGGTACCAGAAATGTGCATGTCGCACATACATACTTGTAGACAAATCACCAATAAATAAATAAATAAATAAATAAATAAATGAATAAATAAGGTTGGGGTATGTGTTCCCAGGACATATCCCCCATCTTACAACGGCAGCAGCCAAGACTCCGTGTGTTACACATAGTGATGTTTTAAATTATTATCAGTTGGAGCCTATTTGTTGGACCCCATTTGTTTCCATACCTTTGAAAAGCAATTATACTTGTAATAAGAACATGTGACAATTCCACAGTTACAATAGAATAATTTGAGGTTTATTAGTCCCTACGTCCAAGTTAAATTTCATTTCTATTCTTGTATTTCAAAGAAGAAAGTTTTATGTTTTCAAAATGTTTAGTATGCTTAAACAACAATTTTCCATTCTGTGTGGCGTCTATTAAGCTATATGGAATGTTTAGGTGCTGAAACTTGTTGAAGAGTAGGGGAGGAATGGTGATTCGTGACATCGGAGAGGCCCAGGTGGTAGAGAACTAAGTGATACACACAGCCTCGCTTCCTGCCCTAAGCACCATGTAGTGGATGGGATACTGCACACCTGTAACTCTAGGGTTTGGGATTAGAAGTTTAAAGTCACCCTGGCTACACAGCAAGCTCAAGGCCAACCTGGGCTACATAAGACCCTGTCACTACAGAAGCAAGTTGGAGCTGTCCCAGGCCACCGGGATGATAGTCAACCCAGGTGTCTCACTAAATAAATGTTTGAATGAAGGAATGGTGTGTTTGTTTGTGTACTTGGATACATTTTCTGACATTTTATTTTAAATTTTGATTTATCTTTATTTTAGCACTGAGGATAAAATGCAGAGCTTCATGGTTGCTGGACAGGCAATTTACCACTGAGCCATCCCTGCCTGACATTTTTGCACTTTGGACCTGTGGGTTTGGGTTTTAATGTGATGGCAATACACACACATACACACACACACACACACACACACACACACACACACACACACACACACACACACACACACACATACATATCTGGGTAACCATTTCCTTCTTTTGACTAAATAACAGTATTAGCATGTTTTTGTAGGATAGCCTTTTACTGTCTTCCCATCGTGTCTGGTTTGTTTTACCCCCCAGAATGGAGTCACTGGAGATGGCCCTGCAGATTGCATTGCCCCTGGAGAAGGAGTGTGCTCTCCTTTGTGGACCCCGCCTGCCCTTCTGTACAGTGGCTGTCCAGGACCTGCATCCTGTGGAGGTCGATGGCATCCATCAGAACCTACGGGTGAATACATTCTCAGAGTGTATTTACAAGATCTTCAGTTCCTTAGAGATGCTCAAAGATTAACTTTTTTTTTTTAAATCATAGAGAGATTTAGAGCATAAGTCATGCTATAAATACTTTAATAATTTATATTTGTTATTCATCTTATTTCTTCTATTCCTTGAAGTTTAGAGGTAGGTACCAAGGAGTAAGTAAAGGGATGTTTTCTTTGAATTCAGAATAAAGCCTTTCTTGGAAATGTCTTCAGTGGCTAAATTTCTAAACACTGAAGCTGGCATATTCTTCACTTTACTTATTCCTGATCCCATTTTAAGTACTTCTGCGACGATAGACAGGTCACTTCACTGTTGGTCTGTTACTATGTTCTTTGAAGCAGTAGATCTAAGCATCTGTTTTCTTGGGGAACTCAAGCATGAGGAAGGTGTTAGATAAAGAAAGAGTTGGCATTGGCTCATTCGCCATTGAAATGTTTCCTGATTCTAAGACATTCGGCTTTGGTTAAACTCAGGAACATTTTTGTAGATCAAATCTAGTCATCGCTTTGTTTTGTCTTAGTTTTTGCCCTCTCTTTGTGTGTGCACGGGGGAGGGGGGGTTGTGCAGAGACAGATACAGACAAAGAAACAGAGACAGAAAGACAGAGATGAGAGAGGGGGGGAACCAGAGAAAGAGAGAGAGAGAGCGTGCGCATGCACACAGTGAGTGCACACACACAGGTACTCATGCATGTTTATGGTGCATGAGATTCAGTCCAGGGCTTCCCTTTCTCTTTTCATTGTTTTTGCTTTGTTTTACTTCTTAACTTTAGGATATCCGAGATTCCATAGCACAGCAGATGAGAATATGTGCCAATTTAGAGGAGCCGAGTGACTCTGTACCAAGGGACTTACACACACTAGATCAGTGTGCAATCCAGGATATTGTGTTGAAATGCAGACTCCAGTTGGAGACCATGAACCAGAAGGTGGAGATGAGTGAAGCTGGCCTGGAGGCTCTGGAAGACTTTTTGGCTTCTCTGAGAGCAGTGAAGCTCTCTGCTGAGCACTCTGCAGACCCGCCTACCTCCAGTGCACTGGAGGGTACTCCAGCAGTGAGAACTGTTGAGCAAGACATTCTCCTGGTGACAGAGAAGGCCGGACCTTTGGATGAACGCTTGAGGATGCTCGGCATAAACGTTAAAGATGCCAAGGGAGGGGAGAATACCACCTGTGAGAAACTTCTTGGTGCTTTGTCAGTAAAGTTCCCAGACTCGCATGGTCAGAGTAAACAGGAAGGACTCACCAAGGACAAGACATTATTGGATGCCTGTAGTTCCAAAAATCATGAGCTCTTTAAAAATATTCAAGACATTCAGAATCAGATCAGTAAAATTGGTCTTAAGGACCCCACTGCACCAGCTGTGAAGCATCGGTAAGAACCGTGTCACCCAGTGACACTTGATGCATTTTCAAGCACTTCTGGGTCTTTCTGTGTCATCACTCTCACTATTCAGTGTTCTGCATTCCTTCAACAGATTGTTGACAAAAATTTACTTATTGATAAAGATCCTCTACAAAATGTTCATGCCCCTCTTCCCCCAGTGTGTCCTTCCTGCTGCACATGGGAGAAGCCGAGTGAGACATGGGTGAAGGACATGAGTTACTTTCTTGGTCCTTCATTCTCCTCTGTTTGCATTGTGGCATTCCCTTAAGGGTGAAAACCTAGCAGGTCCCAGGAAGTTATATATGCCTCAGTCGCTCATCTCAGTTATCTTGTGATAACATACTGACAAAGGGGAACCCACAGATATTGGCTCACGTTCGGGAGTTAAGTAGGTCATGGCTGGAAATACTTGCCTTGGCTGCTCAAGGCAGCTGCTAACTGTAATCAGGAAGCAGAGAGCCACAGATATCATTGTTTGAGTCACTTTCTTCTTGATTCAGTACAGGAACCCCAGACCATGAAATGATGCTGCCCACAATTAGTGTGGCTCTTCACTCCTCAGTTGCTCTAGTCTAGACCAATGTAGTGTGAAGGAATTCTTGGTCCTTTCTAGTTGACAGTGTCAGCCATTACAAAATGAAAGGAAGCATGACCAAAGGCCACGTGCCATCACATGTCCTTGCACTTCCTTAGTTCCTTGGTGGTCTCTTGCTCTCCCCAGGGGCTTAGAATAGCACTGAGTTTAAAGAGGCCTTATGGGAACTGAGTGAGGTTGGTGACATACAAGCCATTTTTATTTCAGCATTCAGAATATGGCTGCCCGATCAATTGTGAACACTGAGGCATTAGTACGAGTTACTCTTGTGGAACCTTTCTCTTCTTAATAAATAGTCCAATCACACTCTATCATTTTAGCTTCTCTCACTTGATGGCCTCTTCAGAGTTTTTTTTTTTTTTTTTTTTTTTTTGTTTTGTTTTTTTAGCTCACCCACTTCCCTTAATATAAATAAGCTCCTCCCTCCAAATTTCCCCCTCAGGCCCAATGAGACTTTCATCCCTACAGTGCTTCAGTATATAATGAGGTATTGCAATAATCATTTGTGTAGTTATCAATTCAATACACTTTAGTTATATGTTTGCCAAAAGTAATATATGAGTTAAAAGCCATATATAAATGACAGTTGTGTATTCATGTAGCTATGAATAGAACAAATAGATATTCCATGCCACATAGTTTAGGTATTGGGAATACTGCACTTACAAAATAGGCTGAACGTTCTAGACTCTTTTAGAGCTTACGACTAAACCTAAGTAGACAAAGCTGAGTAGGGAAGGAGGAAGAGAAAGGGTGGGTGCTCACTGTGAACAGAATATGTGCATCAATTACAACACAAGAGCAAACCTTGTGACTACCTGGGGAAGAGCCGTCCAGGCTGAGGGGTCCATAGTAGAAATCCAGGTATGAATGGGAAGAGAGGTAAGGATGTGAGACGGTACAGCACTAGGGGAGGGGAAGGGACTTGGGATGTCGTGGATGGGATGGGGCTTAACTCATATGGGGTTATGTTGTGACTTTCTTTGGCTTTCTCTTTGAGTGACCTGGATGTCATTAGAGGGTTAAGCAGCAGGAAATGATGTGGTTTAAACAGTAACTAGCTTTCTATGGCTGATATACCAAAAATAGACTCTGGGAGCCTAGGAGATGCTACCCATGTAAGGGAGGGATGATGGTATCATGGACCAGTGGTGAGGCAGAAAATGTTTAGATGCTATATAATCTCCAAGACTTGATCTGAGAAGCTAAAAGAATGGATTTACCATTAATGCGTGAGAAAGACTGACATTTTCCAGCTACCGAATGGCAGATCAGGTGTGCGTCCTTTTAGAAACAGGTATGAAGTACCCATTTGACCTTCTAATAGCCATCTCAACATGGCTCAAAGATGAGTAACGTCAGGAGAAAGGTCTGAGCTAGAGACGCACATTGGAGTCTTCAGTTGCTGTTTAACGTCATGAGGTTGACTGAAGAGTTTAGATGGCACGAGAAGAGGTCCACGCTGTACCTGCAAGGGCACTCTGTGTTAAGAGATCGGGGCAATAAGAAGAGCCAGCTGAAGATAGGGGACTCACGAGGATCAAGAGTGTGCTGGGAGCCTTACCCAGGAGGACGTGACCATCTGTGTGACAGGCTCCTGGCCAGTGGAGGAGGATGAAGGCCTAGATGGAGCTGTCATTTCCCAGGGGAAGGGTGCTGGGAGTCTCAGCTGCAGTTTGGGTGAATGAGTAAGGAGTGAAAGCTGCGAGCAATTGCAGTTCACGCTCATGCGATGGAGTTCTTTCTCCAGGGTTGGCTTTCAGGATAAACCCTTAGTGAAATAGTTCCTTTATGAATTGAGAGAGCTTTTTTTTTTTTTTTTTTTTTGTACACAAAGTGCATGATGTCCAATGTTTCCTCCTTGGTGCCCCACCCTTTCTTAGAGGCCTTGCCTTGTCTATTCATATCATGTGTTCATCACATGCACACACACGTTCTCTTTGTGTTTCCTCTCATATGCATGTACATACATATGTTCACCAAAAGAGAAAGTGTTATTGCTTATGGCTTTGTATATTTAATTAAAATGCCATTATTTTGGTAATGCGAGGAGCCCTCTGTTCTCTGTAATGCAGGAATAAATTCCTGTACTACTTATTCAGGATTTCCTTTGTAGTAGGAATATTTAATTTTGCCATTAATCTCATGGTGACAGAGAAATCACGTTCCTGCTTTTCCCATGGTTTTGTTGAATCAACTTGGTTGACAATTGACTAATAATTTTTTTTAAAAATTCCAATCTCAAGGAAAAAGTCATTACTCAGGCTAGATAAAGACCTCGATGGATTAGAGGAGGAGAAGATGCGTATACAAAAAATGGCTAATTCTCTCCCGAGATTCAAAGATGGCAAAGAGAAAATGGTGATTCAGCAGTGTGAAGACACAGCAGCCTTGTGGGACAGTACGAAAACTTCTCTCGCAGAGTGGTAAGGGAAACATTGCTTCTGAGTCTGAAAATGTGTACCTGGCATTCTGAAGGGTTTGTACTGGAAACGTGTCCCTGGACTTAGAGATGGGCAAACACAGGGCTTTATGCTGGAACTCACAGGCCAACATCTGTCACATGGAGCTCTGGCACCTCCTGACAGTGCCCACCGTTATGGCTGGGGCCACTTCCCTCCCTGTCTCATCAGGAAGCACATGACCTGTTTGCTGTGGGAACCCCTGAGCCACCATGTCCCTTCCCTTAAATCTTCCGACTGCTATGGTCTTTGAGCATGCCCTGTATTCAGATGGAACCTGTGTATAGGAAACCATGATAAAGCCCATCCATGGCATATGATCTAGTTTAATTTCATAGATCATAATGCCTTCTTTATAGCCCTAGGACCAATATAATACCGATTTATATTGGACCCAACTACCATGTTCACCAAACTGTTTTTCTTTCTGAAAAGGGCAGAGCTGAGAATGAGTGGAATACATAGTCCCATAAGTGGGTTGTGCAATAATTTGATTTAAAATAATCTCAGGTAATGTTATTGCAGTGCTGTCATTGCATTGGGTCTGGTGGTTGCTGAGACGAAATGCTAGTTCTGTCTGTCAAGGTGCAAATCCTGTAATCTTACATGTGTTACCATGTAATCTTATATATCTCCCCAGAGCTTGCATGTGTCGACATGTAATCCTGTATATCTCCCCAGAGCTTACATGTGTCGATATGTTAACATAATCAGAAGGTTGGAATCCGGTGGTTATTTGCTTATGCACTATTTGCTATGGCGTCATTATTGGTAATATAATCAAGCCCTGTGGAGCAGGAAAGTCCTCTGTGACTCGTGAGTTGTCATAGCACACACACACACACACACACACACACACACACACACACACACACACACACACGGCATTATTTTCAGGCTGTTTTCCCTCCTTTTTTTCCTGCATAGCCTTGAACAGTGTGGGAGTGTCCTGGAGATGTTAAAACAATATCAGAATTTTAAAAACAACTTGACAGCTTTGATTCAAAAAGAAGAGGCTATCATCTCCCAGCAGGCTTCCTACATGGGAAGGGACAACCTGAAAAAGAAGGTAGCAGAGGTGAGTCTACCTTCCGAGAACGCCGTCCTGCATGGCGACTTGGCTGATGGGCCCGAGAGGAACAAGACTATGATACGTCATCGTTGGAGCTTGCTTTAAAATAACTTAGTAGTGACTGTTCCACTAGGTATTGAGGAATTTATCCAATTTATCACCAAAGCTAAGAAGAAATCAGTTTCAAGTAGGTAGCAGGTCACTTCTATTTGGGCTTTAGTACTGGGGCTGTGGCTCCGTTCAGAGCCTGGAATCACCCGCTGCTCCCCTATAGGACTGCCAAGAGCTCTTGCCCCAGCCAGGGCTTTCACTGAAAAGAAGTCTGGGCTCTCATGCAGGCAGGAAAGATGACGATTATGGAAAACCCCTCTGTTGCAAGCAGACAAGGAGGGCATTACAATTCCCGTATTTTCTGCAAAGACGTGCCAGCCACATCCCCCAGTCGCCCATCTGTGTTGATAGCATCACTAATCCCAGCTCCATATGCTAAGGAGAAAAACAACTTTTGGACACTAGATGTCATTATTTTCTATGAATTTACATGGTTAGAAAGAAGTACACTGTACTAGTTACTCTGACTGTGCCTTTCCCAGTGGCTCATGAGCTTCAAGCTACAGGGCTGCCAAGCTGTCACAAGTATGTGTGACATGTAGTCTTCTTGATGTATTTGATTATTAGAAAGTAGTTTTATTAAACTATTTTTATATAGATTTTAATTAATTAGTTTTATGCAGAGGGCGTTTTGCCTCCATTTGAGTCTGTGCAACAATTTTATACCTAGTGGGTGCAGAGCAGTGGTTCTCAACCTGTGGGTCGTGACCTCTGGGATCTAATGACCATTTCATAAGGGTCAAACAGCACAGATACTTACATTACAGATTATAACAGTAGCAAAATTATACTTATATTTGATGGCTGGGGTCCACCATAGTATATGGAACTGTATTAAAGGGTCACAGTGTTAGGAAGGTTGAAAACTACTGCTGTAGAGGCTGGAAGAGGATGTTAAATCCCCTGGACCTGATGTTACAGGCAGCTGTGAGCCACTCTGTGGGTGCTGAGGGTCTAACCAGAGTCCTCCAAAAGAACCATCTCTCTAACCCCCTAAATTTCTTTATTTCTTCAGTGCAACTCAATGGAAATATATATCAGCCAAATTAGTTTTTTGAATTTTTATTTATTCTAAAATTGTAAAGATTTATTTATTTTATATGTATAGGTGTTTTGTCTCGTGGTATGTATGTGTACCACATGCATGCCTGGTGCCCAAAGAGGTCAGAAGAAGACAACGTTGGATCCCCTGGAACTGGATGGTTGTGAGCCAGCATGTGGACGCTGGGAACTGAACCTGGGTCCTCTGCAAGAGCAGCCACTCATTTCTATAGCCCCAGCCAACCAGATTTTTTTGGGCAACTTAGTCTTAGAATTACCAGCTCCCATGCCCCAGGGATACTGAGATCCTCAGGGAGAGCCTTTGTCTGAGACCCACTCGTCAGGCTGTTCCCCAGAGCTGTCCAATCTAATGGAGCCTTGTTGGGACGTTGGTTGTGTGATGTTGACCATGTGGCTGATTTCCTATCAGCCTTAATTGAAGGAGGTCACCAAGATTGGGAGCAGTTTTCCCAGTTCTGTCCAGCAGAGGAAGCTCTGACCTTCACTGGCCTCCACACCTATAAGAATCCCACTCCAATCTCGAGTGGACTGAAGGAGCCTGGAATCCTTGGTTCCTGGAGAATACAGCACATGCAGCCTCACAATCTTCTTGGACTTGAGTTCCAGTTCATGGTCCCTTGTGGTTTTCTTACACTAGTCTTTAAAATGGGAATTCCAGGGACTGGAGACATGGCTCAGAGATTAAGAGCAGTGGTTGCTCTTCCAGAGGTCCTGAGTTCAATCCCCAGCAACCATGTTGGCTCACAACCATCTATAATGAGATCTGATGCCCTCTTCTGGCATGCAGACATACATGCAGGCAGAACATAATACATAATAAATAAATAAATAAATCTCAATAAAAAAATCTAAATGACTGTCCTTTGGATAAACAGAACATTTCTACTTGAACTGTGGTCTCTTTTTTTGTTTTACATTTATTTATCTAGAGAGCACATGGATGTTGCAGAGCACACGTGATGGAAAACTTGTGGGAGGGGAAGTCATTTGTCCTTTCCCCTTGGGGTCCTGGGGGTCAGATGTAAGGCTGTGAGGCTTGGCAGCAAAATTTTGCCTTACTAATCCATCATCTTGTTGGCCCTTGTGATCATTTTTTTTGTTGAATAATAAAAAGTAGAATTGTTATTATAGTTGCCTGTTTATATATGTATGTTTTGAATATGTCAAAATGTATTTTTTTGCTTTTTTTTTCAGATTGAAACTGTCAAAGAAGAATTCAATGAACATTTAGAAGTTGTAGACAAGATAAATCAGATTTGTAAAAATCTACAATATCATCTAAATAAAATGAAAACCTTTGAAGAGCCCCCTTTTGAAAAAGAGGCTAATGCTATTGTGGACAGATGGCTGGATGTATGTGATAAGTTAACCAACTAAAAATTCTGTTTCATGACAAATTGATACTTGAGAGAGTATCTTTAGTATTCTTGTGACATTGAAAACTTAAGCTGTCATTCTTTGTTTAAAAAGGAGTATATTATTTATAACTTAGGAATTAATTTCATCTTAAAGTTAGACATTACTAACAAATAGAATTTCAATCTCCCAGATATTGTGTGTGTATACACACCCACGGGCACGTGTGTGTGCATGCATGCAAGCGTGTGTTTGTGCATGCCTCCCGACCTGTCTGCCACGTGCGGTGGTGTACACATATAATTGAAGCACTTGGGAGGTAGTGACAAAAAAAAAAGAAAAATCAGAAATTGAAGGCTAGCCTGAGCTGTGTGAATCTGTCTCAAAAAATAAAAATAGCCAGGCACGGTGGGTGGTATATCCTGTTAATAGAAGCACTTGGGTGGCAAAGGCATGCTGATCTCTGTGAGTTCGAGGCTAGTCTGGTCTACATAGAGTTGTAGGTCATTCAAGGCTTCATCATACTCAATGTATTGAAAATGAATTTGTCAACATGGTCTTCCATGCAGGATCTTGCTATTCAGCTGTATACTTGATGCATTTGTAGTTTAGTTTGCTATCTTTAAAAATGACAAAGTAAAAGTTTCCTGTATTTTCAGTTTAATTAATCAAATAATTTTGTTTGTTGAGACAAGGTCTTGCTATGTAGCCTAGGGTAGGTTTTAACTGACTATGGGCCAGGATGGCCTCAGACTTGCACTGGGACTCCTGCCTCAGTCTCCCCCAATGCCTGGATTAGAGCCATGGGCCACCATGCCCTTTTTTGAGACGGGGCCTCTTGTGGTACAGGCTGGCCTTGAACTCTTGAAGTGATCTTCCAGAGTTGCTCTGCTTTACATTTATGCTATAGCGGGTCAGCTGTGACTTTAAAGAGAGAGCAACATGATATATGAAAGTAATTTTTTTCCTTACGAATCAAACAAATTAGCTACTAAGGGCAGACTTAATTTTATTTCAAAACAAGAGAGTGAAACAGTGATCTGCACACCTGTGTTCATTGGTTTCGTTTCTACCTGACTGTAGATAAATGAGAAGACGGAAGAATACGGTGAAAATCTTGGGCGAGCACTGGCCTTGTGGGACAAACTTTTCAACTTAAAAACCAGCATCGACGAGTGGGCAGAGAAGATCCTTGGGAAGGTGGAGTCACATGAGCTGGCTGAGGAGGACAGAAAAAGGCTGGAGGTAACTCAACCCAGATAAGACAATAAGACAGGGGCTTTGTCTGCATGCCGCTGGTATCTTAATGTTGGGGCTGCTTCATTGCAGCAGAGCAGAAAATTCCAATGAAATAGCATATTTCTTTCTCTATCCCCTGAGAAGGCTCTGAACTCCATGGATGGCTTTGTGAAATCCAGGCAGATGTTTGCAGATTCACAGACACCCAAGGGCTGTGTGGACACAGTGACCTTGGGTCAGGAAAGATTATAACAAGAAGAGAGCTGGTTTTTAAACAGTGCTGATGTTTGGAAAGGACCTGAACTGCCTCTTTTAGTTGTGGGAAGAACTGTTTCTGCCTCTGGGTGAAGCTCAGAGGCAGAGTGCTTGGGGCTCTTGAGTTCGGCTTCTGACACCACAGTTAGGAATTCTTTCTAATTGCTTATTTGTTTATTGTCATTAATTTGTACAATGTCTGTCTAGATCGGAAAACACCTAAATACTGGCAGTTAAATGTGATTCAGTATAGTCTCAAAATATGTATATGTGTGTATCTAATGCTTCAAATCACATTGTCTCCCAAATTCTTGTATTTGTTTCAATTTTTAATGTATGTATTTTTTTTAACATGTTGGTAAAAGGTTTTAAAATGTGAGATTGATTTTATAGGATAGCATAAAATGAGGCCTCTCTAAGGGTCTTATAGATGTGTCCTAAATTATAGGTTATTTGAAAATGCAAAGTCAAGAATTATAAACAGCTAGCCTATGGGCCAGATTCCAAGCATGTGCTCATTCTGAATTTGTATAAGTCTGGCCAGGACACTGGCTATGCTTTTCAGCTGTGCACACAGCCTCAGGGTACAAGCCTTAATCTTGAAAGGAGACTGCTTCCTTTGGCTGTCATTTGCCTCATCCCTAAGGCACTTGAGTTTGTTACTTACCAGCAGGAAGTAGTTTGGAAAGAACAACGCCCAAATTCCCAAATATTGTCTATAAATGTTTGTTTTCATTTAAATGTACTTGGTTATATAAAAAAAAAAAAAAAAGATTAGGAGAAAAGCTACTTCAACTTCCTATACATCCACAATAATCATAGGTACTTGAAAGCAAGATGAAATAAAAGTATTTTTTCTTTAAAACAAAACAAAACTTCTGTTTTAGGAAGAGTTAAAAGTCCATGAAGAGCGAACTTCAGAATTTTCCAGAAGAATGACTGATATACAATTATTGCTTCAAAGTAATGAGAAACCACTTGAACTACAGGTATGGGAATTTTGATTCAAGCCGCAGTGGAAGATTCTCCATGCCTTCCCAAAACATAGTCCATACGTTCTGAATTGAAGTAGAAAATGAAATTAGACTGGTCGCTTCTTTACGTGCAATTAAAAATTTAAGGACCAGCATTGGCAGTCGTGCGGTCCACATTCAGCATATAATATTGTGCTCTTGAATCCTCTCCTCTCACTTTTTCTTGCAGGCCTGTTGTGAGGAGGAGAAATGAATGGTGACTATGTTCTCACATGAGGGGACAGTGGTCTCCTGTGTGCATGCAGGGAGGCGAATACGTCCTGAGTGGGTCTAGGGCCATTAACCGCTAGAGGCAGAAATTGCCTCAAGTGTGATTTTTCTGTTGTGTGAAGATATTTCTCTCAGTTACATTTGGATGAAGGGTCATAGTGTGTATACATGAGTTCTTGGGCAGGCTTTGTGGAAGGCATCTTGTAGTGTGGGCCATGTAGTGAGAGCAGATTTCAAAACAAAATAAGACTATTTAATGTTCTCTATACATTTTAATCTCATTTATGTATTTAGAAATATGTTTTCTCTCATGAGTGCCACAATAGTTCAGTTTGCTTGCTAGATACAATTTATTTGGGGAGAAGAATTCGAATTGCTGTCCTAGAAAATGTTGATTTCTGTGTATTTCCTTCTTCCCTCCCTCCTCCCTCCCTCCCTCCCTTCCTTTCTTTTTTTTCTCTGTTTTGTTTGTTTGTTTGTTTGCTTTTTTAAGATAGGGTATCTCCGTGTAGCAGCTAACCTGGAACTCACTCTGGGGACCAAGCTGGCCTTGAACTCAGGGACCCACCTCCCTCCAACTCCCTCATGTTGGGATTGAAGGCGTGCACCACCACACCCAGCCTTAGTTCTTGTTTCTTTTAAGGCAGTGATAAAGAATGATGTGATAAGAACATGTTTCACTGTGAGATGATGTGATGTCAGCTTGCTCTGTAATAAACAGTCGCCTGAGATCTGCTGAGATGGCTCCTTACTGCAGATGCCATGGGTTGTGATTTCAGGTCATGGAGTCCTCTGTCCTGAGCAAGATGAGAGATGTAAAAAGGTGTGTCACAGGAGAATCCAATAGCTACATGCCCAGTGGGAGCACAGCGGAGCTCAGAGAGGACCTGGACCAAGCCAAGACCCAGATGGGGATGACTGAGTCCCTCCTTAACGCCTTGTCTCCCTGCGACAGCCTGGAGATCTTCACAAAGCTTGAGGTATCACCCAGTTGCCCATCCCCTGTATTCAGGCCTATCCCTTTAAAATACATACACTTGGTGGTACTAGTGAGTAAACCTAGTTCATGTTGGCAAGTGGCCCCCCACCCCCACTACCACCACTGAGGTATCCTCCTCAGCCCTCTAACACCTTTAGTGATCTTGGCCTTCTATGGTTAGTGAAAATAGAGGGGGTGGGGCCGACTTCTAGGATGGAAGTGAGGGAGGGAGGCCAGCCAATGAGAAAGCTCAGCAAGTGTCCTAAGCCGGATGATCTGAGTTTAATCCACTGAACTCACATGACATTTCACATGGACACAATGGCACACATGTGTGTGACACACACACCAAATAGATAAATAAATGTAGAAAAGTAAACAGCATTGTACTATACATCAACTGTGAGATAGAAAGCAAGGTCACTCAATTGAAAATTGTTTGGACTTATAAAAAAAAAAATGAAAACCTCTGAAGCCTGGGAGGATGGCTCAGTTGTCAAAGTCCTTGCTGTGTAAGCAGAAAGACCTGAGTTCAAAACCCTAGCTAGCATCCAGGCTTTTGTTTTGTTTTGTTTTGTTTTTAAGCCAGCCATGGTAACCCTAGGGCATGGGGAGCAGAGATGAGGGAATCACTGGCCAGCTAACCTAGCCAGTCAGTGAGCTCTAAGTTCAGTGATCATAATAAAAACAATACTATGATAAGGTGATGAATAATACAGGAAGGTGTCTGAGGTTGACCTCTGACTTCTGTATACACTTTCACACATGCATACACAAGCACACACATGTACACACAGACACAGTGAAGCGCTCATGCGCTGTGGGTGAAGTGAGCCAGTGTTAGGATGCAATGCCCGTGGTTTATTCTGTGTGCAGGAAATCCAGCAGCAGATCCTCCAGCAGAAACACAGCATGACAGTCCTGGAGAATCAAATAGGGTGTCTCACTCCAGAGCTCTCTGAATTGAAAAGACAATATGCCAGTGTCAGCGATTTATTTAACACCAAAAAGAGTGCTCTGCAAGATCACTTTTCTACCCTCTTGAATGGTGAGTGTGATGTGTCTGGACCTTTGTTCTGGCAATATTGATATATGAATATGCTAATAGCACTGCAGGTCCGGAGGCTGATCTAAACTTAACTTGTAGATGGCTTGCATGCACTGCATTTAAAGGAATAATATTTTGATAAGTCCTTTTGTGGTAAACACTGTTAGTTTGTGGTATAAGTAATACCCATTTCTTCAAGCCTCAAATCTGTATTTCACAGTCACCAAGGTCACGTGGTCAGTGTGTATCTGAGGGTGTGCCTGTGAGCACACCTCGCAGGTGTCTCTGGATGTCCTGTGTTCTTGGAAAGGTGTTTGTTCCAAAAATACATCCTGTCGCTCTCTATGCTCAATTGGTTCTCAGCATTGGGGCTTCAGAACACATCATGGCTTTGCCCCCTGCTGTGGGGAGCAAGTTCCTAGTCTCTCATCTGTCAAGGTCTATGAAGTCCTGTTCAAATACATAGAACTTTTTCCTTTCTCCTACAGACCAGTGTAAGAACTTTAACGACTGGTTCAGCAACATCAAAATGAGCCTTCAGGACTGTTTTGAGCCACCAGAAACAAAACTGAGCATGGAACAAAAGCTGCAGAAACTTTCTGTAAGATACATATGCCAAAACTTACCAAGACTAAAATAATTTGAGAGAAGTCTCACAATATTGTTTGGGCTGATCCTGAGCCCTTGGGTTCAAGAATTCTTCCAGCCTTTCCTCTTTGAGTCCAATAGCTGGGCCTTCTGACTTTGTTTAGATGATACGTCATGTTCTTAAGCTTGTTGGTAGCTCCAGGTACTTCCCCCTAACCCCAGCCCTAGGGCTAGCAATACCCCTGGGTACTCAAGTTCTTTATATAAAATGGCAGAGTGTTTGCATAACCGAGTGAATGTTCTCCCCTGTGACTACTGCTGTTCTCTTTAGTGCATTGCTTGATAGGTTCCCCACCCCCTCCATTGATGTCCTGTGTACTTGGAAAGATGTTTGCACAAAAAATATACCATATTGCTCTCTGTATTTAATTGGTCATAAGCACCAGGTTTTAGAATTAACACTAAGGGGGTGAGAATCTGGGCAAAGATAAATGAAGAATAATCTGTTCAGTTTCACACATGGATTGCCAGACAGAGGACAAAGAAAGTATTTATAAGAAGTGAAGCGTCGCCAAGATAGGAGATCTTAGCTTTCCCCTTCTTGTTCCCATGTGTGCATTGTAGTGGTTTTTAGTGGTATTGCATTATTTTTGCTTGATGTAAGCCCCAGAAAGTCAGATGCAAATGCAGATGTACATATATTCTCTCCCTCCCTCCTTTCCCCCCCCTCTCTCTCTGTCTCTGTCTCTGTCTCTGTCTCTCTCTCTCTCTCTCTCTCACACACACACACACACACACACACACACACACACACACACACACACACACGAGCTATTGAGGATGATCACTGGAGTCAGCCACATCTTCCTAGCCCTTTTGGAGAGGATATTAGGAAGAAGCCATGCATTGGTACAGGTTTGCAAAAGTACCAGGGGGTTGGCAGACACATTTTCACTTCACAGTAGATGAAATTGACTTCTTGTTTTTCTTAAGGATTTCTTGACTCTTGGAGGAGGGAATAGTAAAATACAGCAGGTACAGACTGTTCTGCAGCACGTGAAGATGCTCCTACCCAAAGCTCATGTCAAAGAGCTTAACAGCTGGCTTGGCAGCCAAGAACTGGAATTACAAAACATGGAGTCCTCATGCCAGGCCCGAGCTGGGGAACTGAATGACTCCCTGCAGCAGCTCCAGAGGTGAGAAATAAATACATCTCCTGAGGATGTTTTGGTAGTGACTTCTAGTTCACTCTGTACAGCATATGCTGGGATATTGAGGGCAGACACATTTCCCGAGTGAAGTAGGTACAGTTGTTCCTCAATGTCTTTCAGACACTGGTTCTCAGGATCCCTGTGGGTAAATTGTGTGGTATTTGCAGTAGTTAATGCACATTCTTCCATATAGTTTATTTAAATCATCTGTAGATTACTTATCATAACTGATACCATGTAGAAGCTATATAAATCGTTGTTATACTATAAGGAATGTGGACAAGAAAGGGAAAAAGGCTGTACATACGTTTCAGCCCAGACACAATTTGTTGTCAAATAATTTGGATCTGTTGTCATTGGAATCCCATGGATTTGGAACTTACTCATGCAGAGAAGTAAAGTATACATTTAACATTTATGTGTTTGCGTGTTTGCCTACATGCATTCTTGGGCACCATGCATATGCCTAGTGTCTGTGGAAGTCAGAAGAGGATGTCAGATCTCCAGGAACTGGAGTTAAGAGATGGTTGTGTACAGTCTCATAGGTTCTGGGAAGTGAGCCCAGCTCCTTTTAAAGAGCTGTCCTTTCCAAACACTCACTGGGAATAGAAAACTCCAGGGGGTTCTTTGAGTTATCTAAAATGGTAAAGGTCCGGGGCAGAGTCCATTGTTTCTTGATCTATCGATTCCTTGCATCTGTTTGGTTCCTTTCCTTTATGAATTCTACAGTAATATAGGCAATGACTATTGGGTATGTGACAAGTTAAGGTTTAAAAGAAAAGCAGTAAAACTCTATTGACGCATCCCATTATCAGTCACCCTGTCTTTGGCATAGTCATCTGTCCTTACATTATGTCCTAATCTGTGAACTGGTCTTGCAGATTGGATGATGACTGCAGAAGCCTAAATAAGTGGTTGACTAATCAAGAAGAGAAGTGGAAAGAAATGGAAACACCAGGAGAGAAAACGGATCTGTTTTACCAAGCATTAACCAGGAAGCGGTATGGTGATCTCGATTGAAGTGCATTATTTGGTGATATGCTTTCTCCACTGGGCCCCGATAAACTCACAATGGTATTTGGAAATTACAGGGAGCAGTTTGAGACTGTGGCCCAGCTGAACGACTCTCTGAAGCAACGTGGGCTTACAGAGGTGGAGGCGACAATCAAAGAGTCAACACACCTGATTGATAGATACCAGGGTTTATCGAGACAATTACAGGAAATTGAGGAAGAGGATAAGTTATCACCTGCCGAAGACCAGAGCTTTAATGGTCTTGCACATGATGTAACTCACTGGATAAGAGAGATTAAAGAGTCCCTTATGGCTTTGAATTCATCAGAAGGCAAAATGCCACTCGAAGAAAGAATCCAAAAAATAAAGGTATAACCGTGGAAACCAAATTTGAGAGGTCAGAGTGAACTCTAATTTTGAAAAGCTTCAGAGAAAAACTGCACCGATTCCTTTCTTAATAGAAAATAAGATCACTGTGGGATGGTTGAAGGAATTCAAATCGCTGAGCTTACAAAACAGAAGGGTGGTTATGGATCTAAAATTAATGCATGTGAAAGAGGAAAAGTATGTCATTCTCAAGGGGGCAATGACCAGTTAGTTATTCATCATCCCTTGTAGCGGGTAGAAATCAAGGCACTAATCAGCACAGCAAGAGGGAGTATGGGAGGGTACAAAGTCATCTCTTTATGTTCGGAGAGCTGAAGGCTCACAATGTGGATTGCAGAGGTAGAGAGGAATCTTGGGAGTAGGCAACTGTGCTCTTAAAGCATTACAGGATACCCAGTGGGTATGGGGACAGGGAGTCTCTTGAGCTGCCCCTCCAGCCAAGAGGAGAGTCACTAAAGGTGACTTGTTAAAACCTGCAGGGACAGCAGCGTAGTTATGTACTGGGGTTGCCTCAGTGGGGGCACCATGGCAGGAAAAAGCCATGAGGGGTAGTGAGCTACAAGGATTGCTAATACCGAGTACTTAGAGTCACTGGGCTATGTCTCCAGACACTGTTTCACCAAACTCTGGGTAGTCTCTTCTAAGACAAGAACTCTGATTTATCAGAGCAAAGGAGGGAAAGGGAACTAGCCTGTCACGGTGAAGGAAAGAATTGACAGGAGGGACATTTTCCTGTGGGAAGCCATGAGTCTTTTCTTAGATATGTAACAATGTTTGTTCAAGTTGCTACCTCTGACCTTCCATGTCAATATTAAGAAGTGGCCAAGAAAGCCGGGTGGTGGTGGCAGCTCATGTCTTTAACCCCAGCACTCGGGAGGCGGAGGCAGGCGGATCTCTGTGAGTTCGAGGCCTGGTCTACAGAGTGAGTTCCAGTATAGCCAGAGATACCAAAGAAAAGAAAAGAAAAGTACAGTTAATTCAAACCATCATGTAATTATTAAGAATCAACTGTGTATACTATGAGGGGGGGGTGTCTTCATCTTTGGAGTGTATATAAAAATGAAAGTGTTATTATGAAATAGACTCTCTAGTTAGCCTTATGGTCTAAGTCTGACAAAAAGGTTTCATATCTGATGTCTGGAAGTAACTCAGATGAAGTTACAGAACTTTTGTAATTTCAGGAAATCATTTTACTGAAACCTGAAGGAGACGCCAAAATCCAGATGGTAATGAGACAAGCTGAACACAGTGAGGCCCCATCGGTTCAGGAGACCCTTACAGATCTCAGCAACCAGTGGGACAATACGCTCCATCTGGCCAACACATATCTAAGGTAAAGGCTGCCTGTTTTCCCTTACAGTGAAGCCACAGCCAGTGTCTTGCCTGCACTTGGGTTTGAATAAAGAATCTACTGGAGAAATGCTGTGAGGGGCACATGCTGTGGATTAGTTCTCCAAATGAGCTGAGAGATGGGGGTCACTCTGTGGCCCCGTTCAGAGTGGCTATTGCATTGATCAGTGGAGCTCTTAGCAATAGATTGATTCTGTCTTCCCCCCTTGCTTCTTAGCTAAATCCTTCCCCTGACATGGGGGAAGACTACAGGCTAATGAGTCCTTTTAAATCTTATTCTGAGAAATTCTTAAATGTGAAAACATTGATAAATATTGGCTGAATTCTATAAATATATTTCTAGTGAAGATTCTTTTTATTGTAAATTCGTGTGTGTGTGTGTGTGTGTGTGTGTGTGTGTGTGTACATGCGCATCACAACACAACACATGTGTGAAGGTTAGAGGACAAATGGTAGCCAGGTTATTCTTTCCACCTTTTGGATCCTGGGAATTAAACTTGGGTCACCAAGCTTGGCTGCAAACACCTTTACCCTCTGAGCCATATTGCTATGAAGATTCTTCTTCATATCATCTCTTTTAAAACACTGTATAATATTTATATTATTTGAGGATTTTATGCAATGTTCTTTGATCATATTCACCTCCTGTTCCTCCTCAATTCCTCCTAGATCCACCCTTTACCTGCCCATCCTCTCTCAATTTTGTGTCCTTTTTCTTTTTTAAAAAAATATAATCCCCAGAGTCCAATTTGTGCTCTCTATATGCTCATGCATATAAGGTCATCCACTGGAGTGAGGTAGACCTACCAAGAGTTACACCCTGAAAGAAACTGGCTTCCTCCCCTAACATCCATCAGCAGTCAATAGCTCTTCAGCTGGTGATCCCCACCCCTTTTATGCTAGACTGTTACTTGGCTTGATCTTATGCTGTCAGCCACATCTACCACAAGGCCAATACCGTATGTAATAGTCTTATCACGTCCAGCAGAACATGTTTTGCTTGGCCTTCCCTGACCACTGGCTCTGCCCTTTCTCCTGCAATGATTCCTGAGCCTTGGGTTACTATCATATCTTAAATAGTACATTTCTTTCTGGGGATTGAATATTTGGTTTTTCAAAGGAGATAGATCTAAACCAAATTTAAGTTACAGAAAGCATAAAATAGTTTCTCACTTAATATACCAAAATGCTTATTTTACTATACTTTGTGTGTGTGTTTGTTGCATATGTGTTTATGTCTGCATATGTGTGGAGGCCAGAGATCAACTTCAGATGGTGATCTGGAGCTTGTCTACCTTGTTTTTGAGACAGTTTTTTACTGGCCTGTGTAGCAGGCTCTTTCTTTCGGGCCACCAACCAGTTCCCAAATCAGGACATTGAGACTGCTTAATAGTTAGGAATGCTTGGCCTTATCTTAGTCCCACTGGCTCTTATAACTTAATTTAACCTCTTTCTTTTCATCTATGTTTTGCCTCAGGGCTTTTTACCTTCCTTTCTTTCTGTATGTCCTATTCCATGTCTGGTTGGCTGCCAGCTGCCTGGCTGGCCCAGGGTGTCTCTCCCTTGTTCTCCTCCTTATTCCCTGAGCCAAGACTCCCCTTACTCTCTGTGCCCATAAGCCCTACCTATCCCTCTATTGCGTGGCTATTGGCTGATCAGCTTTTTGTTAGACCAATCAGGTGCCTTAGGCAGGCAAAGCAACACATCTTTCTTTATACTGTTAAACAAATGTAATACACCTTTGCCTAGTTAAATACTTCACAACAGGCCTGGAATTGTCAAGAAAGTTGGCTGGCTACTGAGCCCTAGGTATCCACCTGCCTCTCTAGCATGGTAGTAGTTTATGCTACCACACCTGAATTTACTTATTTACTTATTTATTTATTTATTATTTTACATTGGTTCTAGGGATTGACCTCAAGTCTTTGTGCTTACAAGGCAGGCACCTTGTAGACCTGACCTCTCTTTTTTTCTCTAGCCCCAGTTGTTTCAGTTTTATATAAGTGTAAAATAGGACTTTACAGTATATTTAAGTAAAATAAATATTGCTGTGGGTATTTGAAATTAGAACATGGTTTTGTAACAAATAACTATGTAACAACAATTATATCTTAGTAGTAGTACTCAGATAAAGTCTGAGCTAAGGCTAGTGCTGTTTAAGGAGTTGAAGTGTTCGATGGGTCCCTGGAAATAATATGCATATTATTTTAATTCCACTTAGGAATAATGTGTGTTGGAATAGAGTATGGCAAATGGCCCTTCATTTTGCTCATTGTCATTTCCTTCCAAAACTCTTTTGCAACATGTAGCCATCAAGAGAAGCTTGTACTAGAAGGAGAAAAGTATTTGCAGAGTAAGGAGGCTCTGCGGCTGATGCTCACCGAACTGAAGAGGCAGCAGGAAGCCGGCCTCGCTCTGCAACCTGGCTTGCCAGAGAAACAAGCCCAGTTAAAGATTTGCAAGAAGTTCCTCCAGAAAGCCCAAGATTTGACCTCCTTGCTAGAAGAGCTAAAATCTCAGGGCAATTACCTCTTGGAGTGCACTAAAAACCCTAGCTTCAGTGAGGAGCCCTGGCTGGAGATAAAACAGCTGCATGAAAGCCTTCTTCAGCAGCTCCAGGTGAGATGGGCAGGGACAGTCCCATGCCTGCCACAGTCACCGCACAGGATCCTCACCCTGAGCTAGTGTTTGGATGTTGTTCTTTTGCTGAACCCAAAGCATTCAGTGGGTTTCAGTTTTACATGGAAATGCCAATACTCAAGAAGGCAGGAATCTACCCAATTAATTTTGCTTGATGAAGCCACTGTGTGTTTATTGTTTTATTATTTCTTGTTGTTAAAATTCCCCTCTTCAGGAATCAGATATCTTAAAGTTCCTTAGGAATCTCTATAAAGATGGCAATGTGGGCGTTATCCACCTGTTTACCCATCCATCTGTCCCTCTGTCCATCTACTCATCCAACTCCCTGTCCATCAGTATATCCATCCACTCACCCACTTGTCTAATTTATTCATCTGTTAACACATGTATCCATTCATATACCTTCCTACCCATTAATCTGCTTTCTCACCTATTGTTTATCCATCCATCCATCCATCCATCATAATAATTTATATAAGTTGTCTTGTTCCTCCCTTGGATCTTTCCACATGATCTACAAACAGAATAAATTGAAATAAATTGTTCCCTTGTCATAATGGAGTCCATTCTTTAAGTAAAACTGGTTTTAATTCTTTTTTTGTTTTGTTTTGTTTTGTTTTGTTTTATGTGCATTGGTGTTTTGTCATGGAACTGGAGTCACCGACAGTTGTGAGCTGCCATGTGGGTGCTGGGAATTGAACCCAGGTCCACTAGAAGAACATTCAGTGCTATTAACTATTGAGCAACCTCTCCAACACCTGTCTTTAGTTCTTTAGACATTGAAAGCTAGGTTCAGTATAAGGATTACCTGGGTAAGAAATCCTGATTATTCAAATACCTGGAGCTGGGCATGGGTTCACATGCCTACTTGACTGGATGTTCTGTAGGTTACTTTTTGCTTGTGTCTGGTAAGGTATGGTCCTCTGATTTCCTTATCCCAGGGAGATTATCTGAAGATGGTTTTAGGTCAAGATTCTTTTATTCCTAAGAAAGGATCCTGGAATAGGTTGCTCTTATACACTCTCATTTTGAGATGCAGACTCTTTGTTTAAAAGCAACAAATAAAACTTTATTCATTATGTTTGTGATTTAATGTTATAATTGTAGTATTTTGTATTCTCCTTGACAAACAAATTATCCTTAGAAAGGAAATTAAGGCAAGAAAACATGCAAAGAACAAATGTTTTTATTAAGTCATTTTTAGGGGGAGATGGAGGTTTTCACAGTGACATACTTTAAACACTTTTAACTCTGGGTCAGTTATGGGCATAGTCTTGTTTCAGTGTGAAGCCTTATATGTGAATTGCATATTATATATATTATATATTATGTAACATGTATATTATATGTGAATTATATAATTGCTTTCTGAGTTAAAAAAAAAAAACAAATAATTTGCTAATTGTCAATGGTTTTATTTGTAGGATTCTGTGCGAAAATTAGAGGGCCATGTTCAAGAACACAGTTCATACCAGATTTGTATCGCAGAACTAAACACCACACTGGAGGATATCTCCAAGGAGTTAGTCAGTCTCTGTGATGCATCTGAGGACCAAATAATGGTTGAGGACAGAATGCAGAAATTACAGGTATGGTGCAATGTCCTAACATAATACACATTGTGGAGGATGGGGAATCAATATTCATAACAACTTGACTTTTTAGTACCTTTGACTAAAAAGTAATTCAGAACCTTTGACCAAGGAAATTCAAGTGTTATTTAGAAAGGTCTTAGTAGTCTGGGGGGGGGGGGAATGTGGACATGCTAATCTAGTGGTCAAGTCCATTGGTGAAGCTATCAAACAGTGAGTGATTCAGTGGACACTTAGAGGGGATAATTCTACCCATGAGCAGCCTATCACTCCTGATAGTCTTTGTTTCCGAAACAACACAACTCCAGGGGATTCTAAGAAGACAAATGATGAAGGCAGCATGGTATAAGGAAATGCTCCAGATTCCATTCTCCACCTGGGGTGAATGGGCATTGTTTAATATTTGTCCTGCCAATTTTCATTCTGGTGGACTCTATTAAAACTCTCCCTTAGCTGGGTGATAGTGGAACACTTCTTTAATCCCAATACTTGGGAGGCAGAGACAGGTGGATCTCTGAGTTTGAGGCTAACCTCGTCTACAGAGTGAGTTCCAGGATAGCCAGGTCCACAGAGTGAGTTCCAGAACAGCCAGGGCTACACAGAGAAGTCCTATTTCAGAGGAAGAAGGAAGGGGGGGCCAGAGAGAGGGGGGAAGAAAAAGCTCTCTCTAATGGTAGAGCCTTGTAAGATTCTCCCTCCCTCTTTCTCCTGCACCAAGCAGCCCTGTCAAGTGGGGATCATGCTCTTACCTACATCTGCAAAACACCCTTGTCTTCTCGCTGGGCTGGTGCAGCCAATGCAGCAGGCCTGAGTAGTGCCCTGTATAGAATTAGTTTACCATTTTAAAGATGAGCATTAGATTGATGTGGCCATTCCAAAGGACTCTTTATCCTTGTGATACTTTCTATGGTGCAGGTACACATTCGATGTTTGAGTTTTGAAAAGCCTGAATATTCCTTTTTGTTTGAGACATGGTATACAGACACGTGCAGACAAATAAACACCCACACAACATATCAAATAAAATAGGTAAAGCACTGGGCGTGGTGATGCATACTTTTAATCCCAGAACTAGAGAGGCAGAAGCATGTGGATCTCTGTGAGTTCAAGACCAGCCTGGTCTATGCAGCAAGTTCTAGCCCAACTGGAACTACATGGTGAAACCCTGTCTACCCCCCAAAAAATATACATACATACAAACATACATACATTCATACATACATACACATACATACAAATGTCTATCATTTAATAGGTGTGGTCATGCCTATATTTTGGCCCAGAAGTGCCAGAAGAGGGAGTTGGTCTTTGGGATTGAAGTTGTAGACAGTTGTAAGCAACTAGTGGGTGTTTAGTCCAAACACAAGTCCTTTGGAAGAGCAGCCAGTGTTTTTAACCACTGAGCCATCTCTCCAGTCCCAGAGGCTGTATATTAAGTGAAATGTATCCAGCAAATGTGTTTTACAAACTGTGCTATGAACATTTTCCTCACTTGCCATGTACTCCCTAGTATCTTATGAAACCTATTAGAGGATTTGATACCACAGTAGTTTGAAAATTTCCCCAAAGTTTCTTCTTTGAAGTATTGACACTTTCTTTTTTATAAATACATGTTTTGTATTAGTGAAGCAGAATACTTTGTGATTTACAAAAAGTCAACAAACCCTTCTGAGAACTGAATGGCAATACTCTTACAACAGTGTTTTTCTCTACTTCTAGGAACTGGAGAGTGGACTCCGTTTCCAGGGTGGCGCATTAAAGAAGGCATCTGCATTAGCAAAATCCATCAAGCAAAATACATCTTCAGCAGGACAGAAGATCATTAAAGATGATATAAAATCACTTAAGTGTAAACAAAAGGATTTGGAAAACAGAATTGAATCTGCCAAGCGGGAGATGGAAAATGGTCTCAACAGCATCCTTCAATTCAAAGGCTTGACAGAAAAACATGCAAACTTTTCTCTGCCAGGTGGAGAGATGCTGGCCACTTCTGATGTGCCCGAGCCCACTCAGGAGTCTGCAGCAGCGGGCGAGCCAGAGGGAACCTGGGAAACAAACAAGGTAAGTGCGATGATTGTGCTCTCTAGACACCGAGTCTGAGAGTAAAGAGGTGTGCCTCTTTCAAAGGAGTCTCGAATCAAGCATTCTGATTTCCTAATTAAGTTCTCAAAAGGACAGGCTATTTATGAAGCTCCCTTGTCAAAAGAGCCCTCAGAAAACGGTCCAGATTTCCGTGGTGAAATATTACTGTGCAGTCTGTTCAAATGTCAGTCATCAATTTAGGCTGATTATTCTCACCTATATGTAATCAGATACAGTTTCTTGGGTCAAGAGCACAAAGGCAAATTAGAAAAGGCAAAAGAAAAGAAAATGCACTGTAGCCATTTCCCCAGCTTAAAAAAAATATATATCTCAGAGCTCATTTTCCCCCCGATTTGGTCAATTTTGTAAATGAAATCGGAGAGTGCAGCAAAGGAATAGGCTCCTTTCTCTTCTTTTGTTAACTCTGCTGCAAGTACACCTGGAAACGCTGCCAGGGTTAGTGAGAAAACACCCACTGCTGCTTAGGCACCCGAATTCCCTCAGAGAAGGAAGAGTGTGTTTGCCTGTGACTCTTCTTTTTTAAAATGTTATGAATGCTACATCTTTGAAAGGTTTATCTGCTTATTTGTGTTTTTATGTGTGTGTATGCATGTGTGTGTGTTTTGAACTCATGTATGTGTTCACATGTGTGTTCACATATGTGTGTGTGTGTGTAGTGTGCAGGCACATGCCCCTGTGTATGTGCACAGAAGGTCTCCTCTATACTCTCCATTTATTCTGTTGATTTTGATTCAGGGCTTTTCCCTGAATGTGGGGCTTCTATTTCCTCATCCGGGGTGGAATCCAGCAGGCCTTAGCGAGCCTCCCATCTCTGCCCATCGTGGAGCGTGTGCTAAAGGCCTGCAGAGCACACCCAGCTTGTTACATGAGCCCTGGGATTCAAACTCCAGTCATAATGATAGTAGAGCGGGTGCTGTTAACCCTGAGAGCAGATACAGTGCAAACACATGGCACCTATGAAGGGTGCTAGTTGCAGAGTCACCTGTAAACTAACTCCTCCGTCCAGTTGTTGCCATGATAGCCCAGTTCAATAGAGTGCATTGAAAACTGCGGAAAAAAAAATCATCATCCAAAAATGACTTTAATTTTAGTAGCCTTCAGTTTAATCTTAAATGATAAGAATTATTGAGGGTTTGTTTTGTTGTTTTTCAGAGTAGGTAGAGGAATTTAAGACTCTATCTTTTTAGGGATTCTGTTGTAGTGATGCAACACCACAATTGAAAGCCGGTTCGGGAGGGCGGGGTTAACTTGGTTTACACCTCCACATCATAGTCCATCACTGAAGGAAGGCAGAACAGGGACTCAAACAGGGCAGAGACCTGGAGTCGGGAGCTGATGCAGAGGCCATGGAGGAGAGTGGCTTTATTATGGCTTGCTCAGCCTGCTTTCTTATAGAACCGAGGACCACTGGCCCAGGGATGGCTCCACACATGGTACACTGGGCCCTCCCCTCAATTGCTAATTAAAATGTGCCCTACAGCCTGATCTTGCTGCCAGATCTTATGGAGGCATTTTCTCAATTGAGGTTTCTCCCCCCCCCCCTTTTCAGTCAATTCTAGCTGTGTCAAGATGACATAAATCTAGCCAGCACAGATTTCAAATAATTTTCCTAAGTCTGGGTTACAGAACACTGGTTTTAATTCTGTAGCAATGTGCTTTCGTCCTTTGTAATGTGACATTTTCCTGAATCTTCATTTCGTATTTTTCTACCACCAGTGCTGGCCATCTTTTCCTGATGGGTAACATGGTACTGTACTGTGTAAAGGTCAGAGCAATGCCAAGACTGAACAGCAGCACTGGTGGAAGAGATCAATGATCAAACCTATTGGTAGACAGATAAGATGCAGGTGGGGTGGAGCACATGCCACAACTCAGTGTGAAGGACTGGGTGGGAGACGCAGTGTAATGAACACACAGGGCACACTAAGGAACGTCTATTTCATGACAAAGCTGATTGATCCCAAACTCTGGTACTAATGCTGGCCGAGCCTAACACTCCCAGCTATTCCAATAGGCGACAGAGTGACCCTATCCCACAAGACAAAGGCAAATGAAACAAATACCCGGTATAACAAAAGTAAGCTCTTAACTCGTTACACACATTTATGGAGCATCAGGGAAATGTCTTAGCGGGTAAAGTGGCTAGCCACCAAACCTGGTGTCCTGAGCTAGAGTCCCAGGACCCATCTGGTCTTCAGAAAGAGGTCTTCTGACTTCCATATGCATGCTGCAACGTATGCACAACCTCCCTCACATACACATAGATGAATTAATATGTAAAGTATTTATTGAGACCCATTTTTGTACTAACTATTTTGGTAGAATGTGAAGATACAATTTTTATAGCTTTTAATCTAGTACTAAACATTTTATTAGTGTTCACTTTGCATGCCATTCTGGAATCCTGAGAAACTTTCATCAATTTTTTTTTTTTAGGATTTTTTTTTTTTTCCAAGACAGAGATTCACTGTGTAGCCTTGGCTGTCCTGGAACTCACAGAGATCCACCTGCCTCTGCCTCCCAAAAGTTCCAGGGGTTTGAGAGCAACCTGATATGGATGCTGGGATCCAAACTCTGATCATCACAATACAGCAGAAAGTACTCTTAACCCTGAGTCATCTCCCCAGCTCCTTAACAGATTATTTTAAATACTCTCTCTAGAAGAATTTTTTACAGCATTTTTTTCTCATTATTCACACCCTCTATTCCTCCTTTCCGTCTCCCATCTCTGTCTGTCCCCTCCCTCATTTGCCTCTTTCTTTTGTAGTGCTGGGTAGTAAATACTTTTCCTTTATTAAATAACATTGATTTGAGTTTTATTGAAAGGATTGCTGTGCCTGCCAGCAATCACTGTGATAACATTTGAATCTATTGCTCAGAATTTTATTGCGATGGAACAGGGTATTTTAGCTTGGGACTGTCAGTTGACTTCGTCTTAATATTGGTGTGATTAAGCGGGAAATGTTTGGATGGTGCCCATTCAAAGCATGCTACATAGTTTTATAAATGTGATACCTAAGCATTGTTAGATATGCACAGACGGCACTGTCCCCTTTCTGACCCTGCTATGAAGGTCAAGCTAATTAGCAAGTAAGAGGTGGTAAAAGACGAGGATTGTCTAATCTCCTAGGACTGTATGTGTTATCAAAAGGAAATGAATGGCAGTGAATGAAGACGAGGAAGATCAGGCATTCCTAATTTATTATTTTTTCCAAAGATAATCAGACTAACATTTAATAATCTTCCTTGTCCCATTCTTCCCAACTTGCAAACTATGTGACATGATTGCTTTGAAATTCCCAAAACCTTTTGTCTGTAATTATTTTTTTTAACTTCCTTGTCCTCACTATTCTGAGCATTTATAGTTTGATGCATAAGAAGCATATATAGATAAATCCTGGAAGACAAATGGTCCTACATGTGGACCAAATGTACCAGACTTCCAGCAGCATGTAAGCAAGCAGGAACATGGCTGGAGTCGGTGGTTACAGGGGAAGGAAGGCCATGTAGTGAGTGAGAGTACTGTAGTGATTGAGGTCTGTGTCAGCTCTTGTTCGTACTGGAATCTTAGTGGGAGGGAGAACCGTGTGTGTGTGTGTGTGTGTGTGTGTGTGTGTGTGTGTGTGTCAGAACCCCTTGTCAGGGCTTGTGTCCACTCTCCCTTCCAAGTATACTTCCTTGCTCTTCCGGCCAGTATTAAAGTCTTGCTTCTTGTCTTAGAGACATTTTTTAACAATCCAGGGCTTATTTTTTCTCAGGACCAGTGATCCCCAAAGCATGTCTATCAGTCACGTGCATTTGAGAACATGATCCAAAGGCCTAAAATCTTAGGCTTCAAGGGAACCTTATGAAGCATCTCTTAGTCAGGAATGGTGGTGTTCACCTATAATCTGAGCAGTTGGGAGTGGGTGAGGACAATGTGTCGTTCAAGGGAAGCTTCAGCTACACAGAGTTGGAGAGCAGCCTGGACTACATGGGAGCCTGTCTCAAAAGCCGAAAGAAAGTGTCTGTCCTAACCCTTAGCTGTCATGCTAAGGGTCTGAAGTCCAGCAGAGCTGGGCCAGGGTTTTGGGCACCCTTTCTTGGTCTTGTCATCCCAAACTATGTCCCACTGTTTTACTTAAGGGGCTGCATAAGTAGAAAGTTGAGGTCAGAATAAGATCTGCAAATGTGAGGTTAAATGAATTCAAATAGCTTTTCTTTACTCCATGACCTTTCAGAGCCTTAAATGTACTCACAGATTCTCTGACCTTTGCTGAGCTATTATGGATACTTCCAAGATTTCCTTCAAACCTCTACTGTCATTCAGCCCCACCATTGCAACCCAGTGGCAAATCAGCCACTGCCAGATTGATAGTTCCTCAGTGTCTTTCCATGTACTTCATCATTCACAACCAAAAGAGGCTTTAAAAAAGCAGTCTTAGTTTTTCATCTAACTTGAATTCATGTCTGTGTCCCTTCTGTTAAAAAAAAAAAAAAAATGATTAAACAGGCAACAAAGAGTCAAATGTAGATCCGGCCTCTGTTCTCATGGATCTTCTAGCTGGAGATGGAGAGACACACTAATCAATACGTTAAACAAATGAAGAGTCCCATTACAGAAGCTTAGGAAGGCTGTTAGCCTTTAGCAAAGTTGTTGGGGCTGGATGGTAGGATGGGGAGGGTCTCTTGCAGGAAGCAACATATGAACACAGACGCAGGGGTCAGCTGGAGCTAGCATATTACTTTATTATATATTAATTAAAATAATATATTATGATTTAATATTACAACATTGTGAAGATGACAACATGTATATTTGGCTACAGGACAGTGTTCGCTTTGGAAGACAAACAAGCTAAAGGAGATACGTTTCTTTAATATAGTAAATTATATCTCTTTCATCTTTGTTTTCAGTCATGTGGAGGTTTTGTTGTTGTTCTTTCATATATGTTTCGTATGTCTTATAATTTAAGATAAAATGTTTCATAGTATGTTCAGTCAAAATAAAGTAGTGCAGAGGGTGGTGGGCAGGGCATGAGGAAGTGACAGAACTTTCCAGGAGCCAATCAGGGCCCAAGCTGGGTTCCAACCTCCCTGGCATGAGCCAAAGGAATGTTGCCTGTTACGTTTGAAATGTTCGTTTGAGGGACTCTGTTGGCTTTTCTGTCATGGTTCAAAATGGCTTTGGGGTTCAATGAGCAAATGGCTTGGAGGTGATTTAAAGTGTTATGACATACTGTGTCTGACCACTGAGGTCTGACATTACAAATGTTGCCTGTGACATCCTGGTAACAGTGGTCCTTGGGCACCAGCTCATCAGGTAAGAGTTAGCTGTTTTGGATTCTTGGCAGATAGCAGTGATAGATATCCTTTTGGGGCCAGGTCTCTAGGCCTTGGTGCAGCCTCCCTTGCGTCCAGGTGCATGTGTGGATATTTCCGAGGAAGTGGGGGGGGGGCAGCAGGCACCATCACCATCTGTGTGGCCTAGGCCCTTTCCTTTCCAGCTCCCTGTGAGGACATCCTCTACATAGGTTTTCACCAGAGCCCAAGTGAATTAGAGCTTCAAAACTGGAGGGAATTTGCAAAATCGTAATTAATCGTCACATTTCAAAAGCAGTGACTTATACTGTGTTATTTCAAAATAGCGATGCCCATGACTCCTGATTCTCCACCAATGAGAACTCGTCAAACTCAGGCAGGGATTATTTTATGTAAACTTTTAATTTTAGAATTGCTCTAGATTTATAGGACAGTGACAAATATGAAAAGTTCCTTATCTTCCTGCCTACTGTCCTCTATTGTTAACATATTACAGCACTCTGCAGACTTCTGGTTGCTTTTGGTTTGTCTCTGTGGGTTTTGTTTTTGTTTTGGTGAGGTCTAGCCCTGAACAGGCCAGGCAAATGCTTACTCCTTAGCACTGCCTCCATTCCCATCTAGTTACAAAATTATTGGTATGGTGCCTGGTACCTACAAGTGTTTAACACATACTTCTAGAGATGACTTAGTGGGTAAAGGTACCTGTTGCCAAACCAGAAGGCCTGGGTTCAATCCCTGGGATAAAGGGAAAGAAACAAGCCCTGCAGGTTATCCTCTGATATCCACACATATGCATGTGTACACACACACACACACACACACACACACACACACACCCCTGATTGATAATCACAAGTTCCTAAAACATTCAGAAAAAAGATCAAATCACTCATTTATAATATTTCCTACCTTATGTAAGGTTTTGTTTGTTAAGTTAGTGTGTTATGGGGGCATGTGCACACATGCTTCCACACAGACACTTAGGAACACCAGGGGAGGTCAGAGGATAATTTGGGGGAGTCATGTCACACCTTCTAGCTTATCAAGGCCAGATCTCTAGGCTTCTACTGCTATACTCTGCTGCAGACTGGCTGGCCATAGGCTTTGGGCATATCTCCTGTTTCTACCTCTCATCCTGAGGTAATGTCCCTGGGATTACAGATGTGCGTTACCAGCCCAGCTTTTCTCTTTACATAGGTTGCATGGTTGAGCTTGGGTACACAGGATTGCTTGGCTAGCACGTGTGTCCACTGAGTCATTTCTATAGTCTCAGGTTGTAGTTGTCTTTACCAAATGGTGGAAGGCATCATTTCTCCTCAGTATCATGATTCTTTGGTGCTTCCACAACTTACCTACGAGCACCTGTCTCTCTTCAGTTTATAAATACTAAGTGTAATTTGGGAACTGTTGACTCTTTGATATCCGTTTTATTTAATATTATATACACTTCAGTATATAATGAAGCAACTCTAGGTCCCATGCTGTTCTAACAACAATGCTTCATCTTGGGAGAAGGTGTGCCAAAGCAGATATTAATTATTATATGGGAAAAGTCCATCTTTGGTAGTACCCAAATAAACCTCTTTAAAGCCTTTAGTCTGAGTAAATAGAAGCAACTGGAATGGTTTTTAATCAAGAAAGAAAAATGAAAGAGGTTCATTTGGAAGGTAGGCTATTCAGCAATTAATCTTTTTATGTTTTCAGAACTCATCTGTGAAAATGATTTTGTCAAAACAACTTTCCCTCAACATTCAAGAAAGCATGCAAAACACCCAAGATGAGTGGAAAGTCAACGAGCTGCAAAATCAACCTTTAGAATTGGACATTATGTTAAGAAATGAACAATTAAAAGGGATGGAGGTATGGGAACATGAAAAACACTAACAGCATGATTGCATCGTTTACCCAGTGCGATACAATATAGTTTAATTACCAAAACCTTGCTTGTATGGAGTGAAAAGTCTTATTTAACCTTTGCCTGATGATCAGTTTGGTAACTATATAATTATGTACTAATCAGTAAGTTGTAGAACGCTAACCATTTAAGAAGTGGGAGAGTTTAATGAACATTCGACATCTTTCTGTTGAACAAAGTTCCTGAAAAACTTCAGTGAGAGTTTGGGGACTGTGACTCACCACAGTTAACTTTTGCAGTCTTCTGTGTTCTGATTCAGGCAGGTTCCATTTTTTTCTGAGGATCCAGAGGCTGGGGCCTCCTCCTTAGCTTGACAGCTGCTGATAAACAGTAAACATATTTTTAACTACCAAATCTGAAAACCTATACATGGCTATGCTTTGAAAAGTGAAACTCTAGAGCAGTGGCTCAAAACCAGTGGGGTCACGACCCCTTTGGGGAGGTCACGGGGGTCACCTAAGACCATGTGCATATCTGATACTGATATTATGATTTATAACTGTTGCAAAAATTATGGTTAGGAAGTAGCAATGTAATTTTATGGTTGGGTGATGAGAGATGTCATTCTGTATATGTTTCTTATACTGGTTAATGAATAAAGCACTGTTGGCCAATAGTAAAGGAAGATAGGAGGGACTAGGAGACAAGGAGGAAAGAGGAAGTAGTAAGGAGGAGTCAGGATGGGGAGTCAGGATGGAGAGTCTGGAGAGAACAGACCTGCCATTCCTCCGCTCTTGGTAAGACCACGTGGAAATACATAGAAATGGGTTAATAATTAAGACAGAGTTAGCCTATAAGAAACAAGTAACTGGCCAACAACATAATATCAAATACAGAGTCTCTGTGTGTTATTTGGGGCTGGCGCAGCGGCAGGACAAGACCAGGTGGCAGACAGGAAAAACCATACTTCTTACAGTTGGGGGTCAGCACAGCATGAGGAACTGTGTTAAAGCGCTGCAGCATTAGGAAGGTTGAGAACCACTGTTCTGGATGATCTCTGCTGTTTCAGACAACTCTACAGTGTTGTCTGTAGACCACTCTAAACCAGGAAAAAAGGTGGTATAGGGACATAACAAAAACAAATCTTCCATTATAAATCACAGGGTCTCCATTATAAATCATAGAGTCTCCTAAGAGATGGTAAATGCTGATCCAGGGTTCTAGATCCTGACATGATTCTTGTAAAACAGAGGCATGTGAATAAATTATTTATGAGTCCCTCATGGGACAGGGCATGCTGTGAAGGAGGGCAGGAAGGAAAATGAATGAGTGTGCACACATCTACATGCTGATTTGTATAACTTCCTGTAGGAATTATATGCCCACTTGGAAGTGAGAAAATCAGCCATAGACCTTCTGAAACAATCTCAACGTCTCAGTGAAACAGAAGGAAGAGCCTTGGTTCTGCCCACCGACAGATCTCCAGCAAACCACGTGGGCAATCTACTTCAGGTGCTTCTTACCTTGAAGAAAACTAAAGAAAGCCAGTATGGCCTCCTTAATGATTTTCAAGACCAGCTGACTGCAGCTGAATCCTCACTGAACGCTTTCTTGGCAGAAGTGGAAAGCCTCAAAGCGTAAGTGTAAAATGTCATGATTTTAAAATCATGCATGGACATTGATTCTAGGGGACACACTGGTTTAGTCTGTTTGGGTTGCTCTAAAAATTGTCACAGACAGGTGGCTTAGGAATAGCAATCATTACTGTTTTGAGGATGCAATTAAGTCCAAGTTCTAAGATGCTGGCAATCCATGTTCTGGTGGACCTTCCCTCTAGTTTAGGGATGTTCATCGCCTCTCAAAGACCCCCCAATCTCTTAATACCATTGTGTGGTCACTGAGCTTTCAACACATAACATTTGTATCTGAGACCCTGTTTCAGAAAAGCAAATAAAGGGGCCTGAAAGATGGCTTGGTGGGTAAAGGCACTTGCCACCAAGCTTGGCAACCTGAGTCCAGCACTCAGGACCTAGGTGGATGAACAGAACTATTGCTCAAACAAGTTTCCCCTACCCTAAAAATAAATAAGTTTACTTAAAAAAAAAAAAACCATCAAACAACAACAATAAAATAAGAATTTGTTTGGAGTGAGCATAGGCATTCAAACCTTAGCAGAAGCTAACTATTGGATTCATGGTGTGTGTGTGTTACTGAGTACTGTGTCTTACATATAATTTATTAAACAATAGTGTAAATATCTTATATGTAAGTTCTATGGAATTCAGTACTCTTTAAAAATTTATTCTGCAACTATGGGATGGAGAGAAACATGTATATAGCTGCTTGTTACTCATATAATTGGTTTAAGTTATTACATATTGAATGTTATGTATTTAATTATTTCATTTAAATGTATGCATTCTGGGGCTCAGTAAGATGACTCAGAAGATAAAGGCACTTGCTACTGAGCCTGATGATCTGAGTTCAATTCTCTGAACCCACATAAAGATAGAAGGGGAGAGAAATAACTCCACAAATTGCCCTCTGACCTCTCCATGCGGTCTATGACATGAGTCGTTCCCCCCACCATCATATGCTACTATTAATAACAATAAATATATATTCCCTTTGACCTTGAAAATAACAAGTGATAGATACATAGTTAAGTTATAATGTGTAAATATTTCTCATCATAAAGGTTTGTTTTATGCTTCTATCTAAATGGATTTTATTTTCAGCAATATCGCTTAAAATAATTTTATATTAAAAACAATTAGCAACTCTTGGTGGAAGGGAAGGGTGGTAAGAAGAGATTTGGATACTGTGGTAATTTCTGTCTTAGACTAAGTCTGGGTGAAGGGCTTTCCATTTACAGAGCATTTCTACATGCCTTGTTCTCCACATCTCACTTCTTTCCTTTCATTTCTTCATCTTTATTCTTTTTCTAGAGGCTCACTAGACAGTGTAGCTTATATGGGCAAAATCAAGAAGTTCCTGGGATCAGTAGAGAAAGAAAAAGGCTGTCTGACCAAGCTTCGCGTGGAATGGGCACATTTATCCAGCCTCCTGAGCGCCGAGGATCAAAAGCTGGTGGAGGGCCAAATGAAGCAACTTGAATGTGGGTGGGAACTTGTGGAGCGGCTGGCTCACAGGAAGTGTTTTCAGCGAGCCACGGAACACAGTGAACTTACCTCCCTCCTGAAGAAGGCCCAGGACATTGGGGTTTCTCTGCACCAGCAGCAACAGCGCCTCCTGCTGAGTCTAAACTCTCCACAGCAGCAGGAGGGGAGCCTGGACATGGTTGCCCCTGCTGCTGAGATCCACGCAATCAAATATGAACTTTCTGGTTTAAAGCGGCAAGCAGAGCTTCAGATGAAGAGACTTTGGGGAGAAAGGGAAAAGGAAACTCTGGAAGATGCACTAAACAGTTTGAATAATCAACTGGAGGCACTGGAACCATTAAGCCAGGAGGTAGAAGACCGGGTTAAGAAGTGTGACCTAAAGAACAGGATAAAGGAGACTCTCTTATGGGTCAAGAATATGTTGGCAGAGCTCAGTGTCCCCATCGCCCTCCTCCCCGACGACATCCTGTCTCAGATCAGACAGTGCAAGTTACTTCATGATGGCATTCTGGGTAAGCAGCAGGCAGTGGGGTTGCTGGTGGACGAGGTCAGAGGCATCACACCCAGGCTCGCAGCAAGTAAGAACGATGGTTTAAATAGTGTCCTAGAGGATTTACAGAATCAATACCAAGCACTGCTTTTAAAGTCAACTCAGAGGTCACAGCAACTCGAACTGAAGTTGGAAGAAAGAAGCAAATTGTTTGCGGTAATAGAAAAGGCTCGGCTAGTGCTTGAAGAAAGCGAATCGCTGATGGTTCCCACACAGGAGAAAGCCTCCACAGAAGCCGAGCTGGAGCGTCACAGAGCCATCTTGAAGGCGTCCCAGCAGCAACTGAGAGACATGGAGAATGTGATCTCAACACATCTTCAGGAACTCACAAATGCCTACAAGGATGCTAATGTGTTTGAGAGAGTATTTCTGGATGATCAGTTAAAAAACCTCAAAACAAGGACCAGCCGAACACAAAGACGCATCCAGACTAACTGTAAGGAAGTCGAACGCAAGATCAAGATTCACCAAGAACTTCATGAGAAAACAGCTGTGCTTCAGAAACAGGTTGAGGGCATCCAGCTCAGCGAACTTCTCCCACTTCATCGAGAGCCACAGCAGGATGCCAAAGAGCAACTCTGCCATCTTAAAAACAAGCTGGCCGCCATCCGAGGCAACATCTCACAAGTGCTGACATCTGAAGAAGTGTTTGACTCTTTAGGGCTAGGCTGGGATGGCTCACTGCTTGAACAGTTACAGACCCAAGTGTTTGAAAGGGAAAGGGAACTGGAAGAGAAAATTAAGCAGCTGGACACATTTTTAATGGCACATGACCGGTACCAAGTGTTACTAAGTAAGATAAAGGCAATGAGTTTGCAAATTAAGAAAAGGGCCAAATCACTACTGAAAGGCCCTAATATGTCTCCTGAAAGCACGCTGCTCAGCACACATATTTTGATTCAGAGAATTGAAAAAGCCAAAGGCTTGCGTGATGAGATAATGAAGAAATTAAGCAAAAGTGAGGATTTTGACGACTCGTTCAAAGAGAGTGAGATGCTGCAACTAAAGCTAAATGCAGAAGAACATGCTAAGCTTCAAGAGGATCTTGAGAACATGCTGCTAGAATTGCAACCAAAGGGAGTGGACAAAAAAGCTTTCCAGGACAAACTAGAAAATTCCCTTCGTGTTTTAAAGCAAATAAAGTCTCGGCTACAGCAGCCTTTATGTGTACATTTGGGGACTCAACATATTCAAGATGAGAAGGAGACTTGGGAAGCACTTGGTGAGCAGGTTCGGGCAGAAATGTGTGGTATTGGAGCTCTGAGAGTTGCCAAGGAGCAAAGAGAAGAAAATGCTTCCGGAACCAGTGGCATGGAGGCAAAATTACAGGACCTGGAAGGTCTTCAAATGGAGCTGAGCAAAAGCATTGAGTTACGCACAGTAAGTTGTCTTTGAAATTAGTCCTTTAAGACTGGTAGTTGTTTTGCTACAGGTGATGTCAAGTCAGTACTCCTGAAGATAGTACAGACCCTACAGTAGAATTCTCTGCAGGAAGAAAAACTGCTTTCTAAAAGACTGTGAGCCACTTTATCATGTTCGGAATTAAACTGTAGTGCCTCATAAATTTGAAAAAAGATGAAGCCAATATCTTTGTTTCCCTCCTAAACCCCATGGAACTCTCAAGTTTTTTGTTTAGTGATAGTAACATGATATGGAGTAGAAGTATAAAAGGAAGGGCACTAAATGGTAACTAATGTTTATTTAGAACTTACATTGTGCTGGGGGGTCAGGAGTGGAGTCTGCTGTTGTTAGCCTTGTTTAATGGAAAATTGAGGGCTAGGTGTATAGCTCGTTGACAGAATGCTTGTCTAGCAAGTGCAAAGCTCCCTGGTTCAGTTCCCAGCACTGAAAAAAAATAAAATAAGAAAAGTCTAATCTCAGAAGCATGAAGCTCTTTCTGGGGGTCTTAGCTCAGTGACAGACTCAGGATCTAAACTGAGATTTCTCTTAAGTCTACAACAGACATCCTTAAATATAAGGCCATTGCCAAATCTTGTTCATAGTGCTTGATTTATTAATAATATTTTATTGGGGTACAGCCGTGCCTATTTATATAACGACTGTGGCTGCCTTCTTGCTACAACACAAGGTGGAATAGTTGTTGGGGGAACTTGCAGGGAGAACAACTCCCTGTCTCCCTCTGGTAGTTGGCAAGTATCTTAGAAGGATCCCACTGTATAAGTAGTAGGTAGCTGGTGCCTTGCGTGCCATTATCTAGCTCATTACCTTTGATCTGTAGAATGGGGAAAGTCACCGTTTTAGCATTAGATAATGGGTGTAAATGCCACAGAAATGTAAAGTGCTATGGTAAATCCTTGTGTGCTATTTAAATAGTTATGTAAGAAATGCTGAGTAATTCTAATACATTTTTTTTGCTTTTAATAGTTTCAAGAAACACTTTGTATAACTTACCCCATCCATGAATAATTAGATTAGAGCTGAACAGGAAAACATCTTTAAATTCACTTGCTATTTTCACAAACGGAGGTATAGGGACATTCAATAATATGCCTGAACTGAAGTTGATGGCAGATGATTCTATTTATTTGAAACTTAAGAAATCCAGCTTTGGGGCTGTTTTCGTTTGTTCATAGATATTAAGATTATACACATTATATATAATGCTTTATTTCATTCAAAGCCTGGTATAAAAATTCCAGAGTCAGAATTATGTATCAACTGACAAAGTTAATGCGATGTTATTTTAAATTTAAATTAGATTTCTTAGAAAATGAACTGTTAATTTACTCAGCTTTAAATATTAATCTCAGGCTGCCCCCTGTAAGGACAGGCACCCAGCTCTCATAGGACTCAGGGACTGTGATTACACCATATTTGAGAGTAACAAAAATCCCTCAAGGTGGAAAACTGTCACTGAGTTTAATTTCTAATTCCCCAGAATGTCCTGAATGATGCCTATGAAAATGCAACCCACTATGAGGAGACAGTCACGAGGGCAGTGGGGATCGTCACATCCCTGGAAGCCATCCTTCTGTCATACAGAGTGGATCTTCACCATCCCAAAGCATCATTGGAGCCAGCGCGCTGTAAGCAAGAGGAATTGCAGTCCGCAGTAACGGACATCCAGAACCTTACTGAGACCCTGGGGACTATCTCCAGCCCTGAGGCCAAAGAGCAACTTCAGGGTACTTTGCAAGAACTAGCTTCTAAGAATTCAGCCCTAAAGGCAGTGCTGGAGGCCCAGGAGGCAGAGGATGGAAGGTAGGTGGCCTATCTTAAGGGATGCCTTCAGGCAGCAGAACATCATTTTCCTAGGCTTTATAATTAATGTGCCCATCAGAGAAAATTTGAATATAGGAAAGTTTAAAAAGTCAACAAAAAAACATGTTAAAAGTTCATTATGTTTTAATTCTTGTTTAGTATTTGATACATATAACGCTATGTACAAAATGTATAGATAGTGTAAAGGGTGATGATAAAGCATCTTTTTTAAAGATTTATCATGTATATAGTGCTCTGCCTTCATGTATGTCTGCATGCTAGAAGGAGGGCACCAGATATCATTACAGATGGCTGTGAGTCACCGTGTGGTTGCTGGGAATTGAATTCATGACCTATGGAAGAGCAGCCAGTGCTCTTAGCCCCTGAGCCATTTATCCAGGCCTCACAAATAAGCATCTTTATACCCCAAATGTCCAAGATAAACATCATTAACTTGAATTCTCTCATGGGCTTTTTCTCCCTTTATTGGAAAATAATATATGCCCTATGTGTTATGTTTACTGTTTCTTCCAATTGTATTTTTGCTGTTTGTGTCTTGTTCTTATTATTTTCATTTTTTTATTCTGTAACTCCATATTTTTCAAGCTCATCATTTTTATGTAAGGTTTACTTACATTCTTGCCTGTAGCTGTTTACAGTTTCGTGCATTAAACAACCGTGTTTTGGGCCAGAGAGATGGCTCAGCAGTTAGGAGCACTGATTGCTCTTCCAGAGGATCCGGGTTCAGTTCCCAGCACCCACATGACAGCTCACAACTGTCTATGGCTCCAGTTACAGGGTATCTGTCACCCTAACACAGACATACATGTACATAAAACACCAATGCATGTGAAAAAAAACAAAAACAAACAAAAACCAACTGTGCTTATAGTAACATATGAAGTGCAGGAGCCTCCTTTGAGTATGCAAGGGTGTGATAGCCCAGGTCAAAGGGATGCAATTCCTAGCACTAAATAGCCTACTAATTTCCAGGAAACCAGGTACATACAGATATTCCAATTGTCCTGCCTCCTTGCTAACAATTGACACTAAATGGTAAGAGAGGGCTGGAAGATGGCTCACCATGTAAGACTGTTTTGCAATCATGAAGACCTGAGTTTAAATCCCCAGAACCCATGCAAAAAAAAAAAAAAAAAAAAAAAAAAAAAACTGGGCGTGTCTTCTCATGTATCCAGCACTATGGGGGGAGGGGAGGCAGAGCCAGGAGGATTGATGGGCCTGCTGATAGCCAGCCTATCTCCAGGTTCAGCGAGGGGCCCTGCCCCAAGAGATAAAACAGAGAATGATAGATGGGCCACTAGATGGCCTCCTTGGCTTTTACACATGCTCAGAACATGCTCCTCTGTGCGTTTATACCTTGTATAAATGAAGAGTAAGAGGCAGGTGGTGAGATGGTTCAGTCGGCAAAGTGTCTATCATGAAAGTACGAGGGCCAGAGTTTGGATCAGCAATACCAATGTAAAGACTGCGTTTTTCCTAATCCCAGGATCCTGGGAGCTCATTGACTAGCCAACATGGCCAAGTCAACAAGCATTAGGTTCAGGGAGAGACTGTCTCAAAATATAGGATGGAGAGCAAAGAGGCCACCTCACACTGATGTCTGGCCTTCACATACCCATGCTATGGCAGTCACACCTGCATGAGTGAAGTGTGTGCTCACACACAACACACATTTGAAACTAGCCTTTTGCCTTTGCCTCACACTTAAGGCAGCCTCAGCTTCCCGGGTATGAGTGTTAGGATTTCAGGTGCGTGAGTTTCTATTTTAAGGTATCTATTACAAAATTTTTAATTTTTTTTAACGAGGGATTAAATTCAGCATCATACATGTGCTTTATAATAACAACCCATATATAAAATTCTGTGGTGACTTGTTACTTAACCTTGCTTTTTGTTAGATACAAGTTTTTTGGTTTATTTTGTTTTTTCCTTCCTGTTTTAATCAATACTCGTGTATGTAAAAGGCTATTACTATGCAAATTATTTTATCCTGATTCTGGGAAACAAGCAGTTGAACAAATGAATCCAATGTAGACATTTTTTAAGGTTGCGTAGCTTTCTCCCAGAATTCAGCCTACTTGCAACTCATTAGTAATGCGTAAAAAAAAAAATCTCTCTTAACCTCTCTCTTTCTCGCTCCCTCTCTCCTCTCTCAAACTCTCACTTTCTCTCAATCTTTCTCTCTCTATCTAATATAGTACTTTGAGGGCAACTGTATCTCCCGTTTAAAGCCATCTACAGGTACCTTTAGTGGCAAAAAAAAAAAGCACCACCTTCTTTATGTGTGGTATGTGTTGGGGGTGGATTAATGAGAAATAAAATTGAATATTTTTTTTCTGTCTCTTCAGGTGCCTAGAGAATTACAAATGCTATAGGAAACTGAAAGAGGAAGTTTGCTCTCGGCTCAGGAAAATGGAGACAGATCTTGGACAGTCCATGTCCCCATTGCCCAGGTCTTACAAAGAAGCTTTAGCATGGCTGGGACAGAGCAAGGTAATGGACCGTCAGTTTGCAGACAGTCTGTGTAAAGGACCACCAGTCTGTAGATAGTGTTTGTAAAGACCCAGGAGAACAAGCAGGTGGTGGCAGCAGAGGGCACTGCTCTGCTGTAAGCCACGGAAATCTTCCAACACCCCTGAGAAGCGTTCCTACCAGAGGCTGAGGCACGGGATGAGGGAATATTCTGGCCCCTCTAGTTGATTGATCTACAGTGCAGTCCTCCCCTCCCCCCCTTAGCATCCTGCCCTGCAGGCCACCTTTCTGACCCTTCCTTTCCTGATGTTTCGAGGTATGCCACTGGATTGATGACAGAGCAGTCACTGCATCTGTTAAGTTTTGATCACTTTCTCTACTGTTACTAAGCTATGTATTATCCATTTGAGACAGAATCTCCTGTGTCACAAGTCCCTCCTGCTTCTACTCCTCACCTATCCGAAGTGTTGGAGTCACAGACACGAGCCTCCATGTTTACTTTTGTAATCACAGTAAGCAAGCACTCTGTGACTTGGATACATCCCCAGCTTCTAAAACAATTTTGGGTTTTGTTTATTTTCATCTGTTAGTATCTGTGGTACTTTGCTGTTGTACTTTAGGTTTCTTAGTTACATATTTATTTATTTTTGAAACAAAGTCGCTACATAGCCTAGGCAGGTCTTGAATTTGCAATCACCCTGCTGAGTGCTGGGATTAAAGGCATGAACCATTACTCCTGGCTAGTCATTATGATATGGATGAGGCCATTCATCTACCAAAAAAAAAAAAAAAAAAAACTGAACAAATAAATCAAGAACTCCTAAATGGAGTACCTTTATTCCCAGCACTTGATGGGCAGAGGCAGGCAGATCTCAGTGAGTTCGATACCAGTCTGGTCTACCAAGCAAGTTCCAGACAGCCAGGACAGACCCTGTCTGGAAAAACAAAAATTAAAAAAAAAAAAAAAGAAAAGAAAAAGGAAAAAAATCCTTAACTGTGCCAGATTTAAAAGTGATATTTCAGAAAAAAAAAAAAAAAATCACAGACCTCATGTCTGTCCTGTCACTTTCTCTTTAAGGCCCTAACAGCAAGTCTCCTGTCAATCAAAGGCGACTTAGTGAACCTCCGTGGGGTCCTCAGACACCTGAGTTGCAGGTGCACAGAAAGCAGTGGTATGTGTGTGCTCCAAGTGGCCTCTGCTCTGTGGGAGAAGTGGCTGAGCTTGCTGGACGCCGCCAGAGTATGGCAGCTGTGGAGTGGAGAACTGAAGGGGAAGTGGAGATTCATCAGTGAGGAGGTGAGACCTTTCTTTTCAACACGCAAACCCTGCAGCTTCCAAGGAGAGAGAGGCCAGTGCCTCTTCAAGTTCATGTTCTGTGGCGTAGGTGTCGCTTGTGAACATCTGTACAGGTGACGTCTGGCAAAGCCTCTGAGAACTTCTTCAGCTTTTTTTCATAACAAGGGTGCTTTTCCGGTGCCCTGTGATTCTCTCGGGTCCACATTCTTCTTTCACCTTTACACGGGTCTGGGAATCAAACTCAGGTCTCCAGGCTTGCACAGCAAGCACCATCACCCGCTGAGCCAGCCCCTCAGCCCTCAGATAATTCTTATTGAAAGGGTGACTGCTTGCTGGGTGAAGCTTAAAAATCTTCATTTCCAGGATGAGTTAATCCTTGAAAATAACTGTCTTTGCATTCATTGCACGAAAGGTTAGAACTGGGTAATGTGCATGAAAACTGACTAAATTGGAAATCAACTCCAATTGTTAACTATGGAAATTAGTTATGAGTGTTAAGTGTGGGCCTAAAACTACGAAATATAGCCATCTCTGAAAAACTCCCTTAAAGAAGACCTCTCTGTGACCTCTGTGACATGTCAATCACAGGTGATAACTTAGTCACGGTTTAGGACTAATGCAGTGCATTTATTGGGGGGGGGGAATGAAAAATCACATGAGATCATAGTATTTGCTAATCTTTCCATGGTGCCAGGGATAAATGAAGTGCAAATCAGAATAAGAGTTGAAAATTCTCCTTTCTTCATTTCAACATTTCTGGTGAATTGAATGAATATGGAAATGTATCGAGTCCATATGTTATTGGTGGGGGATAGCCTGAGCTCAACACTAATCCTGTTAACCTACTTAGAACTTTAGATTCTTGAAATCGGTGTCATTTCGGTGCTTCTGGTGGAGCTTAATCAGTTAACAGTTTCTCGGATGTTCGGACTCTAAAGAACTCTGTCAATTATGCTTTTGTTCGGGCTACTAGCCTGCCCACAATGACACCAATCACAGTCTCCACACTGCTTGGAGTGTGCTTCCTAGACCCTTGCCTTGGCCTTTGGAAGTAACTATCATCACTGCTTGATAGAAAGGGAAACTGAGGCACTGGCTAGTTTTGTTTTGTTTATTAAGGGGTGGCCCAAGAGCCCCAACTACAAACCTACTGTGTGGCAAGGCCCTGTGGACCGGGCCTGGCGTTGGGGGTCTTCCTTACCATTCTAACCCGGCAGCCTGGCTATACCTTGTACCCTGTGGGCACTCAGTAAATACTTGTTGAGGGAGCCTGTTTATTCAGATCCAAACCTAGGCTGATTCTAAGCTTTCCCTGTTTTACCATCCTACTGTTTTATATCCAATTAAAGTCATAGCCTACTAATTTAAATCTTACTCATTTGATTCTAATTACTCAAATGTTAGATGAGAAGCTCATAAAAAATCATTTCTTTTTAGACAAAGTCTCCTGTAGCCCAGGCTCACCATCAACTTGTGTAGCTGAGTGGGACTTTAATCTTCAGATTTTTCTGCCCCTCCCTCCTGAGTGCTGGGATCACAGATGGGTCTCACCACACTGGTTTATGTAGTGCCTAAGCCAGGGCTTTGGGCATGGGGCAAGCATTCTCCCGGCTGAGCTCCATTCCTAGCCCAGCAAATTGTATTCTTCAAAAGCCAGCACAAATAAAAACATATAGTGACAGTAATGCAGCTATTGAAGTGAGCACTTACACAGTCCTGGCTTCGGTCAAAGTGTGATGTTTGCATCCATGTGATGGGTGATCCTCAGCCAGACTACGGAGTCATCCTCCTGGGAGCAGCTGTGCCTCTTTGCTAGGCAGCATCCATTGCTGCTGTGCCTGCTGGAGTGTTGAAATTCCCTCAGAAGGAAAAGGTGTGGACTGTTGACATTCCTGCCTGGAAGGAGCAGGTGGGGAGGGTCACTGAACCCACCAGCCACTCCTCCCAGCCATTTCTATGTTTTTTCCTGCCCTAATTGCTTATGCCCTCGGGATTTAGGGGAGGAGCTAGAGTGTCTAGGCTGGAGGAGATGAAGGGAAGGGACTCTATCTGTGTATGATTCCCAAAGTCATCCTCCAGGCAGGATGAAGACTTTCCAGGATGAGCTGCTATGGGGTCAGCCAGGCTCCTGTCAGTCACCCTTCCTCCATGCGCTGTAAGTAAGCCCAATAAACTCATTGGGTCCCCAGCGTGAACTTCTGTGACCTTGTACTTTGGTTTGTTATTAGGACTTGAGGAGGAGGGCCTTAGAACCTTAAATGGGGGGCCAGGGTAGATGTGCACATCCTCCCTCTCCAGAGAAGGAGTTCTAGCAAGACTCAGCAATGTTGAGTAACTTGACCAAATTCACAAGTGGTAAGAGAAGATTCCAGCTTACACATTATGTTTAATCACTGAGCTACTAAGTTATGTGATACATGTCAATTGATATGATTCTGTGGATACGGATGTGTGTGTTGCTGGAGATAAAACCAACGGCTTTGTACATGCCAGGCGAGCGCTCTGCCTCTGAATTACATCTCTAGCCTGTTGTGTGACCTTAATGCAGCTCTTACTCGTTCACTAAAAATGGTGACATTCCTGTATCCAAATAGGACCTATGCATGCAAGAGTCTGCTAGCACCCATGGTGCTTTATCTGTGTCGCTATGATAAAAATACTCTGACAAATGCTACTTCAGGGAGGAAAGGTTGATTGGGGCTCAGGGTGCAAGAGGACAGCCTATGATGGCTCCTGATGGCAGGAGCTAGAGAAAGCTGTAGTCAGGAAGAGGACAGTGATGAATGTTGGTGCTGAGCTGGACCTCAGCCCAGTGAAAGGTACCACTTAGTGAGGGTGGGACCCCCCTCCTCAATTAACTAGATAATCAAGGCAGTCTCCCTCACAGGTGTGCCCAGAACCTTGTCTCTTTAGTGACTGTAGAGCCTGTCAAGTTAACTGTTGATATTAACCAATATGTAACAATTAATTTTTTTTAAACAATTATAATAGTTATTAACTATCCTTATGGACTAAACAGTTTGAATAGTCACATTAAAAAAAACTTATAAACATTTTATAAACTAAAAATCAATTTACCTTATGACTTTTTCCCGTTCAACGTAACACATTTTTTAAGACTAAATGAACTTGATGCCATTATTGATAACGTAGTTAGCTTCAGTTGGCAATTGTACACAGTCTAGAGTTCTCATGGTAAGCCAAAATGCAGGCATCTTCCCAATCAGAGTGCCCTGTGATGATGTCTGTAAGGGATTGTCATGGCTGGCAATTGACGTGGGAGGGCCTAGCCCAGCCAGCTGTATCAGAGAGCTAGCCGAGCAGGAGCCTTGGAGTGAGCCAAAGAGCGGGTGAAGAAGCAGCTTACATCCCTACCCTGACTTTCCTCAGTGATGGACTGTGGTCCTAGAAGTACAAGATAAGCAAACCTTTTCCTTTCCCAGGTTGCTTTAGTTCAGAGTGTTTTTAGCACAGCAACAGAAAGAAGGCTAAAACAACCGACTTCTAGAATAATGGTTCTATGCTTTGGTGGTCATGCAGTGCTGGGACAAAACCACTTCTTCTTTTCTTTTTCTTGCTTTTAAATTTTTTTTATTAATTTATTTTTTACATTTCAATCCCAGTTCCCCCTCCCTCCTCGCCTCCTGATCCCCCCCCCCCCAATCTGCTCCTCAGAGAGGATAAGGCTTCCCCTAGGAGTCTACTAAGTCTGTCCCATCATCTTGTTGAGGCAGGACCAAGACACTTCTTCACCCCCTGCCCACTCCCACCCCAGCGTCTAGGCTGAGCAAGGTATCTCTCCAGATAGAACAGGCTCCACTGAGTCAGTTTGTGCATTAGTGTTAGAGCTTGGATCCACTGCCAGGGGCGTCATATATTGTACCAGTCACACCATTGTCACCTATATTAAGGGAGTCTAGTTAGGTCTTATGCAGGTTCCCCACTTGTCAGAGCTGAGTCAGTGATCTCTCACTAGCTCGGGTCAGCTGATTCTGTGGGTTTCCCCATCATGGTCTTGGCTCCTTTGTTCATATTATCGCTCCTCCCTCACTTCGATTGTACTTGAGCTTGGCTCATTGGTTAGTTGTGGATTTCTGTGTCTGCTTCCATCTGTTTTTGGAAGAGGGTTCTAGCTTCTTTGGGGTTGTGGATTGTAGGCTGGATATCTTTTGCTGTATGTAGGGTATCCATTTATGAGTGAGATGAGTGAATACATACTGTGTTTGTCTTTCTGGTTTTGTGGAAAGCCATTTCTTTAGAGACAATTGGGAATGGGAAGCTGGTTGTTACTTCTCATGTCATTTCCTTATTCCTTCCCACTTCTTCAGGTCCCAAGATTTTCATTCTCCTTCTCTCTCTCTCTCTCTCTCTCTCTCTCTCTCTCTCTCTCTCTCTCTCTCTCTCTCCTCCTCCTCCTCCTCTACTTCCTCCTTCTCCTTCTTCTGATCCCAAGATTTTCATTCTCCCCCAACCCACACGCGCGTGCACGCGTGTGTCTGTGTGTGTGTGTGTGTGTGTGTGAGAGAGATAACTATAGTTTTTCATCCTCTTTACCTATATGATGAATCTTAAATTTATAAATGGTTTTATTAGGATTTTATGTCCAAGGAAAATCACCAAAGGATACAGAGACTTTTCCAAGGGAAAGGGCCCAGTACATAACCTTTATGCTGTTTTCCTAGCTTGGGGGCTTTAGCAATTAGCATGAAGTTTATTGGGTTTTGATTAATGTGCGTAGTCACGTGATTCCCCCCCCCAAAAAAAAAGTAGGCCATTCTCATCATCACTGAAAAGTTCCTCGGGCCCTTTGTGCTCATTTTTATCCCTGAGTGGGATTCTCCTGGGTAGATGGATGATAGTCATCCGTTCACAGATTAAGCACTTGTGTGGCTGCTGGCATGACCCATGCATGCTCTCTCAGGCTCTCCTTGCCATCCTCCAGCCTTGCAGCAGTTTTGCAGCTGAGACTGCGTTTGCCACCAGGTGGTTTATTCTGGATCGGGTTCACAGGAAGGGGAGCTAAAACAGAAGAGGCCTGAGCTGTTGACTGTTTTATGCTCTTTGGGGTGACGGTCATTGCCTTTGTTCATTTGTGGACATTGTTCTCAGGTGTGGCTGCATCAAGTAACACCCATTAAGTTCTGGGTTCTAGGCAAGGCTCTTGAACCTCAGTCATTTTAGAAACTGTAGATCTACCTGTCAGTATTGCAGTTCCTTTGTTGGCATGCTGGTTTTAAGCAGGAAGGTGTGACATGGTCTATCCTAATATATAGTTCAAATGTGGCTACCTGCCTGGGAACCAGGTATGAGCTAGCAGGAAGTACATACTCATAGCCAAGTTTCTTAGGGAGGGAACAGTCGCTCTCTATACCCAGTACATTACAGCAACCAGGGATCCTACTAGATCATAGAACCCAAGTAGCAAGACAGCAGATATCATAGCCTGTTCATGATGCTTTGGCTCATCTCTCATGGCAAGCAGTAGAAGCATTGTTGACTACGGGTTTGAACAGTAACCTTGAGTATAACATATTACATCCACAATCCAAGAGGTTCCATCACATGGTATCTCCCTTTGTTAGCCCTTGACCAGCTTGACAATCACATTGATAAAGAAGCATGCTTTAGACTTTGGGAACCCTGGATGTTTATAATAATTGAGGTTGGGGCTCTTGAATTTTCATAGGTTTAACTTTGCTACATCCGGGGCCTCGCTCACCATTCCGATTATCATGATACCGTAGCATGATACAGCTGTCTGATGTGGTATTTTATATAGTGGCAATACAGGTCACTGTTTGCACGTTGAGTAGAAGGGCAGAATAGTATAAATGTGTCTTGCAGCTAAAGAGGATGGGCACAGGGCTTGGGGGTGCAGAGAACTATCTGAGAAGCATTTCAGGCTGTTTCCCATGTCTCTATTCTGAGTCCAGGGCCATTGGAATTCCTGGTTTCTAGGTAGGTGGTGTAATAAGTTACGTATTTCTAAGTTTTGTGCATTCCAGTGGTTGAGAGACACAACCGGTTCAGTGATCCCAGGGGCTCTCCCTTAGGAAAGCATCACGTTCGTAATGAACCACCAGGCCTAGTTTTACAGCATGACACAGGCATTCAAAGTGAAAGAAAAAAGACTTGTAGAAAAATTTCCACATCCATCAGAAGCTTAGCCTCGTGCTAGAAGCAATCTGGCCGGGCCATTCCATCCACCTCATGTAGTTCTCATGTGAACACTGCTCAAAACACCAAAAGCCTCAAGGGAAAATAAATCACTTTATCCAATAGCGTTCCCCCAGCCTGTTCACAATAGCATTTCCTCATCGGAATCACACATCTACATGGGCAGTAGCTGGAAGGTACAGGATTCTTGATCACAGAGAACTAATGTTCCCAGCTATGTTGTAACAAATAATGACTTTGACCCAGGATATGGCATTAGGAATGATTTAAAGAGAGGGTTTACAGAAACCATGCTTCCCAACGTAGATTTCACATCTCAAAACCTTCCTGCTTTTCTCCTTGTTGCCGTTCATTTGATTAGATTGAACGAGAAGCAATAATTTTAGAGAATCTTCAAGAGGACCTCCCAGAAATTTCCAAAACAAAGGACACAGCTCCCACAGAGGAACTCTGTCAGCTCTTGGACTCTCTATGCCATCACGAGGAGAGTGTAGAAAAGCAGCAGCAGCTGCTGGCCCTGCTTCTTCAGCGCATAACGAGTATTCAGAACATTCCAGAAGGCACAGAGACAGTGGAAACCATCCCGGCACTTCAAGAGATTAGGTCCATGCAAGAACGGTGCAACAGGTAAGACTTACAAAGAGATCAAGAAGGAAATGGTCTTGATGGTTTCTGTTCAAAGTTAGAGAATAGAAAACTGAGCCAGGCAATGGTGGTACCTGCCTTTAATCCCCACTCGGGAGGCAGAGGCAGGCAGATCTCTGTGAGTTCAAGGCCAGCCCGGTCTACAAAGTGAGTTCCAGGACATTGAGGGCTATTACATAGAGGAAACCCTCTCTTGGAAATAAAAAAGGTGGATGATAGCGAGTGCTACAACAGAATCCGCACTGATGGGTACAAAGAGGACAGAAGAGATAGACAATTGTAATGGAAGCATACACATTTTCTGCTTTGGTATTGCTAAGTATGAATAGCTTGCAAACTTTTTTAGTAATACCTGTTGACTGTAGGAAATTTTGAGAATGGGAAATTATAAAGACCAAAGTGTCTATTTCATTCTCACCATGCAGCAAAAACACTGCCAATCACCCTTTCTTGTTTTGCACTGTGATTATTGAAATTATAGTACTTACACTGTTTTGTATTCTGCTGAATTGTTTATCAGCAGATTGTTTTTGTCTCCTATGCCATTGACTGTCAATTTAAAAACATACCAGTGTAATAGTCTATGATGTTGATATGTCATAATATGTTTAACCAAACCCCTTTAAAGATCTCTTAAATTATGTGTAGTTCAATTGTGTTTGTTGTAAAAAGCCACAGCAGTGCTCATTACAGGAGGAGAGCAGCAGTTTTGCTCTCCAATCTTAGTCATTTACCTCCTTTCCCCACACCCTAAGCATCTCTCAGCTGATACCCACTCGAGTTTCTGCAGCTCCACTGGCCCAGATTCTACACTTGGAGCACTGAGTGTCTCAAAACTGCCCCTGCTTCAAATGCCACAGTTGTGGGACATCACCCATCCTTCTGACTGCATGGCTTGGCTCTTGGAAATTCCTCCAAAACCCTCTTGTAGCTAGCAGGACTCAGGGAGCCACTTAGGTTTGCTGATTTGTCAGCAGAAGATGTAAGAAAGGATACAGATGAAGAAGGATGTGGGAAAGATGTGTGGGGCAAGAGGTATGAGAATGGGACAGCTTCCCTGTCCTCTGTAACACCTGTGTCACCTCTCTTGTTCAGCAGTCCGGGCACTCTGACCTAATGGTTTCCATGCTTCTAAGGCTGTATTACTTATGGTGGTTATACCATTGACCAATAGCGGTCAACTCAGCCTTCAGTCCCTCTCTCCTGTCTATGGGTTGGGAGGGTGGTAGTTGGAAAGGGTGGTGCTGATCTCCAATCACATGGTTAGCTCTCACCCCATGAGGCTATCCAGGAGTCTACCAAGAGGCAAGCTCTTAATGCAAGAGCTCTGTCCTGGGAATAAGAACTAGAGCCAAATGTCAGAACAGATTTTCAGCCATGTGTGGTAGCATACACCTGTAACCCCAGCATTTATTGGGTAGAGACAGCAGGATCACTGGAAGTTCAAAGCTAGCCAAGGCTACTAGTGCAGTGATTTTGCCATGTTCTTCTCTTGAAGGAAATCAATAGCCTTATCTCAAACCTAGAGGGCGGAGACCAAGTATAGATTTCTATCGTGTTGCCATATGATAGATACCAAATAGTTCTCGGGAAAGACCCCACTACTACCACCATCACCACACGCACAATTGCCGCTTTGGGAAATGGATCAGCTAAAGAGAAACAGACTGGTGGAGGTTGCCTGTTGTAAAGAGTTCACCCATGGCTGATGCCACATGTTACTTCCTTTGGGATCTAGAGCCACGTGGGCTATAGATGGCAGCTGGAAAATGCAAAGGGGACACTTGGGGATGAAACTTTTGGGGAAGCTGTTGATAGACTATATTTGATATATATTGAACAACTGGTATATTAATCAGTAAAAACTGGTACTTTTCTCCTGTGGGGGATCATCCTTGGCAAATACTTTAGAGATCTCTGTTCTGATGCTTTATTCCAGGCTTCTTCAGGCAGCTCAAAAGAATAAGGACGCAGTCCAGACCGAAATCCAGGCACGGCATTCTTTCATGAAGGAAATAACTGATGTGAAGCGTTCATTTGAACAGATCTCAACTTCTCTCCGAAACTTGCCACTGGAAGGGCAGCCAGAAAGGGCGGAACAGTTGGAGGTGAGTGAGGGAAGAATGAGTGTGAGTGGCTGAGACTGGTCCAGTCTCCTGTTCAAGTCCTGGGGCAGAGATAACCCAGCAGCTCGAGTTGGAGGGGTAACCCAGGGAGACAGGGAGGTAGGCGTACAGGGCCTGTGGCACACACACACCACAGTCAGGGAAGGATGGCGAGGTTGGAAAATGGAGTGGAATTGAAGCCAGGCTGGGAGACCATCACTGTGAACTATGGAGCCCTATTTTTAACCATGATTCAAGTATGTGGTGATCAGAGACCTCAACCCACATATGAAGAATATGCTAGATGGCTTCTTTTGTTTGGACATGGTATCTCAGCTCTGAGAGGCACTGTGCCTACCCTGAGGGTCACTTTGAGAACTCATTTCTTCAGAGTGACCTCTCATTTTTAGTCCAAAAATGGCTTGGGGAACTTTTTTAAACATTTTAAATTTAATTTGTGAAAGGTTTACTTATTTTAATATTTTATGTGTATGTATGTGCGCGCCACATGTGCGCCTGGTTCTTGTGGCTGCTACAAGAGGGTGTTGGATATCTCTGGAACTGGGGTAATAGATGGTTGTGAAGCTACCATGTGAACCAAACCTAGGTCCTCTGCAAGAAGAACAAGTGCTCTTAACCACTGAGCCATCCCTATTCATTCATTCATTCATTCATTCATTCATTCATTCATTTAGAGAAAGAGAAAGTGTGTGTGTGTGTGTGTGTGTGTGTGTGTGTGTGTGTGTGTGTGTGCGTGCGCGTGTGTGCATGCCTGAGGAGGCCAGAAGAGACTGTTGGATCTCCTGGAACCAGAGTTTCATTTGGTTGTGAGCCACCACATAGCTGCTGGAAACTGAACCTGGGTCCTCTCTAAGAGCTGCCAGTGCTCTTAACCACTGAACGGTGTCTCTCTAGTCCTGACTTTGGGACTTTATACTAAAGTCTCATGCTCTTGGTAACCACAGAGTCCTTGGTTATCAGTGTTGAAAAAGGAAACCTACTGTCTTGCTCAAAAGTTTTCTGTGGAGAAGCCATTGTCTCCATGTGTAGCTGTGAACTGAAACCTGCTGTCCATACCTGGCTAGAAAGAACCGGATGCAGCCCCACCAGCCGCTGCACCATGTGGCTCTTTCCCTCTGTAGGTGTGTCAGTCAGCTGAGGATGGCAACGCAGAGCAGGGTATAACATCACAGCTTTAGAGTGGGGACTGTTGTTCCTCGGGGCTGGGACTCTTGAGTGCTGTTCAGCCTTCACTAGACACAAAAGCCCAGAGAAGTCAATAAGTAGTTTTCCATTCGATCTTTGGGAAAATTTCCCAAACAGATGAGTTTCTCCTTTATAATTACTGCAGGAGAACGCAGGTCAGATTCTGTTTCTAGGCCACAAGCAATGGGCCATTTGTTCACAACGCTTTTATCTCCTGAAACCTACATTCTTTACCAGGAACTGGAACCCTCCCTTTTGAAAGGGCTGGGGCTCTGCCTGGCTGTCTAATTACATGAAACAGACACTTTTGCTTCAAGCATGGGGCTCTCAGTGTTCTTGACTCCTAGTGATATACTGAAAGAAGAAATAGAAATAGCAACAAGGAAAATCCTCTTTGAAACTTCTGGCCACTTGTTACTTTTTAGGCAACTGGCGACAGTGGAGATGCAGTTGATCCTAGAGATGCTAGAGAGCCTGGGGCTGTCCTCATGCCTTTGTGCCACAATAGTCTGACACCATGAAGAGCGATCAAGTTCAATTCTTACAAATTAGAAAGCATCATCTGACTAAACCCTGGGGCTTAATCTGCTTGTATCAATAGGGAGGTTTTGTCATGTAAAGTTGGCTTATTGAAGTTGAGAGGACCCTGGAAAACTGCTTTCCTTTTTTTTTTTTTTTTTTTTTTTTTTTTTTTTAACTGCTAGAATTTTCCCCAGGTCCTGTAAGTATTGAGACTCTGTTGATGATTTTAGGAGCTGCAAAACGGTCTCCAGAAAGGCAAGCTGACTTTTGAGAACATCATGGAAAAATTGCGCATCAAGTATTCTGAAATGTACAGCATAGTCCCTGCAGAGATCGAATCCCAGGCAGAAGAATGCAGGAAAGTGCTAGAAGATGCAGATGAGAAGGTAATGATGTGTGCTGTGCTATTGTTGAGGGGTTGCATGTGTGGAAATAAGGATATCCTTTGATGTCGCTTGTCGTTTTTCTAGTTGCAGCTCTGCCTGATTTTATGGAGCTCGTGTATTGAGCAGTGAGATGAAAGGTGCTCCAAGTAAATTGCATAGAGGACAGAATTTCAGATCATCTTTTATTTTCACCAGTTGTCTTAGATGCTTACATTTTAATAGTTTATATTATCTTTTACTTGGCTTATTATTATGATTTAAAATTATTATTTATTCTAAAGCAATATTTTAAAGAAATAGGAACATGTGTAATGTTTTGCTTTAAAAAATATTCTCCAAAACACCTTGAAAGAACAACTCAGGGAATACAGGCTTCATTGCTTACACAAAATAGCATTCCGCATGTGTTGTCTGTTTAATGGTGGTTACGGTGGAATTCTCACAAAGCATGGGCAAACTTTTCTACCTCAGAGTACAATTCTGAAAAGAGGCGGTGAATTGTTCCATTGTGCTGGATACATGGGTGCTCAACTAGGCAGTATTATTAGAAAGCTCAGACCAGCAGAACAAAATTGTATTTGGTCCAATGTCCACAAAGAGGGTTTTATGTTTTGTTTTTGAGTTTAGAATGCCTATCACATGGTAAATAAAACAGACCACCACTAGAAACAGTGCAGAGAAAAACAGGGCTCTCTGTTTTTGTTTGTTTGTTTTGTTTTGTTTTTTTGAAATAGGGTTTCTCTGGAACTCACTTTATATACCAGGCTGTCCTTATCTCACAGATCTACCTGTCTCTGCCTCCCAAGTGCTGGGATTAAAGGTGTGTATTACCACCCCCTGGCAGGGCTCTCAATTCTTAAGAAGTAGCTACTTGGAGGAGGTTGTTTGGCCTAGACGGTAGGGAGGTGGAGAACACGTTTGTTTTTAAATTGTCCCGAGAATAAAGTTGATTGTACTGTACACAACCAACAGTATAGATATATAGAGCTATATAGATTTTCTTGTAAAATGGGGATGCATAAAAAAATAAGATTTCAAACTCAAATGCTAATGTTGGTGACAATGGCTCACTCCTATAATCCCAGCGCACCATAGGCTAAGGCAGGGGATTACCATGTATTAGAGGCCAGCTGAGGTTGCAGGGTGAGACCTTATTTCAAACAAAACAAACAAATGAAGCAACAAACCCCTCAGATGCTATGACAAATTTCTGATAACATGTAGTCTGCATATAATTATGCAGTCTTCTAAAGTGTTAGAACAGATGTTTTAATTTAACACACAATAACCTATTAGGACTTTTCTCAAGGATTATTATTATTATTATTTAAGAGACTGCCAAATATTTTGAGAGAAATTCAGGGTTATTTTTATGACTTTGTGTGAAATGCCCCCTATAAAGTAAGTTAATTAAAAACAATCTTTCATGTTTTAGAGAGAGTTTTCCACTGCAAACTTGTATGCTTGTGACTAATGGAACTGATTTTTATTGTGTCATGAGTCTCAAGAAAATGAAAGGGTCTAGGCCACAGCTGCATACAGTATCATGTGTGTACTTCAGATGGCTGCTTACCTTTGATCATAATCTTTCCTGGTGTGTCCAAATGGTAGTATGACTTTCAACCAGAAAAGCATTACCCATATTGGGTGACCTCATTTGTTTGGTACTGTGTTACATATGCAACCAGAAAAAATACAAGACTAAAAGTGAGAGCTAAGCGCCAGAGAGATGGCTCAGTGGTTAAGAGCACTTGCTACTCTTGCAGAGGACCCTGGTTCATTTCCCAGGATCTACATGGTAGCTCACAACCATCTTTAACTCCAGTTCCAATGGATCTGATGCCTTCTTCTGCCTCCTAAGGCCCCAGACACACACATGGTGTACATGCATGGTGTACATGCATACATAAGGCAAAATATTAATACATATAAAGTTAAGGCTAAAAATACTAAATTGATATTTTTAAAACCATTATCTTTATTACAGTATATGGTCTATGAATAAAAATAGGATATGAAGGTATCACCAGCTCGCTGAGACTTGAACTTGCCACATAGAGTCTGGGAACTGGGGTCTTCTAGGGTCAAGTTCGGCCAACACCTTGATGTGTGGTCTTGGCTCTGAGTTAGCCATTATCCCAGGTTTCATCTTGTACAATAATGGGGTATTTTCACCTCAGCTAGTGTGCATAGTGTTATTTAGATTTTTTTGTGGATACTTAACAACAGTAGCTTAAAAACAAGAAAACACACTGATCAGGCCTTTGGGGATACAATATATTTAATATTCCTAATCTTTCCTAGCACAAGTTATTTTCTTAAGAAAATCATTTAGGAGGGGGAAAAATGTTCTGGTTGCTAGGAACACACTCTAGAAACAGCGTAGAGAAAAGCAGGGCCCCCTTGTCCTTTAGACATAGTTATTTGGAGGAGGTTTTGCCTAACTGTATGGGAAAGTGGAGATTTTATTTTAAATTGGCCTAAGAATAAAGTTGGTCTTACTGAACACAGAGTTGGGTAGATAAATTTCTGAGTGTCTAAGGAAGTTTTTTCTCCTTTGAAATTCTCAGTAATTCTTCCCATTGTAACATAAATTTCATTTATTTGAATAAACATATTTCTAAACACATAGGGTCATCTGATTATCTACCTTGTCACTAATACATTAACAGTATGGTTTGGAGGTGCTCCCCCATGTTAAAATATTTTACAAGTCAAAAGAGTGAGTAATAGTTCTGATGTTTGAATGGAGAGCTGAAAATGTTTGCACACTTTCTCCCTTGTCACAGGTGAGCCCTGAGGTAGCAAAGAGTTCGCCATCGTGTGGCATGAGGAGGAGGATAGAGGAGATTAACAACGGGCTCCATGGCATTGAGGAAATGCTGCAGCAAAAAAGCAAAAACATTGAGGAAGCTCAAGAAATTCAAAAGGTAGTGGGTTCCTGGGAGTGGCTTCGGCATCTGCCTCACCCTGTACCCACACCCCAGGCTTCAGCATCTGCCTCACCCTCTACCCACACCCCAGGCTTCAGCATCTGCCTCACCCTCTACCCACATCCCAGGCTTCAGCATCTGCCTCACCCTCTACCCACATCCCAGGTGTAAATCATTCAGTAGCCCAAGGTGAGTTCTTTGGATAGAGCTGAAGCTCCAGGAACCTGAACCAGGCCTGAGGATGTAGCTTGGTTGGCAGAGTGCTCGCCTGGCACACACAAAGCCTTGGGTTTGAGCCCCAGCACAGCATAAAAGGGCATGGTGGCACGTGCTGGTAATCAGAGGACTTAGAAGGTAGAAGCAGGGATCACGGTCATCCCTGGCTACATAGGGAGTTTGAGGCCAGGATCAGCTGAGGTCCTGTCTCAGTAAATAATAAAATAATTTTTTAAAGAATGAATGAATGACTACACCAGGTCACTGTGGCATCAGTAACAAGTACGTTTTTTCTGCCCGCTGCCGGTCTGGTCTTGTCCCGCCGCCACACCAGCCCCAAATAACAGAGACTCTGTATTTGATACAGTGCTGTTGGCCCGGTTACTTGTTTCTTATCGGCTAGCTCTGTCTTAATTATTAACCCATTTCTGCTGATCTATGTATTTCTCTTACCAGGGAGCAGGCTAGCATCCTGCTTTCTCCAGACTCTCCATGCTGACTCCTCCTCACTACTTCCTCTTTCCTCCTTGTCTCCTAGTCCCTCCTATCTTCCTTTCCTATTGGCCAACAGTGCTTTATTCATTAACCAGTATGAGAAACATTTACAGAATGGCATCTCCCATCACAGAGGCACGAAAGGGTCAGGTGCACGGGTATCCTCAGGTTTTGACAGGCAGGCACTTGCCCTGGCCCCTGGCAGCCTCTGACTTGGAAATAGCATTCCTACAATTAAAGGGACAGTAAGCATCTAACTGGGAAGACTGACATACAAACTGAGTCAGTTGGGTCAGAAAAATAGTACCGGTTTTTCTGTAGATCACCAAGAAACTCTCCAAACAAATTTCCCCTATGAAATTGCTTGGGAAATGAAGTTATAGGTAAAAGCATAGATGAGCATTGTTCTACATCCAAATCCCGAGTAAAATCCTGCCTGTGAGTTTGTAATGTCATCCACACTTTTAGGAAGCACGCTAATGTACCTGGGGGGGGGGGGGGGCTTCCCAAAGCAGGTGAGACTATAGGTCATTGTTAGACATAGTCTTGGTTCTTAAGCAGAAGACTGGACCTAACAAGTCAGGTTTTGTTTCCCCAAGCATGTTATTATACAAGTATTAAGTATGATTGGAAAAGTTCACCTTTGAAATCTTCCTCTGCCCATGTAAGTTCAGATTCAAATCCAGCCTATTAGTTTCTTGAGTTAAAAGCAATAGACATTGTTGTTCTTTTTTTTTTCCACTTGAAGCTGTCTTCTGGATTTGTGTGTGTGTGTGTGTGTGTGTGTGTGTGTGTTTGTACATCTATACACACACACAGAATCTAAGTCTCAGTAGGCCTTTCTATTTTTCTTTGCTTTGGGAAATGGACTCCTCACGGTCATCCAGGCTGGTCTCAGATTCCTGATCTCAAGCAATCCTGAGAGCAGAGACTAAAGGAATACATCATCACGCCCTGCTTAAGTAGCCGTTTAACACCTACTGTGGACTTCCTGGCTTTTGAACTCTACAGCTGTATGAACCGTGCCTAATGTTAATCATCCTTGCTTAAGCTCCAGGTTTTCCTGTCCTACACTTGTACTGAAGTGAATGTGGTTAGAACTAGAAAGCGATTCCCACTTTCTAGACAACAGATGGTTGCTGGGTGAATGAACAAGTGTGTCTTTTGGCATTGCCAAGTGCAAGTGGGCAAATGAATTATTATCCTCACGGCACCTTCATTTAAATTGACTTAACATTTCCTTCTCCAGAAAATATGGGATGAACTTGACCTCTGGCATTCCAAGCTAAGTGAGCTGGACTGTGAAGTTCAGGACGTTGTTGAGCAACACCCAGGACAGGCTCAAGAATGGATGGATACCTTGATGGCTCCTTTCCAGCAGCATCAGCAAGTATCCCAGAGAGCAGAATCCAGAACCTCACAGCTCAACAAGGTACAGCCATGACACCTGATAGCTGCATAACATGGTGGTTCCAAGAAGGGCGTCACAAAGTCAAACGCGGGGTGACATTCAGAGATGGCCAGTAGTGTTATGTTGTTCCCCACTTCCCAACCTTCCCCAGGCATCATAGTGAGACCACAGCAAGAGTCTAGGCAGTTGTATTTTCCCTAGGTAAAGGAAGACTCAAGAATGGGTCAGGCGTACTGTCTCCAGAGCCCCAGGGAGGGAGCCTGCAATGACAGGGGGTAACATTTGGGAACAAGGCCTTTTCTACTCCTATTCTAAAGAGTGGCTATGTTTGCTGAGTCCTGAGTGTAATTCTGTTAGGACAGGATCCTGAAACGGTATAGGATAGGGCCAGGTCCTGAACTCGAGGAGAAAGTACAAGCCTTGTGTTGAGAATGAGGCAGAAATGGGACTAAGCTAGTTGCAGCACCAACTCACTGGGGACCTTAGTCGAGGTCTAAAGGAACTCCTTAAACCCTTGCTCTACCTGTCATGGACAAGTTGGAAGGTTCTTTACCTGGAGCAAGTGGGCCTGTGTTGTGTCCTCAGCCATGAAAAAGACATAAAAGGCCTGGCATGCAACTTAGAGAGCAGGCCAGCCCAGTAAGCAGCCTCCAGCAAGCTTGCTTCCCATTTTTTTCCCCTCCCCACAGGCCACAATGAAGATGGAAGAATACAATGATCTTCTGAAAAATACAGAGGCGTGGATAGAGAAAACCAGCCGTTTGCTGGCCAATCCTGCCTGCTATGACTCTTCAAGGACCCTGAGCCACCGTGCCAGCACCCTCCAGGTAGGACAGACATCTGGGGTTTTCACCAAGACAGCACAATTGACCCCTTGTCAACTTGACAGACAGACACATCAGTGATAAGCCACAACCTGTCCTTTCTCGTCCATCCCCACGGTCACCCATTAATAACACCACAATATAATTCCCACCGTCTTTACAAGTTCAAACACTTTAAAATTCAGTAAAAAATCCAAAAGTCTCTTTTAAACCCTAAAATCGCTATAAAAGTTCAGTCTCTTAACTGGGGGCTACTGTAAAATTAAAAAAAAAAGAACTCCTTATTCAAGAGGGCACAGTTTCAGTCAGGTCAAAGCAATGTCTAGTGTCTGGGACCAAGTCACTATCTTCTGGGATCCTCCAAAGAGCCTTGGTCACTTCTCCAGCTCTGCCCTCTGCAGCACACACAGCTTAGGCAGGTTCGACTCCCCACCCCTGCTGTTCTTGGTGGTCATCCATGGTAATGGCATCTCCAAAATTCTGGGGTCTTCTGATGCAACCGGGTTGCAGAACCTCTACTGGGCTCTCTTCATAGTGCCAAGCCTCAACTTCTCTGCATGACCCCTTCCATCCTGGACCTTCAGCTGCTACTGAACTGAACCTTCACCAGTGGCCTCTCCTGGCCTCTCACGGGGCTAAGCCTCAGCTGCTGTCCCTGACCCCTTCATGCCTTAAAAACCAGTACCACCTGAGTGACTCTTACACATTACCAAGTTCAGCTACCAGCATGAAGTACAACCTTGGCTGCCTCTGGGCACAGCTTCTGTATGCTGACTCTTGGGAAACACTTCCCGGAAGGTTTCCCCTCAGTGATGCTGATCTATCTATCTATCTCTCTCTCTCTCTCTCTCTCTCTCTCTCTCTCTCTCTCTCTCTCTCTCTCTCTCTCTCTCTCTCTCCCTCCTAGACAAGAGTTTCTCTGTGTAACTCTGGCTGATCTGAAACTCATTCTGGTCTGACCAGGCTGGCCTTGAACTCAGAGATTGCTGGTCTTTTTTTTTTTTTTGTTCGTTTGTTTGTTTGTTTACAGAAATCACACTCATTTTTACACTTTTTTTTTTTTTTAAGAAGAGATTGTATTCAGTTTTCATCATGGTTTTCATTATGGCAGAATTTCTTGCAACTAATCAAATTTGGAAATATTTTAGATAGTAACTTAAAATAAGAACACCCCCCCCCAAACCCATCACTTTGAGGGAATGCTGGTTTCTTCTTAACCACTGCTAATTTTGCAGCTCCAGCTGACTGACATCAACTCTCCCAGGAAAACAAAGGTTTTGCTTTAGTGGTTAAGCATAGCCAGTTCTTCTGCCCCAGCTGTCCAGACCATAGGTTCTTCACACAAATTGCCCGGTAGAAGCTTTGCTTCCCTTTGAAATTTTACAAGCCAGACATCTGTCTTCTGCACTGCTCTCAACATTCTTATCTTCAAAGCGCCCACAAAACAGCCCACTGAGCTCTCCATACTTAACAGCTCTTACAGCTAAGTTCCAAAATCTTCCACAATCCTCCCCAGAATATGTTCAGGTCTGTCACAGCAATACCCAAATACCAACTTCTGTTTTAGGGTTTCTATTGCTGTGGAGCACACCATGACCCTGGCAACTCTTATAAAGGAAAACAGATAATTGGGAATGGCTTACAGTTCAGAGGTTTGGTCCATTTTCGTCATGGCGGGAAGAATAGTGGCATGCAGGCAGACACAGTGCTGGAGAAGGAGCCAAGAGTTCTATATCTGGATCTGTAGGCAGCAGGAGGAAAAACAGTGAACCTGGCTTGAGCATTTGAAACCTCAAAGTCTAGCGCCAGTGACACACTTCCCCCAACAAGGCCACACCTACTCCAGTAAGGTCATTCCTCCTGATAGTGCCACTCCTATTAGTCTATGGAGGCCACTTTTATTCAAACCAACACATGTCATATGGCTGAAGTAATACGAGGGTCATTCTGAATACACCATCAGTCACACTTGACTTCACAGACTGTAGAGGCATTCTCCTGCTGCCTTGAAGAAAAAAGGCAGCATACTAAGAGGATTGTGGGGTCAGGTCTCCAGAGTAGCTTCTAGAAATTGAGAGCAACCTCTAGCTAACCTCTACTCTGTATCCTACAACTGAATTTTATCAATAGCTTAAATGAATCTGGAAGAAAACCTGTGAGATGTGGTCTCCTGTGTCCTAGCTTGACCTAGAGCTTGCCATGTGTGAGGTTGACCTTGAACTTCTGATCTTTTGCCTGCCTGCTTTCCTTCTGCTGAGATTCCTGGCATGTGTCTCCTTCCCTTATATGATGCTGACATTGATCCCAAGGCTTCATACAGGCAAAGCAACCATTCTGCACTCTCAACTACATACAAGGTCCCCATGTAGATGGCCTTATTTATTCTTTGACAATTTTATACATATATGCATATGTACATACATAATGATTTTAGTCATTTTCACCTCTGTTACCTTTTTCACGCCCTTCCCTCCCACCGAACCCCTTCTTTTCAACAATCACCCTCCTATATATCTAAAAACAACCAAACCCAAACCAAACCCCAGCACGAGTTTGTGGGGTATTAATGGGAACATGGGCAACTTATCAGAGGCTACACCAGTAAAAAATAAGTGACATCCCTACTCCCAGCAACCACTGGCAACCTCTCCTTAGGACGGAGTGAGGCCCTCTAAGCCCTTCTGCCCCAGATGGCCTCTCAGTTGGAGCCCTGTGGCTCTGTTAGCTGAAGCCCACCTTCACTAGGCCCAAGCCCTGGAACATAGAAATATGTCTTTGGTTTTAAGCAACTAGGTTTATAATCATTAGTACCCATGGCCTAACATGCCATGCTTCGGAAGACCCTGTCCTTCCGGGCATCCCTCAGGTTCTCTGTGCCCGTTAGAGAGGCAGAGCCAATGGGAGTGTTTTCCTTCTTGGGACTGGGGCTGCCTGGGATGGCCCAGTGCCTGGAAATGACTGGGTTGATTGTAAAGGTGGATTTTCTTTCTCTCATTATTAGGTTCTGAGAAAGAGTCACTAAGGAATCATTTCATAACAGTTTCTATAGCAACCAGACTTCAAAGATGGTCTAAGATTTATAGATTTAAGGTGGCACAGTGTTCCTGTGAGTGGCTGGCCTCGCTCACACAAGACATTTGAGATTTGATTGCGCACTTTTGTCCTATGGGATCAGCTGTTAAGAGGTTATATTTTAACCTACTTATTTCTTGTCTTCTTGCTTGTGGTTTCCTTTGTCCCTCATTCCCCACTCTCCCCATACACCGTGGGTTGATTCTCCACATCCCTAGAGCATATCATTTTTCTATTTTAATTAGTTTTATGATTCACCTTTATTGAAAGGTTTATTTTTGTGTGTATGAGTATTTTGCCTGCATGTATCTGAGTGCATCGTGTGTGTGTGTGTGTGTGTGTGTGTGTGTGTGTGTGTGTGTGTTGCCAGCAGAGGTCAGAAGAGGGCATTGCATATCCTAGAACAGGAGTTACAGATTTGTGAGCAGTTATGTGGGTGCTGGGAATTGAAGTGGGTTCTCTATGAGAGCAACAAGGGTTTTTACCCACTGAGCCATCTCTCTCCTCCCTGGCATTCCGCCCCCCACACTCCCATCCTTTTCTATTTTTCTGAGGCAGGCTCATGAGGCCCAGGCTATCTTTGAACTTGGTATGTAACTGGAGACCCCTCTGAGTCTTCTGCTTCCACTTCTCAGTACTGGGGTTACTGGCATGTGTTACCCCAACAGTTCCAGTTTCTGTAGTGCTAGGGACTGAGCCCAGAACTTCTCACATGCTAGGCCACCCATATTTCATCCAGTTTTGAAGAGTTTGCCAAGATAGAAGAGAGCAGTGATGCTTTCTTTCTCTTCTCCTTGAAAGACGTGAGCTCAGGGGAAAGGAGATTTCTGCTCGTTTTTTGCTGATGTAAATGTCATGGAGTGAGAACCTGTTCTGGAAGGTTCTAAATGGCTGGACTGAGCAGAGGAAGTAAGATAAGGGAATGTACAGGTTATTTCCCACACATTGGGTATTGGTGAATCCTCGAAAGGGCAGTAAGCACTGGAGAATTAGTCCTGTGTGAAAAATCCCATGTTGCCCTTATAATTAAAATAGCTGTCCTGGCCCAAAAGATGGCTCAACAGGTAATCGTGCTTTGGTACCAAGCCTGATGGCCTGAGACCCACATGGTTTAAGAAGGGAACCAACTCGTGTAAGTTGTCATCTGACCTCCACCCACATGCTCTGGCATGTGTGTGCCCGTCCCACACATATACACACACAGAGAGAATAAAGAATGCTTGCTAAGATACTCCTTTCAGGTTTTCTGGCATTGCTTGTTATCTTTTCTTTGTTTTTGTTTTTGTTTTTTAAGGCAAGGTCTCAGGTAGCTCAGGTTGAACTCCTAATCCTCCTGCCTCTGCCTCACCAAATGCTAGGGTTGTGGTATGTGTGCTACCATGCCTGTATTTTTTTTTTTTTCCAATTTCTTTTCTGTCATCTTAGTGCCCCACCCCTGCCCCGACTCTGTCTCCTTTTCTTTTGGAATTTATTTAAATGACTGGCAGCACGCTCCACTAAGCATGATAAAGCTTGTTTTGCTGGGCATAGTAGCAATCCACTGTAAAGCCTGTGATTAGAAGGGTAGGTTGGAGGACCAAAAATTCAAGGGCAGCCTAAGCTACATGGCAAGTCTCTTAACTCATTTTTTCTTGTTGATGTTGTTTTTCAAGACGGGATTCTCCGTGTAGCCCTGGCTGTCTTAGAACTCACTCTGTAGACCAGGCTGGCCTCAAACTGAGAGATCTTGCCTCTGTCTCCCAGATGCTGGGATCAAAGGCATGCGCCATCACCAGCCAGGTTTTTGTTTAATTGCACGTTCACTTAGCATAATGCACCTGTGATTCATCCCATTATTGCGGCCATCAGTAATTCATTCTTTCCATTGCCAAATACTGTTCCAGCCTGTTTATTCCTCTGCTGGCTAACAGATACTTGGGTTGCTTCTGTGCTTTTGCTGTTGTTATGCAAAAATTACAGGAAAATGTGGACACTTCAGACAACCAACATTTATTACCTGACAGTCTGCCAGTAGATGCTCAAGTCAACCGGTGCTGACAATAGAGTGTTCATTGGTTTCATTCTAAACACAGAAATGCCTAGGACTTGGAACTTTTTAGATAAAGTTTACACTTACTGGATCTGAAAATGATGGTTGCTTCGTTTCATCAACTTGGTGTTTTCCCCTCTTCTCCTTGTGTCTCTAGATGGCTCTGGAAGATTCTGAGCAGAAGTACAGTCTTCTACATTCAGTTTTCACGGATCTGGAAGACCTGTCAGTCATTTTTGAAACGGATGACTTAATCCAGTCCATCCAAGAGTTAAGTGGCCAAGTGGCAGCTTTACAGCAGCAATTGGTGGACGCCCTGCCACACATCCAGCAGGTGGCAGACGTAAGTGACAGCAAAGACGTGGGTTCCTGTTTCCTGTGTACAATTTATCTGGCACATTATACCAGGCCATGCCCCCAAATCCTATGGAAGCACAGACACATTTCAGTTGATGTTATTTCTTAAGTTTGTATTTTACTTTGTACAACTGCACACATGTCCTCATCCTTCACCCAGAGTAGTCTAGCTGCAACATGAAGAACCCTGATAAATGAGCACACTGTTCTAATTCACGCTCCAACCAATCCTGGGGTCAATTCTTGGTTGCTGAAGCTTTTAACAAAGTGGCAGCGTGCGTGTGTCTGTGGTTTTTGATGGAAGTGGCTTTAAGATGCACTCTGTAGTTTGGCATTGCTTCTTAAACAGTAGGTGAAAAAATAAAAGTCAATGTAATCTGACTTGTCATAATTTAGATGTGTTCCTTTGAAAAGTTACTGTAGATTATTTTACTCATAAAGATTTTTTTTCAGTATTGCAACTGCAAACTGCTATAATTTGAAGCCTTCAGCATTCCTGCATCATTTTTAAAACCTCCCTTGCCATCTCATTATTCTGTTGCATCTTGAATGCTAAGCTCAGTTTCAAGCTCTCAGTTGTTAGTCAGGGCACTTCATTGTGTGGGTTTCCCTCACATATTTCAACTTTTTTTTTTTTTTCTAGCATTTCACTTTAAGGTTTTTGGCCCAGTTATGGACATTAACACTGAATCCGCCATTGGACAAAAGACCTTGTGTTTAATTAACCGGAGTAGGTCATGGCATCACTCTGCAGCCTTCTGCTCAGCAGGAGCTCATTAGGGGGTGGATAAGAAAACCTTGGGGTTTTCCAGCTCCTTGTCTGTTTCTGAAGGGTGACTTTATCGTTTCTTTAACTTAAAGTGATGGGAATTTCTAAAATGCCAGACCCACTTGTGTTTATGTAGTTAAACACATTCCAAAGATAAATTTGAAGAGTTTGTAGTAACTGAGAGTTTATTTTAGAAGTTGATTTGGAAACATGCCAACTTCTGTTCTCCTCAGTAACTGAAACTTGGCCCTATGGATAGCTTGACTTCACGGTGCTATCTAGTGTGGTGTAGACTAACTTGTCTTGTTTTGTTTTCCAAGGCAGATTTCTCTGTATAGCCCTGGCTGGCTTGGCACTCACCCTGTAGACCAGGCTGGCCTCGAACTCACAGAGATCTACCTGCCTCTGCCTCCTCAGTGCTGGTATTAAAGACATGCACTGCCTTGTTAACCAAAAACTTTTCATTTTAAACCATGCAATCATCTATTAGTTTTTAAGCAGTGTAAGTCGTAAACACCCACCTTTTGGGTTAAGTACTAGATTAGAATTAATAACAAAATATTATGCAATGCAGCATGTGGTACATGAGTGTGTCTTGTTTCTAAACTTCTAGGACGTGGTTGCGATTGAGTCTGAAGTAAAATCAATGGAGAAAAAGGTTGCAAAAATCAAAGCTATCCTGTTATCCAAAGAAATATTTGATTTTTCACCTGAAGAACATCTCAAGCATGGGGAGGTATGCATGGATCATTTTTGAAAGTTATTTTTTTTTTAACAATACTTACTGTCTGCCTAAACATATGTAAACATAGGGTGTGACCCAAAGTGTTAGACTCATCAGAGTAATAGCAAATAAGGCTGGGAATAGCTGTATGTGCATATAAAATATCTTTAAAATATTTTTGAGATTTGATTTATTTTTATTTCATGTGTGTGAGTGTTTTCCCAAATGTATGTGTATGCACCACATTCCCACAGTGCCCTTGGAGGCCAGAAGAGGATGTTGGATTCCCTAGGACTGGAGTTACATTTGTGAGCCACCATGTAGGTACTGGGTAAAAAAGCAGCCAGTTCCAAGAAAACCACTTGAGTCACATTTATAGTGTTCCCTATGTAACAATAGGAAAACTAGTTCCCTGTATGTTTGCGCTCCCAAGGCCTTGATTGCCTACATGAGTCCTTGGAGGGTGTCTGGCCCCAGCAATAGTGTTTACTGGCTTTGAATATTTATTTCCTGAACTTCTTTCTCTTTTATCTCTGTGTGTTGGTGCTGAGACCATCAGCTAAGTATGGCTTATAGAGAGCCAAGCACAGTATCAGCAAATGCGCTGACCTTCCCACTCAGCCTCGTTGTCCACAGCAGGCCCTTTGAGGGCAGGCAGAGCTGGGTTCTAGTCTTACCCTGTCTCTTGCCATCTAAACTTAATTGAGTCTTCTTCCTTCTGGGAACCTGTCTCCTAACCTGTGACCCTTGCAGGGTTAAATGAGGTGTTATCTATGAGGTCTATAGTAAAATGAAATTTAGACAATTCTGTTCAATCCAGGGAGCATTTTTTTTTTTTTTTTTAACCTCCTGCAGGAAATCCTAGGCTAGGTACGTTTACTTTGGAAGTAAGATTCATGCCCTGCCCAAGGACAGCATACAGAACTAAGGCACGATTCCATACAGAGGGGGGAGGAAGTGTGGAACCAGTTGTCTGAATGCTGATGTAGTGTTTGGAAGTTAGTCTTTCCCCAGATGTTCTTTCCTAAGACCCTTAACGATCATACCTCGATAGCTCTTTTAAATCTAAATTAAGAAACTGCTTTTAAAACTGAAACTACGGGGCTGTAGAGATGGCTCAGTGGCTGAGCATACTTACTGCTCTTGCAGAGGACCTGAGTTCCCAGTACCACATCGTAGCTCCAGCTCCAGGGGCTCCTGTCCCCTCTTCTGGGCTCTGCAGGTTCTGCATCCATGTGCAGTCCCCATTCCATACATGCATATACTCAATTAAAAGTAAAAATAAAATATCTTTAATTGAGATTGTACATTAAGGATCAACACTAAATTACAACTATTTTAATCTGCACTAAGTAAACTTGCATGGTCTTTTGTGTGGCTTTTGTTTGTTTGTTTGTTTCTGTTTTCACTCATGTATTGGTCTTTCTGCCATTAAGGTCATACTTGAAAACATCCATCCCATGAAAAAAACTATTGCTGAGATAATGACCTACCAAATGGAACTGAGGCTACCTCAGACAGGAACCAAACCTCTGCCTGTGTTTCAGAGGACAAATCAGCTCTTACAAGATGTGAAGCTGTTGGAAAATGTGACTCAGGAACAAAATGAGTTATTGAAGGTGAGCGGTTTATGACCAAAGCCAACTTGCTGTCTGCATGGAAATGTTCAGTAAAAGTTGGTTTAATTCTTCTTGTAGTTTGATTTCTATTGCTGTGATAAAACAGCCTTGGGGGTGTGGGGGTGTGGGGGAAGGTTTACTTGGCTAGCCTATCCTAGGTCATAGTCCACTGAGGGAAGCCAAGGCAGAAACCTGGAGGCAAGAGCTGAAGCAGAAGCCATGGAGGCAGCATTACTTACTGGCTTGCTTAGCCAGTGTCCTTATACTACCCTGGACCATCTGCCCATGGGCAGCACTGCCCCTAATGGGCTGCACCCTCCCACATCAACCATCAATCAAAAAATAACCCACAGACTCACCTACGGCCAATCTGATGGAGGCATTTTCTCAGTTGAGGTTTTCTCTTCCCTGATGACCCCAGCCTGTACTAAGTTGACAGGATAACACAAGTAGCCAGTGTAGTTTTCAAGTTTAATTGAAAGCAGTTATTTCCCCAAGAGGTGGCATTTGAGATATATATATCTCAAATATCTATATCCATATATCTCTATCTCCATCTCTCTCTCTCTCTCTCTCATATATCTTTAATCCCAGAACCTAGGAGACAGAGGCAGGCAGATCTCTTTGTGAGTTTGAGGCCAGCCTGGTCTACGGAGTGAGTTCCAGGACAGCCAAGGCTACACAGAGAAACCCTGTCTCAAATAAATAAATTAATAAATAAATGGTTTCCCACACCCCCCATGTTTCTCACCCTTGCTCTGGCTGAGCACATTAGCCTTCTATGGTCTGTTTAGTTAATACAGCTATTAAAGATCTATGTGAGTGAAACAGAGGGAAAGAGAGTTCAAACCCGATCAAGGCGCTTGCAACCTCTGGAGACCTATAAAGCAAGCATCACATAGCAGTCTCCTTGTCCACCTCAATCACTTCCTCTTCCTGTGATTACCTCAATATTCCCCAACTCCTGACATAGGTAGGCCATTTTCCACCTCGGGGAGACTTGTGTCACAAGTCTTAATGGGAGACTTAAATAGAAAAGGAAGAGTTAACTAGTGTCAAGGTTAGTTCCTATGTAATAAAGTGAGAATTTTAGTGTTTGAACCTTCTGTTGTTCTCCATCTTGAGGGTCTCTGCCTTTCGGTAACATTTTCCCATCACTCTCAGGAGGGTCCCCCCACCCCCCTACCCCCCACCCTTCCCACCCCGCCTATAAGTTTTGTTACTCCACTGATCTCAAGATAGAATCACTCTAGTTCATATTCCTAGTGCAAAAGCCACGCCCATAGGACAGAAATTATTAGAATACTTTTTTTTAATTAAATAAATAATTTTTATTTTATGTGCTTTGATTGGTATTTTGCCATGGGCGTCAGGTTCCCTGGAACTAGAGTTACAGACAGTCGTGAGCTGCCATTTGGGTGCTGGGAATTGGACCTAGGACCTCTGGATGAGAAGCCAGTGCTCTTAACCCCTGAGCCATCTCTCCAGCCCTATTAAAACAATCTTGGACTCCACATACAATCTCCCCACTTGGCAGAGACACTGCACCTCTTGCTTTGGAAAGTGCTGTATCTTATTCTTTATACAGTTCCCTCTACATTTAAGGGAACTGTATAAAGTTGGAGGATCTTGTATTCCCTGATTCGTAGATTAACCGTCCTCTGACCTAACTGATCAACTGATGTTTTTCTCCTAATACCCACAGAGGGAACATGATTTAACATTGCTGTACCTTGTTAGAAATAGTTTGTTAAGTGAAAGAAAAAGGATCAAATTTGATGGTTTCTTTGGGGTTTGTTTGTTTGTTGATGGTTGTTTGTTTGTTGTTTGGCTTTTTGTTTTGGTTTTTGAGACAGGGTTTCTCTGTACAATAGTCCTGGCTGTCCTGGAACTAGCTTTGTAGACCAGGCTGGCCTCAAATTCACTGAGATCTGCTGGCCTCTGCCTCCCAAGTGCTGGGATTAAAGGCATGCACTGCCACTGCCTGGCCCTATACCCCGAGCCCTGCTGAGATGCCCTGGAGTCTAGGAGAGTGGGTAGATTAGGCTTCAACATGAAGAATTTGCTCTGTAGATTTTGAGTATGAATTCAGGAATATTTAGAATACAACTATATTTGGAATTTTATTTATTTAGACATGGGTATTCTGGGGACCTGCAAGATGGCTCAGTAGGTAAAGGCACTTGGTTGCCACGCCTGGCAACTTAAGTTTGACCCATGACTACACATGGTGGAAGAAGAGAACTGACTCCCGCAAGTTGTCCTCTGGCCTCCACTAGTACAACTCCCCCTACACATCCATACAAGTAAATGCAAAATAATATAGATTTCTTATCTTATCAAGATTCTGTTTCCTATTAGAATGTGTGTGGGTGCATAGTCTCTACATTTTATTGGAACTTGGGATCGGATAGATAACAGATATAGCTTGTTTATTCCTTAGATGTTAACAGTACTCTTTGGGGGGGGGGTGTTATTTTATAGGTTGTCATAAAACAGACTGCTGAATGTGATGGAGAAATAGAAAATTTGAAACAGATATTAAATAATTATTCAGCTGAGTTCTCCCCGGAACATCTGTCACAAAACCAAGCTGCCAGTCTGCCTTCACTACAGGTATGTCTTGATCATTCATCTATCCGCCCAGCCCGTAGACTCTTAATTTATACCCTTGGGGTCTAGAATCTTTTGTAGTATGACAGTGTTATGCCTGACATCCGTTTTCCAAATGAAACAATTTTCTTTCTATTCTTATTTCATGAATTGGTGGTTCTGTGGTGTCATCAAAATGCCATTCTGACCCCTAAACTTGAGATCTAGTCCCAGAAACTAGGTAGGCTTCTAAATCCTATGGTGGGGCTTCTAAGGTGCCCCCATACTCTCAGTATGGTGCATGTTGGTTAGCATATTCTCTGTGTCCAAGATGCTGATGTAGCTTGGACACCCTGACCTAGTGTATTGGGATAGGAGTCAAGCAGTGTGTGCTGGCTGAACTTCAGGGGTAATTAAACTGAACACTGTCATAATGAAGGATCATAGATAATCAGGCTGTATTTTTAGTGCCATAAAACTCTATGGGTAGGGCCTTTTCTGTCTTTGGTTTTATATTGGCACATCTGTATTAAAAGAGTGTGATAGAGTTCAAGGACATGAGAGCTGTGTTTTTCCTGCTGTCTGATGGACACACTCAGGCAGTTAATGTGGTTCTCAAAACAAGGCTTTGCCATCTGCTAGCTGGCAGAGCGAGGGCAACTTGCTTAACATGAAAGGTGAAGTTAAGAGGTTTGAGGTGACACAGCCCATTACTGCTGAATTGATGATATGGGCACAGTGTGGTCAGCTCAGTAGGTAGGGTGAGGGTACCAAGTTTCTTCAAACACTTTATAACTCGAGATTCCAAAGAGCATTTGTTGCATAAGTACAAATGAAGGAAAGCACACATAGGACACATGTGTGCTTTGAGGCACATCACACAACACAGGCCCATGGCTTTTATGAACCATGGTGGACCAAGGAGACAGAGATAGCACCTGGTTGGCAATGTCAGGAAAGAAGGAGCAAATAGAACTGACCCAAGAAAAAGTAGACTTCTTCCTTGGCGCTTCCAGACGATTTGATACTCATGAGGTGGACTGAACATAGTGACGTAGTTGAGAGCATGAAGCTGCCTACTTGGAAATGAGACTCTTCAAATGTGATTACTCATCTGTCTTTCTGGGGTGATGATGGCAAACAAGGGCTCATTGTGTAGCACAGGCTGGCCTCAAACTCACAAAGATCTGCCAGCCTCTGTGTCTGCTTTCCTGAGTGGTGGGATTAAACACGAGTCACAGGCTTTCATGGTTTTATTTTTATTTTTTTAATGTTTTTATTTTTTTTTCCCTTAACACTACACTGAAACTCAACAAACAGAACAAACAGGAAGTCGGGGATAACTGTGAATGGGCTCCAAGGCCTCGTCAAGGCACTCTTCACACTCTTTAGTCCGTCCAAGCGCGGTGACTGTGCTGTATCTCCTACCCATAGATGATACTGCCATGTCACGCTGGGCCATGTAAAGGATACTATCTGAGTCACGCACCACTACCAAGCTTCATGTGTTCCCACAGTTATTATGTGACACCTTCTTGAGAAAAATCTTGAAGAGTCTCATTTTAGCATATAAGTATAGCTTATTGGCTATTTTATTTCATGTAAGAATAATGTTCTTTGAGAAGAAGGGATGAGGGTTCAGTTTGCAGCATACGCATTCCTAGAAGTACTTTTCAGTTATTGTACTTGGGACACAGCAAAATGTTTTACACACACCTCGCATTTTGTTTGTTACCCAAATATCAAAGGTGTTTTCAGAGCATTGATTATGCTAGATGAGTGCTCTGCTACTGATCCCCAACATGTATGCTTTCAATAAGGACATCCTTAAATGAGATTGGCGTACTTTTCCTACCATGAATAACTGGTGTCACCTACATCAGTTTATGAAAGATGCCCCCATCCATTTTGCGCTATCAGTGTAAGTGCCAACATAGAAAAAGTGGTCAATAACATTTTAGCAACAATATGGGAATGACATTAACCTTGGGGACTATGGCTCTCAGCTTTGGACACCACTAGTGGCTCCTAACTGGTATGGATACCACTGTGCAGATGGTGGTTTGGTACCTGTCTGTGCCTACATCAAACAGGTCTCAGTTTCGCTGGGTTTATTCTAATGGCTGTGGTATTGCTTTTGTTGGAAGCATCTTTGTTGAAGTGTGATGTTCATTAAAAGTAGAATATGAACCATAGTCAACTCAGAATTAACTCTGCCGGTAGGGAAATTTCATTACGGGCAGCATAGGGGTATTCGTTTAGCAATGAGTGCCAGAGGCCATGAGTCATGAGGAAGCATGGGTTTGGCCCTGTCGTACACTAGCTGAAACTTGATGGACATCACCTTCTTACTCTAGACTTCAGAGCTCTTCCTTATATATACTTTTGTTGCGTGTAAAAATCCAACGATTTGTGGGGGTGGAGGGTAGGGAGGTAGCTTAGTTGATGACTGTGCTTGTGAGCCTGATTTCAATGCCCAGACCCCAATTGGAAACAAACAAACCAAGACCAGTGTTGTGGCATGTGCTTGTAACCTCAGCCTGGGGAAGCAGAAGCAGGCAGATCCCTGAGCCTTGTTGGCCATTCGACCTTACTTACTTGTTGGCTTCTACCAAGTAAGACCCTGTTTCAAAAAATAAGATACATGGCTGGGCGTGGTAGCACATGCCTTTAATCCCAGCATGAAGAAGGAAGAGGCAGGCAGATTTGTGAGTTTAAGTCTTGGTCTGATCTACATAGTGAATTCCAAGCCAGTTAGGGCTACATAATAAGACCCTGGGTTTTTTGTTTTGTATGTTTGTTTGTTTTATTTTTTGTCTGTTTTGCTTTTGTTGTTTGTTTGTTTTTAAGGATGAATGGCTCTGAGATTGACCTTTGGCATTTATGTGCACATGTATCCATGGACATAGTTGCATACACAATTTAGTGATTTTATGGATATTGATTAAAGGAGAAATTTGGGGGAGATGTGTTAGAAGTATGTGTGATGTGTGTTGTGTATGTGTGTATGTGGTGTGTGGTATGTTTATGCGTGTTGTATGTGTGTGTACTTGAGATGCAATTAACAGTCACACACATGCTAAGCCAGCAAGCACTCTATCACTGGAGCTAACCACCCCCAGGCAGGGAGAAGTTTTAATGACTTGGAGCTTTCTGAAAGGAGCTTAGGTGAAGGGTGCTGGAGGGTCAGAGTAACTGTCCCCCACAATTCCTACTAAATCTAGGAACCTCTCATTCCACAATCCTAGTAGGCAAACAGTGGGCTGTCCATATCTAGGAAAACTTACTTGCACATATTAATAATGCTTCCTGAAGTAATAGTCTTTAGCTTGGAATCATCTGCCCATCATTCCCAGACTAAATTTCATTGCAAATGAATTACCTTATTTTAGTTGATTAGCTTTTTTTTTTTTTTTTTTTTTTTTTTAGGACGCTAGGCATGTAGACAAAGTAAACAAATTTAGTAATATCAAAGATGATAAAAAATTAGGTGTCTAATTTTTTCTTGGGGGTTCTCAAATGTTAGACTTAAGACTTTTCCTGGGGAAACATAGGAACATGTATTTGTAATATTTTGTGTACAAAGTGGGAAGTATATGTTTATCAAACTGCAGCCTGGTGGTTCTTGACCATGGGGATTCTGTCTCTGTGTCCTGTGGTTAGCAATATGACACTGGCTCTGGGGTTAGCTACTGTGGCCCTGGCTCTGGGGTTAGCTACTGTGGCACTGGATCCCTGCCCTGACTGCACATAAGTCACCTGTGGATGTGATGTTATGTTACAAGTTCCCCTACTTTCTTCAACTCCCAGAGCCTCCTGCTTTACAAGGTCTATGAAGGGTTAAGGAGTCCTACCAGTTATAAATCCTATGCTTTAGCAGTACCAACCAGGGCGAGTAGCCATACAGTACCAGGAACTAGTTACTGGGTTTACAAAACCCAGTAGCCTCGGACCAGGTCAGTAAGCATCCCTGGTCCTGAAGCACTCTGGCTCCTGGGAGCATCCAGAGGCTGCTCCGATTTCCCTCAAATGATGCCCGCAACTCTTCTGTACAGGGGGAGATGGAAGGGTTGGAAGAGCAGATTCTGAATCTAAACCAGAAGAAGGAAGATCTGCTGGTGGGCTTGAAGACCGCTGTACTGAACCTTCACGAACACCTGAAGAGAGAACAGCAAGAAGGAGAAGGAGATGAGCTGTCTTCAGGCCCCTCAGAAGAGGGCGGGGCTGCCGAACGGGGTGCCTCAGACAGGAAGGTAGGCATGGCTTTTGTTTAGTTCTGGACTCACATTTCCCGGAGAGTTAATGGGTAATAACTTTCCACCCGAACAACCTGCGAAGTCGTCGTCCATAGTAAAGGAATTTTTTTAAGTGGAAATTCTCCACTTGAGGTTGTTTACTGGTGAGCACAAATCCTCAGGGCGTGTCTGCTCTGAACACAACCCCAGCATTCCTATACCTGAGTTAACCTAAAGACACACTTAGGAAATTCCACGTGCGTGTGGGAGGGAACCACCTTTGAAGCATCTGCCTTAGAACAGTCACCCTACTGCAGACTCAAAAGTGGTCCTGCATCGAGACCACTCTGAGCCCACATCAGTGAAAGGCAAAGAAATGAGGGGTGTGGGGCCTTAGGGATCATGCAAATGTGAGACATTTGGCTAGGAGAACTGAAAGGCACAAGGCCCAGAGACTTTGGGCAGGCGTGGGTGGACATCTTGTATAATGCATTAAGATTTAGTTACATAAAAATGCAACCAGGCCAGCATGCCATTGCTAGTCCACAGCCTAACTACAGGTGTTCTTGTGCTTTTCCTTTTAGCTGATCAGAACAAGCTCCATGTCTTTCCTGCCAGTGCTGAAGGAGGAGGCAGAAGAGAGCTCCGTGAAGAGTGAAGTAAGGAAAATCAGTTTTCTTTGTTTTTAAAAAGAAGACCTATTATTTTTTAAAATTGTTTTGGCTGGGGGAGAGGGGGAGGAAGGGGTTAATATACCCATGACATGTGTAAGGTGCTTTCAGAGGCTAGGGGCGCCTGATCCCCTGTAAATGGAGTTACAGACCCCAGAGTGGGTGCTAGGAATCAAACTCAGTCCCTGTAAAAGCAATACATACTCTTCACTGCTGAACCATTCATTTCTCCAACTCCCAGGACAACAGTTGTTAAAACTGTCTAGGACCACACCTCTAAATGAATGTTTAAAGTTAATGTTGATTTCTTTTTCAATTGAGACTGAAGTACTTATTCGATTATTAATATTACTGCATTCATCTAAACTCTCTTGGTCACTGGAGAGTGGAGTAAGTGTGATTTGGAGGCACTTGTTTGTGCAAAGGAGTCCTCTGTTGTGTTCTGACTTCAGAATGCTCCTCTGGAGCTTTGAGAGTATGTGGTTCGGTGGTTTTGTTTGTTTGTTTTTGTTTTTTAGCAAATAACTGTTTGAGACCGGTTTTTGTTTTTAGAGTAGTATTGTCAAGGACATGAGTTGTTTTCACAGCTAATACAGCTAATTCTTACTGCTCCATTGTAACTGGTTGAGAGAGACTTAACCTTGGTACTAATTTCCATTTCATACTCAAAACTCAGCATTGTACATACTATGTGAATAAAGCCCCTAGCAGCAGCCTAGTCTATAGGCCTTCGGCATGACCACAGGACAGTTTTTTTTTTGCTCATTTCATAGATTATTCCATGACCTCATTGTCACACAGAGCAAACCTTTTGTCCTACTGAGTGTCACTAGCACATGGGGTAACTGAGTTGGAAGGAAGGATGACAGTTTACTTTGTACTCCAACCACCAGCAACTTCAACTCACAGTCTAATTACATCCTTTTATGGTGGAAACATTTCAAGACTGGAGGAGGACCCAGGACCCAAGCAAAGAAGACACACACATTTTCATCTCAGACATTTACAAGCTTTCGAGCTGACACACGTAAAGAAACTGTCTTTGACAACGACTAAAAGTACACAATCATCAGGTTGCAGGAGTGATCCTGACAAGTAAAACTCATACCACTTAAGATTACATTTACCAAGACAGATTAAACTCTGACTCTACATTGATTGATCCCCTTTGTGGGGCATGAGCGTATTATTCTTCAGCAAAGAAAATTGTGGATTGTTTTAGGCTCAAGAAAAGCATCCACATCTGGAGATCTGGTTTAGTGCAGGAAATATCTGGGACATGGGGTAGGGGAGAGCAGGGCTGGTGGCTAAATTGCCCAATAGGTTGAGTCTTGTTTGAAGGAGCTGAGTGGGGCTCCGGCTGTGGAAAGGAATTTTTTTCCCTTTGCTAACCCACTGACTACTGTCTTAGGATGGACATAAGAGAGCGGAGCCTTCTTCTGCACCCTCGTCTCTTCCGTGGAAGCACAGCAAGGACCTGGAGGAGGATGGCGCATCCTCATCCTCCGCCACCATCGTGCAGGTAACTGGGGGAGTCGCCATGGGGGCTGTCAGAACTCCTTATTGCCTGGGTTTTCTTCCCATGCTCCTCTTTGTTCACTGTGCCCTCAGCATCTCCCCTTAGCATCTCCAAGGCTTCGCGGTGGCCCATACGGAGACCAAAAATGATAGCAAATCGAAGGGTTTGTTTGAAAGAATGATTAGATCAGGAAATGCTCCTGCCACATTTTTTTTTTGATGAAATTGTACATACTTGGGACATACAGCATGATGAAATACCTGTACACTATGAAAGGGCTAAATCAAGTTAATTCATACATGCATTGCCTCACATATTTATCATGAGTATATTGAGAACACTATTAAAAAATCAATATTTTTTTTAAAAGTAAATACTGTTGGATATTTACAGAATTGCCTTTCCTTGCCTAGTCCTTTTTACACACATGGTTGACATAATATAACCTCACACAGGTGTACACACATACACATAAATATAATATGGTAAACCTTAAAAAAATAAACAAAAACACCACAACAGGGGCTGGAGAGATGGCTCAGAGGCTAAGAGCGCTGTCTGCTCTTCCAGAGGTCCTGAGTTCAATTCCCAGCACCCACATGGTGGCTCACAGCCATCTACGTGCCAGAACACTGTATACATAATTAATAAATAAATCTTAAAAAAAAAAAACCCACAGCAAAAAGACTTTCAAAGAATCATATGCAATCAACTGCTTGCTGCACCTGACCTTGCGTGCTAGCAGGCGAACTGTAAATGAGCAGCTGCAGAAGAGGGGCTCCTGGCAGCAGGGGAGAGCCTGGCTAGGAGCTGATTCTTCTCTCCACAGGAGGCAGACGGGAGAATTAGCACCTGTGACAGTTCCATGGCACACATGATTGCACCAGACTCAGGAAGCACTGAGCAAGGCCCAGAACCTTCCCCGAAGCTCAGCCAAGCAGAAGAGGTAAGACCCTGCCTGTCAGCCATAAGCTGGCAACTCGGGTTCCCAGACCGGCACCCACAGTTGCCCAGAGCTGTCTGAGCGACCTCTGCAGTGATTTGGGTGCTGAGCCACAAGGCTCCTGTGAAGGCCAGCATCCTCATGTATGCTGTCGACTGTCCCGATGCAGGTTTTACCATCTGATGTTTCCATTTCCCATTTGTTCATTATCAGCCTGAAGCAGAGCTTGAGTTGATGACTGAGCCTTTAATCCGTGTGTGCAACACATGGAATCGGTGAAAATTGAGAAAAGCAGGCACTGATCAAGGACCCGTTCAGAAAAGGCGTCTATGTTCTTTGTTGCTTAATCGTGAGACTGTAAGAGGCAAGTTAATACTTACCTCGTGTTGACAAAAGAGGATCAGGTTCAGAGGGTAAACTACAGGGACTTCTAAGAGAGTAAGGAGCTGCCCCAGTACATTCCCTTCCAACTTCCTAGTTTGAAACCCACTGCATTTCTGAAGAAGGGTTACCGCAGGGCACTGTGGGACCTGAAGTTCCAGTGAGACGGCTGCAGAATTCCTAAAAGACATCCAGGGGTGCTTTTTGCTGTGTTTTCTTTTTTAAAGAGCTCTTTTTTCATATGGGGTTGTACGTATATGTCTTTTTCCTTAATCTTTTGTCTGGTCATTAGAAAAATGAGCACTGGTTATCAAACTGTCTTCCCTCTTTGCCCTTTCGCCGCCCGTCCTCCATCTCCCTAACAGCACTGCCGGCAAGGTGACAGACACTGGAGGGATAGACCCACAGGCAGTACTTAGCATAAGTCCAGGAAAATTGTTGGCCTGCTTGATTGTTTCACGGTTGTTTGATTTTTACGAGCCAGGTTTGCTCTGGGTTTTTTTGTTTGGTTTGGTTTTTAGAAGTATTTATACTTATTTTACATGTGGGTGTTTCGCCTGCCTGTATGTCTGTGCACCACATGCACGCATTGCCCTCAGAAGTCAGAAGAGAACATCAGATCCATTGAAAACGGAGTTACAGATGATCTTTAGCCACTGTAGGTACTGGGAACTGGAACTGGATCCTCTGCCAGAGGAACAAATGCTTGTAAACAGTGAAACCATCTCTCTGGCCCCTAGTCTGTTCTTTTTAAGACAGTTACAAAAAAACAAGATGGTTTTGTGGGTAAAGGCAGTTGCAGCACAACCTGGCAACGTGAGTTCAATTCCCCAAAGCCATATAAAAGTAGGAGAAAACCAGCTCTGCAGAATTGCCCTAAATGCACTTGCTGTGGCATGTGTACCCCATACACAGTCTGTGTGTGTGTGTGTGTGTGTGTGTGTGTGTGTGTGTGTGTGTATTAGAAAGGGCCTATATGATATATACATATAGGTCATATATATGTATATATAAAACCTTTCATATATATGTATATATACACGTGTGTGTGTGTGAGAGAGAGAGAGAAAGAGGGAGAGAAAAGGAGAGAGGAGGGAGGGAGGGAGGGGAGAGAGAGAGAGAGAGAGAGAGAGAGAGGTTACTGCTTTGGCTATGTTTAGCTCCAGAAATTCTGCTTAATCTGTCCTTCTCCAGGTATGGTCACTCTGCAAGGTCTTTTACCCTGAATGGTACCACTGAGGAGAAAAAAGAAAGGCGGGGAGAATACTACAAAACTGAGGGGATGCTTACAGTGAGCCATGCACTGAGGTTTTTACACTATCTTTCTTAATCCTCACACCAGCCATGTTAGGTAGCTGCCACTGTCAGCCTACTTGACAGATGGAGACGTTGAGGCTTAAAGCCATTAAGTCTCCAGAGCCTTATAGCTACTAAGGGTTAAGTTTGAAGTCCAGCTCTTATGCCTCCTGATTTAGACTTTTTTAACTGTATGGCTGGATGGCTGTCAACTGTGAAAATTAAATGCTTCTGTTTTCTTATTAGCACAGCTTCTGTGGGGTGTTTGGTTGGTTGTTGGATTCTTGGTTGGTTGGATGATTGGATTCTTTGTAGGTTGGTTGGTTGGATTTTTGGTGGGTTGGTTGGTTGGTATGATGTTTTTTGAGATAAGCTTGCTGTATATCAGTCTGACCTTGGATATGCCATGTTCCTGTCTTAACCTCCCCAGTGCTAGAGTTGTAGGACTATACCCCCACACCCAGTTATGATAGGTTCTTGAAAAATCAGTTAGATGCCACCTTTGGCCACTGCAGGGACAGCCCTTTGGTGATTCCAAAGCTCTTTTTGACACCATTTCCATCTCACTGGCATACCACCTCCAGAGAGGGATAAGTGGGGGTCCACAGAGATGGCAGCCCAAGCCATCAGTTATGTGTCAGCTTCAGTTTCTTATTTTAGAAGTTAAGAGCATTGGTTAAGTGAAGATTACAGTACTCAATAAAATTCTGAGTCATTTCCAATCCATGTGTCATGAAAATAAATATTTAATAGATAAATCTGTGACTCTAAGTCATGTGTCAGATCTAAATGCAGGCATTGCACTTCAGGCAGTTACTGATGCTATGAGATGGGTGGAAGATGTGCAGGTGTTTTTAGAATTGAATGAAATATTAATGGATAAGTTTAAAGGAGATTTTGCCATGTTAGCCAGAACATTAAACTTGCAGTTTAAGTGCAGCCCTTTCCTATAGGTTAGAACTTTTCAACTTCTACTTAAGACCCTTCTGTGCCTGAGCTTTTACTCAACCTGGGTACACAGGTTTATAAAAATAGGTATAACGTCAGATACTTACTGATAAGTAAATCACAAATCTATTTTTAAACAATTCTTTGAAGGTAGAAGAAATGACTCAGTGGGTAAGAGTTCTTGGTGTGCAAGCATAGAGATCTGAGTTTCGATCCCTAATGCCAACATAAAAAGCCGTATGTGGCTACACATGCTTATAACACTGGCACTCAGAGGTAGAAACAGGAGGCTAGCTGAGGCCGCTAGCTTCAGCTTGGCTCCTACTTCAGTGAGAGACCCTGCCTCAAGGGAGTAATATGAAGAGTGATAAAGCAGGACACACCCAACTCCTCCTGGCCTCTGCATATATGTGTGTATGCACATACACACACCCAAAATTTAAAGATTCCCCACAATTCTTTGATATGCATATAGTTTTACCATTAAAAAAAAGAAAGCAATTATGCATGCTAGTGAGATTTATATACTTGATTATTTTTACATAAAGAACTGCAACTTGGGCTGAGCACTGGGCTCTGCAGGATACAGAAATCTTCACATTTTTCAGAGTTTATATGTTGATTTCATCATAGTCAGTGCTGAGGTCTGGTATGTAGCTTGTTTGGTGAAATACTTGATTAGTGGATATAAAGCCCTGAGTTTTATTCCAGTACTTCATAAAACCTTCACATTGGCACACACTGTAATTTCAGCATATGGGAGGGAAAGACCAGGAGGGTCAGGTGTTCATTCTCAGCTACAAAGTAAGTTCAATGCCAATCTGAGTTACATGAGACTATTTTAAAAGAAGATAGAGCCTAAGGAGATGGCTTACTGGGTAAAAGTGCTTGCTGTGCAATCATGAGGATCTGAGTTCAAATCTTCAGCAACTATGGTTTTTTTGTTTGTTTGTTTTTGTTTTTTTAAAGGCATGACTGTATATACCTATAACCCCAACATTAGGAGGCAGGAACAGGCAGAATCAGCCAGCCTAGCAGAAATGGCAAGTTTCCACTAGGAGAGCCTGTCTCAAGGAAATAAATCGTAGAGCAATAGAGAAGACACCCAACATCCTGTACTGTCCTCTGCATATGAATGTATGCACACACCTTCACATGTATGCATGTACTACACACACACACACACACACACACACACACACACACACACCAGGAGATGTAGGTGTGTGAGTTTATAGCTGGGTCTTACATTCTATCTTATTGATCATGTCTGTTTTGGAGTAGTACCATGTTGCCCTTGTTACTATGGCTCTGTAGTATAACTTGAAGTCAGGAAAGTCAACACTATCCCTTTTGCTGAGGATTGCTTTGGCTACCTGGGTCTTTTGCGTTCCCAATATGAATTATGAGATAGTTTTTTTTTTCTTTTGTTGCTTTTTGTTTGTTTGAGTCTTTGTTTTTGTTTTTTGTTTGTTTTGAATAGCATTGGAATTTTGATTCCCGATTTCCTCAGAGCTTTTATGATTTAGATTTTGTCAAAAACTTTTTCTGAATCTATTGAGATGATTATGAGTCTTTGTTAGGAAGACTTTTTTTGTTTTTTGTTTTTTTGTTTTTAATGCTTTCATCTCATTTCCTATTATATATCTGCTCAAATTTCTCATCTTGTGTTGGTTTAAACTTGGTCATATGCTTCAAGAGATTTATTCATTTCTTTTAGGTTTTCCAATTTAGTGAACTATAAATTTTAAAGGTATTTTATAATGATTTTCTTATTTTCATTGTTTTTTTTTTTTTTCAATCTCAAACTCTGTTTGGCTAAGGTTTTGTCTAAATATTTTTATAGAGCCAACCTTTTGGTACTGGAGAGATGGTGCAACAGTTAAGGGCACACACTGTCCTTCCACAGAACCTAAATTCAGTTCCTAGATCTCATGTGAACAACTCACAACTACCTGTAACTTCAACTCCATTGAAGCACTTCTGGTCTCTTTGTGTACTGACAAGTGCACATGCAGTTTAAAAAAAAATATATATATATATATATATATATGAACCAGCTTTCTGTTTCATTAATACTTTGTATTGTTTTTGTTTTTGTTCATTTACATTTCATTAATTTCACCCTGTTCTTAAATTTCTTTTTGCATACTGAGCATTAAGTTATTTGAGGTCTGTCTGGTTTTTGAATGTAGGCAATTGTAGCTGTAAACGTCTTCCTAGAACCGCTTTCATTGTATTGCACAGGGTTTTTGTGTGTCATTTTTAATTTTCATTTGATTTTAGGAATTTTTGTGATTTTCTTCTTGATTTCTTTGACTCACTCATCAATCAGTAGTGTGTTCCAGCTCCATGACATTGAGTATATATTTTAACATAACAGTTCACGGACACTCCACTTTGATATATGCTGAAGAATAACGGCAGGAAAATGTTAGAAGTCTTTGTTTTCCGTATTACAGTAAGTTTCAAATTCACTGGTGAGAGCATCAGAAAGATAGTTACGGCAAGATGGGGAGGCTTTTCTGTAGGCTTCAGGTGCTGTCTGGGACATTTTCTGTTTGTTGGAAGCTAGTAGTCTGCTAAGTAATATATTTCAAGAAGTTTGTACCTGATGGTTCTAACATAGAGGTGGGATAGCTATTGAGGAAAAGAGCAGCTAAAAGTAGCCTGAAACAGGTAAATTCACGATGGACCACACCATTCTAATCTCTAATCAGTCAAATGGTCTCTGCAGACAGTTCTCTCCAGGAATCCTGGTTCACAACCATTAAGTTGCTATAAGAGCAGAAAACTTTTTACAGTAAAAATATGGAATTTACACGATTCAGTGGCACTGAATCTGGGCCAAGGCTTTTGGGGGGGCATTTGTTGGTGTTGCGTGCGATGACAATATGTACATTATAAAGTGTATGTTGTGTGTTCCAGGACCAAGATTTCAGTGAGATCGCATGATGTGACCTGGGCATTGTGTATTCTAAAGTGCGTATGTGGAAACCAGAGGACAGTGTTTGAGAGTTGGGTCCTGCCTTCCGCCTTGTTTGGGTTTTATTTGCTTGTTTAAAGCCAAGGGAGTGGGCCTTTACTGATCAGCAGAGAAACATTCTGGGTGGTGGGGGATTGTCAGGTTTCTGCCACGTTGAAGCTAGTCTCTCTTGGCCTTGAACTTCCCAACAGCCCTGCTGTCTTGCCTCCCATCTCTCCCTAGGAGTGAGTGCTGGGATTACAGATTCAGTCTGCTGCATCCAGCTTTGTATGTGGGTCTTGGGCATCAAACTCAGGGCATCGGGCTTGTAAGGCAAGCGTGTTCTACCCACTGAGCCTTCTCCCTACAGCTCACTCCCTGTTTGGTTTGTTGTCCTCATTGTTTCATATTCGATTTATTTTGATAATCCGATGTCCAGAAACCTTTTATGTAGCCAGACTTTTCATAACAGGTACATTCATTTGTGGGACTTCATTGAGGGTCACAACCCATAGTTTTCGAAGCTGGGGTTTAGATCAGTGGCGTACCAAAGCAGATGTCTAACTTGGATGTCAGAGAGTTTGTGAAAATGGGGGAGAACACAGGCTTGTACCTTGTAAAAGCATAGTGAAATTGGATATTGCATTGTGGTTGCACTTAAGGTGTTGGCCCCAGCTGTTTAAATAAGCTCTCAAAGCAAAGCCCATGTTTCTTCATCTGTACGTGGGAATGGAGGAGTTTGTGGCATGAAGGATCTGGTTTGGGCACCATATTCATTAAGAATAAGTAATACCAATATAAGATAAGGAAACATTTGTTTATTATCAGAGAGCCTACAGAATTCTTATTTAGTAGCAAACACTTGTGGCAACATCTTTAATAACCCCCCCCCAAGCAATATATAAAACATTTGCTGAAATGATTTTGGTCTTCAGGGTTTAGGGCTAGCAGACAAAGCAGGGTTCTTGTTTCAAAAAGTTATTGAGGACTCCTTAATAGGTTTTCTGACTCCCATAATAGGTTTCTCCACCAACACAGTAAGCCAGAATTGAAAAAGTATAACAAGTTTATTTAAGCAAAGTGACTCCCAGGTGGGTTCTTCAGTCCCAGAGATTGAGGCTGGAGAAGCCATGACCACAAATAAAACAGAGAGATTATATAGGTAGTAAGCAATGGGGTGATGATGTGTCTATCACAAGCTGGGTTTGTGCCCAAGTATGGTCAAAAGCTGAACGCTTTAGGTGGGGACTTGGGCAGCTGGCAACTTCAGGGGAGAAAGCTGCAGTAGCCACCAAGAATTCAGAGCTTGGGTTTTTGGTGCCTTTCCTTTGTTCAGAGGCTCTCTGAGAGGGCGTGGATTGGAGAGAGAGAGATGGGGAGAGATGGGGCTTTCCAGATAATGCAGGGATGAGCTGGAGGTTCCAACCTAACACTTCTGATTTGAAGATCACAGAGCCCTGTGACCCTGTGCTGACCTGTGACCCTGTGCTAACAGCCTATATCCAGACCTGCACTTCTCAGAAGTGCTTTTATGGGATAGGAGGCTATGAACTGATCACCATCCCTGGGCTCAAGGTTCAGAACTTAAACAATAAATGTGGGTATGGGGGAGCGCTCTTCCATGAGAACCCTGAGGCCACTTTCAGTTCTTCCAAGGTTGCATGTAGTTGTTTTTTTCCTTCTGCCTCCCACCCCCACCCCTTTGGATTCTTTTCAGATTTACATAAAGGGCAGATTAGTCATCCAGCTTGCTCATTTCCTCATTAAGTAAGGTAAGGTGCTAAGAAAGCAGAACAGCTTAATACCGCCACTTAGAATTTTGAGCCACCAGAGGAGGTCATATAAAAATTTTGAGTAAATTAAGAAGATGGGTAATAATTAGTTATCACGGATTCATTGGTTAGTATTAACAGACAATGTCAGCAAAAAGAAAAAAAGAAAAAAAAAGGTCTCAGTCTTTGCCACTAAGGTATAGTCATACCCCAAAACTAGGAAATAAGACATCAGTTATTTGTGTAATCAGTTATGTAATTTATCAGGCTAGAAATTGATGTCTGGCAGTAATTCCCACAGCTTTTTGCCTTAGCAAAGATCACTGAAGCCAGGAGCAAGAATGGGCCTGGTGTAGGAGCCTTGGGAAAGATTCTGGAAGAGAAAGAAGGCTTCTTTCAGATGGTGCCCTTAGAAGAAAACTGTAGAATAAGTAGATGAAGGCAGGAGAAAATTTGTTTTGTGTGTGTGTGTGTTGTTGTTGTTGTTGTTGTTGTTTGAGGGAGTCTGAGGTACTGGAGATCAAACTCAGGGCCTCTCACATGACAGGCAAACATCCTACCACTAAGGATGCACCAAGCCTAAGAAATAGCATTTTACTGGAAAAGAACAAGTCCATGTAAAGTTAGTAGGTATCAGGAAAATATAAGCCCTCCAAGGTTACATTTTTGAGGTAGGAGCAACTCCTGTTGGAAGTCTGCTGTTTGTCCCAAATTGTGCTTCATTAGGTAGTTACCAGTCTGCATACAATCTTAAGTGGAAAATTGGTGGGATTCGTTTTAATTTTAATTAACACAGAATGTATTTTTACCAGTATTTTTACAGGTTAAAATGCAAATCCATATTCCCAAAGGATTTCTCTAGAAAGATCGATGTCCTCTATGAGTACTATGGGAGAGGGTAGGCCCTACAGTGTCAGGCAAGTCTACTTGCTGAAACCATCTTTATCTCCACATTGAAACTAACAAATACATCAGGGAGAAAGTTTGCTATTGTATTTTGGTAAGAAACCCAGTTGTTTCAATACAGGGGATATATCACACTTCATTTAAACTTTGTATTAATGTAGTCTGTTCTTAACATTTGAGAGTCTAGAAACACAAAAGTCATTTTAGGGATTTTTCTCTGGAGGAAATGGTGTGCATTATTACACTACAAAGTTCCTTACTTTGACCCACACTGTTTTGAATAGAGAGACGTTTAGATGAATAAAGAAAAATGAAAACATAATCTTGCTACTTGGGAAGATATCACAATTGTGTAGCTGATTTCAGTATATTATTAGCCCTGCCGGCATTTTGTTGGTATTGGGGTGTTGGTGTTTGCTTTTGCTTCTTGAGGTTTTTTTTTTTTTTCCTGCTTGCACAGCAGTGTCAGCTTAGTTATCATGTGTCATACAACTTTAAGCACTGGCCAGTCCCCTGAAGTGTTTGGGACACACACCCTCACACACACACTCTCTCTCACCTGTCTCCCGGGGATCTTCACTCTCCGCCTCTGTGCCCAGGAATACTGTACCTGTGTGTATGCAGATTGGCTGCTTGGAAACCTGTGCCACCAGGTCACGTGTTTGTTGCTATGAGTGTAGAGGTGCATTTTTTTCTTTTCTTTTCTTCCTCCTTCTGTCCTTATTTTGTTCCTTTTACTGGCGGGAAGGGGGATTGCAGGTCCCCAGGTCTTTCCAGGCCCCCAGTGCAAAAGCCTTGGATTCCTGGCTTCTCACGGCTGGATTATCTTTGGCTTCATTTTAGGGTGCCACACCTTCCATTGAGGCTGCACCTCTGGACTTTCCACACGAACAAGGAGCTTTTGAGGCCACAGTGGAAAGAAGTAGGCCTCAGCCCACAGAAGTCCTCCATGCCTGCAAGACCCAGGTGGCCGAGCTGGAGCTGTGGCTGCAACAAGCCAGCGTGGCGTTTGAGCCGGAAACATTAGACACAGACATGCAGCAGGTGGTGGAGCAGGAGCTGGCTGGGTGCCAGGTAAGCCGGCCAGGCAGGAGGTTAGGGTTTGCCTAGTCACCCATCTCCTGCCAAGATGGGGCAAATTGCTCTTAAAGCGGCAGCGTCCTTCTCCTATGGCCCTGAACCTCTCGTGCATTTTGGCCTCCGCTGGTAGTTTTCACCCTTGAGTCTTTGGCATTCTTTGTGTAGTCAGTCCCCTTGAGGGGAAAGAAGTGAGTAACAGCCCAGAGTGCAGAATCCAACACCAGCCGTCATATTAACCGTGAGCATGGACCAAATCTGCTTTTCAACTTTTCTCCCCCAGTAGGGTAGGTTAGCTCACAGAATTCGTGTCAGGCTAGAACGAGATGAGCTCACAGTGTCTGGTATTAAACTGTGCTCAGTGTTTGCTACTGTTTCTATCTATAACCACACGATTGTGAATCAATTATTATCTCATCGGAGTGAAGCTAAGCAAGATAATGAGCAAGACTTTGAAAACCAAACCAAAGAGCTTTTGCAGCCATTTTAGCAGGAGTGCTCTGGCGTTGGGAAGAGTGGGAATGTCAACTTCCTTGTCTGAAGTCACTCTGAGGCTAGCTTGCCAGCTCAGCCCAAAGGCCGGGATCTCTGTGTCTCTCCAGGGAGAGGCTGGGATGACGACACCTTGGCAGTATAGCTGCTGTCACAACAGCAGAGGCTTGCTGGCTGCTGAAGGTGGCCTCTCCCCGAGCTGTGTCTAACAGACCAGCCTTGACCTCCTAGCAGGGATGAAGGCAGCTCCTGTCTCGGTGTCTCTCAAGGCACTGACCCTGCCACCAGAAGCTCTTCTGCAGGAACCTGTCCTGTGATTGCAACTCCACTGGAGGTGGACCACCTCCCTTTCATCAACCCAGAACTACCTGCAAGGGGAAGTGACAGGACTGGGAGTAGTCATGATAGTCAGTTCTAATAGTCTACCCAGACACTGGCTTTCTGGTTGACCTCCCCAGTGATGAGGTTAAGCACAGCAGCAGGCTAAAGCTGCGCTAAATTGTATCCCAGGTGTTCCCAAGCTCCTTAAGGCTATGGGATACTGATTTGCTATCAACCGGGTAGCCAAAGCAGATGGCTTTGTCACAGCCAGAATGCCCATCATCCTCTTGCTACTTTGTATCCATTTTGATGAATGAGAGAGACTCTGCAAGACAAGACATGCCCACCAGGTGGCAATAGCACCCACCCAACAAGCTTGCTGTGGGCAGACTTGGCAGGAATGTGAGTCTAAGGAACCAGGAAGTTTTTCACCAAGGATAAAGCTGGGGGGGGGGGGGGAGAGAAGACATGGATTCCCAGGGGTCTTAGGCATCTATCTACCTGATGTCCCAGCGCAGTGGAGAACCTGGATCAGAGAACAGCAGAGACATTTTATCATTTTATAGACCAGTCTTGCCCATGGCAGAACTAACAGATGGAGGACCCAGTCTTCAGGCCCCAAGCGGCTGAAAACATGCTTCATTTGAATTACCTTTAAAGATCACTGAATTTATAAAAATCTTGGTTCAGTCTGTAGCTAGAGTGTTTGCTCAACATGCATGAAGTCCTGTGTTCAACCCAGAGCCCTGTGTGAACCAATGTGGCATGCACCTATGATCTCAGCAATCGGAGAAGAGGCAGGAAGATCAGAAGTTCATGGTCATCATCCTTGGCTACATAGTGAATCTGTGGCCAGCCTGGGTTACATGAGACCCTGTCTCAAAAAAAAAACAAAACACAAACTATGTGCATTAAAACAGCAATTTTGTTATTCTTTTTTTTTTTTTTTTTAATTTTGTAAGAGTTATAACATTCTGGCAAAATTAGAAAAATTGATCCTCCTGTATCTGGTAGTTTTGTCCGATTGAATCAACAATTCGGAAGGTCAGAGAATATATGATGTTCTTTTCGTTTGATTTAATAATCCTTTAAAACAAAACAAACAAAAAACCAATGTCTCACCATGTAGCTCAGGCTGACCTGGAACTGTTTTGTAGAACAAGATAACCTGGGACTCAAAAGATCTGTCTCCCTCCGTTTCCCAAGTGCTTACACAGAAAAATAAATTTTGGTAGGAAGGAAAGGAGGCAGGGAAGGAGGGAAGGAGAGGGATTGGGAGTATGATAAAAATAGAAAAAAAAATTAAAGAAAGAAAATATTTGCAGTTTGATCCCACTACTCAGAGACAAAGACAGGTCGATCTCTGCGTTCAAGACCAACATGGTCTACAAAGTGAGTTTCAGGCCAGTCAAGTCTACCCAGTGAGACCATGTATCAAAAACAGAGAGAAGGAGAAAGATTATCCTTCAGAAAATAAGGGGCTGGAAAGCTGATCCAGCTGTTAAGAGTACCAGAACTGGCTACTCTTCCAGGGAACCTGGGTTTGATTCCCAGCACCAACATGGTGGCTTACAGCCATCTATAACTCCAGTCCCAAAGAATCTGATTCCCTCTTCTGGATCCAAGGGTGCTGCATACACATAGTACACAGAAAAAAATAAATAATAAAAGTTAAAAGAAACCTTTAAGGTGATGACAAAATTAAGACAGCATTAATTAGTAAACTGAAGGTCTGGAAACAGCTTAAGTAAAGCAGTTACAATCAGGAAGCTGAGCGAGTCGTGGAATATCAGTTTGCAGCTATTGGAATGGTCGCTGGGAAGTGCCAGTTGTAAACATAAAATATTTGCATAAAGCCACTGCATGGGTAAGCAAGCCAGCATACAGTTGTGGTTGCCTTTGTGAACTCCACTGCAAAAGCTTGGCATACATACTGTTAGAACCCACAGGGATTCGATTAGTTGTTTTCTGGGATAAAGGGTTACAAGATTCATGATTGGAAAGTCTATTTGGAGCCAGAGTGTTTCTTTAACTGAACTTGGTCTCAGTCCCAGGATGAGCTTTGTGCCAGTGGCCTTGGTACTGGAAAGTGGGGTGGGCACAGGGCTGCTGACCCTGTACCCAGCCAGTTGGCATGGTTGCATGGACTCTGAGCCTTGAGAGCATGCAGGAATCTGTTGAGGAGGGATGCAAAGAGCCTGACTTTGGGACATGCACTTTCTGCAGCTGGTTTATTTTTAGACTCATGTAGATAGGTTGGCTATATCAGTCACTAAGCATGTTATAATCCAAATTATTCCTGTGTTCTGCTCTTTGGGGGCTCAATTGACTTGAGAAAGAGCAAGAAATGGGCAAGGGAAAGAATTGTCAAGTAAGTGTATGGAATTCTTCTTTTAGTTTTCTGTTTGACAGTTGGCCTACAATAGAAAAGATTAGAAAGGCCAGAAAAAATATTCAGGTTTTCCACTTAATCTTGTGGTTAAATACTGTATGTGATTTTAAGTCATTAAGCCCAAAGCACATGAATGAAGCAAAAAAAAAAAAAAAACCTCGAGTTAATTGACTGATTTCCTCACAATGCATCTACCGTGTAAATTCTGTCATTGTCTCTGTTTTGAACATTACCTGAGGATACATACGCACATGGGGTTCCTGATGATTACAGGGTTACTTAGTGTAACAACTTGTAGCAGGGTTGATTTAGTCACATCCCTGCTTTTCAACACAGAATTATGTGAAAATGTGTGTTTTTCCAAGGCCCCTTCTCATCCTGTTTCTGGGACTTCTTATATGTTCTGAGGCAAAGAAAGGGAATCTGGCTCATGTTGGAGACTGACACTGTGGGTTAGCCACGTAGCTCTGCAGTAGCAACATGCTATGTATGCACGTGGCCCCCCATTCAGTCCCTACGTCAGTCCCCTGACATGGACTGTGGATAATCTGGTGATATTCTCTCCTAGGCTATGCTGACAGAGATTGAACACAAGGTGGCTTCTTTGTTAGATACTTGCAAAGACCAGGGCCTGGGGGACTGCAGAGCCACTCATCAAGAGGCTGAAGCCCTTTCCTGGAAACTCAAGACTGTGAAGTGCAACTTGGAAAAGGTCCAGATGATGCTTCAGGAGAAGCACAGTGAGGAGCAGGTAAGCTTGCAGCTGTGTGGACATCCCGAACCTGCCGGCAGCACTCTGGCTGGAAGGGACAGAGCAAATGCAGAGACACTATCCTCATCAGAGAGTCATAGGATGCTAAGGGATTGCACTTTCATTTCAGTGCACAGGTTTCAAAGCCTGGGTGGCCGTTGGTGGCTGCGGGTTGGTGTGAGTGGATTCAGTGAGGCTGAGGATTCTGTTGATCATGACTCTGATACAGAACATTCTTCACAGGGGAGGGTGTGTTTTAAAGGAATTTGGGGGGCCAGCAGTATGCCTTAGGGTTAGCTCCTAAGGATACAAGGTTGCCCTGCAAGCCTGATAACCAGAGCTCAACCCCTAACCCATGGTAGAAGGAAAGAACCAACTCCCACAAGTTGTCAACATAATTCCATAGCACACACATTCCTGTGTACACATATACACACACATACACATGCACACACAGAATAACAAATTTAAAATTTTAGTAAAATAAAATGAAGCAATTTTGTGGCTTGAATGGACTTGAAGATAAAGCCATTATAGAAATTATAGGAAGATAAGATTGAAGTTTTATGTCAAGACTGTGAAAAGCTCAGCTGGTGGAGTGCCTGCATCCATGAAGTCCTGGGTTCAATCCCTGCCACAGCAGGCAATCCTAGCACCAGGAAGGTGGAGGCAGGAGGATCAAAAATTCAAGATCATCTTTGGTAATATGTCAAGTTTGAGATTGCTCTGTCTCAAAAAAGTCAAATAAATTGGTGGTGCACACCTTTAATTCCAGCACTCAGGAGACAGGTCGCTCTTATCTCTAGAGTTCAAGGCCAGCCTGGTCCATATAGCAAGTTCCAGGCCAACCAAAGCTATATAGTGAGGCATCGTCACAAAATAAATAAATAAATATATAATAAAATAAAAATCTACTTCATAAAGACAAAATCTGTTTTCAGAGTACTTTTGTTTTTCAGTTAGAAATATGTATCTCTACTGATGAGATTATCGCATAGTTAAAGTGTATTCATGTATCTAAAGCAATCTGTGTCAAGCTTACAGTGGATCTCACTGTAGCAGATTTGCAGGAAGCTTATGAGTGTTTCACTTGGGGACTCATAGGAGTAAGGGTGGCTGTGGGTACAGGGTGATGTGGTCTCTTTGTCACCATAAGGTTTCTTTAAAAAAAAAAAAAAAGTAGCCAGATGGTGGCACATGCCTTTAAACCCATCACTCTGGAGGCAGAGGAAGGCAGATCACTGTGAGTTCAAGACAAACCTGTCTTCCAGGACAGCTAGGGCAACACAGAGAAACCCAGTCTTGAAAAACCAAAAACATAAAATATATAAGGGATACTTTCATTTATAAACATAGTTATTACCCCTTTTGGTTCTTTGTTTTTATTATTGTTTGTTTGTATTACTTTGTTTCTTAAAAAAGATAATGAATTTCCTGATTATTATAAATTCTTCAAGCAAATTAGATTGGGTACATAAGATGACCATCTCACTAAATGTAGAAGTTCTAGAATTTGATATGAAATTCATTAAATTGTGATAAGTAACAGTATTGCCATTTACTCTGTCCTGTTGCTGTGTTGGTAGCTCAGATCATTGGGTCTTTTTTTAATTAATCTGCCATCATGGAACACATATATGTTGGTTTATGTGTTGGTTTTCCAGCATCCTGCCACTGTCAAGCAACTGTCAGAGCCCCACCCCATCCTCCAGCCAGCTAGCCTTTCTGAGCTTGGATCCATGATAACCGAAAGACCACAGTTCAGCAAACAGAAGGATGGTCCCCAGACACAGGTAATCCCCACCTTCTCAGCTGTAAGGAGGGGAACCAAACTTCCTGGATGGTGTTTCTCTTGGGAATAAAGCCTGAGCTGCCATTGGAGGGCTGCATTGTAACTGACGTGTGGGTGCTGGGGCCTGGACAGCAAGCCTAGTTGTGAGCTTTGTGACTGCATTCCTTCTGTCTGTTTCCACTGGGGACAGAACCTTGATCCTTCAGTAGATTGCATCTTAAACCAAGTGACCACCTCCGGGGCAAACTTAGCTCCTTATTTTCAGCCCTGCTTTGATTATTGTTTCAAAGCATGTTCGTTGGTCATTTTTCCACATGCATCCAATATAGTTTAAATAACATTTGGCGACTGTATGATTGCTTTATGGTTTTGCTTGTTCATTGTATCTTTGGGTTTGTTGTTTGTTTGTTTGCAATGCTGGGGAAGGAACTCAGGACCTAGCACATGGGAGGAAAAGCCCCCACGGTGAGCTGCAGCAACAGCTTTTGGCTGAGCTTTTGGGACGTAGATGGTAACGAGAATAAGCAAATGAGAAAGAAGTAGTAACGACTTGAGTGGTGCAAGCTAGGTGATTTCAGCAAAAAAAATACACTGTAGAGTGATGACTGGAAAACTAGCTCGGCTAAGCCATTTGAATCGTATTCGCTTACAGGTTCTGGAGTTGAAACCATTGGAGCAGAAAGATTTAATCAAGTTCACAGAATTTAATGCTAAGAAAACATGGCTGCAGTATTGCCACCAGGACAAGGATGCAAGTCAGCAGTCAGCTTCGAGGTAAAGCATTTCTAAAATTCTCCTAGCACTTTAATGTGTGTGGGTATTTGGCCCGCCTGTGTGTCTGTGCACCATTGCATGCCTGGAGGCTGAGGAGGCCAGAAGAGAGTGTTGGATAACCTGGGTCCTCTGGAAGAGCAGCAGTGGTCCTAACCACCGATCCATCTCTCCAGCCTAAGACAAAGTAGTTTTAAGTATGATGGACATCTGTATCATGTAATTTTGCCTTTTTCCCCCTCTCTCTCTTATTTAGTTTGAGACAGGGTTTTGTGTAACCCAGTCTGAACTCAAACTTGCACTATGACATTCTGGTCTTCCTGCCCCTACCCCTGAATACTAAGAGTACAGGAATGCACTACCACGCCTGGCTTGCATGATGCTGGCGGTCAAACCCAGGGCCTTGTGCATTCTAGAAGCACTCTACCACCTGAGTGACATCCTCAGACCCATAAAAAAAAAATTAGGTTTGTTTTAGTGCTTGAGTTTTTTGTCTTTGTGTATGCATGTGTACCACTTGTGTGCCTAATGCCTATTGAAGTCAACAGAGGACATCAGATCCCCAGAAACTGGGTTTAGGGATGGCCGTGAGCTACTACATGGGTAATGGGAACTGAACCTGGGACCTCTGCAAGGGCAACAATGCTCTTAATCACTGGGTCAACTCTCCAGCCTTCCCAGCTGCTTTTGGATATTTATTATGGAGAAAATTATTTATTTTAAAATCCTGTGTGAAACATTGTCTAAATATAATATGAGATTGTTTTCCGTGTCAATTCTTTTCACCCTTTTTTCTTCTCCTTCTCAAAAACAGCAAGGTTCCTAGCCCTGGAAATGCAGTTCCAGATTCAGCCTTGCCACTGCAGGGCCAAAGCGGTGATAAATGGCAATATCTTCACCATGAACTAACTTCAAGACAAAACCCCCCGGGGCCTCAGCTCGTGGAGCCTCAGGTCTGTGTGCTTCTCTGTCTTGGGAACCCAGCAAGGAGGGCTCATCTAGAACCCTGTGTCTTCTTCCCCTGGCCCCACCCTCCCTTCGTTCTCCTGCTTCCTGGTTATAGCTCGCTCGATATGCTTCTCATTTGAGTATGTGCCTGTGAATTAGTGTTTCTGGACAGACCATCCAGGGAGGGCAATGACTTTGACTCAGTGTCAGGAGGTCATTGTAAAGGGGAAGGCATGGCAGCTGGGACAGCTCCATGTGTTTATGATGTGGCTTGTTCACATCTTGATGGATCAGGAAGAGGGGGGGAACGCGAAGGCAGGGCCAGGCGCTTACCGTCAAAGCCCACCCCCTCATCTACCAGAAAGACCTCATGTCTCAAAGGTTCCCTTCCACAGCAATGCCAGCAGCCCACCAGGGACACTCCAGATTTAAACTGGAATGGTTTGTGTTTCCCCATTAGAAGGGCAGAGAACAAAATCCATGTCTGCTTGGTTCACATTTGAGTGCCTAGCGTAGTACCTATTGCAACCTGGAGTCTTGGTTACTGTCTGTTGAATGGATAGCATGCACTAAGTTTTAAAAAACACTTCTAGAATGGTATGTGCATGCCATTCATTCATCAGAAGATACTGTAGAATCTACCTCATGCCAGTTCATGCCAATGGCAGGTTTTATTCACAGGGAATGAGTGAGTGGCCTGGCTTGGCTGCTCTCAGCCATCGGGTTTTATCTGTCAGCTGTGCACTTAGATGGCCTGGGCAAAGGTCCTTAGTGAGTTACTAATCTCCAGTCTAGTGGGAATGTGTTTCCTGCTCAGAACCTTATTTGACCATTCAGAGTTGGATTAGCCTCCTAGCCTGGGCCTTGTCTCTGTTTCTCCTTACTAATCACACTTAAAACTTGTATATAAGTGTCTTTTAAAGTGCTATGGGTCCTTTCCCCTGGAGAGTCCTCTACCACCACAACCGAAGGTTTTGTTTTTGTTCTTTAGGTTTGTCAGTGGATTTCTGAGACTTTAAGCTGTGCGTGCAATGGATTTTGATCGTATTTACTTTCCTTTTCTCTCATATATACCCCTACTCCCTCTGAACTTTATGGCCCCTCTTTTAGAGCCCACTGATTCTAATTCGGGATGCCCATGTACTTCCCGGGGTAGGGCCCCCGCAGTGGAGCATGAGGCCTCGGGGGCTTTGTCCTGGCCACTTTGTCACATCCATTGCTGTTATAAAAATATTTTTTCAATTTGAGAAATTCACTCAAGACTTATATGGTTCATTTCCAATGCTTACTTGCTCTTTCAATAACAAATCAAATGTGACTCTATCCCTAGTAGTGATTGACTTTTAGGGGCCTTGGGGGGATAGTGGGGGTTTGAGATAGGGTTTCTCTGTGCAGCCCTGGCTGTCCTGGAACACACTCTCTAGACCAGGCTGCCCCTGAACTCAGAGATCCATCTGCCCTGCCGCCAGAATATTGGAATTAAAGGCACACACCACCTCTGCCTGGCTTCTTCCCAATTGTAATTTGTATCTCATTCTAAGAGTTAGGTATACAAGAAGCCAACTAGTAAATGAACTACTACATAGTAAATAGACTAGTTAAAGACTGGCTAAGTAGCCAGGAAGTGATGGTCCCAGCACTCTGGAGGCAGAGGAAGGTGGATCTCTGAATTTGAGGATAGCCTGGTTTACAGGGTGAGTGCAAAGACAGCCAGGACTACACAGAGAAATCCAGCCCAAAAAAAACTGAGGGGGAGGAGGGCTGTCTAAATTTGTGTTTTGAATTTCTCTCCTATTAAATAGAAAGATTAAATTGAAGATGTAGCTCAGTGGTTGAGCACTTGCCAACCATATAGAAAACCCTAAGTTCAATCCCTAAAACTGCCAAAAACAATAACTAAATACATACACATATACATGCATCTATAAGTTAGGGGCTTCGTTAATTCCTTTAGTTGTAATTTGAGAGAGAAAGATGCCATGCAACAGAGTTCAAGCAGAGGGGTTTTTTAATAAGGGAAAAGATTGTAAAAGGGGGAGACTAGCCTCTGGGAAAAGGAACAGTGGGAAAGAGGGAGGGAGGGAGAAAGAAAGGGAGGAAGGAAGGAAAAGAGGAGAGGAAGCAGTAGTGGGGAGAGAGAGGGGAAGAGAAAGAGAGGAAGATGGGAGGGGGCAGGGCCCCTTTAAAAGGGAACATAGCGAATAGGCACAGGTGTTGCTCTTAGTGGCTGCAGCTGAGGGTGTATCCTGCCAGAACTCCAAAGGCAGGCCAGTACAGATGCCTAAATACTAACAATTGCGTTTAATATCTAAATGGATCTTGGTTTTTTCTTTTTTTTAATAGTTAGAGTGTACAGGAGAGAAAGTACCCAGGACGATTGCACACCGAGGCATTTTTATCCCATTTACATTAGCTCTTACAGCGACTCAAGCAATAACTAGGCTTCTCTTTTCAAATAGGTGGCCACAAATACAAGTACTCTGCCCAGTGTGAGTGAGTATAACTTTAGATGCCCTACAGCTGATGAACTGCAAACTTACACCACACAGCTTGAAGATCTACGTCAAGAAGCAAACAGCCTTCAGACACAGGTAGAAATCACGTAATGTAATTTTTTTCTCATTGCAGTAACATTTTGAAAAAAGACAGGATGTCATCATTGCACATTGATCATAATTTCCTTCATTGCACAAACAATAGAGTTTAATAGGCTTGGGGTTAGACATGGGCTTTTTCTTGCTTTCCAGCTGTGGTTATTCATGTCATGCTGGGCATTGAATCCAGGACTTCACATGCCCTGGGCAAATGCTATCTCACTGAGCTCCATGTCCAGCCCTTTCCCAGCTCTGGTGAATTTTGCAGTGGCTACCTAAAGTAGCATGCAAAGACTTCTGAATCTGAGCCCAGGTTCAACAAGGAGTGTGTGTATGTGAGGCCGGTGGTAATTGATTAGTGATGTCTGCAAAGTGCCCTACCTAAAACAGTATGCAAAGGCTTATTAATCTGAGCCTAGGGTTAACAAGGGGTGTGTGTGTATGTGTGTGTGTGGGGGGGGGGTGTAATTGATTAGTGATGTATGCAGAGTGTCCTACCTAAATCAGTATTACAAAGACTTCTGAATCTGAGCCCAGGACCAACAAAGCTTGGGGGAGGGAGGGGGCGATTAATTGATTAGTGATGTCTGCATAGTGCCCTGGGATAGGAAGGATGGGAAAAGAACATAGGCAAGGTTTCCAACCTCGAGTGAGCGTATGCTGAGTGGTGTGCCGAGTGATGTTATTCTCAGCCAAGACAGTGAGGAAATGAAGCACATGTGAGGGTGAATGGAAGTGGGCTAGTTAAATGATCTAATAACTTGGGGGCCATGGCATACAGCCCAAATAGTTGTAACTAGTCAGGAACTCAAGGTAAAGAAAAAGATGGTTCTGCTAACTTATGCTGAAGTGGAACTGTGGCTCTCCACCTTACCAGCATATGGCAGCTCAGCCCCAGGGGCCCCCTTGTAAATGCACCTACCTGAGTGGCCTCGATTTTCAGTCAGCCCATAGCTAACACTCCCGAGTCCCCCTTTGCCCACAAACAATCTCTTTAAGGTACTGTGCCTTCTCTTCCTAGCTAACCCCCTCAGGTGTCTCTCTCTTCTCTTAGCTACACTTAATTAACCCACCGTCTCTACTTTAAAATGAGGACCAGCTGCAGGTGAGGAAACTCGGTGGCTATCCCCAGCACTGGGGAGGCAACAGCAAGTTCAAGATCAGCCTGAGCTGATCACAGCTTGCACATAGCAAGGCCTTGCCTCAAAAATGTGGAGGCAGGGAGCAGGAGGAGGAGGTTTGCAGCTTCACCTGGATGGCGGTGCTAAGGGAGACTCTTGCTTAGTGGTCCACCTTTTCATTCCATTCAATACCCAGTTGCCTCATATTTTTTAGCTTGTTTATCTCAATGTTACAAAAAAAAATCTTCATTTTATTTGTTTATTCTACATTATCATTTACAGAATGAGTAGATTAGTTTGCCAGTTAATAAAACACTAGTTAATGAGTCATCTAGCAAGCACTAGTTGAAACAATTTATCCTAAATTTTTCAGAAAGTAAGCCTGGAGAAATGGGTCAGTGGTTAAGAGGATTGCTCTTTCTGAGGGTTGACGTTCAGGTCTCAGCCACCAATATCAGGTGACTTCATCCTGTAACGGTTTCCATGGGCACCTGCACTCCCGCGCATAAGTCCTCTTTACAAATGTAATATAAATTGCACACTCTAATGGAAATGTGGAAAACGCGGGTGTAGGAAAGCAAGGAACCCTAACATTTTTTTTTTTCTTGATTTAGGAAAGTATGACAGAGGAAACATACATCAATTTGGATAAAAGATTATTTGAACTCTTTCTGAGCCTCAGCCGGTGTCTGGGCAGTGTGGAGGAGCTGCTGCAGAGACCTGGGCTGCTCAGGGAGGATGCCTCTGCCCAGCAGGTGCTCTTTGAGGTAATGCAAACTAATGCACCTGTGTCTTTCTGAAACTGTGTGCCCAGCCAGAGCTCAAGGCCTGTCTTCCTTTCTCTCCATCTTGCAGAAACTGGCCCTGGAGCTGAAGAAGCTTTATTTAGCTCTGGGCGACAAGACGGATGATCTTCTGAAAGCTGTGACTTGGCCAGGCAAGAACACCACCATGCTGCCTGAATGTTTCGATGCTCTAAAAGTCAGCCTGGAGCACGCCCAGGCAAAAACCGCCAGGAAAAGCTCATGCCTGAAGGCTGGCCTTGACCACAGCCGCAGCTATCAGGTGTGACCCTGACTGTGCAGCCAGCACCTTCAGTTGCCATCAGGTCTTACAGGAAGTGCTGAGGGGGATGATGAGGCCTGCCTTTGCTCTAGCTGGGGAGACTGTTTGAAACTGAGCCCCCCCAAAAAAGAAAAGAAACTGAGGCCCCCTTCCAAATTCTGTGGGTGTGAAAATGATCTCACATGTTTCTTTTCTTGTATTGCATTTATTGCTACTCACAGATTGTCATGGAGAGTGGTTTTATTTAACTTTCTGGGCCAGAGAGATTGGTTACTATTTTTGACAATTCCATGAAAGTCTGGGGCCTCAGTGGATTGTTAAGGGAGGGTCTTGAGGCAGACGAGTTAGAAAGCAGCTAAAATGGCATAATAAAGAAATGAAACAAAACACCACTTAACAAAGGAATCTGGCACATAACAAACAAACCTAAGGGCTTGGGGAGATGCCTTCATGGGTAATAGTGCTTGTCATAAAAGCAAGAGGACCTGGGCTCAAATTTCCAACAACCATGAAAAAGCCAGGCATGGCATACATGCCTGTAACCTCAGTACAGGGCACAGAGAGAGGTGGATCCTGGGAGCTGGGTGTCCATCCTAGATAGCAGTGAGCTTCTGGTTCAAGGGGAGATAATGTTGATGATGCTGATAATGTTGATGATGATGATGTGGAGAGTGGTGGAAGAAAATACCTTCTTGGCCACTGAATGCACACAGGTACACATACACCACATACATACAAAACCCTACAAAACAATCAGAACAAATGGCTCATATTTTCTTACACATAGACATCCAAGAAACAAAAAGAGAGTAAGGGAGTCAGCCAGTTGAAAGAGATGCTGCCCTGGCTTGCAGTCTGCTGCCGTGATAAATACCACAGACTGTTGTGACACAAAGATCTCAATGATATCCCATCAGGAAGAAAGATTATAAGCAACTACAGAAGTACACACCCTGTCTGGATAATTAATCACATGAAGCAACTAGTATAGATTCCGTGGGTACCATTTTTAGCAAGAGGGGCTGTTTACCCTTTAACAGAATGCTTGAAGTACTGATGGAATGACTTGATGCGTGGTATTTGCTTCAAAATAATCCAAAGGGAAGGGAAGTTAGATCTAGTTGAGGTCCAGGGGCGGCAGGGTGGGGAGTTAGTGACAACCGATCTCAAAGATGGAATGTGTGTGGATGCTTCTCTTTCTATATGTTGAAAATTCCCAGAATGTTTCAATTTACTATTAAAAGGAAGGGAAGGTCTAAACGAGATTGATCAGTTTCCTACATGAATCTTTTTCATACACAGAATGAAATAAAGCGATTATACAATCAGCTCGTCAAGAAGAAAATGGCTCTACAGCAGTCCTTGAATGAAATCAGTGGACAGAGTATTGAAGAACAGCTTCAGGTAATCATTCAAAAGAGTTCAGATGAACCTGACCTCAGGCCAGAGAGTCTTGGGCATCAGCTGCTTGTCCAGAGCACACCCCTTGGCAAGTGTCAGTGAAGTTGATCATTCAAATGGGAACAATTAATGTTGATCTTCAAATGCATGGCTCATGTCATACTTCCTGAAGCATAATGTTTTAAAGCAATAGAGTTCATTTTTACCTGTCAGTGAGTAAAAGTTAAGTGTGTCTACAGTTGTCAAAGGTAAGTGAGGCCCTTACCTCCCCCACTGAAACTCTATAACTAGTCCAGCTTCGAGGGGCCAGTGAACTCATACGAGGGGTTTAAGCACAAGTACTCTTCCATTCAGCAACAGTTTCCCTTCATTTATTGAACTATTATTGAAAGCCCACGATGTTCCATTGCATCCCTAAGATCTGGATTGGTGTTCTCCCTGAAGAGGTAAAATAAGAGGCTGGGGATGTGGCTTGATTGGTAGAACACTTTGGCTTTCATTGCATGAAGCCAGGGATTTGATCCCCAGTACTGAATAAACCAAACATGATGATTACCTGTAATTCTATCACTGGAGAGGTAGGAGCAGGAGGACCACAAGTTCAAGGTCATCCTCAGCTATGTAGAGTTTAAAGCCAGATTGGGCTTCTTGAGACCAGAGGAATAGACTGGCTGAAAGAATCCTTGCATGAAGACAAATCTAGCAGAACTGTTTGAGGATGAACCTGCCAGCAGTACTTGCAATAAAAGCTGTAACTCACTCAAAGCCCATCAAATTAAACAGTTGCCTGTAACTAAAGCAACATACACTTTTAGGGTAGGATGGCATACCATGTCCCTGTTGAAAGGGAACCCGAGAGCTGGGGGTATAGTTCATGGTATAACACTTGCCAAGCATGCACGGCTTCTGGGTTTAAACTCCAGCAGCACGGAAATGGATGATGATTGGATGTTCAGTTCTTTTAGTTTTCATTTTGGGTTTTGGGGGTGAATCTCACTCTTCTAAGTGGCTGGCATTATATTCCTGAGTATAGGCCACCACGACCTGCTAATATTATTGATGATGGTAGTGATGATGATGATTTTAAGATGGGGGTCTCACTATGTGGCCCGGCTGGTCTGAAACTTACTGTTTAGACCAGCTAGCCTTGACTTCCCTAGAGATCCACCTGCCAGAGCCTCCCAAATGCTGGGATTAAAAATGGGCACTACCATCCCTGGCCCAAGCTTATTAATTTTTTGAAAACGAATTATGTAGTGGTTTTGAACAGGTGCTAAAGGGTGCACCTGAGGCACAGGGAACACGACTGCCCCGGTATACACACATGCCTTGTTTGGTATGTGCATGGAATGCCTTGGGAACAAACTCAATTCTGGCACTTCTAAGGAGATTGACAAGGGGAAATGCACATTGGGGGTGGGGGTGGGGAGTCGTGGCAGGACTTTGATTTCTTCCCCTTCCTTTGTTTCTGTGTTCCCATGAAACTTGTTTGTTTGATTTGGTTTTAAACACACTGTGTGCTTCTTGATGTATTAAGGGTTTTTCTCTCTCGTCTGGTTTCTCACTTAGAAAGCAGATATGCATACAATGGAGCTGCAGCACTCTGAGAGGCAGGTTGCCAAACTTAGAAACGAAGGAGAGAGGCTCTGCTTCCCTCATGTTTTACTCCAAGATGTTTACAAGTTAGAGGTGTGTATGGGCAGAGAGCATCCATTGAGCACTGTGGGCGTAAGTGATGGGCTTGGGTCTTCCACCTAGAGTTTTGCTGTGTTCTTTGTCTGATTGATTTTCCTGGCTGGCTGAAACGCTTGTGCACATCTGCTCTCTCCGTTTCAGGATGTTCTTGACAGTATGTGGGGAATCCTGAGAGCCAAATACTTAGAACTCAGCAGCCCATTCCTCTCTAAGAGTCAGCAGGATGCCTTGCTTCAAGGCATGGCCGAGCTAATCAGCATTGGAAAAGAAAAGCTTGCAACTGACCCTTTGCAACATGCCAAGAGTAAAATTGCTTTGCAGGCTCGATTACAAGATCACAAGGTAAGTGCCTCTTTGGTGACCTGAGCCTCCTGTTGTCCCTAGAGCACATAGCATTTTGCTTACTAGCTCCTTCAGCATCTTCTCACCTATGTGGAGCTTTTCTTTGATTGACATTGATTGGCAGACATTTTATCAATAAGTCTTTAAGCAAATCTACAGTTAGAAGTGTATTCATCCTCTGAGGATATTGAATAGGAGAAACTGACTTAGGTTAGGAAAGGCCTTCCTGAGAACTGGAATCCGTTATAGTCTAATGCTTTAATTAGTCTTCTCATTTTCCATTCATTTCATTCTACAAAATTCTCTTGATCAGCTTGGCATAGTTGTGCTAGGTAGATCTCTGTAAATTCAAAGCCAGCCTGACCTCCATAGCAAATTCCAGGCGGACTACACATGGGGGGGGGGGGGAGAGACTGCATACTTTGTGGTAGTTGGGGACTACATTCACGCTCTCAGGGTTAGAGTTAGGGTTGGATCTTTGGTAAATAGACTTTAGTCTTAGAAGGTGAATACTGCACACGGGTCAAAGAAAGGAAAATAGAATCAATCCCCTCCCTGCAAAGTCATGTTTTAAAGGAGCTCAGGATTTTGTGTTGGGCTGTGTTTGGGGCTGTCTTCTGCGTTGTGTGGCCCATGGATCATGCGTTGGGCTTGCCCGTGTTTGTTGGGCCCCTTGTCTGATACTTTTAGAAACCTTCTATGTATTTATTCACTTCTAGGGGTAGGAGAAGGGATTCTCACAATAAAGGGGCCCCTCCAAACAACTAGAGGAAGCAGCTGGGTAAATGGAGACACCCTGTGAAGAGCCACCTCCTTTAAGATGCTGGTCAGCCTTTAGCAAATCCTCCTCACATCGCCATTGTGTTGAGTCTCAGTAAGAGCTCAGGTTGAGGAGCCCCGCCTGTTGACTGTGGGCTGTTGGGGTTCACACACTGAACATCATTTCATTTATTAACCAACTTCTAACATAATAAAACATGAAATAATTAACTCAGAAAGATCGGCACAGAAAAGGAAATTGGTTTAACACTAATGGTCACTGCTTAAAATAGATTATTTGGTGGCAATATTACTTAAGGATAGTATATCTTTATAGTTTGTTAAGATTCCATCTGTGTTTTAGACTCTGGGATTGGTCCACTGTAATTCTTCTTTCATATGCTTATATGTTTGATTCTATGTGTGATCGTACATATATTCACATATACATATGATTCTGTATAAGACCTCCTCCTGGGGTTAGGGATTAAAACAACAAAATTAAGCTGGCCTTGGTGATACAGACCTGTAAAATCATCTGCTCTTAGAAAAAGCACAAAGCCAAGGATTGGCTAAACAGCTTAGCAAGACCCTGCCTGAAAATAAAAAGTAAAACAGGGACCTGGACAGATAGTGGTATCAAACACCTTTAACCCCAGCACTTGAAGGCAGAGGCAGGTGGATCTCTGAGTTCCAGCTTGGTCTATAGAGCGAGTTCCAGGGCAGCCAAAACTACAAAGAAACCCTGTCTGGAAAAACAAAAACAAACAAAAGTAAAAGTGGGCTGGGGTGAGTCTCAGTCATAGAGCCCTTTCCTAGAATGAGCAAGGCCTTGAGTCCCCCCCCCCCACCTCCCCAAGTACAGGAAGAAGGCTGGACAAAGGAACTGGGGTATAACGTTAAAATAACTTGGCTTTTATAATTTTCCCAATTCGACAGTAAGTATTAGAAACCTTTTGCACATTGCAGGGATTTTTCCGGAAGCTCGTTGCTGACATGTTGCTGACCCAAACCTACTCGGCAAAAATGTTTCCCCCTTCGTTACAAAAGGGAGAGATATTCGGGGCAGAGCAAGTTGCAGAGGTGAAAGCCTTGGAGGAAGAGGCCTGCCTGAGGGGCTCACAGCTTCAGAGCTTGCTGCAGGTAATGGTCACATGACCTCTGAGCTGGGCTTCCTAGGCTCCACCCACTGCAGGTGTGTGTGGGGCATCAGAGCTGGAGTTGGAGTGAGGAAGGTGGACCCAGGTCTAGCTGTGACTCCTCCCTGCTTCATGCAAAGATGGCTGGGGCTTGTCCTGCACTGATGTACTCTTTCTACCCTGTTAGTTTGTCTGTGAATGGGTAGCACTGAAGGCACGTGATAGCCATGGATGAGATGGTTTGGATGAAACAGTCTATGGTTCACAGTCTAGGCCATTGGGCACACATGCTTTTTATTAGCACAAATGCACAAACTGTGCTAACTCTGCCTCAGTTCAAAGAAAAATCAACTGTTTATAGAGTCCTTTTTGGCTTGAAGCTTTCCCAGTAACTCACTAAACCATTTACAGTAGGTGTTAGCCCATAAAGGAAAATTTTAAAAGGAAATGAAAATTCAACTTTATATAGTGTTATAAATGCAGTATTGTTTCCTGGTGACAGTATTTACTTTCTAGTTAGGTTGGCGAATTGAGTTTAAAGTAATGGTGTTCTATAAGACACATGGCTGCCTTTGAATAACTTGAGGTTATTTTTCTAAGAAACAAAGTTTAATGTCAACAACTCAATTGTTGAGTGCTTAGGAAACCTAGCCAGTGGGCTACCATGGAAACACAGGGAGATAGGACAATATATTCTGAGCACCACTAAGGGTAAAGAGATAGTCATTGGGCATGGAGGAGACAAGACCCCACCACTGCCATCGCCCATGAGCTCAGGCATACTGTCAGTTAGGCGTCAGGTAGTTCAGTAGAAAGATGTCTCTAGACTTGGGGATTGCATCAGAGAGGCAAGAGCAACCTGATGGAGGCTTCCACTGTAAAAAAGGCTTTTCAAAATTAGCGCTCTGCCTCTCCCAGTAAGAACAGGTCTCCCCAGTAAGAACAGGCCTTCACAAGGATAGATAGCACCTCCAATTGCTGTATGTTTCTCTTAACCCAGTTTCACAATGCTAGCATGAAGCCAGGCAGGAGGCACACCTCAGTGGTACAAGCCTTACCCACGTATGAGACCCTGGATTTGATCCCAGCACTGCGAGAAATTAAACACATTCTATAGCAGTAGGATTAAATTTGTTTTTCTTTTCAAAAACAGTGGGATTGTGTCCCGCCATTGATAGAGTTCTTTCTGATACCGTGTGACCTCTCAGGTGCACCTGGCGTCTACGTGATGTCCATGTTTCAGTTTGTTCAGGTCTCAGTGTTTGTTTTTGACTTGATATTGTCATTCCCTGGAACCAATTCCTGTTGTCTATTGTCTAGAGATGGGAAGAGTTTGATGACAATTATGCATCTCTTGAGAAGGACCTGGAAGTTCTTATCTCTTCGTTGCCCTCCGTGAGTTTGGTGGAAGAAACAGAAGAACGATTGCTGGAAAGGATTTCCTTTTACCAGGTAGTGTGCTTTTTAGTTTACGACGCTCAGGCCTGGTCCAAAGCACCAGGCTGATGAGGCTGCTGGGTTTCCATGCTGACTTGAATTCAACATTATTTATCACACCACCCGCTGATAGATGTATCTAAGATAAGGAATCTTCAGTATCTAAGATATGGAATCTTCAGCATAAGCATAGGTTATCGTGGTTTAATAAGGATCAGGATAAACAAATAGGCTGAATAGATGTTTATTCAGGGAGAAATAACTTACAACATAGACAGATGAACACCAAGTTCCACCGGATGCTCTCTTGTCCGCATACTGCCAGCCAGAGAGCACTCCCAGGCTCCTCCTCAGACCTAGTTCCCCAGGTCACTTCCACCCCTGTCTCCACCCCCAATGGGCGTGGTCAGTGCCACAGATGTGGAAAAAGTGAATATCTTACTACAATAGGTCTGGATTGGGGTTAAAACTTTGACTTGGATCCTGGCTCTATTCTTTAGCTATGAGTGACCTCATCTATAAATCCTAGCTTCTTTTTTTTTTATTATTATTTGAAAGTTTTATAGGTGTATACAGTTCATCTTAATAAGTTCCATCTCCCATTCCCTCCTTCTAGCTCTCCCTAACCCTAATATATCTCCCTTCCAACTTCTTTGATTTATTTTTTAAATAACCCACTGAGCCCAGTTAGTTCATAAAGATACGGGGTCATCTTGCCCCCATGAATGACACCCTAAGAAGCCACCCTCCCTCCCCCAGCAGGCACTAACTTGCCAATAGCTAGCTCCATGGACAGGGGCAGGACCTTGGAAGCCCCTCCCAGCTCCATGCTGAAAAAATACTTTAGATTTTATTTATTCATTTGTGTGTGTGTGTGTGTGTGTGTATCCATATGTGTCCCTGTTGAAGGTCAGCTTCCTCTATTGTTTCCCATACTTTTTTTTGAGACAGGGTCTCACTATGTAGCCCAGGCCAGCTTCATATTCAGAAATGCACCTGCCTCTAGCTCCTGAATTCTAGGATTAAAGGTGTGCATGACTTGGGGCTGGAGAGATGGCTCAGCAGTTAAACGCACTGGCTGCTCTTGCAGAGGACCCAGGTTAGATTCACAACCATCTGTAACTGAAGTTCCAGGGACCTCTGGCTTCTGATACATATATATACATGGTGTATATACATGGTGTATATACATGGTGTACATACATACGTACATACCATTCATATATACCCATAAAGTAAGAATTAATTTAAAAATGTGTGTACCAGCATGCCTGACAGACCCTTGCTTTTTGATCCCGGAGCTGGCTGTTTCACCTAGGCTGGCTGACTGGTTAGCCTCGGGCATCTTCCTTTCTCCACTGCCCCAGTGCTGGGGTTGCAGGTGCCTTCTCCCACACCCAATTTTACATTATCGGCTGGGGACCCTAACTCCGGTCCTCATGTGTGCCCTGCAAGCGAGTTTCCTCCCCAATCCATGAAAGCTTTTTTCAAAGAAACAATTGTTCTAACCCTTCTGAACTCAGATGTTCTGTATCCCTCAAAGTGCACCTCACCTTGGACCATTCATAGTCCTTTGGAGTCACAGAGGTTTGGGTTTGGGTGTCCACCCAATGCGGTCCCTTTGGTTGGTGAAATCTGGGCCATGGAATACAGATGGTAGTTGTGCAGCCTCTGGACTGGGACAAATCTGTCTTCAGAAGATACTTGGAACCAAAAACCTCCCTCTGGCTAGCATTTAGTCTTTTTTGTCTCTAGAATGAAGGCATCAAAGCCCTCAGAGGGGCCTAGGGATATGGCTCAGTTGGCCGAGTTCATTGCCTGCCATTCATGAAGCCTGCCCAGGGTTTGATGTCTGGTGCCACATAAACTAGGCAGGGTAGTGCATGCTGAGTAATCCTAGCACTTGGGAGGTGGAAACAGGGGGATCGTTACATTCCAGGCCAACCTAGTGAAGGTGAGCCCTTCCCTCCCTTCTCTGAAGGAATAGGCTCTACATGTTAACTTATGATACACACATGTGGTATGTATACACATAAAAAACAGAAATCAAGAGCTTCTCAGAGGCGCTATAATGATAAAGTAACTAATATGTAAAGCTTAGAAAATGACAGTACAGTTTGTAATTGATTTTGGACATTTCATCCTCACCTACAAGTTCAGCCAGGGAAAGGCTAGAATTGTAGATGGGAATGGTAAGAAGAGAACAAGAGGGAAAAAAAAGTAATTTTTCAAGAAAGCTTAATTGGAAAATAGCCAAAGTTCTATTTTGGTAATAATTTACTTTTAAAGATTAAATAGCGACCAGGTAAGTGGCATTAGCTGAACCAAGCTGTGGAGATAATTGCCATTAGATGAGCTCTCTTCGAGGGGTCATTGTATTTGCAGGTTTGAAGGATTTTGTGTGCGTGTGAAGTTGGATTAATAATGTGCTGTGTTAATTTATTCAAAATTGCTTTTCTCCCTCTCAGAAGTGTCTACACCTTGGTCTTCATGTCTTGTGGATGATAGATAATTATCTTCGGGTTTATCCCTCTCCCATCTAAGTTTCAGTCTGTGAGGCTTAGCAGCTGGAAGTGTGGACTGCCACAGGACTGCAAAGCAAAGTCCCATCTTAAGTGGGCCATGCACACCAGGGTATAGACCCTGAATTGGTACAGTTCCTGGTGTTTACAAAAGCATTGGAAATCCTGGTTTCTATACATTATATAATTTATGTCTAAGATTTCCTGATTTTCAAAACAATCTTTGTGTTACCTGGAGAGTCAGCTCAGCAGTTAGAGCGCTGGCCGCTGATGACCTGGGTTCGATTCCCAGTGCCCACATGGCAGCTCACAGCCAGCTGCAACTAGTTCCAGGGGATCCAATGCCTTCTTCTGGCACCAGGCATGTGTGTGTATGGCACAGATAGATATACAGGCAAAGCACCCATACACATAATAATAATAATAATAATAATAGTATTAGAGAATTAAGTAAGTTAGAAAAAATAGTCTGCATGTGAAACCAAGCCTGGAATGGTAGATAGGTCATGCTGATGGTTCCACTACTGACAAGGCTGAGCTAGAAGGAGCTCTAAGTCCAGGTGTTTGGAGCCAGTCTGTGATCTCAGTATTTGCAATGCTGACACATAAGTATTAGAAGTTTTGAGCTACATAGTGAATTTTCAGGTTTGCTTGGACTATATAATAAGTTCCTGCCTTACTAAAAAGAGAAAAACTGGATTGACAGATTTTACTTCAGTAATTCATTCTGTGATTTTTTTTTTTCTTCTCTAGCAAATAAAAAGAAATATTGATGGAAAGCATGCGCGGCTTTGCCAGACCTTGAATGAAGGCAAACAGCTGGCGGCATCTGTGAGCTGTCCTGAGCTGGAGGGCCAGATCACAAAGCTAGAAGAGCAGTGGTTGTCCCTCAACAAGAAAATTGACCATGAGCTCCACAGACTGCAAACCCTTCTTAAGCATCTACTCAGGTATGCTGCCTTAGAGATTGGTGGGCCTCATGGTCTGCTGTAGAGAAAGATCCCAGGAAGATTCTGTGGTCAACTCAGGGTTGGGTGTGGTCCCCCACATTGTACCGTGTTCTCTCCAATCGTGCCAACCTCTGCTCTTGGTTCTCTAGCCTCAGGATCATATGCTAGCAGTGTCCGAGGGCATTTGCATATTTCTGCAAGCACAAGGAATTACATCAATCCAATTCCTAGGATACATTCATGCTGGGATGTTGCCATCTTCTCACCTACTTCCAAAGATTTAAAAAGTTTAAAAATGCCTGCGTGGTGTTATTGCAGGCCTTTAACTCCAGCTCTTAGAAGGCAGAGGCAGACAGATCTCCAAGTTTGAGGCCAGCTTGGTCTACAGAGTGGGTTCCAGAACAGCCAGGACTGTTTCACAGAGAAACCCCTGTCCTGAAAAACAAAACAAAAAATTTAAAGCAGGACAGTCAGGTGTACTGAGGCACGCCTTTAACCCCAACACTCAGGAGGCAGAGGCAGGTGGATCTCTGAGTTTGAGGACAGCCTGGTCTACAGAGTGAGTTCCAGGACAGACAGGACTACACAGAGAAACTCTGTCTTGAAAAACAGAAAAAAGGAAAAAAGTTTGAAGACATTTAATGACTTTAGCCCATAGAGTGCTTTGAGTCTTTTGATTTCTTCAGAGGCTCTGTTATATTTGCCCGGAATTACCTTGGTCCGTCAGAGAATGATGGAGAGCACAGAGACCATTTAAACCTCAGTCTCATCCCTGCCTCTCAAAGGCTGTCTGGGCTAAGCAAGTTGAAGAGCTATAAGGAAGATGGTGTCCTGTTTGGCTATTTCCATCATATACGATAATACAATAGCACGCAGCCATGTGCCATTGAGCACCATCTCCAAATGCTAGTTTTATTTTCATTATAAACACATAACTTCAGAAAGCTGATGTCCAAGCTGACCTCTTGGTAGATGAACAGACTTTGTTATAGCTGTAATAAGAATGTTTTTGTACATCTTCCTTCTTGATTATCCCTAATGGAGAGAGTTCTAGAAAATGGTAAGACCATTGGACTTGGGGCATGGTATAAGACATGATAGAATACTTATAAATGCCATGGATTTCTGAATAATAGCGCTGATCAGGGAAACAAACAAATAAGAATGATGCACACTGGTGCGTGTCATCCCCAGACCGAGTTTCTAGTTTCTATTCTCGCTTTGCTCCCATTAGTTACAGCAGGGATTCGGACGAGCTGACCAGGTGGCTGGAATCTTCTCAACAAACGTTGAATTACTGGAAAGAACAGTCCCTCAATGTGTCTCAGGACCTGGATACGATCAGAAACAACATAGACAGCTTTTTTGTAAGTTGCTCACACTACTGGTCAAGAATAAATAGCATGAAAAAAAGTATCAGGTTTGCTGTGATAGTCTCTGCTCCCTTTTTTTTTTTTTTTTTTTTTTTTTTTTTTGGGGGGGGGTAAGGGGTAAGATGTGTTCTCAGGGTTATCTGCTACTGTTCAGACTCTGTGGTACGTATATAAATGTAACAACTGCTCAGATATGGCATATTTTATTAATGATAAAAGATACAGCCAACCAGCCAGGCATTGGTGACACACACCTTTAGTCCCAGCACTATAGGGAGGCAGAGGCAAGTGGATGGATCTCTGAGTTTGAAGCCAGCGCAGACTACAGAGCTAGTTCCAGGACAGGCTCCAAAACAATACAAAGAAACCTTGTCTTTAAAAAAAAAAAAAAAAAAAAAAAAGATACAGCCAACCCTCAAACTACCTTCTTCTAGGATTATTATTTCATGGAATTAACGGATGCATGATTTTAAGTTCTTGTGAGAGTTCTGTTCACGTTTTGGTTTTATTGCTTTGATTGGGAGAAAGTTTTCTTCCATAAAAAATGAACTTACTAGTCAGAGATGTAGCTTAGTGTTGGCACACTCACCTAACAAGTGTGCAGGCACTGAGTGCCACCCCCAGCACAGAAAATATGCATAGGATCTGTGTTGATATGTTAGGTACGCATGAAATACTTCCCCTTGGTCTTTACTCTCTTCCATTTTATATCTATGGCTACTCACTTTGATATTAAAATATAGTGTTTTTTTTAATACTCTCAAAAGAACCTATACATAGGAAAGACTTCAGTTATTGTATTTGAACATTTATCCAGAGTAATTCATTTCACATGGTTCCACAGTTTCTTGCAAAATCAGTCATTGAATATGGCTTATCTGACTTCATGTATGTGTTTTCCCTGCACGTATGGATGTGCACCACGTGTGTGTGTACCTGGTACCTTGGAGGTCAGAAGAAGGCATCAAAACCCCTGGAACTGAAATTACAGATGGTTATTAGCCACCAAGTGGGTACTAGGAACTGAACGTGGTTCCTCTGTAAAAGCAGCAAATACTTTTAATCACTGAGTCGTCTCTCCAGGCTGAACTTACCTATTTTAAAAACTGTGAATCCTCTAGGTTAAAAGGAACTAGAGATTCTGTGAGCTTTGTTCTCCAGGGTAGATGTGATGCCTGGAGTGGTGGCCAACACTCTGTAGGTGTGCGTATGTATGTGTGTAGATCTTTAGTTATAGTTATTCTGACTGTTCTTAAGTTTTGAAAGTATCTGACCTCAGAAACTGTTTCCTGTAGGAATTTTCCAAGGAAGTTGATGAGAAATCCTCTCTGAAGTCTGCAGTGCTGAGCACTGGGAACCAACTTCTCCACCTGAAAGAGGCAGACACGGCCACGCTGAGAGCCTCTCTAGCACAATTCGAACAGAAGTGGACAATGCTCATCACTCAGCTTCCAGACATTCAAGAGAAACTTCACCAGGTAAGTGTTTTAAGACCCAGCATTTAAATTAGCAAGCACTTGTTAGCTCACAACTCTTTTACAATTATCTTCCTAACTCAGTAATTTTCTTTGACACTACCTAGCCCCCAACACACACACAAACACACACCACTGAATATAGGTCTTAATTACTAGACTCTCCTCCAGTGAGATCTTTCTTAAGAGAGAAATCAGGCTTAATTACTTTATTTCCTGGTTGTCTCTGTGCCACTGAATTGGCTTGTATGGAGGTCTTTATCATTGTTTTTTTTGGGGGGGTCACGTATTTGAAGCTTTAATACTGGGTTTGTTTTGGTGGCTAACTGGCATAATCATGTATCAAGACCTTTTATCAAAGCAGGTATCATCTTTGGTGATGAAGACCCTGATTATCTGGTTAGCAGCAAGCAATTAAATGGAAGTCATTGTGTCCTTGCAGCTTCAGATGGAGAAGTTGCCTTCTCGCAATGCAATCTCTGAGATTATCAGCTGGATGAACACCATGGAGCCTCAGGCTGCAGGTGAGGACGCTGAGCTCTGGAAGCGTTCTGCGTCCCAAGTCAAAAATCTTCTGCAGAAGCTCAAGGTAATTCTACAGCAGGGGCTGATGTCTCTCTGCTCAGTACAGAAGCAAATCACTTAGCAGGAAAAATGTGTGAGGTATGATCAGGAGAAACCGATTGGGGGGAGGCAGAGAGGGAAGTGGGTGGCAATTATTCTAGAGCCCACAGTCCAGGTTCTTAATGGACTCCCTGACTTCATCTTTTCACCACCCTCGCCCATCAACACCGAATCCAGTTTGGGTGCCTCCCCTGCTTCTGGTACTCCCCTACCACACACATGCTGTGCGCACCTTCTGTCTGAAATGTCACTGCCTGCTTTACACACATCCTCTGAGTCACCTTTCAAGGCTCAGCCCACATATGACTTCAGTGGCTCTTCCACCCCAGGTCTCTCTGCCCCGTTAGATGGCTATGCCAGACTCGATGTCTCTGTGACCCTCTCTCTAGTACTTGTGCAGTTACCATCACTTAGCCACTTCCCTGTCTCCCTGCCTTGACTGAGATTCTCGCCTGGAGAAAACACCCCAGTGTTTGGTCTGCAGTGGTTATTAATAAAGCCCTCGAGGAAGAAAAGAGTAGATATCCTTTGGCACTAGATACGAATTTCGAGTAGATTTCATTAGCGTATAACAAGACACATACATTATGTGCCAGGTAGTATGCTAGGTAGGTAAATGAGGAGGCTGGGCATAACCTTCAAAAAGCTGGCAGGGTGGTAGAGCTGGTGTCTGAAAGGCAGAAGGTGAATGGCTTAATGACCAAGTATGAGTGAGTGTAGCAGAAGATTTTTTTTTCTTTGCAAGGCCAGGTCTGGCTATGTAGTCCTGGAACTTGTTTGTATAAACCAGCCACCATGTCTGTCCTGATTTGGGTTTTTATCTGTCATCGAATCCTAACTTGAGTGCCTAGTAGCATCTTTAAAAGGTCTGCATAAGCTATGGTTACTAGTACATTCCACTTGGTTCCTTCAGGGTGTCTCCATTAGAGGAGCTAGAACTTTCTTGAGTAAAACCCAACAGACAACAGGCTTGATAGATGTACAGTTACCCTGGGTGGGTTTAGGATCATGGTAGAACTTATAGCCAAGGTACAGCCATAGGAGGCCTTTGTCACCAAGGGATAGAATGGCTACCTAAGTTGGCCAGATTCCCTATGGGTGCTGTAAGTTTTGTGCTCTTATCTTCTGTTTTCTATCCTGTTGTTCCTTGAGTCCTCACATGGCCCAGATCTCACATAACTCAGGCAACTTCTCACAGGACCCTTAGCCAGAGCAGGGACCTGCTAGCCTCGTACAGACAGCAGGTCTGTACACCCTCAGTTTCCAGTGAGTTCGAAGGGAAGTGAGTCATGTTGTGCCCAAGAATGTGTAAGTCCTTCCAAGAGTCTCCTTACAGAAGAAGCAACCACCCTGCCCCATGGAAGGTGGGGAGAGTGGGAGGTACTCCTGACGTTGGGGTTAATGGTAGGCATACAGCGCCCCCTAGAGTCCAGCAATAAGAAAAATGCCATTTGTATGATGGTCTTCCATTCTGACACAGGTGTTTCATTTTTGCTTCTCTGTGTTTTAGGGGTTCAGAATGGAGATGGACTACAAGCAGTGGATAGTTGACTTTGTTAACCAGTCATTACTTCAGCTAAGCACCTGTGATGTAGAAAGCAAGCGCTATGAAAGGACAGAGTTTGCGGAGCACCTGGGGGAGATGAACCGCCAGTGGCACCGAGTGCATGGGACCCTCAATAGAAAGGTGTGTCCTGTAGTCACACTTGGATGCTTGATTTGGTCCTTGCAAAATACCCCTTGCTGAGAACCCTTAAAAGCTATTCAGAAAGCTGGTTCACAGCCTCAAGCCTATTAACCATCCCAATTAGAACTCCATGAAGACCCCGCATTTTAGTATTTCCTGTGGGTGCACACAACAGAGGCTAAAAGGAATGCTGACAGTTCTGCTGAGATTCTTTGGGGAAATTAAGTTGGGCAAGTGAAAAGGAATATGTCAGGCTACCAAAAGGTCAGGGATTTTGACATTTTCTGAGGAAACATGTTTAAAAGGACGAAACAGTGCATCTTTGAGATGACTGAACAGAAAAAAAAAAGAAAAAGGAAAAAAGAAATACATGTGGTAGATTTCCACGGCAAGAGTCCTGAAATGTGAAGAAAACTTGTTCATGAAAAAAATATTGATAATAACACATATCGCATCTCTTTTCTGCATTTAAAAAAAAGCACACGTGTTTAAGATTCTGTTCAAAATTTCAAGTACATGAATGGATGGACAACTTGAACAGGATATTTCTCCAAGTTAGACATTCTAGTTAAGCCAGGTAGTGTATGCCTTTAATCCCAGCATGCAGGAAGCAGAGGCAGGTGGATCTCTGAGTTTGAGGCCAATCTGGTCTATAAAGGGAGTTCAGGGCAGCCAGGACCATTTCACATAAAAGCCTGTCTCCAAAGAAGTAAAGAAAAAAGAATTATAGTTAATAGGTAAATGTAGTAGTCAGCCTTTCCTTTGGACTGCAAGCTCAAATAATGCCACGGAGATTTATTATTAATTATGAAAGCTTGACGTTAGCTTAGGCTTGTTTTTAACTAGCTCATAACTTAAATTAACCCATTCCTATTCATTTACATTCTGTCACATACCAACCATCCTGCTTTTTTCCATGTTTTCTGGCATCTCTCTGGTGCCTAGATTCATCTCCTCCTTTCTCTCTCTGCTCGGAAGTCCCACCTATACCTAACCCTCCTGCCTAACAGCCATTTAGCTTTATATTACAGCAATCACAGCGATACATTTTTCACACACTGTACAAATATTCCATGACAGATAAAGATAAAAATGTATCCATTTTAATCCTCAGACACAAAAACAAATACTACAGGGCATATAGTTAATAAGTTAGAAATGTTTTAGCAAAACAAGACCTAAAGCGACCACGTTCATACACTACTGATGTCAGAATGACTTAAAATGTACATTTTTTTAAAAAAATTTAAAATTTCATTGGACTCCGTCATCATACAACCCAGTTCTTAGACAGCTATTTAAAGTGGTCTCCCCAAAAGAAATGTACAACATGTACTCAGTATTCTTTATACTTGCAAAAATGTACAAGGCCTTAATTTCCAATTTTAGAATAACTAATCAAGTGATACTATATCCATTCTAAGAGAAAATCTTTTATTTTTTATTTCATGCTTCTTGAGACAGGGTTTTGTTATGTAGACCAAGTTGGTCTCGAACCCACAGATCCACCAGCCTCTGCTGAGTACTGAGACTAAAGGCATGCCTGCCTGGAAATGTCTCAACCCAGTGAGCTTGCTGACCAACAGAAGACGAATAAAACCTTGTATACACTGTGATTACCTAATAACAAGTATATTACAAATAAGAATCAGAACTAGAAAGTGATTTGTCTTATTAAACTGGGAATTATCTGGGATAGTGAAACTGCTAAAAAGGACTGGCTACTCTTGCAGAGGCCCAGGTTCGGTTCTTAGCACCTGCATGGTGGCTCACAATTGTCTATAACTCCAGTGCATTTTGTTGTGTAAAATATTAAAACTTTCAGAAAAAACAAGTTATCTTTTCATTTCAAAAGGATACAAATGCCATAGCAAAAATAAAATAGCCACATAATGCTGTTTGTATTTTGAATTCATTATTCTTCTATTGCTGTAATTAAAAAAAAAAAAAAAAAGACCAAGCCAACTTATAGAAGGAAGAGTTTATTTGGACTTGTGGTTCTGGAGAGAGAAGAGCCTGTCATGGTAGGAAGGCATGGTAGCCCGAGCAGGAAGCTGAGAGACCCCCCCCCCCACACACACACACACACTTTTTTTCTTGGTCTTTTGAGACAGGGTTTCTCTGTGTAACTTGGGAGCCTGTTCTTGAATTCACTTTGTAGGCCAGGCTGGCCTCGAATCACAGGGATCCACCTGCCTCTGCCTCCGGAGTGTTGGGATTAAAGACGTGCACCACCACCACCTAGCTTGAGAGATCACATTTTTAAGCAAGCAAGAAGCAGAGAGAGCAAACTGGAAGTAGAGTATAGGCTCAAGGCCCACTCCCAGTAACGTACTTCCTCCAGCAAGGCCATACCATATAACTCTCCCCAAACCACTCCACCATCCAGAGACTTAAGTGTTCAAATGCCAGAGCCTATGGCAGGGGCGGGCATTCCACTCAAACTGTCACACATTTTTAAGACAAGGGGTGAAAGTAAGAACTTTTCCTTTGTAATATTTTTAACCCATCACATCTAGATACAACATTTGGAACAACTTCTGGAAAGTATCACCGAGAATGAAAACAAAATTCAGAATCTGAACAGCTGGTTGGAGGCACAGGAAGAGAAGCTGAAGATACTCCAAAACCCTGAAAATGCGGTCTCCATGGAAAAGCTGCTCCTGGACTGCCAGGTGAGGAGGGGCAGCATCCTGCCCACCGGGTGTCGGGGCGACGCAGTGCCCACACCTGTCCTGAGGAAGAGGAATGATGCTGAAGTTTCTAGAGACTCTGCTCCAGATCCCCTGCACACCCAGTGACATGTTGCTTAGTTATGCATCCGAGAGGTACATGGTTAGCGAATGCTGCACCAGACTCCACTCACACAAACCTAGAATGGGGTTGCCTACTGCACACCAGGGCAGTATGGGATTGCCACCACACGTATGGTACACCACTGAACTAAACTTTCTCGGATAAATTAGGCAAGAGTTCATGGGTTTTAAAATTTGCAAAGTGATACTTTTTCAGTCGTAGGCTCCAACGCGAGCATTCATACACATGCACACATGCAACTAAAAATCATAAAATAAGTCTATGGAAGACTTGCTTAGGTTATGTGTATTTGCAACTCTTTGCAGCTTCCTGCAGAGGAATGCTAAGCCCCAAGTGGATGCAGGAGAGGAGAGTGGGGGAGGGAAACAGGAAGTAGTCATCAGAAAGGACCTCCTACTTGCTGCCGGTTTTTTTTTTTTTTTTTTTTTTTTTTTTTAACTTTATGACCAGAGCTGTCAATAACCTCAGGAGACCAGGACTTTGACCCAACTTTTGCAGCCCCAGCAGGGGCTAATGGGATGCTTTCACACAGCACCGGCAAAAGCAGTACTTGTGTCCTCTGCAGCCATGGTGACAAGTGATGCCGTGTTTAAAAGGATGGGTCCATGCCTTGGAGGGATTCGAGGACACTGTGACCTGGCCAGTGGATAACACCTTAATACTGGCTCCAAGGGACAAGTGGTCCTTCTAGAACACTGTACACAACAAGTAGCAGAAAATTATCTTCTTCAGACAAAGGGCAGAATGTAAGACTAAGCACAATGGAAATATCGAAGTAATTTTGCCATCGCCGGGGCAAAATAATAAAAAAATGTAGATAGGAAAGTGTGGAAGCCAAAAATTCCCGGAACATGTCTTTTCCTTAGAAGTGACATTCAAACCTCATAAATGCAACAACGACCACTCGAGGGCCATGGTTTTCCAAGGAGGAGAAACAAGAGCAAATACCTTCTAGGAGAGGGCTCATTGGCTAGTACTGCCAAGTTTATTATTTATTATTTATGCTACCACTTTTTTGGGGTCTGGTGTAGGAGTGTGTGTGTGTGTGTGTGCTTTCCTTCTAACTCCCTGCTAAATAGTCCTTTTTTAAAAAAAAAAAAAAAATGTTCTTGCACTGGAGAGCAAATATGACAAGTTACTGGTAAGTACTTTTAGAAATCTCTATGGATGATAATTAGAAATTTGAAGGACACAGCAATTCAACATTTTCAAACACATTTCATGGTATCACTTTACAGAGAAAAACTCTAGCTTCAGATTAGTGTTCGGGGATATGTGTCCTTAAGTGTGGCTCCTGGCCAGGAGTGGGGGAGGAGTACTTCTACAACCTAACCGTAAAAAGACGCAGCCCCTAGCCAGTGAGAACCCCACGGTACACTTACAAATGGATTGCAATTAAAATAAAGGGTCCAATCATGTGCTGGGGTAGAAAGTTTCTGTTATTCTGTGTTCGGTCTGTCTAGGTTCCCTCCCAAGTGTGGAAAAATCACCTTTGAAGTTATTGGTGGTGATGGTTACTTGGTTGAAAAGGATCTCACAGTATAGACCAGACTAGCCTCAAGCTCTTAGCAATCCTCCTGCCTCAGCTTTGTGCATCCGGGGGACACAGGCATGTCCATCATCCCCAGATGTTGCAGGCCTTGTTCACCTGGTTTACACTGCTGGGTCTATGTTCATCATCATCATCATCATCATTATCATTATTATTATTATTATTATTATTATTATTATTATTTCTGAGGACATAACTATAAAGAACAGAACCAGTTGGGGCGCTTTATGAGTGACTTAATGGATTCAGATACAAAAGACAGGCAAGCTTTTAAGCACCTGAAGAGTCAGTAACCACCTCCTTCCTTGTGCATGCTGCTTAATGGTGTGAAAGTGCCTCCCGGCTTGTGTTTTCATTAAATTCAAGCTATGACTGAATGGCTCTGGTGCTGAGAAGCTGGGGACTTGTGGTTTGATGATTTGGGCCACACAGCTAGCGCAGGGAGATGTTTAACAAAGTGCATTCCTTCCATACCATGCTGGTAACATCCCTAGACTCTCCTAAGATATAAAATATATAATAGAATTAAGAATATCCTGTGAGACTGGGTGTGATGGTTCATGCCCATAATCCAGCACTCAGAAAGCAGAGGCAGGCGGACCATGGACTTGAGGCCAACCTGGGCTACATAACAACAGCCCTGTCTTAAAATGCCAGCTAAGATTGAAATGCTGTTGCTGCAAGTGCTCTCTCTATATGCTCCACTGTCATTTTTCACTTGAAAAGAGTAAACTATTGTTCTGTAGCGTTTCACTTTTGCGTGTGTGTCTTCTCTAGGATATAGAAAACCAGCTTGCCATGAAATCTAAAGCTCTGGATGAGTTGAGGCAGAGTTCGCTGACTTTGGAGGGGGGAGACATTCCCCCGTTAGAAGACATGGCATCTGGAATTGATGAGCTGTTTCAAAAGAAGAATAATGTGACCAGCCAGGTATGAGACATCACTCAGTCTGCTGTTTGTCCTTGAATAGTCTTTCGTCTGTTGTTGCTACTGTTCTTTTATCGAAGAGATTTATCCCATGTTTAAAAAAAAAAAAAAAAAACTTCTGGGCCATACACTGAAGTGGAAAGAAATATTTCAAATCTCGTTTTATGTTCTAAATAATTGGAAGCAAAGTCATAGATCAGATGGCACTGGCAGGCAGGCAGGAAGCCCACTTGGCTATCTTTGTTTCGTCTAACATACTCAGGCAAGCATAAACATCTCCGTCTCTCAGTTGAGCATCTGGCAGTGTTTCCAGGTCAGCTCCACAGCAGCAGTTAGGGAAAAGCTTTGCAAGCATTCAGGAGATGCAGCGGGGCAGGAGGGGTCTGTATCACAAAGCCCCGAGAACTGGGAGCAAGGTCAGTTTAGAGAGAACACCAGAGGTGGGCAGAGAGAAGGGGGAGGAAGAGTGTGCCAGATGCAGCTCATAGAAGAGCATAGAAGAGAAAGCTGAGGCTTGCCAAGGGCGTTTACCTCCTACCCAGGGAGGATGCTCTGACGGCCAGCCAATTATAATGTGTTTGTGTTTCCTCTAGAATCCTCATTGGGAGTTATACATGCTGCGTACTAAAATCTGCGTTTGACTATGTGCTCTTAGGGGGACTTGGGAGCAAGCTGTATGATTGAAATCCCTAGGCAACTGCAGCATCATTGTCCTTTCACTGGAACTCTGGGAAAATGGGGATCAGCTAGCTCAGTCATTTGTCAGTCATGTTTGTTGTTATTCTGCTTACCACCAGGAATAAGAGAAAGCAGAAAATAATGGAATCATGCCCTCAAGGTGCTCAGGCAGTGCAGGAAATGTACATGAACAGATAGCAACAATGTAATGACTATGTATTATAATAAAATACAAGGGGGAATTCAATTAAGATAGTGTATATAACAGCATGCAGATATCAAGATCATAAGAGAGACACACAGATAAATGCAAGGGTGCAAAAAGATAAATTTTCAGTCGATTTTTCAACGAAGATACCAAGATAATTCGCAGGAAGAAGAGGGATATTTTTTCCTTACAGTATGATACTGGAACACCTGGATGTTAGCATGTTACTATGCAAACCCAATACCACATACAAAAATTAACTTGAAATGAACCAGACATAAACGTAAGAGTTAAAACTATAAATATCTTTAAAAAGCAACATAAACATTCATGGCTGGCTTTCTAGACAGGACACTAGAAGCACAGGCAGAAGCCAGAGGGGAAAACTAAGCTGGACTTCAGACACTGATCACTTTGCTCTTAAGGAGGACACCACGAAGAGCTGCAAAGACAAGCTACGGGGTGGGGAGAAATAGGAATGGGCTCTCTCCCTCGTTTGTTAATCGTGTTTGTTTGGTTTTTTTTCACCACCAGGAGTAAGAGAAAAATAGAAAACAGTAGATTCCTACCCTCAAGGATAGGGGGTGTATTTGCAAGTTGTGTCTTCCCTAAGGGGCCTCTGTGTACAGTATAATGAGTTACAGGGTAATAAGAAAAGGGTAGAGGATCAAATGAGGGAAATGGAGAGGTTGTCTGAATGGACATCTCTCCACAGCTGATGTAGATGGCTAATAAGCATGGCAGTAGCCATCAAGGAATAAAAACCAAAACCATGAGGAAATGCAAGTCACGCCCATGCAGATGGCAACAATAAAGACAGAGAACAGCAAGTGTTAGCAAGGTGGTCATACACTGCTGGTGGGGAGGTCCCTGGGGGTAAAGAGGTCCCACTGCCCTGAGAAATAACATGGCAGTTCTTTAAAGGTTAAACATAGAGTTACATGACTTTGCAATTCCCCTAGCTGGCGAATGTTTATAGCAGTCTAGTCATGATAGCCCCAGAACCATGGATGTCTTAGTAAAATATAATAGGTATATCTGTATTGTGGCATGTAATTTAGATGTATGAAGCAGCAGCTTTGTATTCTGTATCAATGGACTTTAAAGTCTGGTAACTAAAAGAAGAGAGTCACAAAAGACCATGAATGGATCGTTTATATGAAGTATCTAATGCAGGCAAATCTGTGGAGACTGAATGTAGATTTGCGGCTAGGGAAGAAATGACTTCTAAATGGATATGGTGTTTCTTGTTGGAGTAAAGGATGTGCTCTAAAATTTGTTTAAGGTTGTACTTTTTAAATGGTAAATTATAAAGTGTCATGCACCCACATGTAGTTTCCATGACTGTTTTCACTAAGTAACAAAATGCTCAACTCGTGTTGCCAGAATGTACCAGTGGGTAAAATACGCCTGCCCTTCATGGAAGCCCGGCATGGGTGTCAGACATGTTTTTCCCAGCTTGTGCTAACTTTGCAGTAAATACACCTAAGCTCAGAAGTCACTTGAGCATCTTATACTTACAATACTGTACACTGCACAATGCTGTACACTGTTGTATACCTACAACGCCTTACACTAACCGTCTTGGGAGGGTGGGTGTGTTTATTTTGTCTGTTTTGTTAATTAATTTGCTTTGGGGATGAAGAAACCAGTGACAGCGTTAAATAATCCTCCCAAAGCCAGAAGGCTGACAGACCAATTCCAGATTCTTTCTTGTCTGGTGTCTTTCCCTGGGTCTGTCATGAGCCGCATGATCTTGGGGCTCATTCCCACTCTCTCATATTAGAGTAGCCTTCTTTGGGATCTGGATGCACCGTAACCTCCCCACCTTCAGGAACTTGGTGGAGATTGCCGATACTTCCAAGTTGAAATGCCTAAATTGGATACCATAGTCAATTGCTTGGGAGGAAACCAAATGAGAGCCTGTCTCAGGAAGGCTAAGTGCCAGGTGTTCCCCTCTCCCCACAGGTCCACCAGCTCAGGGCCTCTGTGCAGTCAATGCTGCAGGAGTGGAAGGCCTATGACAAGCTCTACGATGAGGCCAATGTGATGACAATCCAACTCGCATACTCCATGGAGCACAGCAAGCCTGCAGTTTTATCAGTGGAGGCCTTGGGCTGCCAGGTGCAGAACCTACAGGTAAATCAACCAGCGTGGCAGCCAGAGGTATTGTGGGTTAAAAACCAAAGGCTGAAGCAAGCCTAGTAATGAATGCAGGTGCTTTTGCGCTGGCCACAGAAGCAGAAAGCGGTGATTTAACTAGAGGTACCAAAGGCATAGCTTGGAATTGTAGTTAGTCACATGAGTCACAGGAAGTAAATATATTGACTTTTCTGTGTTTCGTCTCATGGTTTACGAAACTGCATGTATGGACAAGTGTTATGTGTTTGACGATTTAATACTTCTGAGCTCAGCCTTGAAGGAAGGAATGCCTTGCCATTTCATTTGTTTTCTTCCCATTCTTGGTTGTGTGGCACTGTCCTGTAAGGGCTACGTGTTTGTGTCACTATTGTGCAGCAGCAAGGGCCAGGAAGCTTTTACCTCCCAGGTGGATGACCAGAGCGCCCAAAGCTAACCTTTTTCTGTGTCCTCAGGCCCTTCAGGATGAAGCTGAGAGCAAGGAAGGGAGCTGGGAGAAACTGCAGGAGGTTGTTAGCAGACTCAAAGATTCCTGCCCCTCCATTGCTGGAATAATGGAAGAGAAATGCCAGGACGCTCATTCAAGGTATGTGCAGAAAGGCTTCTCACTCCTCCAGGATGACTGCTTTCATCTGTGGCTCTGCCTTGGAGGGTGTAGTTCATCTTGTAAAGTTTAATGTCATGAGTGCTATAGTGTGCCTCATATAGGGTTTGGATAACCAAGCTAGGAATGCCCTCTAATGCAGCCACTCCCAAGGGGCTCGGTCTTGGGAACCCCCAAGTCAGCACCAGAAAGTCTGAGGAGTGGGGAGTATGTAGGGTAAGGTGGGAGGAGTGTGGTCAAAACATCTCTTGGAAAGTGACCTAAGCTAGTTTGCCTGGGACAATGTGGAGAAGTTAGGCTGCTTTTCATTCTCCCGCCATTGCTTCAGCAAACCGGCTTTCAAAAAAAGCATTGAACATAGGACAGACAGCAAATCCCATGCCCTGACGTGGCATCCTTGGGTCTCCGTTGAGTCCTCACTGAAGGGAGGACAATAACATTTAGTTTCACATTGGGTTTCAGGGCCTCCTCACTATATAGACTGTTGCTGTCATTGCTGAATATACAAGTTCATTCTTTTTGTTGTTTAATAAAGTTGCTGTGAACTGAATCCAGGGCTTGACCTGTGCTACACTAATGCTCTACCACCAAGCTACGCCACCAGCCCCATTCACAGAGTGCAGAGTGTTTTTTACAGCCATTTAAAAATGGTTTTTCCTCCTCTTCCATCCTCCTCCCCACCCTGCTCCCCCCTCCCCAGCAGAATCTCATTCAGTTGTTGTCTGGCCTAAAACTCACTGTGTATGCCCAGCTCGCTTCAAACTTATAATTTATCTTCCTGATTACACAACCTCCTAAGTAATAAGATTACAATCATGAGCCTATACCAGGCTAGTCTTTATTTATTTAATCTATTTGTTTGAATTAGTAACATGGAAAAGTTTTTTTTAATAGAGTAAATGAAAAAACAAGCAAGATAAAAATCTGTAAATAGAATAAATTTTCCCTTTATTTTAAGTTGAAAACAAGGAATATTGTTTTTATAATTGCACAGTAAATTTGTTTGACACAAACACAGTGTAAGTAAGTCCTTTTTAAAGGCCAAGCATGGTGGCTCACGCCTTTAATCCCAGCACTCAGGAGGCAGAGGCAAGTGGATCTCTGAATTCGAGGCTGGCCTGGTCTGTGTAGTGAGTTCTAGGACATTTGCTTTTAACTTCCTGATAGAGTGTGTGTATAATTTTGCTACAAGGGGAGGAAGGAACGAGGGTTGTGCTGTTAACTTTATGCTGACAGGTGGACCCAGGTGAACCAAGACCTCGCAGACCAGTTGCAGGAGGCCCGGGGTCAGCTGCAGCTCTGGAAGGCTTCTCACAGCGCTCACACAGAAGCCGCAGCCTGGCTAGAGCAGCAGGAAGTGAAGTTCCAGCCACTTGCCAACATCAATATGTCAGGAAACAACCTGGCAGACACCCTGCCTCTGGCCCTGCAGGACATAAAGGTGGGTGCAAAGCCATAGCAGCAAAATAGACAGGACTCATGAGGGGTGGCTGTGACCTCGGAGTGAGACAGACTGTGCTGGACACAGGCAAGGTGAGATGTGGAGTTGGAAGAATGGGTGGCAGATGGGCCATGGGGGTCTGTCATCGCCTTTTTTCCAAGTTTATACTTGTATTTTAGCAATTAAACCCTAACCAAAGGCCCCACACAAAATCTGAAATAGAAGCCACAGTGCCTCACCTGGTTGCGATGGTGAAAGAATCTCTTGGCTTTAAGAATAATCCCGGGGGGGGGGGGTTGTGCTGGAGAGATGGCTCAGCAGTTATGAGCCAGTACTGCTTCTCCAGAGGACCCATTTGTTTCTCAGCACCCATGTTGGGCAGCTCACAGTCACCAGTAACTCCAGTTCTATGGGACTAGACACCTTCTTCTGACTTCCATAAGTACCTATACATATGTGCACACACACACACATAAACATGTATACACATCTTCATTAAGGTTTCTATTGATGTGATAGAACACCATGACCAAAAGTAACTTGGGAACAAAGGGATTTGGTTCAGCTTGTTGTTACACATCTCAGTTCATCATCAAAGGAGACCGTGGCAGGAACTCAGAGAAGAGCAAATACTGACGCAGAAGCCATGAAGGAACACAGCTTACTGGCTTGCTCTCCGTGGCTTGCTTAGCCTGTCCTGTGTACTCAGGGCCACCTGCCCATGGGGTGGCCCCACCAGTAGTGAACTGGGCCCTCTCATATCACTCATTAATCAAGAAAGTGCTCTACAGGTTTGCCCCCAGGCCGACGTAGTAGGGACACTTTTCTCAGTAGAGGATCCTGCTTCCCAAATGACTCTAGCTTGTGTCAAGTTGACAAAACACTAACCAGAACAGTACACATAACTTGAAACAAAAATAAGTCTTGGTGGTGATGATGACGATGATGAGTCTTGGTGGTGATGATGATGATGGTGATCAGAGTTGGGTATATGGTTCAGTGAATAGAATATTTGCCATACAAGAATGAGGACCCGGACTCAGTCCTGTGTCAAAAGTTATTGAAATCCTGGTGTTGTGGAAGTGGACACAACAGGGCTCACCGGCCAGTCACCTAGCCAAATCAGTGAGCCTAGGCCAGTGAAGAGACTCTGACTCAAAATGTAAGTAAATAGTGAACAGCTCAAACACACCCACTCACACCCATACGTACCCTCAAACAGGAATCCTGGACTTGGCCGTGTGAGGAGGGCTTTTCTGGGAAATCAGTGATTTTAGACTAAAAGATCAGAACAGTGACAGCTACGGTGTTTCCAGTACTAGGAGGAAATACCTGGAATGTGAATATGCCACAGTATGCAACTTTGGTAACAAGATTGTTTTATATCTTGTGCCCTAGGTCAAATCAAAATCAGTAACAGATCTAATTAGAATAGCCTGCCTTCAGCTTTCTTAGTGAGGCACAGCAGATTCTATATGAATCCATTTATATTGGGATATATTGTCACCAGCAAGGGACAGCCTTAGGGATTCCTGAGCTGATTTACAAGTCCATCCCTTAAGTGTTGAATAATTAGAGATGCAAAGTACACCAGTCTTCTTAGTCAGTCTTCAGCTTCTGGCACGGGGAGCCTTGAGTCTGGTGGGCAATAACAGGTTCAGCTCTAAACTGCCAAATTTCAGAGCAGTACCAGTTAGGACATCATTTTAGGAAATTTAAAGATAAGTAATAACAACAACAACAAATTCACAGAAGCACAAGTGGCAGGGGTTGGGGGCTCTATGGTGGGGGAGGAATAAGCATTTGTTATCCTTTCTCCTTCCCCAGGAGCTGCAGCAAGATGTACTAAAGACAAAAGAGGCCTTCCTTGAAAATTCTACCCTCTTGGATCAGCTGCCTTCCCCGGCAGATCGCAGCACCCCTGGGCTCCATTCTGGACAACTGCACTCCCTCCAGACAGCTGCCTATTTGGAAAAGATGCTGCTGGCAAAATCAAATGAATTTGAGGTTCATCTTGCTTTTCCATTTGGGTGGTGGTGTGGACATTCTCATGCTACCGTCAGTCTGTGGAATCCTGTGGGGCAGTTGTGCTGTTTGCATGGTGTCTTAGGGACTGTAGAGTAAAGCCATCCCAAACACAGTCTTGCTTAATCACATGGGCAAGGGCCAGCTCTTAAACAGCCATTTGTTCTTTGCCAAATACATTACTTTAACATGGAGTATGTTCCATACTCTTTTCAGATCTGTTATCTGGATTTCTTTTAGTTGCTGTTGGGTTTTGTTTGTTTGTTTGATTGGTTAGTTGGTTCTTTTTCTTTTTTCTTTCTTTTTTTTTTTTAAACGCAACAGGGTTTCTTTGTGTAGTCCTGGCTGTCCTGGAACTAGCTCTGTAGACCATACTGGCCTCAAACTCACAGAGATCCACCTGCCTCTGCCTCCCTAGTGCTGGAATTAAAGGCATGTATGTGCCACCATTGTTGGGCTGTTATCTGGATATCTAAGTAGAGTAATTGAGACATAGCTGCTGGAGACACAACTGTCCATTGGAGTCTCCATTAATTTCCCGAGTTGTAGTGTGCAAATTACATAGAAAGCCATGAATCTCTAATATTGTCTCAATATCACCAGGAAGAAGAAAAGTAGTAGGACTAAGGGAACAGAATACTCACTTCTCTGTGTGGATCTGGTCTGGGAACACCCAAACCACAGAATGGAATCCCAGGGCCTGCACAGAGACCTCTGTGATATTTTGAGATGTAAATAACTTGAACTCTTAGCAGCTAATAATGTTATGCTTAATTCTGTCACACATGCTCATGAAATTTTTCTAATGAAAATGTCTCTTTATAGATTGTTCTGGCACAGTTTAAGGATTTTGGGGACCGCCTGACATATTTAAAAGATCTTATCATGCACGAGGGAGAAAACTTGAGTAAACTTTACCATGAAGAGAAGGAGGAAGTTCCTGGCTCATTCCTGGTATTGGCAATATGTGTCTTTCCTAAGGGCTTAGCTTTTCCATGGGGTTAAAAACTAAGCTAATTACTAGTGCAAGAATTTTCTTGCATTCTGCTTAACTCAGGAGCACAGGCATTCATTTCCTATCATCCCTGCTCTATTTTTCGCAGAAGGTAGAACATTGTAGGGTTCTACTTTACTAATAAATTATTAGTATATCTATGATATTAATATATATGTGCTATCCATTATCTTGAGATCATTATGAACTAGCTTCATTAAATCCACATATCAAAGGAAGTCTCTGTTATGATTAATTGAATTTTTCTGGGTAGTTTGAAGATCAAATATAAACTATTGAGTTGAAATTAGGCATTTTTCCTTTTTAATTACCTTAGTAAGTTTTGTGTAGTTAACAAAAAATAAAGGAACTAAAGAATTCTGCATCCTACAGATTCCCAAAGATCAATATTTATAACCTCAATGAGGAATTAAAAAATGACAGCATGCTATCCAAACCCCAGTCCACCTCTTAATTTTGTAAACAATTTTATTTAAGCCCAGTTGCCCTTCCATGTACACATTATCCATGAGAGGTTCTTTCTACACTCTGAGGACAGAGCTGAATGGTTGCTTTCAGGACAAGGTGGCCCACAAAGCTAAAACACTAGTGGGCTGGCCATCAACAGAAAACATTTGTTGATCCTGACCTAGAATGTGACAGCAGAGTTTGAGACATAGCTCAAGTATTGTGGAAGGTGTTTTACTTAACATGCCGCAGACATATTGTTCATCTAGAGGCTGTTCCAGGAATAGCTTTTTTAAAGTAATGTTTTGACGAATCTCCTTTCTTATGATTTTACACTCTAGAGAAATGTGGGTCAAATGTTTTATTCAAGTCTGCCTTAACCAGCACACTTAGCCCAGAATATGTTAAGGATCCGATTTTTACACGATGTGTAGGCCCACTGTACAGCCTGCCCAAAGTCAAGTCACTGGCAGATTAGACAGGATGCAGAAGTCGAGAGTTGTTCTGTAAACCAACAGCTCATTTTCAGTCTTGCTTAAAGACAGACTTTAGTGCTCTACTTCTTGGGCACCAAAGCAGGTGCTGCTCATGCATGTCACTTTTCTCATGGCTATGATGAATTTCTTGCAACTTGCAAAGGGTCTGCAGGTGAAACACACGCTTAGGCGAGAGGAGCCAATTCCAGAGAGGAGCCCTCTGACATCACACATGCACACACATAATAATAGCAAAGGCTTCACAAAGGAGGATTCGGATTTTGTCTCGTGGTTTTAAGGCCTGCAGTTCATCATAGTAGGGAGGGCATGCGGGTGGCAGCATGAGGTGGGTTGACAGAGTGCACCCACAGTCAGGAAGCAGAGACAGATGAGTGCTGGCACTCAGCTGGCTGCTTCTCTGTCCCTTTTTACTCACTCATGCCTCCCAGCCTACAGGATGGCACCACCCACATTCAAGACGTGTCTGTTAAATCCCTGAGTCACCTTCACAGCCATTCCTGAGGATGCGTCTCCTGGGTGATTCTAAATCTTGTCAAAGTTGACAGGTCAGAGTAGCCATCGTGCCTTATGTACAGGCGGTATCCACAGATAGGAACACCATTGATAAATCGTTAAGTTCAAGCCTGATTCTAACTTTAACTATTTGACTACATGCAAGTTGTATTACCTATCCAGGCCCTTATTTTCTCTAATCTTTACAGTAAGGAGGCCATTTCATCCCGTAGACAATTTATCTGTACCTTCCCCCCCCCCCCCCACACAGAACCATGTGCTGGCACTGACAGCCCAGTCACCTGACATTGAACGTTTGAATGAAGAGAGCCTCAGGCTCCCCCTCAGTGACATAACAATAAAAACGCTACAAAATGTGAACCGGCAGTGGATCCGGACCACGGCCACGGCGCTGGAGCACTGCAGGTCAGAACATCCCCTCTCTACCATGGCTTTAGGGACGGTAGAATTAACGTCCCTATTATAAGGCTTGGTTTTGTGTGTTTTCAAATCTTTCCAGCAAACTACAGGGAAACGGGTTGAATGAAAACTTCCTTCACTACTGTGAAAACTGGATCCAACTTATGGAGAAGATAGAGGAAGCGCTTGCGGTGACTGTTGCCGATTGCCTCCCAGCACTCCTGGAGCAACAGAAAACCTATGAGGTACACCTGTGTTCAGCTCCTCACAGTGGGGTAGGAGGCAGGGAAAGAGAGATCCAATAGGGAGTGCCTGTCTAAAAAAAAAAACTCTTTTAATTGTCCTCCAATGATCATAGGCATTTAGGCATAGCTACTATTACTAGGTCTGGGTTTTTTGTTTTGTTTGTTGTTTTTCTTTCTTTCAATATTAAGTTCCTAGATAATATTCATATGATGGTTGAACATTGTTTTGTGTGTGGTTGGCTTCCAATAACTTGAAAATTAATCACTTCACAGATCCTCTGAGAGCTTTAATAGGAAGTATTAAGTTCCAAATTCCTAACAGTGAATTCTGTCCGCTGATATTTCTACACTTTGGTTCCTAAACAGATGTTAGAGGCGGAAGTTTCTATAAGCCAGACAGTTGCTGATGCTTATGTGGCTCAGTCCTTACAACTCCTGGACACAACAGAAACGGAGAAGAGGTGAGCTGTGTGGGGCTCTGGAACTGAGCACTTGGGAGGACAGGCCTTCTGACGGGAGCCTTTGCACGAGTTTATGCGGTGCTGTGTGGCGCTTTTGTCAATTGGTTGATACAGTGCTTCGATGCGTTCTAATCACTTGGGGTAGTTAGCTTTTGCCTCCTTATCTTTGCTTGTGTGTGGAGCCTGGGATCACTTCCTCTTCCAGCTTTTCATAAGAGTCATCATAGGTTTTCATGAACTACGGTTCCTAGGGAGCAAACTAGCATCTATCCTTTCCAACCGTCAACACTGAAATCTCTACTACGTCCATGCCCTGCAGCCTCACCATGGGACTGGCCTTCTGCCTACTCAGCAGCACAGGGTTATGCCTCGTGGCCATATAAACACTAATTGCGCTCTTTCGTCTTGTAAGAGGATGAGGTTGGCAGCACAGAGGCCTCTGGGAATGGCCACTCCTTGAGTATATTAGCTAAGTTTTGAAGAGTCACCTGTACTAGCCTTTTCTCCCACTCCCACCTGCATGAGGTTTTGTAGTGGACAATTGTACGGTGCCGCTCCCTATCCCAAGCACGAAGCTGTGTCATAGTCACCAAAGGGGAGCTGTCTTCCCGGGCATCCCAGATGGAGTCGGGGCAGCGGCAGGCAGGCTGGGTGGAGTCCCGAGGCCAGCCTGCTGAGCACAGCTGAACTGCGGCTCATATAGCTAATTGACATGGCCAGAATCCAGAGGTCGAACCTCTGAGTGCCCTGATAGGTATCATTTCCCTGGCCTCCAAATCTTCTTTCAGTAAACCTGAGAAATATGAAGCCTGTGTGTTCATAGTCCTCCGGTGATACATGTAGACCCCATCCAGTGTACTAAGCTTATGTTGCTCATTGTGACAAGCATAACTTTCCTGTGATGAAGAAAGGCTTTATCTCTCACGTGAGTGGTATTATTCATCTGGAAAGAGCTAGTTGGGTGAGTGTGGTACACCTTACTCTTGGTTGTTCCAGTTATGTAAAGTACTCTGTAGCATCACCAAGCGCCTGCCCTTTTATGCATTTCCCATTGATCCAGTTCCTAGATTTCCAGGAAGATCTGGCATCATGTATGTTCAGACAGCTCAGTGTGTTTAATGGCTTAAGATAGGGCTCAGGTTTCGTGATACTGTTATCTCATGCAAGCTGTGTGTGCTAACGTCCGTCAGTCCTTGCTAGTTACCTTTTCTACATGTTCATGTTCGGAGTCTCTCACCATCTGCCCTTCCTAGGCCAGAATTTGTCTCAGAAGTCTCAAAGCTGTCAGACCAATGGCAGAACGCTGTCTGGGGTGTTCAGCAGAGGAAGCGTGACATCGACAGGCTGGTGACACGCTGGCAGTTCTTCACCACCTCTGTGGAGGGCTTGCTCCGTTTCCTCACTGACACCGGCCACCTACTGTCTGCAGTGAAGGAACAGGACTGTCACAGCCTCTATCAAACCAGACGCCTGATCCACGAGCTAAAGGTAGTATATGCACAGTTTGGGAGTGCCTTAGTTAGGGTCTCTGTTGCTGTGAAGAGACACCATGATCACAGCAGCTCTTATAAAGGGAAACATTTAATTAGGGCTGGCTTACAGTTTCAGAGGCTCAGTCCATTGTCATCATGGTGGGATGTGGTGGCTTGTAGGCAGACATGGTGCTGGAGAAGGAGCTGAGAGGTCTACATCTTGCAAGCAACAGGCAGAGAGACTGTACTGGGGATGGTTTGAGCATATATATGAGACCTCAAAGCCCGCTCCCACAGGGACATACTTCCTCTAACAAGGCCACACCTACTCCAATAAGGCCACACCTCATATTAGTGCCAATCCTTATGGGCCAAGCATTCAAACACATGAGTCTATGGGGGACATTCCTATTCAGATCACCACAGAGGGGGGAAAGCACATAGGGTCAGGGGGAGATTTGTATACGAGATGTTTGTTCAACTGAGGTTTTATTTGAATTTATTACTTTCAGTGATGTGTGTGGGCACATATATGTGAATGTAGGTACTAGAAATGGCCAGAGGTGTTGGATCCCCTAGATCTGAACATACAGGTGTTTGTGAGCCACCTGATATGTGGTGCTAGGAATGGACTCTGGTGTTCTGAGAGAGGAGTATATACTCTTAACCACTGAGCCATCTCTCCAGCCCCCTGAGGGCTAACGTTTTCTGTTAGGACCCAAATATGTTTTGTGCAATGGAAAGTCAGCTAGGTATGGCCACCCATGACCTGGCCCCTTCCCTTGTACAGTCTGAGGCTCTGTGATACCACTCACCTAGAAATAGAAATTCTCGGGGGTGTGGGAAGAACTGTACCATGCAAATAGATGGGTAGAATGAGAGAAGTCTGCAGTGGTAGGGTCACATCACCTAAACCCTTAAGGTGCTGACAAATGTATAAGGTGGAAGGACACTTACTCTTTAAGAGCAAATCAGACAGTAAGAACGGAGGGGCTGCCAAGATAGCTCAGTGAGTAAAGGTGATTGTAGCCAAGCCTGAAGATATGAGTTCAATCCCTGGGACCCACATGATAAAAGAACTGACTCCCACAAGTTGTCCTTGAACCTCCAGATGTACCCCACCCCAACATACATTCTATAAGTAAATCAACATATAAGAAATTAATGTTGTTTCATGAGCATAGGATTAGAGGAAGTTATTGAATGCATTCCCTCCCTACTCAAGGGAATAAACTCTCTACTAGAGATGCAGTCAAATGCCACACCACCATCCCTGCCTTTGTCCTCATTGGTGGAAAGACTAGTAGACTCCTGCTCTCATGGACACATTCAGACAAATTAGCAGGAAAATACCAGCTGGTACTCACCATCTATAAGTAATTAACAGAGGAGCTCTCGGTGGCTACTTTACATCTGGGTGCTTTCTGAGATTGTGGCATTTAAACTGAGACCTGAATGCTGAGAAATGAACAAACCCTGCAAAGATTTGGGACACAATTTGTATGTTACACATAAAGAAGAAGAAGAAGAAAAAAAAAAACCTGAGTCAGAGAAGATTCTAGGGTTTGGGTCAGAGCATCTTGTTAAGTCACGTGCCACTATGCCACTAACCAACTCAGGGAGGACCAGAGGAGGACTAGAGGAAGACCAGAGGGAAACAGGCCTCCTCTCTGAGGAGCTGCATTGAGTGGTACCCTGCTCCTTTTGGAAGCATGAATCAAGAATTTCTTGTTTTTTTGTATCAGAAGTAACTTGTTTCAATCTGCCTTAAACCTATGCCATTTTTAGATCAAATGTTTGCATTGTTCTTCCATATATTGATCAATATGTGTCATAAGTTTCACTCTGTGCTTTTGAGGTATTACCTTCTCTTGTGTTCTTTCCTATTTTCTTTGTATACTGTGACACACACTCTACTCTCTGAGTTACCCTGGTGATAACCTGTATAATGACTTCAGTTCAAAGACAAACCATTTTCTTAATGCTCTGAAATCCTCTGCCTTGCAGATATTTATTCTATGTGTGTGTGTGTGTGTGTGTGTGTGTGTGTGTGTGTGTGTGTGTGTGTGTTTTGCCTATATGTATGTTCATACACTATGTGGTGCCCTCAAAGGCCAGAAGAGGGTGTTCTATCCCCTGGTACCCGAGTCACAGACTATTGTGAGCTGTCATGTCAGTGCTGGGAATTGAACCAGAGTCCTCTGGAAGAGCAGTCAATGCTTTTAACCACTAATCCATCACTCCAGCAGTGTGAATATATGGGTTTTTTTTTTTTTTTAATTCCTTTAAGCCTCAGTCTTTAATTCTGAGAGTCTTAACTGTTACTAATCCTAGGAAGTTAATCCTATGACTTGCCTCATCTGGGAGTATAGACCTACTCAGAATTAAACATTAGTTTGGATGTAAATGTGTTTTGTGCTTGCCCTTATCATGCACATACATTCTATACAGACCTGACTAATTTGTGTAGAATTTAACATTTAAGAGAAGATCTGAAGGAAACTCACAATCCTGTATCACACCAAAGGCTTAAAGCTAACCCCCTTTTTTTCTTCTTTTTAGAACAAAGAGATCCATATTCAGAGGTGGCGAACCACCTACGAACTGGCCTTGGAAGCTGGGGAGAAATTACAGGACACACCCAACCTGGACACTAAAGAGTTCATTGACAGGCAAGCCAGTAAGCTTCAGGAGACATGGAAGAACACTGAGCTCGGCCTGGGAGAGATGATCAACCAGCTCCAGAGCACTGCAGAGGTAAGTGTATGACATGTCATATACCACCCAAGGTGCTTGTTGGCCTTGTGACAGTAGGGGTTTGTTTAAATATCTGCTGTTGTGAGTTTTCCAACGAAAGCCAATTCCTACCAATATATGAGTTGTGCCAGTTACTACTATTAATAAAATAATAACTGCATGGGAAAAACTAAATATTGCATATATAAACACTTGAGGTGCAATGAAGTTATTTACTTCTGGCCAGTGAGATGTCTCAGTGGGTAAAGGCACTTGGTGCCAATCCCTGGAAACCACATGGTGGGAAGGTAGAACCTGCTCCTGCAAAATGACCTCTGACCTCCATCATGTGCTAAGGCATACCCACACCCACACATACTAAATAAATACATGTAAAAAAAAGTTTTGTGAAACATTCATATTCATTGGATGTTCAGTATAGGAAGTTAACATTCCACTTATGCTCCAGCCAGGCTATAACATGAAAATAGGCCCAGTCGTGCTGTGTTTTTCTGCTACCATCAGAGAATGTGCTTTTCCACAGACGTGTCTTGGGTAACCGATCACTCTGTGTTTAAGAATGGAAATAAAATGTTTTGAATCGTCAGTAGGAAAATCTTGGTTTTGGTTGTTTGGTTGGTTGGTTTTTGTGGGTTTTTTTTTTTTTTTTTTTTTTTTTTTTTGTTATTTTTTGGTTAGTTGGTTGGTTGGTTGAGGTTTTTTTTGTTGTTGTTGTTCATTTGTTTTTGGTCCAGGTCCTAAAGAACTGGACTGTTTTAAACTTAATGACCCAACAGTACAGTGCTTTTGGGTTTCAAATGCAGTTTTTATTTTTATTTTTCTTGTCAAACAATTGAACTATTTTTGTTTTGTTTCTATGCTTATTTAATCTGTTGTATGTACTAAAAACATAATGTAAGTACTCAGAGCAATGTTTCTAAATCAAGAGTAAATTTATGTGAGTCAGTCAGACAGAGCGCCTGTGCTATGAACAGAGCATGGGCGTCTCATTACGTGGAGTATGTGAAATGCGTGAGCCAGCAAAGTGGATAAAGCTTGAAAACTCTTTGGAAACTCCACAGTATTTCAAGCAGAAGGCGGCAGGTGGAGAGGGAAGTTGCATTGTGAAAGGTTTGCCGAAGCCAGCAGGCATCAGGGGATGACACCAACAGGAAATGGCAGGATGCTTTGCCTGGCTCGGCTGTTGTGAGGCATATTTCAGATGTGGATGCTAAAAGTCAATCCTGTATACAGTGGGTTTTAGATGTGAACGTATTCAAAACTGATATAATAGATCAGACAGATGAAGGGAGATACCTCCAAACCAATCCATCCCAGGGATTATATCCCATGCATCCCTTCCGGTCAGTCTGCAGGAGACAGGGACTGATTTCTGTGTGGCTTTTCCAAATGCACCTAAGAGAAAGAGCTCGTGCATTAATTGAGTGGTTCTGTCCTGTAGTTCAGTCTGGAGAGCTGAGTACTTACCGATTTTAATACTGTTTTCACATAGACCTGGGACCAGTGTGAAAAGAAAATCAAGGATCTGAAAAGTGGGCTTCAAATTCTGGACGCACAAAGCAGAGCTCCCCTTCCTGAACTTCACAAGGACCTCCACAGAGAAAAGGGGCTAACTAAGGTATTGACAGCTAAGCCAGTGGCCAAGATAATCGCATGGCTGCCTTGTGGGCACTTAAGTGTTTGCCTGCATCTCTGACTTCTGTGATCCAGCTGGGTTTTCTGGTCAGTTGGAAAAGACATCAATCTGGTCTCTGAAGGTGTTAGAATCCATGTTTGTTAGATTATACATGGTCACTGTCTAACAACGAGAGAGGCTCTTGAAAAACTGTATACCACAGGCTATTTCTGTCTGTTTCTTCTCCATGAGATAAGATCTGGCCTCTGAGACTTTTTAATTGATTTGTATGTGCATGTGTATGCACTCCTCTTTGTGTGTGTGTGTGTGTGTGTGTGTGTGTGTGTGTGTGTGTGTGTGTGTGTGTGTGTGTGTGGTATGGAGGTCAGACGACAGCCTTGGGTGCCAGTCTTTGCCCTCCACTATGTTTGATCTGGCATTTCTCATGTTGTTTGTTCCTGTGCTAAGTACTCCAGGTTAGCTGGCCTGTGAGTTTCTGGGGGATTCTCCTCTCTGTACCCCATCTCATCATCTGTAGGAGTGCTGGGATTTCAGACATTCGACATTACATCTGAGTTGCACATGGGTCCAGGGACCTGAACTCAGGTCATCCAACTTTCACAGTAAGCGCTTTTACCAAGCCTGTCCCTGACCCTCAGAGTACTTAAAAAACAAAACAAAAACTGTTTATTCTCCAACCAAACAACCTTGTCTTTGAAGTTAGGTGTAACTTAAAAACTCACCTTGAAAACCAATAGAGTTGAGTTCTTTTGATTAAGTATGACATGAATTCTTCCACACTATGCTCTGCCCAATTAATTAGCAAACACTCTTGAACATCTTTGTAGAGGATGGTGCAGAGTTATAGATAGGAACTAGGGTTGCTGAACTCTGGGTTGGGAACCCCCATGTCTCTTTCTTGTCCAAAGGTTTGATATTTTAGAGATCTTTTTTCCTGAATCTTTTGGAATGGTTTCTTAATTTTTTATTTTCTTCCCTCAGTGACTAGGGATTGAATTGAAGAAAAAAAAAAAGGAAAAAGAAATATATAATCTTGTACTAGAATCTGTGTCAGAAAGTAGTATCTTTCTTCCTGCGTACATTTTGTCTTTGTCGTAAAAATTTCCTAATGTACTTTCAAAGGTGTAACAACCAGCATAAAGGCATTGGACATCCCTGTGATGAATCACAGCACTTGGGAGGTAGAGGCAGTAATACCAGAAGTTCAGTGTCATCCTTGACTACACAGCTAGTTCTAGGCCAGCCTAGGCTAGGTGAGACCCTCTCTCAAAATTAATTAATTAATGTAAAATTAATAACATGACAAAGGGCTATGGCAATACCTTAATAATGGCAGAGTGCTCTTAGCAGGTACAAGGCTTCAGCTCCCTGGCTAGTATCACAAGGAAACAAAAAAAAATACAATAAACCAGCAGTTGTAGTCATCACAGGCGGTAAGGAAATGAAACTCTAAGTTCCCATTGGATTTGCCCTTCCTGGTGACCTCCACAACCCTGACGCTGCCGTTCACCAGCCAATGCATTTATTCATTGTTTTAATAGTTGTTGTATTGTTCTCAGTGGACTAGTAAAAGGGCAGCCCATACTGTTAGCAGTGTTTCCTTCATTGTGGCAGCAACTGACGATTCCCCTGCTGCTTCCTCCTCACCGCTGTTAGGATGCATGGGTAAATACAGTCCGCACATCCTTCTGTGGCATTTGATACTGTACATGTTTTTCAACCTTTGTCAGTCTGGAGTGTCTCTTTGTAGTGTGTCGGTTGAACACTTCCTGTCCGTTGTCCCATCAAGTCAGCTCTCCTGTGAACTGCCTGCTGCTGTTTCCCCTGACTTTTGTGTTGGGCTGTTTGCCACTTCGATTTGAAGAAGGTACTTATTCTTAATACTACTTCTCTGTTGAGTGTATGCTTATAAATGTCTTCTATCAGGCAGCTCATTTTCCTTTCTTCCTTTCTTTTCTTCTTCTTCCCCTCCCCCCCCCCCGCCCCGATATCACTAGGTATCTTAGGGTTTATGGCTGTGAAAGGATACCATGACCATGGCAATTCTTTCTCCTCCTTCTCCTCCTTCTCTCATAGATTATATCCTGACCAAAGCCTCCCCCTTCCCCTTCTCCCCTCCCCCAGATCCATGCCCCCTCTATCTTCCTTCAAAAAAGAACAGGCCTCCCAGGGACATCAAACAAACACAGCATAACAAGCTACAATAAGCCCAGGCACATACCATCACATCAAGGCTGGACAAGGCAACCCTGTTGGGGAAAAGAATCCTATAAGCAGGCAAAAGAGTCCGTGACAGTCCCCGCTCCCTCTGCCAGGAATCCCACAAGAACACCAAGTCACTCAGCCATAACATAAGCAGAGGGCCTATGTTAGACCCCTGAGGGCTCCCTGATCTCTGTGAGCCCCTATGAGTCCGGGTTAATTGATTCTGTGGGCCATGTTCTCAGACCACAGCAACTCTTACAAAGGAAAACATTTAACTGGGACCGGCTTACAGTTCAGAGATTTAGTTCACTGTCATGATGGCAGGAAGCATGGAGGTACAAAGACAGGCATGGTGCTGGAGAAGGAGCTGGGATCATCTGTTCATCTTGATCCACAGGCAGGAGGAAGGGAATTGGCTTGAGCTTCTGAGACTTCAAAGCCCACCCCCAGTGATACATTTCCTCCAACAAAGCCACATCTATTCCAACAGGGCCACACCTCCCAATAGTGCCATTCCCTATGACCAAGTACTGAAACACATGAGTCTATGGGAGCCATTCCTGTTCAAACCACGACAGTGAGCATCAGATTTTATAGTTTGGTTTGGGAGTTTTGGATTATAGTTTTGTCTTGATTTGTTTTGTTTCTTTGTGCCACAGGGTTTTGCTACATAGCCTAGGCTAGCATCAAACTCTTGACCTTCCTGCCTCTACCTGCCAGAGCTGGCATTACAAGTACTTACCATCATACCCAGCAATTTTGTGTGACTTTAATAAAAGTGAATGTATGAATATTTTCCTATACATTTCCTATACACATGAACACAGGCACACATACCCACACACCAACACACACACACACACACACACAGAGCATCCAAACCTCAAAACAAAAACAAACAAACAAAAAAAACACTGAACTAAAACACTTCTAGTTCCCAGCATTTCTAATAAGGGATGGCCAGCTGACATGTAAATTCTCTAAATATACAGCTTTGATAGACTCTATCTATACTATTATGAAAATTGCTACAGTGGACATCTGGACTTGTTGAAAACCACTCATTGGGATAGTTTTAATTTTAAAGTATGTTTTTGAACAATGTAGTCATGTGATTCTAAATTCAGAAGGTTCATAAGATACATATTAATTTTTTCCTATTTGTTCCTTACCACAGAAACAATTGATGTGACTAATTTGTTGTATATTCTACCCAAGACAGTCTGTCCGTGTACAAGCATATGAGTGTGTTTCATCTTTTTCCCTTTTTGTGCATGGGTGTATACACATTCATGTGTGTACATGCACTGATATGCATGTGTGTGTGTATGGGAAAGACCAAAGGTTGATGTTGAGTGTCATCTTCAAGTGCTCTCCACTTTATCCTATTTTGTTTGAGGCAGGGTCTCTCCCTGAACTTGGATCTCACTGCTATGACTAGACTTGCTGGATAGCAAGCCCCAGGGATCCTCCTTGGTGCTTAGAGGCATGCACCGCCATGCCTGGCTTTTTCACATGGGTGTTGAGGCCAACTCGAATGCTCACACTTGCATAACAAGCACTTGACCAAGTGTCTAGCCATCCCCTTTAGTTCAAATGGTAGTGCAGAAAAACAGGACTTTACAATCTCACTATGAACTAATAGGAAAAGGCTTCTGCTGCCCTATTACTATAGGAAATCCTATAGGTAATATGCTGCTATGTTCAAATAACTTGACGTTTTACATCATGCTCTATAGGGGTAACTGGAATCTTACAGGCATTTTTGCAATACAGACCATTTATCAGACTGAAGATAAAGCAAACTTTGAAAGGTTCCTCTGGGCTATTTTATGAAATACAGAGAAAATTAGCAAGTAACGAGATCATGACACTATAGTATATAGAACACTGAAAAACATATCATTAGAATTAGAGCCTCATTACTGTAGCCACTCTTCTGACTTCTGGTGTAAATGATACAGTATCTTCCTTCAGATTTCAACTGAAGGGCAGGACACAGAGAGGCCTGGAAAATATGCCATGGATAAGCAACCCTAAATACAATTAAAACCTAATAGATTCTGAGGTCTTTGGGTAGTTTCCTTTCACTTCCTCTGTAGTGAAAAGAATTTTCTTGATTAATTAATTACTACAATTCACTAGATCTGAAACTACTTCATTTTATAAACTAGTTGGAACTAACGGTGGGCTCAGTGGTAGTCTTTGCCCAGCTAATGTGAAGCCCTAGGTTGGATCTCTAGTACATGAATGAATGAATGAATGAATGAATGAATGAATGAATGAATGAATGAATGATATATGAAACTATCTGCTAATTAATCTCTGCCATTTATCAGCAAGATTTTCTCTCTCTCTCTCTCTCTCTCTCTCTCTCTCTCTCTCTCTCTCTCTTTTTTTTTTCCCTGGTTTTTCGAGACAGAGTTTCTCTGTATTGATTTGGAGCCTGTCCTGGAACTAGCTCTGTAAACCAGGCTGGCCTCAAACTCACAGAGATCCTCTTGCCTCTGCCTCTGCCTCCTGGGTGCTAGGATCAAAGGTATGTGCCACCAACAAGCAAGCATTTTTTTCTTTCCATTATATTCATTTGTTAAGAAAATGAAAAACAACTCATTCCAAACAGTAATTGGCATTTTATGATGGCCCCAGTGTTAGCTGCACACTGCCCAGGCATTTTGAAAGTGAGAAATCACGCACAATGACCTACCTCTTAACATAGCTTCTGGGTCTTAATCCAGAAGCCCGTGCAAGTTTTGCTTTTTTTACATTGACACCAGCAGCAATGGGCCTGGTTCACTTTCCAACAGAATGATTTTATTAAACTCCAGCTACCTGAGGGAATGAGCTTGAAGAGAGCAAAGACCTTGTCCCGAGAGAAAGGTGACTGCAGGCTGCCAGGCAGGACTGCAGTAGGGCTGTTTCTCATTCCGAAGGTCCCTCCCCTTCCCAGGCTCCCCGCCCCCCAGAGCCTAATCAAAGGATTAGCCTACAGGTTTGGAAACAGCAGCAGCTGGAGTTGAAGGCGGTTTTCCCCTTTCTCCTTGTGTTTAAATGCAGGAAGTGGAGAAGTCTCTGGCTAACTGGACACACAACTTGAGAGAACTTCAAACTATGAAGGCCGACTTGAGCCGGCGCATCCTGGCGGAGGATGTGACGGTTTTGAAGGAGCAGATTGAGCTTTTGCACAGACAATGGGAGGACCTCTGCCTGAGAGTAAGTCAGCCAGCTTCAAAGTGTGGGGCTGGGGGAGTTGATTGAAATGTCCCAAGGCCGAAGGAAAGGATCGTGATTTTTATAAAGCAGAGGCTCTTTGGCACTGGGACCCCTGTGCCTCTGCTGGTGCCTTTAGGAGGTAGCAACCAGTTTTAACAGATTTGACTTCTTTGTTTCAACTGTGCTCTATGCACAACTTTGCACACTTCTACTGAGTTGTTCTTGAGGGTTTTGTTTTTGTTCTAAGATCACCTTAAGCTGGGATGTAAGCAAGGGTCATGCTTGTACTGATTCTACTTCATGGCTTGCTTAGCTAAGTGCTAATCAGAGTATGCTGTTAGGAGAGATCTCCTTGACCCCTCTTCTGGGCCAAACACCAGAACCTAGATGCCCACAGAATGGCAGAGGTTATCTGAGAGCCAGGCTCCCCTGCAATCAGATGTTTAGTCCTAGGTGCTGATATTTTTAAACTCTGGAGTGACTGACTGTAGCCTGAGAACCTCAGCCAATCACTTCTACAGGGTAAGAATGGAATTGTGTTTAGAGAATTACACAGTTCAGCTCTGTGACAGGATCAAGGTTGAATTAAAGGGTTCAATTAATCTTAAAGATCCTTGTTTTAAGGGTACATAATTCTCAAGGAAAGTTAATTCCTTAATCTCATTTGTGTGTGTGTGTGTGTGTGTGTGTGTGTGTGTGTGTGTGTGAATTTGACATTTGTAAATACCTATGTTCTAAAGATGCTTTTAGTGTTACATTTTGAAGTAAAACCACTTTATCAAAACTTTGACTTTAGTACTAACAATGCACTCGATATGTCTGTTAAATTGTTCTAATTCATGTTTTATGGAAAAGAAAATACTCAGGATCTTTAAAGTCATCTAAGAGTTAAGAAAACTCAAACAGCGTCCTCCAGATGGTCCTAATTGTTACCATTGTGGACTCAATCCTGGCACAAAATGCCAGGGGTTTTAAAAGCTAAAATAAATAGATGCCAGAGGAATGGGAGCAAAATGCTTGTTTTTCTAGGGATAGATTTTCGGGCCTTTTAAACACATTTGACTGGGCAGGACACAGACATATTTGGTATCTTGACCTCACTCTGGGAAGAGCAAAGATTCTTTTGTACATAGTGAGAAAAATCTCAGGGGAGTACAGCCGCCTTTTCCTTTTCTCTATAAAGTGGGTGCTAAAACTACCAAAAGAACTCTTAGCTACCCCCATTTAAACTCTTAGGATTTCAAAGATCCTTAGAAACTGAGAATAGTTGTACCTTTAGGAAAGCTGGTTTACATTATCTGGATGTAAATTCATTAATAAATTGTAGTCCTCTATGGAGGGAGGGAAGCCTCTTGGCTGGTGTTAGAAGAATAGAACTGAGTGTTTGAGGAGTCAGTCTGCTTTCCCCAGACCAATTTTTGGTGACATTTTCATGGTTTATAGACTAAAGCTACAGCGTGTAATGAATGGCAAAGTAGGTGAAATGAATTGTCTTGGTACTTCATTTTTGTTTGTTTGTTTAATTACTCAAACATTTTTGTATCTTTTAAGTTTTCTAGTCCATTTGTATTACTAATGATTGCTGCTTTTTGTTACTGTTTTTGGTATTGTGATCAGGATGACATTTTTCCAAATAAGTAAGCTGAACACTGGTCTTCTGGATATATGGATTGATCAGTTTTCAAAGGGAAAAAGTTTGGGCCACAAAGTTACAAGGTAGCATGATGGAAGCAATCAAAAATGTGTTATATGCAAAGACTAAGGAAAACAAAGTTGAGCAATGACTCTGTATTTACTTAACGGTTCTTGTTTTAGTGTGGCTTGATAATGTAAATACAGAGTGTAAATGCCATCGTTTCATCTTTTGTTAGTTTTTAATGGCAGTTACCAAGGGTGAGAGAACTTTTGTTAGTGCTGAGTTCTAGGTTTTGAGAGAAAGAAACAGGTTTTAGAGATGCAGACAAAAAGGAGTGACATTTGTGCCCATTTGTGTTTGTGTGTGAGCATTGTATGTAGAGTAGGGGTGCTCGCTTTTGGGGGAGCCAAGGGATTTTCCTTCCCTGCTAGCCTCAGCTGCCAAATGCATGTCATACCTAGGTGGCCATCCGCAAGCAGGAGATCGAAGACAGACTCAATTCATGGATCATGTTCAATGAAAAAAATAAGGAATTATGTGCTTGGCTGGTCCAGATGGAAAACAAAGTTCTCCAGACAGCAGATATTAGCATTGAAGAAATGATTGACAAGTTACAGAAGGTGAGTGGGGGTGAGGCACCTAGGTGGATGCGCTGAGGAGGGCCGAGGGCTTCTGCAGGGCTCAAAGAGCTGCAGTGGGCATGTGTCAAGGGGCTATTATTGATCTTTCAGAAGGAAGAGGTGGTAAAGGGGGGGGGGTGTGAGCCTGTCATGGGTGGATGCGGTGCTGAGCAGGGCTGCTGCTTTCCCTCAGTTGGGAAGACTAGCCAGTGACGGTTTGTCTAGTTATGTGAAGTGGAACCCAAGTCAAAGAGGAGACCAGTGGCAGTGAGGCTCATGGCGAAAGTGGCCACTTGAGCATCGTACAGTCACCCACAACACCTCCAACAACCCTGGGAAAGCTTTGGCCTCAGGCTGTCTCCGTTAAATCCATTGAGCTGCAGGCCTGGGCTACACAAGGTCTCACTTTCCTTTTTCAATTGAAACTAACGTAGCCAGCATGGCAGTGAATGCCTGCAGTCCCATCACCTGGGAGACTGAGGCAGGGGTGTTGCCTGGAGTTCAGGGTGAGACCCTGTCCGATGAAAGGGAAACAAACCCCAAAAGTGTGTTAGGAGAGAGCTGTGTGTGCCCTTGGCCGGAGGAGGACTGTCGTGGTGGTGATGGCTCCGGCCTTGTGCTTTGGTGCCTGCCAGGACTGCATGGAAGAAATAAGCTTGTTCAGTGAGAACAAGCTTCAGCTGAAGCAGATGGGTGACCAGCTCATCAAGGCCAGCAGCAAGGCCAAGGCGGCGGAGATGGAGGACAAGCTCAGCAAGATCAACGACCGCTGGCAGCACCTTTTTGATGTCATTGGATCGAGGTAAGAAATAGCCTAAACTAATTTGCATTTACTTCTAGAGATTGCCTCACAGAGCTGGTTTGGTGAACTGAGTCTAGCCTTCCTGTGTGGCAACCTGGCAGGCATATAAATGTACAGGTTTGCAGTTCGGGGGAGATGAGTTCTGATTTGAACAAAAACTGGAAATGATACTTTAGTAACATTTGACGTGAATTAGAGGTGTGTGTGTGTGTGTCTGTGTGTGTGTGTGTGTGTGTGTGTGTGTGCGCGCGCGCGCGCGCGCATGTATGAGGACAGTGGGTCTAAGGATTAGATTCGGCCCCACATGTGTGCTAGACAAGCACTCCACCACTGAGGTACCATTTTGACTGCTGCTCCTGCTGTTATTGTTGAGAACAGGGTCTGGCGATGTTCGCCAGGCAGGCCTCCAGCCAATCTTCCTCCTCTTCCTCCCAAGTAGCCAGGGCTTAGAGCACTTGCCACCATGCCCAGCTGGATTTGTTTTAAACAAGAGTAGAAAAATTAGTTTGAAAAGAGATACTAAAGGGGAGGTCTCATTTAGGAACTGTCAACTCTCTTGCTAGAGTCAACCTGTCCCCCAGGAAATTATGTCTGCCTGTTCTTGCCTCATTCTGTGTAGTAACAGCTAGGAGCCCTTGACTCCCCCCACCCCAGCAGGAAAACAGTGCATGCTTGAAGTAAGGATCCATGCCAGGTCTTTGATGGGCAACCGGTCCACTGTGTGAGCACAAATCAAAGCTGTTCTCCAGCGCAACGTTGTTCAAACTAGAGCTGGCAGTATTTTCTCCCATCACCAACCAATGCTGACTCCCAAAGTTTTTATATATGGCTTCTGTTTTCAAGTCTTCTGTATAAAGACAGCACCCACCCCCACCCACATGTTTTTCTGTTGCACCCTGGTATTCAGCGACATCTTATTTGGGGACCATTCATGAAACATTGTCAGCCACTGGCCTGGCACATGTTGTACAGGTCGGTGTGCTCAGGTGTGAACATGCATGTGACTTGGAATTTGGAGGGGAGCCTGGAGAGTGTATTAAGATTTTGGAGAGTGCTAAGAGTAGGATACTGTTAATGATGGGGTGCACCGTGAGTGAACCTGATTGGGCAGGGGCAATGGCTAAGTGATGTGTATGAGCATAGCAGGCAGGATGTAAGATGGGTGAGTTACACTAATGGAGTGGGTATCTGGCAGCAGTAGAGCTGGGCATATGGAGAGTCCAGATCCTATCTTCTGAGAGTGGAGGGGTGGAAACAAGGAAAGAGCCATCCCAGATGGTCCCGAGTGAAGGCTCGAAACTGCTGGTGGCTACTGCAGGCAGCGCGGAGGCTCCCACAGGTATGATGTGGAGGAGAAAAGCCACCCAGGAAGTGACAACACACCCCATTGGCACCCGTGTAAGAAATGACACTGGGAGAGATTGGGACCTTGAATGTCAGTCATATATTTGGCCTCATAAGCAAAGTCTGGGTCCATCATGGTGACACAGTTCCTAAAGAACAATCCGGGGGAACTGGCTGGAGGAAGAGACGGGGCTGAATTCAGCTTCTTTCAACAACCACTTGAAAAAGAAACAGGGCAGTGGCAAGGCTTAAGTTCTGAGCCTTTGCTGGCTTTCCTGGGTGTTTGTTTGTTTGTTGTTTTTGTTTTAAAGATTATTTGTTATATATACAGCATCCTGCCTGAATGTATGCCCACAGGCCAGAAGAGGGCACCAGATCTCATTACAGATGGTTGTGAGCCTTCATGCGGTTGCTGGGAATTGAACTCAGGACCCCAGGAAGAGCAGTCAGCGGTCTCGACCTCTGAGCCATCTCTCCAGCCCAGCTTTCCTGTTTATTCATTGCAGAAAGTTGGAAATGAGATTTAACTTTCCTAAGCCTCCTCCCAAATCTTCCTGATGTGTCCAACAGCACATCCAAAGCTGCCGTGCCCTGTCCAGATACATGGCATGTGGTGTTCATTTGGCATAGGGCCAGAAAAGTATGTGGAAGCCTGTTTGTAGACTAGTTATCTATTGTTTTCATTGGAAAGTGGAAGCAGATGCCCTTGGTTATGTCTAGGAAAGAGAGGTCCTTCCTCCATGAGTCCAGGGGTTCCATGAAATTATCCCCACGGCTGGACAGGTGAGGTGGCTGGCTAGGTAAGAAGCCCTTGTCTTGCAAGCCTGATGATCTGAGTTTGATCCCTGGACGCCAAGTAGAAGTAGAGAGAACTAACTCCTCTGATTTGTCCTCTGACTTCCACATGTGTAGTGCACATGTGTGCCTGCACACACACACACACACACACACACACATACACATACACACACACACAGAGACAGAGAGAGAGAGAGAATAAATTACATTTAAATAAATGAATGAATAAGTAATTGTCCCCAGGGCTGAGAACACTGTCCCATGTGTTTGTTGAATAAGTATTCTGATGGGTGAGGATAAGATCCCTTCCAGTAGGTAAATTATGGTTTTGCTGTTCCTGTCTGTATGTTCTAAGTCAGCTTGGGGACTTGACGCTAATCAAGGGTGTGATGACATCACTCCTGCTCACGGGTCAATCAGGAGTGAGTTCTAGCTTGTGCTTCTGAAGAGGGAGAGTAGCATGCGTTGTTGAATTATCTCACTGTGGAGGTTAGCAGGCGGTAGGTTTCTCTGCCTTGTCACTGCCCATCTCTAGCCAGTTCTCTGGTAGAAAAAAAGGTAAGACCAGCTTTCTTGCGCGTAGCAGTTGGCACCACCAGCAGATATCTTGACTACCAACTGAGTTCTTAACAATATGCTTTTGATGCATGCTGTCATTTGATCTTTTGAGTACACTTATTGATGGGGGAGGGACAGAGATGAGTGCCACGTCACATGGTGGAGGCCTAAGGACAACTTGCAGGATGTCCTCCTACCGTGTGGATCCCAGGGATAGAGTTCAAGTCATTAGACTTGACAGGAAGCATCTTTACCGGCTGAGCCATCTCTCCAGCCCTCACTTAATTTCCAGTGTAATTCTGACAGGTTGGTACCATCATCCCATTTTATTTATAAAGAAACTGAAGGCTGGAGTTAAGTAACCTGCACAGACTAGTAGAGGCAGCTCACAATGCCACCAGGATCTCAACTCAGACAGTTGCCAGCAGCCATGCCCTATGCCCCACCAACCTAGACCCTGCTAGTTGGAAGCATGAATAGAAGAACCCTGTGAGATCTTCACCGTAGACCCAAGTTAAAGTTGAAGACCTGGCAGAGAGTTCAGTACTCTAAAACCCACTAAAGCAGGTCTCATTCACTGATTAAAAAGAAAAGAAAGACACCCTCTACCCTCCCCCCAAAAAAATCTAGTACTGTAGTTTTATTCTCAACAAATCTCAAAATAATTAGTACCATATGACAACAGGTTTCTTAAAGCTACATTACATCTGCTCATTTCAGACAACTAGGCTTCTCTGGGGGAAGGGAGCGAGCAGAGCCAGGCTCCTCACATCTGCTGTTTTGGCTCTTGAGACAACCACTGCAGGATCAGCCGAAGCCTTCATTTGCAGAGAGGGAACTGCCACTCAGAGAAGGGAAATGATGTCCACTCAGGGCAGGAACAGGAGCCAAAGTCTGTCTGTCTCACTGCACAATGCATCTTAGAGGCATGTCTGACTCCTGTGGGATGCTGGCTTTCCAAGGCACCGTATATAATTTCTCTGAGACCTAGAACTCATTGTCAGGTACTGTCTACTGGAAGACAGTGGTTCTCAAGCTTCAACTTGTATCATAACCTACCTCAGTGACCCATGTGTGTCTACAGCTGCTCCATCCACACAGGTCCAGGTGAGTCCAAGACCTTCATTCCCGACATGTTTCCAGATGTGGTGCTCTTGATGGGAACACTGTTTGAGAAACACATGAGTAGTGGAGTGAAGTAAATCAGAAATTATGAATGAGTCTTGGGCCTCAGTCCCCATGCTGAGAAAACATGCACAACCCCTGCTTTATGCCTCCCTTGCAGGACATCTGTGAGGAATGAGATACAGATGAGAGAGTGCCAGAACAATCTATCGTCCATCCAACACACATCTGCCTCCATGGCATCTCACAGCCCCAAGTTCATGGATTGGCTAGATGGCTAGCCAATGAGATCTTGCAATGCACCTGTCTTCCTGTCTCCTGTACACCTCCCATCCCTGAGCTAGGGTTACAAGTGTGTATACCCCATGCTTAACTTTTATATAGATGCTGGGGATTATGTCTGTGGGACACACGCTTACTAAGCTATCTCCTCAGCCCTAGGGGAGGACCATTTTTAAAGACTATGTCTAGTGGTGCTGGTGAATGAACTGATGAGAATTTCCAGTGCCTGGAAGAACTCCCTTTGAGGTCTTCACGGTCAGCCCCCCTTGTGTAAGGATCATTAGAGATCATTTCCATTCTGTTGATCTGCAGTTTCTCAGGAAATTGTTGTTACTATTCTCTCAAATGCCTCCTCGGTGGCATCATCATGAACGGCTTGGTACCCTTACACTAGAGTATGAAGGAGAGACTTCAGCAGCATGTAAACAAAAGACTAGTCCCTCCCCATGGGCATTAGGTGGATCTTTTGTTTTCAGAAATATCAAGTCCATGGAAAGACACTGAAAGAAATTAGACATACTTCTCACATTTCCCCTACCATGGTAAAAAGCCTATGAAGTTTATACAAACAGCAAGTAAAATGTTGTCACTTGAACTCAACAGTTACTACCCTGGCAACCATGGGCTACAATTACTTTCCATGCCTTGTAGAGTGGGCTCACATTTTCCATGGATCTCCTTCTATCTGTATTCTCTTAGGGTCACTGTGAAAGGCCAAATAATGCTGCCAGTCAGGAAGCCCACTTACTTTAGTCACCGCAGGTGCCTGGAGGTTGCTGGGCATGGAGGAGGGGCCAGCTGGAGGTTGGCTTTCACATTTACATTTTCCTTGCAGTTGGCCCAACCATTCTACCTCTGGAGCACGTGACTTTTTACACACCCTGCAGAAATGT